GACGAGTGATTTTACTTGCCACAATAGATGCATAGAGAAAAAGAATTACACTCCTCACATCATAAATGAACACTATTTGGACTCGAAATAGGAGGATAATGTGGCACTTAAAAAGTGGAGACAGCCATTGCCGAATGAATAATTGTGCCATTGGCTATAACAAGAGCAGTGCTTAAACTCACACATAGTACAACAAACAAAATCTGAGAGATATCATGTACCCAATCTCTAGAGAGGATCATCTCACGAATTTGAGAGATAATCGATGAATGAAATCTGTTCAAATAGATTCCAACAAAAAACTCTTGATGATAGCACTCAAATATTTAGAGGTTAGTGGTTGAAGACTCATATAGGGCAAGCTCCTATATCAAGGCCTAGAGACAACCGAAATGAACTTGAAGTGAGGAGTCAACCTACTTGCAAGTAAGAAGTAACTCGAAAATCTTGACCACACAACTGATATTTATCTAATTAATATACATGTTCTTCAATATCGTTTAAAGTTATTACATAGAGTGAATGTAAATGAAAGACTTAATAATACTTGGCTCAATGTTCTAAAACATCTAAGTAATGATGGTTAAATCTAGTTGAGACCATGAAGCATAAGACAGATCAATGAGGTTAGGTGGATTAGTCGATAAGTGGTGGAAAAGACTATACGACATCAAAAGTGGTCAAATCTAGAGGCCCACGGTGCATAATTATGTCTATTGAAGACATATGCCGATCATGTGAGTTGCGTCATGATAGAGTACCGTAGAATACTTGACCTGATTAGAGAACGAACAATAATCAACTAAATAACTAACATAAAAGGCACATGAGACATTGAGGATTCACCCACCGGATCTATAGATCAAGATTAGTGAGAGATGAGATGATGCTAGGAGGGGATGTCCCTAGAGTTGTGTGGGCACCAGGAGGCAGCATGCGGGATGTCGAGAGGTGACGCACAAAGTGTCAGGAGGTGGCACGTGGGGTGCCTAGAGGTGATGGGCAAGGCACTAGGAGATAATGTGCAGGGCAACAAGAGGTGGCATGGACGGCGTGTGGGGTGCCTATAGTCAATGCATAGGACACCGATGGGAGATGGTGCCATCAAGCACACAGATGTAGTGGTGCGTCGAGTGAACATGCAGGATGGCACTAGACAAGTGCCAAATAGGCATGTAGGTGCGTGCCACAAGAGGCACAATAGGTGTGCATGGCTATGTAGACTAGGCACTAGGTAGGTGCATAAGGTAGCACTATAGGAGATTGCACTGAGAAAGGATAGGTAACACCGAGAGAGGAGGTAGAGGGACAGTGGTAGAGAAACCCTAGGGCTCTAACACCATGTTAACAAGAGGAAGAGAAAATCATAGAATTAATGATTGAAGAAGAGGAGTACATGAGGTTATATAGAAGAAGAGAAAAAAGAGAGAGAAAGAGAAGTAAAAATCGTGAAGAAAGAATAGAGACATGAAGAGAATGTCTAAAATGAGGCTGGTGGACCTAATAGACTTATTCTAACATCTAAAAAATCTAATAAAAATATATTTTCATATTTTTTACATCATAATTAATTTTTTTATCAATTATAATAGAATTTTTAAGGTCTAAAATAGACACCCTATAATAAAACATAGTTTAGGGCTTGAATACACAACAGAAGGCATTGTTCTATCTCCAAATTGAAATTCACCTTTGAATCATTCACTTCAATCTCTTAATTATATAGTTCGCTTCAAAAATAAAAAAAATAAAAAAACTTCCAAAATAACTAATCAAACTAGCATAAAGATTAAAAAGAAAAAATATATTCATATCCCATAAACTAGAAAAATTAACAGCATAAGCATAAATTGATCACAAACCAGAACATGTCACAAATACATTAATTTTTCCTTTATTATTATTAGTCACCAGCAACCAAATTGACCTACAATGTTGACTTGTGACATTAAAATGGGAACTAAAGAGTTATAATGCCTCAATATGTTAGGACTACTTCACTCTTGATGGCCATGCCTTATGTTCTATTAGCATTTGGCAATACAAGAAAACTTTACTTGGCCTCAATTAATTTGATTGAACAAATTTTTTCCTAGAAATACTTATTTTTAGCTATGGTGTAATCATAGAAATGATTAGCACATAGCTTACTTATTCTAGAGTTATGGCTCTCTTTTCATGCAAAAACTTTAAGTGCTTGAGAGTGATATGAAAGTATAGATTTAGGAGTGTGGAGTCTCATCTTGAATATGGAGAGGCTACTTCTTTTATAAGGCAACTTTGTGATTGAGCTACGTGCTTCAAATTTTCAGAAACACTTTCAAGTGATCGTCTCATAGTTATTCACATTTTTTAGTAGTTAGTTCATGGCATTGTTGGACATTTTTAATTTCCTATATTTATTCATATCATCTTAATGTTCATTATGTCTAATCCTTTTTATCTTAAGTGAGTTGACTTATGAATCCTCTCACTTTATATAAATAATTAGAAAACACAAATATGGGAAACAACAAATCTTAAATATATCCTTATGTTGCACCTTAGTCACCATGTTAATTATGACTCCTCTTGAGAAGTGACTCAATTGACTTCTCACAAAGAATTGAAAGCACAAAAGTTGTAGTAAAATAAATCTCAAATTCATAATGTACCTTTGAAAGTATTTAACTATGATATAATAAAAAGTTAAATATTATTTTATTATATCAATAATGTTTTGTTATATTACTTGTGTAACTCCACCTGGGATCATCATTACTATGATTATAAAAAATTGTTTAACTTTCTATTGAGTTAGCTCTCTATTTTGAAAATAAGAAAAAGACTTACAAGAATGTGCAAAGCATTATGAAATTGCATGAGATTCACTAAGAATTAGAAAAATATTTCCTCAATACTTTTAGTTACACAAGATTTGAGAGTAATAAATATCAAGGCATGAAAAGCTAATATACAATAGCAAAAGCTTGGGCTAAACATGGGAGATGATTAATTTTTTTATAGATTTGATGATCCATTTTCACATGGGCATGCATGTTATTTGGGGCTTTCCTTGCTGAGATTTTTTTGGAGGAATTGTAAGATAGGAGATAGAGTTCATATGTAGACTGTGTAATAGGAGATGCAAATGATGCACCAATGGTTTGAATGAGCCTTTTAAGTGTCTAGTTGAGTGAATTCAAGGGTATTTTAATCACCGATAATGAATGGGGTTAGGAGTGAGCAAGTCTAATCAAAAGGATTTGATTGAGAAGAATGATCATATCAAAGAGAAATAGATTACTAGGGAAAAAAATTATTTGCTGAGTGGATGGGTGACACAAACTTGTTTGCTGTAAACATTTGAACTTTTTAAGATTGAGGATGAGAAGTAAACATTTTCAGTTTTGCTGTAGGATCAAATTTATCGTTGCTAGATATGTATTTTAACCAGAACAAAGGCGATCAAAGGCGAACAATTTGGAAAAAAATAAGGTCATTTTCCAAAACTAAACATAAAAATAGAAACTTATTTGATGAAAGGATACGTGAGGAACATAGTGATTATTAAAAGGGAACGTGAGGTTCTTTTCGTGACTGATAATAATAAGCCGCAGCAGCATCAGAACCTGTCTACTTACCATCGCTGAGCGTGAGTACCAACCACGTCGTGACCTGACGTCCCCTCCTCTCTCTCTCTATCTTTTATCTTATATTTATTTATGCATTAAAAAAGGGAAGGGATGGATGAAGAGATTATTTGTCCATGGGAGGGAGAAGAGCGATTACTGTTCATGGGAGGACATCCAGATCTGTGCTGCGCGGGGGGACCTGTCCGTTGATCGAGTTTTTGTCGCCCTGCGCGCCGCCGGCGCCACAGTCCCTCGGGCCGGCCGCCGTTATCCGGATCATGAATGAGGCCCAGTCCACATGTGACCGCGCTGCCGCAGCCCGCGAGAGCCCACGTCATCGCCCAACCCCGCCTACTTTGGGAGAGGGGGAGGTTAGTTTATGAGAGAGCGGTACGTTTACTTCAGGTCAGCTGGTTTATCTGGGTGACGGTGACGATTCATACACACGGCGAGAGAGAGAGAGAGAGCAGCCCGCGTCTCCGCCCTCCGCCGTGCTTCGAGCCTTTTCGGGGACTGATGAGAGTGGGGAGAGAGAGAGGGGACAGCAGCGCTGTGAGCAGAGGACGTCGATGCCCGACACGAGAAGCGGACAGGCCAGACCAGACGACAACAACCATTTGATGAGAGAGAGGCTTCACGAACGCCGTCCTGCTGACACTCCGAAACGAGAGAGTATAGAGAGAGGAGAGCGACCCAAAGCCTGCCACCTTCGACTCTCCCTGACATCGCCTAAGGTTTTCGCCTGCTCTCCTCATAGAGCCAGAGACAGAAAGAGACCATCGATAATGAGGAAGCTTCAGAGGGGTCCGCCACGCCTCTCTCTCTCTCTCTCTCTCCTCAGCATCATCTCCATAGCCATACCCTCCTCGTCAATCGGCCTGGTACGGCGTGGAGAGTGGAGGGGAGGGGAGGGCAGAGGGGAAGCGAGGGTGGGGAACGGTTCCATTGATGGCACCTGCAGGAATTTAAGAACCACAGAATGACGACGAAGATGGCGCTTCCCCTATCACAGGTGGTGATGGAAAGCGAGGAAAGGATGCAGTCGTCGTCATCCTTCCCTACTGAGCGCACTGCTGCAAGTACACCCACCCGGACCCCTCACCTGGCCCCAGTGAGAGCACAACAGAATAACGACGACGAAGACCAGGTTTGAACAGGAAGACCGCGACGACTCTCATCTGGATCATGGACCAGTTCATACCCCGGAAAGATAAGCAAGATATCGAACTCGATAACGGAGAACTCGGCGGCGGCGGAGAGTGACGACCAACGCTGCGGCAGAAAAATTGTGTCGCGTCGTTGAAACCCGTCCTTCTGCCGATTAAATCCATTCCGGCGAGATTTGAAACCGCTCTCCGCGCGGAGACGATCCACAGTCCTTCGGATTCAACCCCTGACAGCGAGCAGGGCGGCGGCGCCCCCACCAGCTGTGGCCGCGGCCGTCGTGGCACGTCCACCACCATTGACGGCAGGGAAAGAGACACTTTTGAAGGAGGGGCTGCCACAGGCGGCGGCGCCGTTAACGGAGGCGATGGCTGCGTGCTTGCTCGAGAGCCTGCTGAAGGCCCTCATGGGGCTGGAGAAGGCGGCCCATGCCCAGATTCGCCGCGCGCGGGGTGTTCCGTTGTCGCCACCGCCGCCGGAGGACATGGCGGAGATGGGGGCAGGGATCTGGCAGCCGGTGAGCGGCCGCCCGCCACCCTGATGGTCCTCGGAGAGCCAGAGAGAAGAAGAGGTCGAGGAGAAGCCCCCGAAGATGCCGCCGCATCTGACCCTCTGCCGCGATAGCTCCTCGCGGGCTTCTCCCAAGACCCCCTGGCGTATCGCGATCTTGCCGCCACCGCCGGCGGCCTTGGATTCCCGCTGGGACTCCACACGCCGGAGCGCGCAGTCGCCGAACCCAGAGGAGATCCTCTCCAGAAACTCCCCGGAGAAGCTCCGGCTGCCGCATCCCACCGACCGGGACCTCGCCACCTTCTGGCTGAAGGAGGAGATAGAGGCCTGGCCCCCGCTTCCGGGGCTGTCGTCCCGTTCCTCCGCCCCCCACCCTCGGTTTACCGCCGCTGCCAGCGCGGCCTCCCTTGCCGGCGTCCTGGTGCTTTCGTCAGATTTGGCGGAACCGCCGGTGGGGCTGACGACGAGCAGCTGCGGCGGCGGCTGTGGCAGCAGCTTGATGTCCCTGGTACAGGTGGCAGCGGCGCCGCCACTCCCCGAACATCTTTGCTTTGCGGCAGGAGCGGTGACGTTCCCTTGCCTGGAGGATGAGCGGTGGTGATGAGAAGAGAGGTGAAGGTGAAGGAAGGACCAGAAGCTCTTCTTCCTGGGGCTGTCCAACATCTCTCGGTCTTCGTGAATGGCCCTGCCGGCGCCTCGGTTGCCGTCCGGGTCGGCGCCTATCGGGTTGCCGGCGACGGACTTGCTTCTCTTGAAAATCGGGTTGCTGCTACTGCTGCTCGCGCTGCCAGAGGAAGTGATGGTGGTGGAGACGGCCGAGAGGGACGAGGAGGAGCTGGAGGAAACGGCCGCCCGGTTAAGGCCGCTGCCGGCGGCCGCGCTATGATCTTTCTTCTTCTGCCTGGGGTTGTAGAGGAAGGGGATCATCCTGCTTCGGCTGCTGCCGGGACCGTGCTTGTTGACCGAGGACGACAAGGAGCGCAGATCATCGGAAGCGGCGGCCACGCCCCCCCACCCGTAGCCGGCGGAGGCAGCCTCAACCACAGTTGGGCGGATGGAGGAAGGAGGCGAGGAAGGCGAATGAGATGAGTACTCGTCTCCTCCGGCGCCGATGTGGTACGCCTGCTGCTTGGCAGCGGGGCCGCCGGAGACGAGCCGGCCGAGCTTCTCCTGGAGGCAAAGGGCGCAGATCCCTCCGGGGTTGGCTCGGCCGTAGAGGGGGTGCTGCGAGCACTGCATGCCGTCCCCCGTCCCGCCGTCGTCGTCCAAACCAGCGGCCGCCACGAGCACCAGGCCCTTCCCTCCCATGGCTGCCACAACTCTGCGGCCGCCCCGAGTAGGAGGATGGTCTGAGTAGGGTGGTGGCGATGACCCTCTTCTCCTTCCTGCTCTGCCCCCCCCGGCAGATCCGATCGATCGCTGGAGAGGCGCAGCTGAGGACGATCGAGAGAGGGAGGGAAGGAGGGACGGCGCGAGGGAGAGGAATTTAAGATGGTCCTCTGACTTCAACGGGAATTGAGCGAGAGCACGTGCACTGCCACGGCCGGCGGAGGCGCGGTCGACGGCGCACCTGACGGCCCCCCAAAAGATGGCGCGCGTTTTTCAGTCAAACCACCGTAAAGCCTTCGCAGAGGCTGCGGTTCCCGAGGAGCTCACGCTGTTCGCGTCGTTTCCGAACCCTGACGCCGTTACATTACACGTGCCTCCGCCGCCGCCGAAGAGGAGTAAAAAAAAATGGCTTGGCCGTAGCAAACCACCGTAAGAGCAATTACCTTGTTATGGATGAGACCGAGAAAAATAGGAGAGCGTGAGTTGCGTTGTGCAGGCAGCGTACGATTTGAATGCGATCAATGAGGAACTACATTGGCTCTTCGTAAGGGAAAAATACAGCGGCTCTGGCGCGCACCGCACAATGGACGGCGGCGGCGGCGGCGGCGTCCACCACCGTGGCCCCCTATTTCAGCCCCTCTTGAAGAAACCCATCTGCGTAATGAGAGAGGCGGAGGACGTCGTTGATGAGGTGAGGAGCGGACGGGTGGCTACCGTTCCGCCGGGAGGGCATGGCTCCAGCGGCGCCGCCTTGTCGCCGTCTCCCTCGGCGCCAACGGAGGTTCCCCCGGCTTTGGCCGGTGGTGAGGAGGAGGAGGCGTTGATTGCCCTCGTTGAGCTACGCTCTAAGGACGTAGAGCGCCTCCGGCAGCATATCGAGTACTACGAATCGCAGGTACTCCTCCCTCTCCTATCCCATTCCCAACCGAAAGAGGCGCTAACCGGGAAATGGCGGCATTCTTTGTTGTTGTCATCGTCATCATCATCCTCTTTCGCTAATTTGGGCAGCTGGAGGAGGCAGTGATGAAGCTGAAGGATTCGCAGTCGAAGCTGGCTCGCCTACGATCTAATGTGGCCTCCTCATCGTTCTCTCCGCTGCTGCGGCCGTCTCAATCGAAGGTGAAAGAGGAGCGAATCCCCGTGCGAGGTAGTGAGGGTTACCGCCCTCATCTTCAGTCTCCTGCCGTAGAGCAGGTGTCCCATTCCAGACCGCCGCTCATTATCCCTGCAGTAAGACCCATGCCGACACCCCCAACATCCTCGGACGGCAGGATGCCGGGTAGGGCTGGACGGTCGGAGGCGAGTGGGGTCGCAGCCTCTGCCTCAGTGAGAGCTTCTTTACCCACTGGCTCCTCGACCAGAGCCGCTTCGTCATTTCCTTCGCAAACCGATGGCACCAACAATGGGCCGAAACGTAGTGCTCCGGGCACGCCGAGCCCCGAGCAGGACAAGGGAATGAAGAGCTCGAAGAGGAAAACTGGTGAGCCTTCGACTTCAATCAGATCACTGTTCTCTGTTCCCTTTGTGTCTGCAGGAGGGCTGTCAACATTTGTCAGTATTACCAGCGAATTCCCCCCCCCCCCCCCCCCCCCCCTCCCAATTCGACTTTAATCATCCAGACTTTGTGTCCAATTAATGATCGAGAAGCTGTCCTTCTGTTTCGGGATTTGAATTTGTTTTCATCTGCGTCGACTGTTTTGGGGGTGTATGCAGTGCAGAACGAGCATAGCGACTTGATTTCAAGTGTACGACAGTCTTCATCGCCTTCGTTGATTCATGTCCGGTCAGGGATGCTCGTCTCCAGCCAACACAAGAGGAAGCTGCGCTGTCTGGAGATCAACAAGGTTGATGATCAGCTCTTTGTGACGAGGTACGTCTGCATTCCCATATGGTATGCTGCATAATTCGCCCTTCTTTTTTGCATGAACTGCCCAAAATTTCGACATATTTTTGGTGCCTGCTCTTGAGATAACAACCATTTTAAGTAACATATTTTGTGATCAGTCGATCGTATTTTCCCTTTGTGGCGTAATGCATAACAAGGCCTCCTCCTCCAGTTGAATATCTTCGATTTTCCACAAGTACATGGTGACGGCCAGTTTTATGACATATTTTGGCTATGCCTCTGGAGGCACTGATAATGATGCTTTTTTCCATATTGTGACCATTGACTCAGGATCCGCAACTCCTGCCTATATGACTATGTGAATGGAACCTGGAAGGTTTTAGGCATCAGGTCACAACTGGTGGATGGTAATGGCATGATGGCTGGACCCTTGTTGTCATTAGCTTCTGAAATGCATGTGGGTCATTTACTGTTTTATCTGCCATAGCAGACCCTTCACAATTGTGACAAATGGGCTACCTTTGTTATTTGTGACAACTCTGGTGCCCAAATGTCTAAAACTCTGCCCCACGCTGTGGTGTCCTGCTCGGGAACTTAATAATCCCAGATGACATCATCATGCCAATATCCCCATAGAATCCCCCCATTAATCTTCTTTCTGTCTGTGCTAACTTTTCATCCTCTCTTCTTTTGTTATGATCGTAATGGCTTTGCATGGACATTGTTTATCTACAATATGCTAAGATCTTTCATTATATTTGATTGAAACTTTACACCGATTGCCATTCAAGCAATAACCATCAGTTATAATGTTTTTACCTGTCTAGAATCAAATTTCTTCCGTTGCATGACAAATCCTTTTGTTGGTTATCTTTGTGATTGAAGCTTTTGTGCATCTCTCTCTATCGTGGATTGTAATGAGTCATTTAATTCTCCCCCCCTCCTTTTATTATGCTTAAATCTCCACCATCCTTGGTGGTTGTGGTACCACCCAATTTTATTGATAAAATCGAGACTATCTACTACTAGTTGATTTACGTTTTTTCTTTTTGGCACCCACATTTCATTATTTATGATTTTGAGGTTATTCATCCATCTGTGAACGTCATAATGACACTCTATATTCCATTTATATGACTGGTGGTAATGAAACAATATGCTATCAAGAATTCTTCTCTCTTGAAACTATTTCAATGTCTTATCGCAAAGAATTATGGTTAAAATAAATAGAATTACGTTCTATTCATGAGTTTAGGAGTTTGCAACTTCTTGCAATTAAGTTCTGGACAATGGGACTTCCAGTAGTCATGTTTTCATCGAAAATATTCCTTCCAGTTTTCTGTTACTTACGGTGAATAATTTGCCAGGGAAAGTTGACCATGATTGATTTGAATGATGTATCCTCATGTGTATCGTGACTTACTATCTCTCTATGTCATGATGTCTGCTGTCATATATACTTTCAATGCTGTTATGTAAATCTTGACTATCATATCTGCTGTCTGGTGGTTTCCATGGTTTTAATTGTTTGAAGATTTCTTTTGGGCACGAATTGATGACTTCTACCACAATAAGTTATCTAATCTGAATATTGCTCCAATACATTATATGTCTTTTTTCCTGCGAACTCTGCAGTGCCTTAGATGGAGTCGTGAACCTGTGGCAACTGAGGCCGAAAGAGTAAGCTTAAAAATTTGATTTATATTAAATTTTTTTGGTGAGAAAGAGCATAGGATTTTGTTTTAGATAAACATAATCGTATCATGCATTATTTTACTGCTTAACTAGAGATACGCTGCATAATGTGCACATTGCACTGACATTGTTCTTTACAACAACCGATCACTCTTTTTGGAGTGGCAGCAACTAATCCTCTGAAAAATGGTGTGCAAAATGGCAAGTATCCTAGCAACAGAAATATGAGTTGGATGAAGTCTGGAGAGGTACTATTCGCAGCTGAAATTATAATCACTCTGTATGCCTGGCCCTCTCATAGAGGACATAATTGCTGGTGGTTTGAAGATTTCTCAAATTTCCACAATAGGACCGAACAGTAGTTCAAATTCATGGATCTGGGATATGATGGAACTTAAGAGTCTGAATTGATGTATCAATCATAGCAGGGTATTTTGGACTAGTTTTAATGCAAGCTACATTATCCTCCTTACTCTGGGAGGCGGGAATGGAACCTAGAGAGATGCAAAAGTCTATACTGGAGTGATGATTTGTAGGATCGCCAACCGAATCAGTGTGAATGAAAGATATTGTTCTAGTGGGTGATATAAGTAACGTTCAATGAAGGGTGCCACGCAGTTATTAGAACATTGATGAGAACAAGGAAGTGGACTGAGTTGCAAGACATAGGAAACTGACTCAAGATATGGAGGGCAACACTGATATTTGAGCGAGAGACAGTGAAGTGCATAAAAGTACCAGCAAGCTGATGAGAACATGTATGATCCTCCAAGGCAATACCAGTTGATGGATGAAGATTGAGGTATAGCTCTATTTGAGTGTCACCCATGAAAGAATCAAAGAGAGCAGTGTGCTGAAGAATATCATCAGTACATCTCTGCTATGACAGTACGTAACATCATATAGAATAGTCAACGTTAAGACTAAGTAAATAGTGTAAAGGCCCAAGGTCTATCTACCATCTCGAACCAATGATGGAGATGCGAAATGAGTGAGGATCGCAGTGCCACTGTCATCAACAATGACCGTCCCAGCGACATAGAGATTACATAATCACAGGAAGTATAGAGGTCGTGAACCTCAACACTCCCACTGAAATCAGTCCCATGAACAGAAAATCGCTCATATGTAGCCTTGAATAGATGGCAAGTGTGTAGCAGTGTAGAATGACAAGGCTAAGGCTTAGAAGGTTACCATGAAGAAAGGTATTCTTTATGTAGGCTGATAGAGAGGTTAACAATGAATAGCTGTAACTGAATGAGGGTATGAACAATGGTCATTTGGGCCATTGGAGAAATTTTCCTTATAATCAATGCTACACTCTTGGGTGAAACTTGCCATAAATTGAGGATTAGTGTCAATATACTACTAAATGATCTGATTTTCATCTTACAAATCTATTGGCAGCCAATAGGAAGAGATCTCAATATCCTAGTGTGGATCTACTGAAGAGCCTAAGCTTTTTCCATAGCTTTTTGCCACGTGGGTAACTGCATTGTCTACTGGAGACTCTCAGTCTCTTGGTAGGCAGGAAGGACTGTGAGAGAGGTAGAGAACTTTGGAGAGCAGAGAAGCCAAAATAAGATCAAGTTGATTAGGAGGATTATGATTACATGAGGAACTATGTGATGGAGGATTCGCCAGAGAGTTGAGTTGGACTAAGAGGAGGCAAGTCTTGTCTACCAAAGTGACCAAGATCATTAGCTTCATTGCTATGATGAGTGTAGACGTAGACAATGAGATGCTGACGAATTAATGATTGCTATAGAGGTTTGGGGTGGAGTGAGTCTGGGAAGAGTGAGAGAAAGCTGCTGTAAGGGTGGGTGTAAAAGACTAGAGATGTTCGAAAATTGTGAGACAAAGATATGGAGAAGTTGACGTCCTCAAAGTAGGCCGTTTGAAAAGCAATGCAGAGATGACAAGCTATCAGATCATAGCGGTGATACCTATGATGCTCTAAGGTACACTAAAGAAACGCAGGCTCATAAAAGATTTCAAAGAAGAGACCTGCAGATTGAATTAGTCGTTGAAGTATTGAAACGAGGCAAGTTCGATGGGTAGCCAATTTTGCCCCATCCAAAGTTGCAGTAGGCGAGGATCGCTTGTCTGGGAGAGAAGACCAACAACAATAATGGTAATGACGGAAAGTAGGAAGTTAAATGAACAAGCTTCAGGCAAGCATCTCGGTGATGACGTCAGGGATGATAATGTATGAGTCGTGGTATGCAGTGAGAGGGTTTTTTTGGAGATTACCAGAATTCTCTCACGAGCAGAAGAACCAAGTTGTCTCCTCATCAATGATATCAGTAACAGTGTTGATTCAATCCCCTGCTCTTCTCTTGGACAAAAAAGGAATAATGTATTCAAGAAAAATAGAGAAAACAACGAACAGATGGGAATTAGTTCGAGAGAATTCCCCACTCTCCCTTCCTCTCGTGCCACTTCTACCATGATACCCCTCTTATTCACAGGGAAGGGGTATTTATACCTTTCAGCCCACTCCTTCATGTTCACTCTTATGTCAAACGTCTTAAGGGGTACTGTATCAAGTGTCTTCCATAGTACTCACAAATAAAATGATATTGCTATTGATCGTTACGCTGTGTCAGATGAATAATGGGAAACCCAGTTGATGGCATGCATAGCATTAATCTAGATCTTGATGCACCAGAGCTGGATGAAGGACTAAATAGAGTGCTCGCTCAGACAGGCTGTTGAACTCACTTGACAACTGGTTATACTTGGGAGTACCATTGGCCCAATATTGGACTGGGACTGATCGAGCAAATTTATGTGGGAAGTAGTAAACCTTCAGCAAGTCCAGGTGAGTAAAACTTTGATAATAGGATTAAATCAATGCACCTGTAACTTGAATGAGTTGAAAATTAGTATGATGGGGTATGCTTACTCTGCTGGTGTATGACATAGATATTCATGGGATGCCAATATATATAATTCACAGACTTTTCATTGGTGATTATGCCTTTAGTTTTACAACTCCGAATTTTTCGCATACATTTCTTCCCTTTGGCGGCTATAGTTGGTCAATATCAAGAAAACATGACTACCAGAATTCAAAGTTATTGGTTGGAATATGATTCACGTTAATTGAGCATTTAAGTTTTGAAGAGATAGAAATATCTTGGAAGTGTTTAGTGAAGTACTTTTGCTCTTATTTTGTTATGGTATGATCTAGCTTGAAAGTACGGCACTCATCTTCCTTGCACAGGCTACTTGTGAACTGGCATATTTTAATGAAAAGAAAGGTCGTCTATGTTCTTATATTCTCGTGATATTTGGAGTTCTATCAGAACCAAACAAACATTTTTTTTGGGTGGGATTCACAACTTAGGTTTTTATGGACGGGAGGCTGGATTGCTGTTCATGTTTAAACATGAGAATAATTATATGCTATTTTATGTATCGTATACACATAGTTTTCATGTTATGTTGTACCAGATAATACTATCAATAGGACTTAGTTCTCTTGTAATATTTCATTTCATTCCTACATCAATTTATCATCAAGACCAAGGAGATGCGTGCTTTAAATCTTTTCGAAGGTTGTGATCGCAGTGTTTACGTAATTTCAGATCTGTTGCCGCATTGCTTAGCACCACGGATTGTTTGTCTCCAAAACAAAGGAGATGGCCAGAAGATATCGCTTGGCATCCTGATGGAGATAGTTTATTTGCTGTTTACACTGCTGATGGTGGTGATGCACAGATATCTATTTTAGATCTCAATTCGTCGAAAGTAAGGATACCTTCATTTACTTTGCTTGACCTGTATCTTCATTTTTTTAATCGAAATTTGGATACTACCTGCTTTATTAGTTTTATATGGTATTTGTTTAGATGACTGCAAGCGAAGATGAATCAGAATTTTGTGCGATTATTTGCGGATGATATATTCCATGAGTAATACTGTTGACATGCTGGTGGTTAAAAGCTTTTACAATTCAGATTTCCCCTAAAATAATATGCATACGTTTGTGGAGATGCACTGTTTTTTTATTGTCATAATTAGTGAAATAATGAGAGTAATTTTTGTAGTATTTAGCTTTTTTCTTGAATCAAGATTGATAGTTTTTGAAAGCTACGAGAAGTCTAGTGAAATGTATTGATCCTTGGGCAGAATAAATTTTGGTTCATCTGATAAATTGAGATGCTTAATTAATTTAATATTTTTTTACTAACCTTCAGCATATTGATATTACATGAATTGTCTTTTTGACAGAAAAGAGTCACTTTCTTACCGGAAAGGCCTCATATTAAGGGGATCATAAACAGCATACAGTTCATGCCCATGGCGGATCTCTGTTTCGCTACCGGTGGGAGTGATCATGCTGTGATACTCTGGCAGGGGAAAGACGGCGGAAACGAATGGAAACCAAAGGCCGTGCATAGGAACCTGCATTCCTCTGCTGTGATGGGGGTTGCTGGGTTGCAGCACAAGAAGCTTATACTGTCTGTGGGTGTGGACAAAAGAGTCCTCGGGTTTGACTTGATAGCAAACAGAGCCGATTTCAAGCATCAGATTGAATGCAAATGCCTGAGTGTTCTCCCAAATCCATCTGATTTCAACCTATTTATGGTGCAAACGGGGTAAGTGAGATCACAAATTGCATTTCCTTTCCAACATGCTCACAATGAATGCCTAGCGCCTAACAATCAATCACCAGATATGGGATCACCAGAATGTTTGATAAATTCTTGGGTTTTCTCATAATCTCAAGCTCTTGCCTTGTGTTGATTTTTCACATTGATTCAGTCAGTCTCTGTGTCTTCCGTGGTATTTCTGCTGGGACATGAAACTGCCTTTCCGACATTGCTGGAGTACTGTCGACAGACAACTATGCATCTTAGGGACTAACGATTCCACTCGTTCTACTTTTACCCTTCTTGATGGGAATGATGACTGGCTTTCATCCATTTATTTTTCCCAGGTCTCCTGGGAAGCAGCTTCGGCTGTTTGACATCAGACAGCGGCAGAAAGAGCTCCATTCGTTCGGGTGGAAGCAGGAGAGCAGCGAGTCGCAGTCGGCCCTGATAAACCAGGACTGGTCTCCTGACGGCCTGTACTTAACCTCTGGCTCGGCGGACCCCCGGATCCACATCTTTGACATCCGGCACAACTCGCGTGGCCCTTCCCAGTCAGTGCAGGCCCACCAGAAGCGGGTTTTCAAGGCCGCGTGGCACCAGTCGGCCCCCTGGCTCATCTCCATCTCCTCGGACCTCAACATCGGACTGCACAGGATCTTGTAGACAACCAACCCCTTACCTCTTTCTCTCCTTTCGGTTGACCGTCTCCACCCACCCCGCAGCGCCAGCCCGCCCATTTCTGCGTACATACCCGCGCATCCATACGCCACCCTCTAGGAGAAGGTTGAAAGGATAGTTTCACTCTCTTCCTTTCGTCTCCTCTGATCTCTGATGGGCCGTGGTTCCTTCCTCAGAATGCCGTGGGGTTTTGAGGCTGCACAGGGCACAATTTTGTAACCATAAAAAATGACTGAAGAGGGTTCCTTATCCATGATGTCATATGAGAGTGTCTTCGACTCAATTTTGTTGAGACGCCGCTTACCGCCGCCGCGGGAGAGCGAGCGAGGCAGCTGCGCAGATCTACAACATTAGAGCGGCTGCGATTATTGTCAACCCAAAGGTGGCTGCGACACCGGCTGTTCCGAGGCTGGTAGAAGGTGCCACCCCGAGCACTCCGTGGACTGAACCAGAAAGTCCAGGAGCGGCGGACCTCGGAAGGTTGGCATCAGTTGTGGGAGGTGTTGGTGCCCCAGAGACCGGGGTGGCGGGGTGGCGGGGTGCCTGAAGAGGTGGAGGCCGCGGCCTCTGTTAGAGTCATCTTCTGCAGATGAAATAGCTAGTGCCGGCCGCGGTGAGTTCCGCGGTGGGCGGGCCGGTGCTGTACGTCGCGATGGGGTTGGACGTAGTGCAGTCGTCGTAGTTCGCCCTCGTCACTCGCACGTCGTGGGCAACGGTGTTGAACTTGAAAACTGCACAAGGGCAGGATCAGGGAGCTCATTTCCACTGGTCTAAGGCGAACGATCAGAGATTGAGACAATGGAAGTGAGTACTCCGTTTCTCGAGTAACAAGGTGCAGAGCCCACGCTGAAGGGAACGAAAGAGCGATTGAAGATGTTGCTTACCAAGATAATCACCGACAGCGAATGTCTATCTGGTGGCCCAGTCAGCCTAGTAGCTGGGACTGGATGGGATGCTCCATATCTGGTGTCTCCTACCTCGACTGTGGTCGCGAGCACCCCCGTGGCGGCGTATAGACTACGACGAGGATGAGGAAGGGAAGTGGAGAAGATGAAGAAGAGGTCATCGCTCTAGTGCGAGAATGGACACTTCTCTGTGTGTTCGACAGGCCTCCCCTGCCCACAGGCCTCCCAGCCCTCTCCTCCCCCTGAATCTACACATGCACAGGAGCGCGCAAAGCGTAGAGAAGAAGGGTAGGTGGGAGTTCGTGAGGGCTGGATGAGGAATATATGCTTCTTCGGGGCTGTATTTATTGCCGGACGTGTGATGGAGTCCTCGTTCGACTACGTCGCCCGCAGCAAAGCTTTTCAGCGCAGACCAGTTCCACGGGGAGGAGGTACCCCCCGTGAAAGCGACCGGACTCAATCTCCATCGTGTATCACACCTCTTCTGTTCTACCCACTTCCGGCGCGTGGATTACCAGCTGCCTTTCGGACGAAATGCGGGAGGGAGTCGGCGGAGTGGGTGGACAAAGGCGATGGTTGCTGACCTCGTTTGCTCGGTAATCTTACTTCCTACTTTCACAAGCGACCGACGCCATACCCACCCTTCGAGTGCTTACCTGAATACAGTGACGGAAACACGCATATGTGGCCCTAGTGTAGTCCTTGTGCTCTCTCTATATGTATATCTGTATGTACCTTTATATCTATCTATCTCCTCCCTCTCGCTCTCACTAGCTACAAGAGCATGGGTTCGGACACGAATACGATTAACGATTTGGATTTCGTTGACATGAAGAAAGGTAGGCCATATCGCTTACCTACTGTTCCACTTATTTATCTCTTTATCTGTCGAGATAGATGAATATACCCGGAGGCATTGCTCAATAAAGGGACATGGTTGCGGCGGGAAAGATGATGACACGATGAAACGAACCATACCTTTCTCACCTGCATGGGCTCCCATTTCCGACCTAAACAATCCATAATATTCAGAGCGGAGGCAGGTGACGCCGAGTTGGGTAGGTGCGGTAGCGGTCTACTTCGTGTGGGTCAGAGGAGGTTCGAAAGACAGGTGCAAAGGAGAGCCCGTCGGGACGTTGCCAAAGGAGAGATCAGCTCAGAGCCGTCGAGTTCAACACCAAAGGACCCTTGTGAGGAGGACCCATGAGAAAGCAGGAAGGCACGCCGTTCCACACTGTCGGCGGGCGGGTGGCATCTCGCGGTAGGTAATACACGGGAGAATCGGTTATCAAGGAGTATGGGAGAAACATTTCAGAAGGACGAGCAGTCATCAGTAAGTAAGTGGTGAGGAAACACGGGGTGGTCCAAGGATCTATATTATGGACGGATTACGAGGACTAGGAGGCGATTCTCATTTATTGACGACAAAACCAAACCAAGGTGCATTCTCAACCTGCGCGCGCTTCTCGATCCCGGATGTCTTCTTCTGTCGCAGCCCGATCGCTCCTCGTCTCCCCTCCGCTGATCAATGGAGGATCCTGGCGCAGTGCGTGATGTAAGTGCAGCCGCGCCGGTAGGGATTGGCTCTCTTTGCTCCACTCTTGTTGCAGTTGTAGTAGGAATAGCCCCGGTGGTTGCAGGGTATCCTGTTCTTGAACAACGCCTGGTAGCTGATGTATTTAAATCTGGCCTGCAGCCCTCGCCGACTGACCTCGGAATCCATGGCCATCTCCGCGTCCTCGTCAATGCACTTGCCGATGACGCCATTGCACTCGCCGGATGGCTCCAGCAAACTATCCTTGCCGTCGGACGCAATTTTGAAGAGGCCTGCCGTCTCTAGAGTGGGGACGGACGCAGCCCCCGACAACTCCGCCACCAGCACCGCCAGTAGGAAGAGCAGCGAGGCAAAGCGAGGTGCCATGAGGAGGGGCGGGGGTAACAGAAGGATGTAGATGGCAATGGAGAGACGAGAGGCGTGATGGTGGTCTCCTTCCCAAGGGGAAACGCACAGGTTAACCCAGTTGTTGTTGCAAATTCTCTCTCTCCCTCTCGCTCCTCAGCCAATGAATGCCCTGCGTATGCGCTTGCTAAAATGCTGACTGGGGTTTCGTCCCTTGCCGTCCCGATGGAGGGAGGGAGGGAGGGAGGGAGCCGGCGGTGAAGGGACGAGGGAAGAAAGAAGGGGTGGGGATGGTGAAAAGGTTAGTTCCTGGGCTGTTTAACGGCTTTGGCGGGGGATTGCGGTGGTCACCGCCGTCGAAGGGAACCTGTCCATTTTCGGGCAGGGGCCGAGATGGCTGTCGGTTTGTCTCGCCCAACGATCGGAACACCTCCCACCGCCCAGCCGGCGGCGGGGGTAACCGCCTCGAGGCCCCTGTTTCGCCGGGCCATCCATTTCGTGCACGCTCTCTCTCCGCGGGCGAACTCGTCGGGAGCGGGGAGCTGGGTCAACGGCCAATGGAGCCCGGACACCATAGAAGGAGAGATAGGGCCTTTCGGGTCTCTCGGGTCTCTCGGGATGGTGAGAAGTACCCGTGCGAGGCTTCTCAACAAAATACGGAAAGGACAAATGTGGAAAATCCTGGGTGAAAAAGCAAAACATAAAATCTCCGGGCGTAAAAGTGCAGAAAAGTCACACGTTTTTTATTCGACTGATACGTATGATTTCTGTGGTTAACAAAAGTTTTCAACAAATGAGATGTATGTATGATTTCAAAAGGGCACATGAGGGAGGGATGGAGAGGCAGAGAGCAAAAGCGAGAGAGAGAGAAGGGGGGGAGGGGAAGAGAGACAGAAGCGGAGAGAGAGAGAGAGAGAGAGAGAGAGAGAACAAGATCAAGAAGAAGAGAGAATAAGGAGAGAGGAGAGAGAGGAAGAGAACCTGCTGAAGTTCCGCCGTGCTGCATCGGAACCTGCTGAACTCCTTGGCTACCGCTTCGAGAAGGGGAGGCAGCTCCTCGTCTACGAGTATGGTAGACCCTCCGAAGTCCTCAACATGCCACGGAAGAAACTGTCAAAACCACAACGGTCAACACCATGTTAGGAAGCCTCACTCCAAATACGCAAGCGTTTATTCAGGAAAATATGGGGCACGATCTCAAGTAACCGTCCATATTACCAGTCTATAAGTATCGAACGAGATAAGATAAAAAAGGAAGGTTTTTTAGAGATCCGGAGTCTGAAGCCGCTCAGCGCTTCTCGAGTGTGGGCACTCTTACTGTTCCGAGAGGCTGTCCTGTTGTTCTCTCTCTCTCTCTCTCTCTCTCTCTCTCTCTCTCTCTCTCTCTCTCTCTTTCGCTTTAGAGTTTCCATTTCACCTTTCCGTTGTCACTGTCCACCAGTCCTATTGAGTTCCAGAGTTCCAGAGTTATCGTGGATCTTAGGTGTCTTTCTCTTCTTACGGAGTCGTCCATGAAGGAGGAATGGTCTGAAGTCGTCACGTTCTTGTCATCAACCATTCTTACTTATTATTCATCATTATTCTATTTCCGCTCCGACCTCTCGTTCTTCTTCTCTCTCCAATATTCATTCCCCTCTTCCGTCCCTCCCCTTTATCGATACCACCACAGTTAACTGAGTAATCGTCCTCCTCTTGGCCACAACAGCACGAGAATAGTCAACAGAACTTAAGGTCCTATCAATTTGGTATTAGAGCCAAACCTTCCGCTCGCAATGGCCCCTCGCCAATCAGATTTACGTGTTGACGGTGTCGAGAAGGATCTCGAAGAGCGTCGTGATCAATTTTGTGGCATTACTGACTTGGAATTGCGAATGGAACATCGGTTTGAGGTCACAGATGGCATCCTTGTAGGGATCCAACTTGCCCTCCAACAGTTGACTTCTTGCTAGTCACATCCTGACATTCCATCTTCGTCCGGCTAACCAGCCTCCGCCTCACCGACGCATGCCCACATGGCGCTAGAGTTTGCGCCAGCCGCATCTCACCTAGGAGCATCGAACCACAGAACGCCCCACAGATCCTTCTGTGGGCATGCGTCGGCTCGAGCTTCCTATCTTCTTCGGCTCAAATTCACGAAGCATTACATTGGTTTCAATGAGCGGAGCGTCATGCTCCTTTCTCTAGTTAGTTGGATCTCCACACTCGCCTGCTCGTCCATTTTGGTTCATCTTCTCATAATTATTGAAGATCATACAACGGAGCACGCCGAATCCTCTGCAGTATCCCGAAACGCCCAAATTAAAGACAAAAAGACTCAAGAAACGACCAATAAGAAAACATCACGAGAATCGACATCGACCAATCACAGCTCACATAACACGCCAAGAAACACATCAGCATCCTCCGCGATAGCAACTACCGTAATGACTATACACAGTAATTGTTCGACAAAACGCTCGCCGTTAATCTAGCAAACTGTCTGTAACTAAAGACACGATCCAACGGCTAGATCAAGCACTTAAACTATTATAAATAAGACTGTAAACTGCATACGAAAGACCATTAATCAAGAGTCAATTCACTTCTTTCTGAAACTTCTTTCTACCTCCTTTCAATAATGACCTACGTAAATAGTTATTTAATCTCCAACAACTTACCTTGGTCATGGATTATCGCAGAGATTTTGAGATTATGTTCGGCTCGGTAATGGACCTCTGGCTGGATGTTCTCAAGATATTTTTTTGAAAGGTTTAAAACCAAAGATTCATGCTGAAATTCACCTGCTTTCTCTGATGAACGTTCATCAAATCATGCAAGTCGCTCACCTTACTAAAGAATGAAATCTTTTCTTCCAACAACGCAACCATCGTCCAGTGCACTCGTCTAGCTTGAGTTCTTTACTTTATCGTGGCAGCTTTCTGTCCACATCTTCAAGACGGCCTGTTGATGCATCAGTACAGCATTCCCCTATTCCTATGGGACAAGCACCTCCCCGACGTCCACTTTGTCTCACCGATACAGAATATCAAGAGAGGTGTTCCAAGGGCCTTTGCTTCGTCTGGAACGAATGCTTTACTCCCGGCCATAAATGGAGGAGGGAGATTCTCATCATTATAGTCTTCGACGACGAGACATTATTACTGGTCAACGAAGACTTGTCGCTTGACTCTTCCACGGAAACATTCGTCACCCCTGCCCCGAAGGATTCTATCGAACTCTCGATGAATTTTGTTCTGAGTTTTCAAAACCCCGGCACCATGAAGTTGCGCAGACAACTTCTACTCAAAGATATCATCATACTCATTGATTCTTGCCCAACACAATTTTATTTCTTCCGAACTTGTCCAGGAACTGTTTATACCCTTACAGTCAACCCCTCAATTCGGCGTGGTCACCGACACTGGCACCTCAATTTCGGGAAGTGGTCTATGCCCTGGTGGACTGTAAGCCCTTACCATTTTGGAAGATTTTCTCCCTCTACACCTCGGCAACGTGGACTGCATTTTGGATATGCAATGACTGCACACATTGGACAAGGTAGAATCGGATTATCAAAACATGAGCATGAAATTCTTAGTGGATGACACACTGGTCGAATTGAAAGGTGATCCTAGTCTATCCAAGTCTGGTATTTCGCTTGTCTATGGCCCATGAACTCCAACATAACCTTAGGGTCCTCGTCAAACTTCGCAAGTTGGCAACCGGTCTTCCTCCCATTTCGAACAACCCACCGACGTCGTCCTTAATATCAACATCTCTGGCGACCTTCTTGTCTTTCTCCTTTCCACAAGTCTTAAAATGCCACATGGGCTTCCACCTCAACGAGCTGCTGACCATGCCATTAACCTTCTTCCTGACTCGTCCCCAATTTTTATCAGGCAATATCGATATCCCCACATTTAAAAGACCAAAATCGAACGACTTATTACGAAATGTGTCATGAAGACATTATACAGCCCTCCACCAGCTCGTTCTCTAGCCCCGTTCTTCTAATCAAGAAGAAAGATGACAGTTAGCAGTTCTGTGTGGATTACCACGCCTTGAATCAGGTAACAACTCCAAATCACTTCTCGATTCCCACTGTGGATGAACTTTTAGATGAACTGCATGGTGCGATGATTTTTTCCAAATTTGATTTGAAATCCGGATATCACTAGACTCGAATGAAAGAATGTGATATCCAAAGACCGCTTTTCAAATCCCTCATGGTCACTATGAGTTTTGGGTCATGTCTTCTGGATTGTCCAATGCTCCTGCAATGTTGCAGTCACTCATGAATCATATTTTTCATGATTATTTATGCCGTTTTGTGCTTGTATTTTTTGACAATATTCTCATATAGAGCCGAGATATTCCTTCCCATCGACACCATTTACACCAAGTTTTCACCGTGCTACAAGACAATCATCTTCATATCCATAGAAAGAAGTGCTAGTTTGGTGTACCTTCTGTAGAATATCTCGGCCAGATTATTTCCAACGAAGGAGTTGCCATGGATTCTTCCAAAATCACTACTGTCCAACAGTGGCCACAGCCCAAGACAATCAAAGAACTTCGTGGGTTCTTGGGCTTACGGGATACTATCGTCATTTTGTGCAAACTTATGGGTCACTAGCTTGACCCCTCAACAGCTCAAGCACGATGCCTTTCACTGGTCTGATGTCGTTACTTCGGCTTTTAAGCAACTTAAACGCTAATTTTTCTATCCTCTTTGAGTTAGAGGTAGACGCTCCAGGCATTGCGCTGGGTGTTGTTCTTATGTAAAAACGTCACCCAATTGCTTATTTCAATAAGGTATTGGCGGCACATCATTGGTAAAAACCTGTCTATGAACAGGAGTTTAATGGCCATTGTTTTGTCCATCCAAAAATGGCGTTACTTCTTACTGGGAAGGTCGTTTACCATTTACACGGATCAGAGTTTAATATTTTTGCTTGAGGAGCGGCAGGTGGCTCCTGACTTTCAGCTTGGCTGATTAAACTGTTGGGTTATCAATTCATCATTAAATTCAAGCCGGGGTCCGACAACAAGGCTGCTGATGCCCTTTCTCGAATACCTCATTTTGGCTTCCCTCCTCACTTCTTTTTTTCCACGGATCTTATCTTTGAAACAGCCTCTAACAGATCTTCATGGTCATTCACAAGCCCGACAAGTTATACTTGATCTTCAAACACATTCCCATGCTTGGCCTCATTATAGCGGTTCATGGGAACCTCATGTTTTACAAGGATAGGTCATTCATCCCAGTAGAGTCCTCTTTGGTTTTTCTTTTATCCTTCACTAATATCACAACAGCGCCTTGGGTGGACATTCAGGGTTCCTATGCACTTATAAGCGCGTCCATCGTAGTAAGCGAATATAAAATTATGATAAATTTTGTAGTAAGCAATATCAAATATAACAAATCAAATGAAAAGTGTCAAAATAGATTATAGAATCCACTTCATATATTTTTGCCTAATCTTCATGCTATTTTTGAGAAATTTCTGCTTGATTTTCTAACTAGTGTTCTAATTGCAATGAATAGCCTTGAAAAGTTTTCTTTTATGAGTCAGAAATTTGTTAATAAATGTGAGAATTTAGGATAGAATAAAGAGGACATCATTTTCTATGATTTTTATCAAGTTTAAATCAGAATCAAGGACAACACCATTTACTTTGAGCAACACCATTTTTGTCAAGTTTAAATCAAAAGCAAGGATGACACCATTTACTTTCTATTATAAATACAACTTGAAAGGCCTTGGTACTTCAAATTTAGAAAAATGGAAGTCGGTAAAGTAGTCCTCAATTTTATAAGGGTATAACTGTAAATAATAGATATATTCAAAATTGAGGGTGTAAGTTAAATTGTATTGAAAAATAGTGAAATATTTGGATATTGAAATATTTTATAATCGTCAATTTAAAATGTACACAAACAATGTTGTAGCTTTAAAATCTTAGAAATGGTAGGTGATAAAAATCCTCACTTTTATCAGCTTGTATTATAAATATACATCAAATTGTCATGGTACTTAAAATTTGAAAAATGATAATCAAAAAAAATAATCCTTCATTGTTTAAGGGTATAACTATAAACTAAAGTGGGCATATTGAGAAATTTTAAATCATTTTAAGAGAAATGAAGAATCTTAAAAATAATGAGGGGGTTATCATAAACATGTCGTACATGTTTACAAATTGTAAAAGTGTAGTCTTTTTCATATACATCTGCAGTCATACATAAATTTTGAAAATGATGGTACGATCTGGTAATCTTCAGTTTGATAGGGTGTGAATGAGTATATATCTCAACAAGAGTTAGTATATAAATTTAAAGAATTATAGGACAACGAAAAACCTTGTATAACAAAAATATGAGACATGATGGACTGTTCCAAAATATTTAATTATTCCAGCAATTTTAAAGAAACTTAAACTTTATAAGGGTGCAAATTACCCAAACATGAGTAAAATGTTTAGATATTATAAAATGGTCAGCTACTCAACTTTGTAGGGATATGATTTATAATACAAAAGATATGACAATTGAACATTCCAGATTTTGATTATTCTAGAAGATTGTAGTACCCTCAAAATTTATGAGGGTGTAAGTTAAATTGTGACAACAAATATTGAATATTTGAGTAATGTTGTCCTCAATTTATTAGAGGTAATTTAGAATGTCTATAGACATGTTTGTAAATACAAAATTCAAAAACTAATAGTAAACTATAATAATCCTTTCTTTTATAGGATTGTATTATAAATATACATCAAAGGGCCACAGTAATTAAAATTTAAAAAATGGTAGTAATGAAAAATAGTCATTGATTTTACAAGGGTATAACTGAAAAATAGAGTGGGCATATTGAGAAATTTAAAATTATGTTAAAAGAATTGAAGAATCTTAAAGAAAATTGCGGAGTCCATAATATATTCGACATGTTTATAAGTTGTAAAATTGTAGTCTTTTCATAAGAATCTTCAATTTGCATGGGTAATTTAGAATATGCATTAAGAAATATAGGGTGTCAATGACATGATGTGAAAAAAGTTTATAAATGATGGTACAGTATGGAATCTTCATTTTGAAAGGATGCGAATGAACATATATCTAGACAAGTATTGGTACATAAATTTTAAAGAATTGTGGCGTAAAAACATAGTCCTCAATTTGTTAAGGATATCATTAAAAATATTAGACATGATGGGTATTCATAATTTTTCATTATTTTAGCGTATTTTAAGAGTCTTCAAATTTACGAGGGTGTAATTTAAAATGTGCCCCAGACTTAAGTGAAATACTTAGATATTATAAAATAGTTGATTAATCAACGAACATGCGAAATGTCTAAAATAGTACTACGTCATAACAATTCTCATCTTTATAGCGCCGAATATTAAAATATCCCTCGACATCCACGGGCGTACGTGCATGTGTTGACAGCCAGGGGCTCACTTAAAGAGTCGCGTGCCCAACATGGTCGATTTGCACAATCAATATAGTCTGTATAGAAGGGCAACACATATGGTTCAAGCTACTGGATATTTGGTGGGCAGCCACAGCCACAAGCCCAAACCAGGAGATGAATAGGGAGGTTGAGATCCTTCTGGGGCTTCATCATCCTAAACAAGCTGGTTCACTATTCCATACGTCACTAAACAAGCTGGTACAGGCGAGGGAGGGTTTCCTTGCTCAGTGAGCTATAATGTGAAGATCCCCACTCGTTGGTCGGTAGTCGATTCACCTTCTGCCCCTCAGCCCAAACACATCCGGGCCTTGACCAATCAACTCGGCTGCATCCAGTTCGTGACAGGAGAGGAAGATAGGCCCTCGTGTATGGCGAGGGGAAGATTGAAGCCGACCACCTGCCCAACCACTGACAGCCACGACGGCAAGTACTGCCGAACCGCTTCACTCTTCGACAGATGAGAGCTCGAAAAGAGAAGCTTCATCCAATCCCTCGTTCCACAAGGATGCAGCATATGCCAGGGCCGACGCAAGAATGGATGATCCTATTACCATGAAGACGATGGATGTTCATGGGTTTCCTCAATGCCAAAGGCGAAGAACACAAGGCACATGGAGATGTCATGGGCTGAAAAAACAAACGTTAGTGTGTTATACCACCTACTTCTGTCGTAAGAAATGTCCACCTGGATTCCTTCAGAATGCTTGAAGAATGGGGAGGAAAGTCCTCCTTGACTCGCTCAAGTGGCAGTGGTTGACCATCTGTGTAAATCAACGGTTTATTGGCGTTACCAAAGAACTGATGATGAAGTGTGTTCTATATAGAAAATTCAATTTTCTGTCAGAGCCGTACCATATTGGTATCCACGGAAATATAACACGGGGACATTGTAAGAAAAATTGTACAATATATGGTAATCATAGAAGTGAATCCCTCGGTTGTCATTCTGGGCCTAAAGTGACAGTGCCAAAAATAATAATAATAATCAGCAGAAAATGATCATGGAAGAAAGAGCCCTTCAACAATCCAATAAGAACCAATGATCTAAAGAGGAAAAATAGTTGTTATCAGAGGAAAATGTAACTTGTCTAAATAAAAAATAGGCATGACTATTTCTTTCTTAACGATAGCTGGTATCACACCATCAGAACATCTCTTGACAGGAAGGTATTCTTTTTAGACAGCTGAATCGAAAATAACTGGGAGAGTTGTGTAGCTAGAGGGAAAAACCAGTGTAGCACAGTCGACGCTCTGTTCTTCATCAGCAGTGCAGCATTCTGAAACGACAAGGTCCTGCAAACCCAACATAAAATTAGCTTCTTCAGATAGCTAAAAGTAAAAGGCATATCATGCTTCAGAAATCTCCACTGCATGCAAATTTTATGGATTTCAATCCCTAACCTCGGTAGATCTTTGATGACACATATTTTCAAGAGACAAATAACCAACCCCCTGACACACATCAGAAATACATGTTAAAACAGGTGAAGAGGTTTAGCATTCCAGTGCCGCTGGTGAAATAAAAAGAAAAAAGAAGAAAAATTGAACTTACCTCACCAATGGCAGATCCTGAGATCATTGGCCGGGGTATCCACACCCAGTGAGTAAGAGTAGGATTGACCTCCTTCCACCTCTGAGAAAATGTCCTAGCAGCTTCACAAAAATCTAATCCTGAGATAGTTCCATCCCATTTATGCGGTCCAGCCATCGTCCAAACTCTTGATGTTGAGATTGATGCAGCCTCTGGGCTCAACCCAGTACAACAATGAAAATGAGGATACTGGTAGGGGCCTGGTCCTGGACAGGAGCGGACAACAGACGTGTGGAAAGAGAAAAGGGATAGTTGAGGAATAACAGCAGGAAATGTAGCTGAGGCCCGAAGAACCATAGAGTTGGTGGGGACGTTAGAGAGGCTCTCTGCTCTCCCTCAGCTGCAGTTGCAGCTGCCCTAGAATAATACTCCATCCCCCTTCCCCTCTACGACCTAGCGTCCTAATAACTCTTTTCCTGGTGTAGGGAAAAAACCTCATTAAGTCTTTACTTGAAGGGATTGTTTGGTCCCTTCGAGAGGAGGTTCTGGGCCCTTTGGGCCCCTCTTCTAGGCCGATAGAAGTTAGGCTCAATGAGGCCTAGCAGATACTAACTTCAGATCAAATTGCACAAACAGGCAACTCACAATTATTGATGCTAACATATAAAGACAGAGGGCCTACATGAAAATAAAAAACCATGAAGGCAGATCGCAGCCAGATATATTTCCCACAATGTCAACACTGATGACCAAACTACATCCTACAGGCTACTGATACCAATGAAGCAAAGATTGCATAAAGTAATGTCGACCTCATTCATAATGCATGAGTACAATTTCTGCGAAAACTTATACCAACATTAAAAAACTGTTATAAATTTTACGATCGATACAAACGGAAAGATTTACTCTTTCTGCGAAAACTTAATACCAACATAAAAAACCTGTTTTCAAAATGTTGCAATAGATGCTAACAGAAAGATTAAGGGCGTGCATAAGAATAACCAAGTAAGAAAGAAGCCAACTTACTGCAAGATGAATTTTCAGTAACACCAATAGGCAATGAATACGCAATGAATAACCAATGAATAAGTCCGACTTCTCTGTCTCAATTTTCTCAACGTTCGTGCCTTATTTTTCTTTTTTTGGTTGGTTCCTAACTCGATCTAAATTCGGGAAAAATGTTATTTGAAGCATATTTCTTAAAGGACTTCAGACAGACGGGTCTCTCCAGGTTACTAGAGACTTTGATCCTTCTTCTATTCCCATTATTCCGTTATTCCAATTTTTTTCTTGGAATATATGGTAGATGTGTGCTTAATTGTAGAAGAGAGCTTACTTAACAATGCGATTCACTTCAGGAAGGCGCTTGCACCAATCTTCAACCGTGTCAAGATACTCCTGCTTCTTCCGTTCCCCCTTGGGGGGAACCTGCACGACAAAAGCTTAAATGGTTCCTGCTATCCAACAACATAAATATGATAAACCTACAGCGACAGGGATGATCGGTAACACAATGAAATCATTCCTCCCGTGATCAATAGACTGAAAAAACCTATATCTTAATTTAATAAATTATTCAAGTATTATAAATATTATCAGAAAGAACGGAATAATTATTCAGACAATGAAGGTTCAAATAGAAGAGAAGAGACAACTTTGGAGGGAAAAGAAGATGAAATTAAACTCATCATTAAGACCAGAGACCTGTTATCATTTCCCAAGAAATGTGAATTTTGCCCTCAGTCCATTAAAAATCTTCATGAAAGTTGTTGGGGTTACCAAACATAAATCCAAAGCCTTGCACCGGAAAAGTCTGCCGAATTCCATTTAGATTTTAGGAATAAAGATTGATGCTTCCGTATTCATGTGAAGAATATAATCTGAGATTGGAAATTAAAAAATAAGCGTGATTTTACAAATAAAGATCTCGCTAATACAAAGGGACGTTCAAATAAAAATGAAATTAATTTATTCCATAGCCAGATTCATAGGTTGGTTGACTGAATGACGGCATCCGTCAGTCCCCACGTAGTAATAAAACACAGACCTGTAGTGTGGGTGAATATATTCATCTGCCAAGGACTACTCACGTCACAGGGACAGATTTTTCTATTTAAATGTGATGTTAATATTGACAGAAGTCACAGGACGATAAAATAGAAGAGAAGATTGAACGAGGAGACCTCGGCATCACCAGATTCCACCAGTTGGACGCTTGGGGGTGAGACAGGGGAGGAAGTAGCCACAGAGGTCGATTAGCACGTGGCCAGTCACGTAGGGGTCTCCAGCATGAACCTCAGGCCCAGCAGAGGCAGCGCGTGGTCTGGTGAGCAGGACGCGGCGGGGGCGACGATGAGCCGAGATGAGAAGGCGCGAAGACGGAGGACGCTGCCAGATGCCTGGAGGCGGTCGAAGGTCTCCCAGGCGTGGTCAATTCTCTGGGCCCCGACGGCTAGCTCGAGCCTGCCCAGCAAGGCCTTGGAGTCCACGGGGCAAAGGGGAGCTTCTTGCACCCCCACAAAAGGACCACTCGGAGGGCGCTATGGGAGAGGTGGCGGAGTCCGGGCAGGGCTCCACAAGGGAGATGCCGGGAAGAATTCCCCCCAATTTATAGGGGAGTAATTCATAATTTACAGAACTAGTTAGTAGCAGGCCAGAAGAATCTTTACTTTATAGGGGTTATATTATAAATATACCTCGAAAGATGTGGCCGTCAAGAAAAATAGTCCTCAATTTAATTAGGATATAACTGAAAATAGTAGACATGATGATGGCATGCTCCAAAATTTAAAATTAGTTTAGGAGATTTCAGAATCACCAAAATTTATGAGAGTATAATTGACAATGTACCGAGAAACTAGTGAAATATTTAAATATCATAAAATGGCAGCCAACGTAAGAGTCTTCAATTTATAAGGTTGTCTTTTTAATATATATGGGCACGGTTGTAATTGCAAAATTTAAAAACTAGTAGTATGCTAGAAGAATCCCTACTTTTTATAGGGTCGTATTATAAATACACCTCGAAGGACCTTCGTACTTAAAATTTAGAAAATGGCAGTCGAGAAAATAGTCCACAATTTTATAAGGGTATAACTGTAAGTAGTAGACATGATGGCACATTCAAAATTTTGATTATTTCAGAAGATTTTAGAACCCTCAAAAGTTATGAGGGTGTAAGTTAAATTGTACCGAGAAATATTGAAATATTTGGATACTGTAGCCTGAATTTATAAGGGCTAATTTAGAATGTACACAGACATTGCTGTACATGCAAATTCTCAAAAATGGTAGTAGGCGATAAGAATCCCCACTTTCACAGGGATGTATTATAAATATACATCGAATTGCCATGGTACTTAAAATTTAAAAAATGGCAGTCAAGAAAAATAGTCCTCGATTTTATAAGGGTATAACCGAAAAACAGATGGGACAGATTGAGATTTTTTTAATTATTTTAAGAGAATTGAAGAATCTTAAAATTAATGAGGAATTATCAAACTCGAAGAGACAACGCACAAGATCGCCGCATGAGGAGTTGGCCAGCATGTGAGCTCAGATATCCATCGATCACTGTCTGCATTGAGGAAGAGGAGGCGTATTCGTTGAACAGACGTAGACATCGTAAGGACCGGAAACCAAAGACTCCTGTTACTTGTTACGGCTGGCATTGCATCATTTAACTGCCCACACCGTGCACGGTTTAGTGGGAAGTCAATACTATCACCATTGCTGCAACTCTAATGCCAGAACTCATGGCATGAGCAGCTAATGGCCAAGAAAGAGGGAGACAAACCTGCTCGGTCAACCCTTATCTACCTTTCTCTTCGTCACAAAGACAGAAAGGAGGAGATACACAGCAAACAGACCCTCTCGGGGTTTTTCTTTTTTTTTTCTTTTTTTGGACGAAGAACACCGATGAGAGAATCGAGGTCAATGAAAACCGCGGAGATTCTGCTCCGGAAGGAGCCAACTAAAGAAGCAGCAGCTGGTTTCCCCAGCGAATCTCTGAGAAGAATACTCGACCAGCATATTCCAGAGATCTCCGACCGTCCATCCATGCAGCAGAATCCACTGGGTCACCTGCCAAAAGGCGAGGACGGACAAACATGACGAATGGCATCATTCCATCCATGACGAGAAAACACTCAAGTGTTCATCGTTATTTCCAAAAAAGGTAAGGTAGTTCTTCGCAAATCACCTGTTCCAATCGCTGCAATGGCTCTTCTCCAAAAGTGTAGTAGAGAATAAAGGGTCGTTGTGCCTGAAATGCATCTTGATGTTATATAACAAGCGCTTGCTCGAGGCACATCAGAATCGATGCGAGAAACAAAACAGCCGTGAGATGATCAACCTACACTCCCAGAAGGTGACTTTCAGTCAGAGCTGGCCACATCATCAAGCGGCTCTGAACTACTTACTCGGTTATGATGAATCAAGCTTATAATATATGTTAAATGATCAAATGCATTGTTGAAAGGGGAGAAGAGACGTTTCGTTGAGCTGCGTTAGATGGTTGGGGTTGACCGTCGACATACTTTGTTGGTCATTGACTGATGTGTTGACTGTTGACTAGGTAACCAGGTAGATTGCAGACTGGCTCATGGGCTGGGCTTTAATATATAATCACCCTTCTATCCTGTTATGACAACTCCCTGATGCGATGCTTAAAAGAAGAACATTGAACTCTCTACTGAAATCTCGGGTAAAGTCTGTGGGACCCTCCGACAGAAATCTTTGAATCAGCTCTCACTGTCTTCAATGGGCGGGAGAAATAACAGATAATAATCAGAAGAAGACGAAGAGATGACTCGTCTCACAATAATTTGCCCTCTGCATGATGGGACCTGCAGGGGCGAAGATAGATGGGGAAGGAAGGCTGAAAAGGCAGATCAGATGATTACCTACCTGCGAAGCAGCAAGCCACTGAATGATACTCTTAAGCTGTAGGTCTCCTCCGAATGCTCCACAGCCCCAATTTCCGGTAGCAACCCCAGGAGTTTCATCAGGAGCTGAGGACCCAGGAAGTTGACCTATTTTATCGTTTGAATCTGCAACTGAACAATCACTGTTCATTTCACCTTCGGAATGAGCAGATGGGATGGGACTTTCGACCATTGCGTGATCATCATCCAAAGCCTGCAAAAGGGAAACAAAAAGGGAGGCTGAGGCATCACAGAAAGAAAATCTGATGAGTTAATTGCCAAGACAAAATAGTCAGAAACCAAAACCCATCTACTGAACAGCATAGTCATATCATATCACAGTTTCCCGAAGATACAGAGTGATGCATTGACTCCAGGCAACAGTTGAATGTTCTAGACGGCGGTGAATAGTTTGCAAAAAAAAAAAACCACATGAGGAAATTAAAACGAATCTAGCTGCAATGTAATCGTTAAATGCTATAACAGGTTTCTAATATTAAAGAAAGTCAACGACAGATTTCGCTCAAGGCTTCCTTGGAAATTCACCTATATCTGCAAATTATCTTACCGAAAGTGCCAATCAAATATTTACGTATGAGCCAAGTCTTGCTCAATAAAACTCAGGGCCTAGTCATATTGAAAACTGTGGCGCTGAAAAAATAACTACAAGCCTCCTTATATTCCTTCTTTTTTGACCTTTAATGCCATAGGTGGCAAAACCTAAATTTCTTGGCAATGACTGACGCACAAAATCAGCCCAAGTTGATAAGGAAATTATGAAAATTAAATAGTCGAGTTGAACATATTGCATTAGCAAAAACAAGACAACAAAGAGAGATCAAATGGCGAGTTGAGAGGCTTCAATGCATAAAGGGGTTGGATAGAGAAAGCACAAAAGGCATGGATCTTGTTGGATGGAAATGGGCTCACTGTATCATGGCCCATTACTACTTATTTAGGGTTAGATATTAAACCCTAAAGGAATGATCTCTCGTGAGAATCAATAGACTTTCCACTTTTCTACAGATCTCATAGAAACTCACTGTCATCATTTTCACCTTTCTGATTGAAAGAGAACGTTATTAAGTTATTTGTGAACAAGCCACAGGTTAAGGTTATCTTGTCAAACATGCATAAATGTCCTCTTGCAGTCACTGGCAGATTGAACGAGACTCCAGAATATAGGGTGAGTTTCTTAGCACATAAGAAAACTGCAATCTTTTCAAACTTATAGGACGGCCCATTGCAATTGACACAAACGTTTTTCGGACATCAGGAACAAAAATGCCAAATGTGAGTATGCAGAAAGGCCTAGAAATCTATTAATACCACACCTTCAATTCAAGATTACTATCTAACAAGAAATAAAGACTAAATTGGACTCCGGCAACCAGGAGAGAAACTATCAATGGTATCGGAACAAGGACAAAACCATTTCTGCCTGTTGAAATGGAGAAAAAACCTCGTCAAGAAGGACAGAGGGGAGAACGGCGGAAACCACCTCAGGATTCATTCACCTCTAACTCCCATTATATAGGGAGGAACCTTACACAATTTTGCAAAAACACCCTCAGTCTTTTACATAATTTTCTTACGACCTAGAATTTCCAACACTGCCAAGAATGAGACATAGGTGAGCATTAGCCATAGACTGAATACATCTCTGCCCGCTGGAAATTTCGAGAATATTATATTAACATCAAAAGATGAGACAGTTCCTCAGATGCTAGAGGAAAACAGTACCGAAACATTACATACGAATGCTACACCAGAATCAATAGGAGGTCGATTACATAACTAGAATATATGTGAGCATGCACTTTGCGAGAAGGATGGCAGGTTCTCTCTTCTCTGCTTTTGCATTATTAAAATTTAAAAGTTGGGGACATTTATGAGTAAACAGCGTACATTGATAACTTCAGATAGAACACGACGGTTTGAAAACGAGAATGAGAATTCCCTAATGCTTTTTAACAATATCCATAAAAAAACTAAATTTAATCTGATCTGGACGTTGCATGAGACCACAAAATTTATGGTCGCCCATATCTAAGCGGGAACATGGCCGCAGTTTTTGGTCTTCTCTTTTTCCTAGGATAGCATTAATAAAAGTTTAGCATCTAGCTCATCTTCCTTGGTTGGCCTTCTGGTCTGCGTTGGGGCCCTGCCAGATAAAATTTCCAAATGTGGAATAAGTTACTGGTTTGTCTGCCTATAACTATTGACCAGGATCACATTAAGATGAATAACTAATGCTTCTGCATTGAAATTGGGATTGATAGCTTGGTATAATCCCCAGAAGTTAAGCGTTACAGTAAAATGGCAGATGAAGCAGCATAGGGAGGAACAGCTTCGCAGAAGGATGGTAACTATTGACCAGCATCTGAAGCTTTTTTCTTTGAAGCAGAAAAAACCAGCGACCATATTAAAGCATAAAGATCTAAGACAAATTGTCCACATCTTTCTACAGAAATATTGCAATAAAATAAATGCATGAAGAGAATAACCAACAAAGAGAGAAAACATGCTTGATTAACGAATCTTACTGAAATATTGCACTGTACCTGACCATTGGAAGCGCTGATTCTGTGGCCCAATTGACTTTCATAAAATTCACAGTCTTCAAATTGCTTCAGATCGAGCTTATAGTCCGACTGATTTAAAAAACCACAGAATGCCTTGTTTGTTTCTCTGGAAGGATGAACAAGTTTCTAAGAGGAAATAACTTAAACCCATTCAATATCAAAAATTTGCAAGAGAACCACCATGAACAGGGAATTGGTCTGTAACTAGTCATCTGAACATTCTAAAAATACCAAGCAATAGGCATGCATGTAGATTAGAATATACGCACAGAGAAGACAACGAGATTCCTTTAAAAATGCCTACATATATTTTTCCTAGCTGGGGTGTGAAGCAAAAACCAACGTATAAACGAACTCAAGGTTTCACGCAAAAACGGAGCCAATCAAGTAACTTTTCCCAGAAGCTAGAGTGTGTGTCAACAACAATGAGACTCATAAACTATATGAACACTAGTTATAATGAATGATAAACCACACTGAAATGTTCTATCTGCAGGATGGACAACATGGCCGACCTCAAGCACCTTGCCTTCCACAAAGTCAGCGATACCCCAGACCACGTTTATGCTAGGGTATGCCACTCTCAACCCATATCCCTCTCCAAGTCCCATAGCCGAGTATTTCAATTAAGTCATCTTCATCCTCTAGAGATTGTCCACCAATTCCCCTTATGGCGCTTTCTATAGACCCTCAGAACTTTCAGCCATCACCACCAATGCTAGTATTCGGATCGAGCTCAACAGGCAAACTTTTCAATGTACTCCCTAATAAAAGGCAAGGAATATCTTTATCAAGCTAAGTAAATAAGTTGAAAAAGTGAATAAAGAACCAAATAATAATTAAATTACAGTTTCAAAAAAAAAAATCGACAGTTTCATACACATTATGACGAGATGGAACTAGGCATCACAGAAAATGAAAATGGACAACTCATTTAGAAATTGTGAACACATAGCTATATAAGTTCAGATCTGGCTTCACAGTAGACCAACAGAGATATAAAGGCAGATCACAACTAGCTTAAATGGCGTCTCTCCCAGTATGCTATATTAAAAGCCTACTTTTTAAAAATGTGATCACATGTATTCCTAGCAAACAAGGGGGAAAATACTTGAAAGCAACCTCAGCACATACCGTACAATGCATTCAATTTTAAATTCTCTCATCCTCGGATTGCATAATGCATCGATAGCCACAATCTTCCTTTTTCTCCTTCTCAGATAATCAAGTGGCCTCAAGTCCTTATGATCACCCGCAAAACACAATGTGGACGCATAGCTGCCATGTCAGAATTCAGCAAAAGAGATGGAACAAAAGGTTCAAAAGAATTAAGAAATAAAGTGCATAGAAATGTTGATGTTCACAAACAGGAACAAAATAGTTTGCAAAAGAAACTTAACATTTATAGTTAGACATGAAATGAAACAAAAAAACAGACGCTTGAAGCTTTCTATTCATAGAGACACCATATGCAGTTACTGGTGGATTTTGCAATTTTTACGGCACAATAGCGGCAGCATTTAGTGTCTGAGCAAAATTTTAGACAAAAAGGCACAGGGATGGAAGCATATAAGAATTGTTTATGAAATGTTAGTGTAATGACGTCTCTGTTCTTCTTCCTTTACTGGTGGCTGCATATCACAAGAACCTAGGACTTCAGGAGAAAATTCCATACAAGATCTAGACCAAGCAGGAGTTGGTCAATCCAACTGAACAATCATCTCTGGAAATGCTTGTTATCTTCTCTTTTCCATCTAATCTTTGAAACTTTAAAGGAGGAAATTATTTCACCCTTCAGAAATGGCCGAGGGTCCTTTCATTCTGATCAGAATCAGCTGACCATGTAACCCTAGTTTCAACTACTGAACACCTTTATGGCAATCTACCACACACTTCACTCCTTTAGAATAGATAAGGGAAACCAAGGTCGTTGATGATTCAGCATTTTCAAACAGCAGTAGGAGCTGACCGTGTAGAACATGGGGCACTTGATTATACGGCAGACCGGTAGCTTTTAATGGAAAATAGAAGACAGAAGAAATGTTGGCCAACATGGATATTTTGAGCCCATAACCATGTCCCCTAAATGATAGGAACTATTAGCTTTTCAATGTCTGAGCACAATCGAAATTCTAATAACGAAACAGTTAACCAAACCCATGAATAGAGTAAACGAAATGAATATTCTCCAAAACTGAAAAATGTATAGTTGAAGGAACTCAGTTGTGTTGGAGCTGATCTCTTATATGGTTCACTAACCCTGTATAATTTGAAAACCTCTCTGCTCCAATAATTTCTATAGCCTCATTTTTTTTCATGGAAGGCAAGAAAAGCATGCCCGCAATTAGCTCTGGATTGATCATGAAGCGGATCTCTTCCTGCATTATATAGCCAATAAAAAAAAAAAATCAGCATTAAAATGTGCGAAATAATGAGAAAGAACACGACAGGTTAAACTAACAATAATTTCTCAGATTCAGACAAAAAGAATGGACAAAATCAGAATCCCACTTAGATTTCAATAAAAATCTACACTATTTAAACAGGAATAAAAAATAGTTAAATAAATTCTCTCCAAACCAGATACTTCTACAAGCACTGAATGCGGGTATGCTTTAAATCCTAGGAAACTACAAGTCCAATCCTCAAAGTAACATGCAATACAGTCAGCAATGGCATATGACAGATTAGTCGAGATATAACCTTTGATAAAAAGAGATCTAACTACTCCTGCCATCAACCCCAAATCATGAGAAGCCACAACAAAGAATGCCATATTGCGACCAGCTACTACCTAGCCTTCTTTCATTTCACAACAAAGAATGCCATAAACGAAAATCAAGCTACATAAGCCTATTTCATTTATCTTTTACTTTTCCAAAATGGAATTTAAAGAGAAATAAAAATAAGAAAAAGAACCTGTAGACAGCCTCTACTGAGAGCACCCCCTCCTAAACGTTCATTGGCAAAATCAACTTCAAGTGCTTCATAATGCTGATCTTCTATGAAGCCTGAAAGTGAAACCTGATAATGATGATTTTGATAGTCAATCTTGTTAATTGGGAATGCATAGATCAAAAGCTGATGAAGATTCGAAACAGTTTAAAAGGTCACTATAATCAAAACTGGAGCAAGATATTGATAGCCAAGATAGCTCCTTCATGTTACCTTAAAAGAACAGAGATGCATCCCAGATTTTCCCCAGAAATCCACATCAGGGTAGGAAATGACTTGCGGAGAATGCTCCAAAGAAAGAACCTTCCGTTCAAAGGAAACAAAACCAGTGGGTATGCTTGAGCATACACGTTCAAAATAATGAATGAGGAACTTAATTTTTTCTTTTTGGCTCATTTTATCATTAGGATAGAGTCCCCTGCAAAACCAAAAAAGATAAAGCATGATAAAAACAATTTTGGAAATTTTATTCGAATGCTTCTTCAAAATGGTGTAAGATAAATAAGGCAAAAATAATATCATGCACGTACCACAAAATAAGGCAAAAAACATTGAAAAAGAGCATGATATAAACATTATAGATAGAATGTACATCAAGTAGTTTCCAAAAAAAAAGCTAGATATTACACATGGTGGTAGAAAAGGAATATGGGCACCGTAAGGGACAAATTGATTATCGGAAAATAATATGTTTAATGATAATTTCAGTGACAGAAAATGAGGTGGCCGTAATTTTCCGTTCATTCTAGGAGAAAATCTTGCTGACGGGACGACACATGATCAAGCTTGACACTTGCTAGAGGTGCTGTAGTCCTTTTATTGACATTCCAATATGTGTCTAGTCTGTGCAATGTCACCAATTTCATTTTCATGTGGTCTCAATTAATTTCTTTACTTGTTTTATTAGTCGGAAATATGAATCAGCCAAAATGGTAATAATTTTATAGATATAAATAAGCTGATTTTATTCATACTTTTCACACAGACTAAGATTTTCCAGTTAACTGTTATGAGTGATTAGAGGCCAACAATAAACAAAAATGCACATTCCTCAAGATAACCCTTCAGTTCTTCACAAGCCAAATGGCTATTGCATGAAAGCCAGAAGAAGAAATGGAGCACATTCACTTCCATATCGATGAAACATTGGAAACACTGAAGTCTAGAAGAGGAGAGAAGCTGTTCAGTTGTCCAGAATTTTAGATCAATGGTCCTGCCACTGAAACATCAAGACAGCTTCAAAACCAAGACAATTAATAGATACGGTTGATTAAAATATTACCACATTTATTCGAACATAAAAAATGAGTCCAAACATGTGACAATTAATATGGACTTTTTCATGTCGTTCTCTCTGGAATGATAGTAACTGCATCATCATGTTTGAGGAAAATCCTTCTTTACTTATCAGATCATACAGTTTAAACATTAATTATTTGAATACGTTGCAAAAACATTGATTTGAATGGATTAAATTCATTTCCAAGTTAGTTATTCCATAGAGTAAATGTCATTAAAAGGCTGGCTCACTATGACGCTAAAAAATGAGCTGAATTTCACAAACTGATTTTAGAGATACAGAATGATGAATGCCCGATGATCAAATAGCAAAGGCAAAAATCAATATGCACTGATTACTACTTGACCAGGGAAACTGTGTTAGGGCGAACAACTAGAACTAAAAGCCAAAAAGGCAAAATGATATCGGTTGGAGTATTCTCCACGATGTTCACTGTTATCTGCAAGCCAGATGTCCCAGCTAACATGATTTTCTGCTACCAAGTGTCCAATAGCAAGGTTATGTATTTCATGAGCCAACTGGGATGTTTGAATTTGTTTTACATCTATATTTTAAGAAAGTAGAAGAGCGAATGTTTATCAACTACTGATCAAACTGCGATATAGAATGCTAACCATGGTATCTATTCTTGGGTAGTATGTGGACATAAAGGAAGTCTTTTTTATCAACAATTGAGCACTTCGGGTGTTTCCAATGCGTACTTTAATTCATTGTTGCATTACTTATGAAGCCACGTAATGTCTGCTAGAGAATCAAACTAGCAAAATGCATTCAAAAGGATTGAAAGAATATGAAACAAAGATTATATACTTTAAAAAAATGCGAGACAAAAGAAATTTTTGATGAGGATAAAAAAATGTGTAATATGGCAGAAAGTACAACTTGACATTCATTTTAATGCATGGATATATCACACTACAAACTACACGCAAAATGTGTGGGCAACAAACCATTTTAAGCTAAGGTATGACACTTTGCAAAGCAAGGGATGCAAATCTCTGCCATTAAACATCCAGCACGTTACTCCCCAAGTGAGTTATCATTGACATCAACTCCTAACTTTCGGGCAGATTTTTCTAAAGACAGACATATTTGTAGTTGGTTCAGTTCACATTAGTTTCTACAGTCTCATCGTAATCTATAGCAGACATAATAGCTGCTTGCGAGGCAGTTATTTTTGGGGGAGCTTCATAAAAGAATTTTCTTCACCTGTTCTCATATAAAAGTGATGTAAGAATCAAGTATAATCGTGTATGGTTGGAATGTACTGAATTATCTTTTATCTTTAGACTGGCTCAGCTCGGTCCGGTTCATTATTGAACCGGCCTGGTCCGGTGTGGTTCATCTCTGTAACGTGGGTCTGGTATAAAAACCAGACCCTAACATCAATTAACTAAGCGATTTCATTTTTCTCTATACCTCTGTTGCGTCCTCCTAGGTTTTTTTTTTTTTTCACCCATGACACATTTCATCATCTTGTCTGAACATTTGGAAGCACGAAAGAGTAAAGCCCTGTCCTAAATCAGAACATTTAGCTCGAAAAGACTATTACAATTCACATTGCATAAATCTTCTGAAATCCTCCTCATCAATACTGACTATTTCTGTAAAAATAAAATTATGCTCCCAGAGCTGTGAACTCTCACAAGAACTGAAACATTTTAACACCTTATCTACATTCTTTACTTGTTCTGCTGACTTAAACGGTTTTGCCTATGTCGTGTAGTTGTAATAAGTCATAAAAGCCGAAGCTGCATCTGAAGCAGAAAATCAATTAAAGTTCTAACCTACTTATACGCATGCCACTGAACGATCCAGTGGACCAATGTGATTAAGTCCGGTGTAAATTGATCCCTTTGTCTTATTTGCAACCAAGTGACCTACCATCAGCCTTTTTTTGGATGGCACACAGGATATCATCACATAATAGCAAGGGAAAAGGAATGAAACCATCGAACCGCAAGTACAACCAAAATCAATAAATATTAAAATTACACTTCAAAACGGATCCACAATAAGCAAAAAAGTTGCAAGATTTGAAGGTTTTCCATAGCACAACGATTGCCTTCACCTAAATACTATCTTACTAAAGAGTTCCCATCCAAAATGACACACAATATTTTAAGATGCTGACGACTTGTCCTCAAAGATGCATATTACTACTTGATGAGTTCAGTATTGTGAGCCTTGAAAATTATAACCCGACACATAGCATGAATTTGTAATTTTTTCAATATATTCTATTTTTACTCAAACATATATCATGAGTCTCATTTCATCATATTTCATCAGATCCGGGATGTGATATGGTAGTTCTGAAGGATGAACCGGATATGGACAGTTCCAATAAGATTTCATTCTTGCAAAAAAAATCCTTTTTTGGATTTCTTTCATCAATTCTATGGCCGAACAATGGGGAATACACGTTATGCTACGATTTTGAATGTAACGGTATTGTTGCTCTATCACATTTCCAGCAAGAGATGACCCTAAAATTGCTCTCTGAACAAAAGTGTTCTCACATCACCCTAGAAACTTGAATACAAATATTCAAACGAATCTATAGTAGGGAATATCAGTGATTAATATTGCATTCAGCAATCATAATTAAGTAACATACGCAAACAAGCAGTCAAAGTTGATGATCTGAAGATCGCCTGCACTTCTGGGTGGAAAAAGACAGAAAAATGAGCACGCAAGAAGAGCAGCAATCAGCTCCTGAAATTGACAAGAGGATTAGATTGAAATATTCTCAGAACTTTCCAAAAAATGAGCAAAGAAACCAGAAAAGGATGCAATGAGAGTAAATGAAAGAAAGGTAACAAAGAACAGTATAAGAAATTTAATATTTTCAGCACATACATGGAGAATGAAAGCTCGGAACAACAAGTCTTGTTTAAGTCCTCACCAGAGGGATTATATTGTTTTTGTGTATTTTTTGTTGTCTTCAGTTCTCTGCTCAGAACCTAATAAATCAGATTACAAAGGAACATTAAAAGCCAATATTCTACTGATGAATGTGTCCAAAATAATGAATTTTAAAATGTGCTCAAGAGATATATTTCTTAGTTTGATGACCGTGTATGGACTGGAACAGGAATTTTACATAATTCGGAATACATATGCACATTTACTATCAGAAAATTATTTCATAATCTAATTTCTCGAATGCAGGCCCCTTTTTGTCCGGATAGAACAGCAATTAAATGGCGTCAACTTCTCACTTTCATCTTGAACGCAGCTCATGTAAGCAAAAATGGAAAAAAAAGAAAACTATGTGGCAACTATCTCAAAAGAGACAAAGAACTCATGCAGCCAACTGCAGCCATAAAATAGGGATCATCAGTTTGAAAAGATGACTAGTTAACGCAGAACGAAAAGACACCTGACTGAGGAATACGATCCCTGCTTCCTGTGGATAGAGTATCCGGAGCCCAGCAATACCCGAACCAAAAATCCTATCTGAATATCGATAATGGGCTTCCAGCAGAGAAGGCAACCGTAGCAGCAAGCGAGCCAATCCAGGAACCACCTCACCAAACCACATCCTCGAGTCTTCGCGAGATATCAGCTGCAAAAGAAACGAACAAGCTCAAAAGTAAAACAGGACAGTTTGCACACTTCTACTTCCAAATATCAGGAAAGGAAGACCAACGAAGGCAGCGACTCTTCGACAGCACAGGGAGTGTACAGGCAGCAACCTCGTCGAAGAAGACAGTATACCCATCCGCAGCAGTAAAGGCCAATGGTTCTCCAGAAAGGCGAACTGAGTCCCTAAGCTCGATGATGGCGTCGAAGAGGATCTTCCCGCTGTCCACCCTACTAACGTCGGGGCCTAGGGAAAGCGCCTTGAGGGCGTCGACCGCTTTGGGCGGCCAGAAGAGAGAGGACGATCTCAGGGTCAATGGCATCAAGGGGAGGATGGACGCCAGATCCTGCCTGCTCTCCATCTTCCTTGCGTCAACCAACAGAAGGGAGGGATGCGCTCGTAACTATCGCGAGAGAAAGCAAACTTCCTCCCTCCGACCCTCCTCGAATGGCAGAAACTGGAACAGCCTTGCTTATGATTTCACGTCTAGCTGCTGGGTGGGAAATCTACGCAAAAAGAAAATGTACGACTCCAGCGTTCACAACCAAGTCCTAGAGGTTTCGACTAGAATAGCATCTCACTTAAATTTGGTGAAGTTATATAGGGCAAAGTTTCAATCTTTACACACTATTTTCAACTTATTTTGAACCTAAATGATCCAACGACCTAATTTCAAGGGACAAAAAGTCAACGTGCTCCAAACTGCCAACGCAGATCATTCGGTCCCCCAAAGTCTATAGTCTTAAAGTCGATGAGGTTTTAGGAAAAAAAAACCATCTTGGTGGTTCATTCTTGTGAGAATAACTTTGGTCAGAATTTATTGGCGTTTATGTCTGAATTTTAATGTTTACTGGTTGTTCATAGTATGCTGTTATTGTTGCACTAAAGGACGGTTGAAGATCTAAATTATTAGATCTCGTCCAGTTTTTTGTTTTATTCTATTTTTTAGAAAGAAACTCTAAACAAGAAAGTTAGAATTGAGACAAAAGAGGGAGATTATAGAAAGAAAAATTGACTTAATCCTTATGAAAGTTGACCCATGTGTTAACCAAGGTAAGTCAACTTAGTAAACCAACACAGCTATTGTGAGAGTCAAAATTGAAGAGTGAAGTATGTTGTGTCATACAAGAGTTTGTCTCAACCCATGAGTTGACTTAGCAATTGACAAGTCACACTAAGCAAAGAGAAACAAAGATTCTCTAAGATCCAACATGAAATACATCTCAAACCATATTGAGAAGTTGATTGAGCATCTCTAAACATCAGCAATAAATCTTGATCTATTACAAGAACGAAAGAATTAAAGAATCTCCTAATGAGATGTATGTAGAATCATTTGGTCAAGAGGAGGTATTTATCCAAACAAGGTAAACTCTACAAGCAATTCAATTGGTTAACTTAGTAGTTGACTTTGAATATTTTTAACCATTTAAATCTCAATCATCTAAATTTATAAACTCAACTTAGCAGGCTCTAATAGCCAGTCTCAAGACCATTCCCATGACATCTCAATGCCACATCAAATCAATCAAATTAAGTTAAAAATACACAAAGAAAAAGATAAAATTAGTAAGCACATCTTCTCATAAAAAAATATTAAAAGGAAGCTTTGTTCGTATTTTCATAAATAAATATCATTTTAAAATAGTGGATGAAACCAGCTTTTTTTGTATCTTCTGGTTTTTTTTTTTTTTTTTAACTGATTTTGTGTATCATTTCCAACACCTTGACGACGACAACATGTTGTTCAGGTATTTGTGGGGTTTTCTTATGGCAAGCGACAAGCAGTACGGAAAATTAAAATATTGAAATATATATAAATCCAGACTTCTAATAATCTCACAAGCGTAAACATAAATTTTACTAAGTACGTGCCAAAAACTTAGCTCTGAACTCACATCCAAGATGTCTTAAATAGAACGGACAATCTGAAATTAGTGCGCATATATATATATATATATATAGCTATTACAGTATTAGTACTGTTAGGTATTTGGCAGTCTATTTTGTTCAAAAGTAGTATTCAAATCACTACTATTAATTTCAATACCCAACGCCTTCACCCTCTCACTTTCTTCGACCTGTTGATCCAATCCCTGTATGCACTCACTCATTACTCTCCATATGGGCAGCTACTAGATCCTATCATGCCAACGACTGTTGATCAGAACTTGTCTCAAGACAGTAGCATTAATGAGCCAATTTAATGGATGCTTGTTTTTTTCTATTCAATGAAGTTTCATCTCATCTTCTCTATTCAATATTTTCTCATAATTTTCGCATTCTTCATGTTCCATTTTTCTCATTATATATATATATATATATATTTATTTTTGGGGGGGGTGGGGGGGCAAATTCCGGGCAGCTTGGCAGATCCAGGGCGGCAGGTGGAGAAGAAATAATTATTTTTATAAGAAAAAAAGTGTCAAAATTGATTGAAGCACAACTGTTGCGAATAAGTCCCTGCAACTCAAGCTGCAGGCCTCCTGAAATGCCTTATTGATGAGCAGAACAAAAATGTGGGAAAGGATAGACAGAAATCAGAAGCAGAACACTTATGCTGTCGATTCCTTGAGGTAGGCAATGAGGTCAGCGCGTTCCTGGGGCTTCTTCAATCCTGGGAAGACCATCTTTGTACCTGGAATATACTGCAAGGAAGAACCCACCAGTAGCCAATCATTAGGAGACGGGTACTAACTAAGAGGGGAATATATGCCCACTCCACAATCGCTGCTTTCTTGTGGGCAAACACAGTGGTGCATTGCATTGTGACCAGAATAGTTGAATCACTCCGCGACATAATTGGTAGAATCAATCTAATATCAAACTTATTCTACAAAAATAAATAACATGAAGAGACTAATCCAACTGATACCCAACAAACCCTCATTCTGGAAAAATGCTCAGCACCAACTAAGTTAGTGACCACCAACAGCTTTTACGGGTTATTCCTTTTTATTCACCAATATGTTTGTGATACTCGGTCGTCAGCCAATTTTCTGCCCACATGGCATTTTCCGAAACTTTGTCAGACAGATCCTCAGAGCCAGCCAGCTGCAGAATCACTTAGAAAACCTCACCGTTGAACACCAATTTATGAATTGACTTGGGAAGATTGATTGAACCAACGAGCTGGAACTTTGAAACCGTGAAATTATAGCTAGAGCTCACAACGAGGAGATGTAGAGGACAAGAAAGAACCCAAAAGTCAACTTTCCAAAGTTACACAGATTCACACACAACGGATGTGCTGATAGTCAGAAATATAAAGTAAATTGCGCAAAACACAGTGCAGCGTTGACGAAAGAGATGTGCCGGTCCAGCTAATACCTTCTTCGGATTAAGAAGATAATCATATAGCGTTGATTCTTCCCATATCACTCCCTTGTTCTTGTTGGCAGCAGAATATGAGTAACCGGCTGTTGTCCCAGATTGCCTACCGAAAAGGCCGTTCAAGTTTGGCCCTGCAGAAGAACACGAAGAGAACCAGTAATGTATTTAAAACATCACTCAACCTCTTGAGATCAAAGATTAAAAAAAACTGACTATTTATGTTCTCATGATGAATGGCTTAAAAAGTCACTAATGGAAAAGTCACTAAAACCTATATATTTATTTCCCCTCCCACACCCAGGTAGGTGAGCTAGAGAGAGCTAACCCCTCGTCCATCACATCAATTAAGGTGTCCAGTTCAGTTTCCAAATGGGGCCCCTCGGACATTTGAAACTATTGACTCAGTTCATAATAACGGATCAGTAAATCAAATGGTAGATAGCAAGTGGATCGGTTCGCACAATTCTGCCCACTTTTCGCAGATATAAAAATATATAAACGGAAACAAACGTTGAAGTAAGAGTTTTTTTTATCAGATATTTCCCATTTATTCAATCGGAAGTTAAATTAGCATTCATTCCTCTCTCCCGCTTTTCGGTGTTTTAGTAACACAATAAATAGGAAGAGAAAATCCATCTCAAATAAGGGAGATATTGATGGACGCAAGAGAGATAAAAATGGTTTCCTCAAACAGTGAATCGTCAAGAGAATTTGCAAAGCATGGCCGAATGCGATTTCTCCACCCAACAGCGGAATCCTTAGGCATACAACGGATCCGCACCTACGAGATGGCGAGTCGATAAATGATCGAACAGAAGAAACGGAGTGCATCATAATAGGAGAAGAGATGATCCTAGATTTTTTATACGGAGAAATGTCCCCGGAACAAGGAAAGCAAGAAACGTTCGAGATCGAGACCATACCCTGCTTATGTCCGCCTCCCTTGTCCACCGAGTGGCACTGAGCGCATTTCGTCCTGAAGATCTTCTCCCCAGCTTGCGCATTACCTGGAGGTGCTTCTCCGAACGATGCCATCACACCCGGTTGTTCTAGGGTTTCTGAGATGCCAGGAACGTCGGCAAAAGCGGTTGATTCCGATGTGGGGGTGAGGGGGTCACCTCAATTGGGTTAGAGATATATATATATATATAGACGGCCAAGTTACCGTCTTTTGCCTACGATTTACTGGTCGGTCAGGCCATTGTATTCAACGAAGGCGTGTGGCGCATCTTCCTCGGCGGGCTGTTTTCACTCTCTCCTTTCTTCCTCAACTCGTCGCCTCCCTCTCACGAGATGCCCCTCGACTCAAGCTGCCCCAACTTGCCTGGCCGCAGCCTCAACGGGCTACGGGCTCGTCTCGTTCTGTCTCAATGGACAGCACAGTCGTCTCGCCGCCGTCCAAACGGGCAGTAGACTCATCTTACCGCCACCTCAACGGGCAGCACACTCGTCTCGCCACCATCTAAATGGGCCGAGGGCTTGCCTCGCCACTGCCTTATCAGGCTGCGGACTCAACTTGCCCCGTCCTTACTTGCTGCTGTTGTGGTCTCGCCGCTATCTCCCTCATCTCCTCTTCTTCAACGATGTGGCAGAGCTACCACGACGAGAGCCCTGATGGGCACCGCGGCCGCAGGATACAAAGCCAAGGGAACAAGGGCGTGGCAGATTTGAGCGCAGGAAAGTGGGGTCGGCACCTCTTGTATTCTATGAGAGAGAATACAAATTATCTCGAGATGTAGAAAAGTCAGATGAGAATTGAGGTAAGTCAACCTTGACCTCGTTATGACAAGCAGGAGTGAGGCATCACAGCTGGGATCATCAAATCTCGGATATGGGATTTACCCTTTTGTTGATAGTTGTGAAGACCACATCCAGTCTATCTCCCTCCTGCCCATTGAGTGGCCTCTCTCTCTCTCTCTCTCTCTCTCTCTCTCTCTCTCTCTCATTCACTCACCGTCCATTGAGTCCTCTTATTGGATTATTCGTGAGCAGGGGAAGTTGAGCTCGTACTGGTTGTTCCAAGCCCAAAAACGTGAACAGAGTTGATCCCCCTCTTCACCCGCCGACCCAGCAACAGTTTTTCTGATTTCTCCCAAACAAAACAAGCTCCACGTTTCCTCATCATTCTCCTGCAGGCACCTGGCCCACGCCTGGCTCAGAGAAACGCGACCCACCTCTGTTCTGGAGTCTCAAATATAACGAGATAACCTACGTAATCACCAGACCTCCACGGTAACAGCATCCACCAGGCTTGGTTACATAGAGATTGCTACGACAGGGAGTTTCTGGCAGGGATTTTTAGGGGGTTTTAGAGAATTCTGGGACCGATCCAACTGGTGGTTCTATAAAATCCAAGTAGAATGAGTTCTGAGGGGCTACTGTGGATCTGAAGCTTCAAAACTGAGCTCAAGAACATGTTGAACGCAGACTCCTCCATGAGGGGAATACCCAACCAGGATTTCAGTAGGAAGAAATTTTCTGCTTCCATGATTGCTGCTTTCACGTACCTTGGGAATGGAAGTATGCGATCATGAGAGCAAATTATCTTTCCTTCTAACAAGTTTCTGACTAAAGGAAGGTTTTTATTAGCCGATGATTCTGAGAATCCCAGAAAGGGTGATTCGAGAGGGCTCTGGTGGTCCTGGCTCCTCTAAACGGAGTTCAAACACACAGCATACTAGGGAAGAGAGTTGACTTTTTTCTGTGTCAAAAACAGAGATGAACAGGCGACCCTCATGAATACTTAAAGTTGTCTTCTATGCAGAAAAAGAAAACAGCAAGAATATCAAAGATTGCAGCAAACCTTTTATATTATCACTAGTTAACGGCCTTTACATGAATCTTCATCCGAAAACTGATATCGACACAGAGAAGTGCAGAAAAAGAGTCGCCAGCAGCTTCGTTTCACAGCGCTTGTCTATGGGGAACCATGGACCTGCCTGGGAACAATGGTGACCCAGGTGGTGAAACAATGTGAAGACTAGGAAGACAAAACTGACCTATATTCTCAGAGACATCTGCTCCTGGAGACTCATCCTTGATCATAGTGCGGAAAGATATTGAACCCCTTTTTGTAGATGCATCAGAGTTTCTACTCATCATCTCAAGCTGGCTCTGGTTAGTAATGAGAGATGCACCATCGTGGTAGTAGTCATCGAAGGGCAACTCTTCAATGTTGAAGTGCACAACTCGTCGTAAGGCCAGTGCATCTGCAATGGGACAGTAGACTAGAACACATGTGCCCACTGAGACAAAGATCAACAGCATGAGGAAGCCCAAGAAGGTGAGAGCCTCAAAAGTAAAGCTGGCTGGCCTTGGTAGAACAGTAAATCCCAGGAGAATAACTCTCAGGGTAACAAGAAGGATAGCTGAGAATACCAGAATGTAAACTCTCTTTTGCAGTCCTTTGTTAATAGCGAGAGATACTATCTTGGTACCAAAATAAGAAACATGGCCAATCAGGATGATATCATAGAGACCAAGAAGAGCCGTGCTCAACAAAGGGTAAGTGCAGGTACTGCCGTCTTCTGTCAAAGCTGAAGTACTCCAGAAGTAGTTCGCCAGCTTCGGATCATCGTCTCCCTCTTTGTTGAAGAGCTTGGATCCGAAAAAGACCAAGAAAAGTTGCAAAATGAACATGGGAAGACTGAGAAGCAGAGCCCATCTGACAGTTCTCCCATTCCATCGTGGGCTCAGTGGACCTAACTCCCTCTTCTTCAGTGAGGCTTGTAGAAGAAAGAGTAGCATGACATACAAGTTTGGCTCTGCAAGTCCAATGTTCGAGAGGATGTAGTACTTGCAGACGTTCTTCTGCCATGTTGGACTGCTAAAAAGTCTTCCACTCCCTTTCAGAAAACTTAGTCTGACAATCTCCCCAATGCACCACCAAATAGCAATTAGAATGAAAGCAATCCGCGTAACCCAAGGACCATTAAAATACCCGAGTTGGAGAAGCCCTTGCTTCCGGATGTGGTAGCGGAAATAGGCTGAGTAAGAGATGCAAAACAGACCAAGAGCTATGAAGAAGGAGACTAGAATGACCGTCACCACACAGAATGGATCGGCGGCGTGTCTGGTCAGGGGCATCACCCGAAGTGGAGATTCCACGCATGCTCTCTGCTAGCATCGGTGCCAGAATGACCCACCAGTATCTTCCCCAAATCGTTATCTCAGAGCGGAAAGATGGCAATACCCAACTACCTTAAGATTCTGCTAAACCATAAAAGTTCCAAGGCTCTGTTCAACCGCCAAAGACTCTGAAAGATAGGGAAGGTAAGTTGCTTATTGACTAACTCAAACCAGAGTAGAACAAATAGACTCTAGAAAATACTAAACTTGTTTGTGGAAGAATTGCTGATGATGAGAATTGACAAGATAAAATCGAAAAATGAAGCTGTGGATCCCAGGACAGCAGAAGAAATATCAAAGGAGGAAATCGTTTCCATAAACCAACTAAAGCACGTCAATGACAACATTCTCCTAGAATTTAACACCAAAATTGCGCCAGCAGGTGGTTGCATAGAACCTTAAGTTGGACAGAGGAAACGGAAACCATTTACCACGGTGCCAAAAACACATCAACTTCCATATAATTCAGATACACATCGGAAGTATAAATAGAAGGAGTTGATGACACTTGAAAGAGTACATCTTAATATATCCTTGCTTATCCATATCTAATATACATAATGTCGAAATTACTTTAAACTGGAGTATAGCTAACAAAGTCCTGCCAAATGTGTGCCCGTCCCGGAGACTGTACCAATCCCTGTAATAAGTTTGCTTAAATGAAAAATGATGATGATGAAATCTTAAAAAAAACTAAAAGCAGCGGAAGCGACCTACTATGACTACTAATTCTACTACTACTACCATTACTAATTTCTTGCTTCCTGCATCCTTACGGAAAGTATCACAATATACCGTTAAATTCTCGAAAGGTCGCCATGATTGAAGAGCACTAAGTGCGAGGACGATGAACCCATCGGATTGATAGCGAAAATATTTAATAACTCCTTAGATTTCGGTCATGGAAGGAGGAAAAATGCGTTCGCCAAGACATTCCTTTAGGGGGAAAAGTTACAAAAGAGAAGAGTCTGTTCATTCAAGCATGCAATTGAAACACAAGAGGAACGTATTGCATCATTCATACATAAAAGAGATTGATCCCATAAGATTGAGCATGTGGTTCGGAAAAAACCAAAGCCGTGCATCACAATAGAGAGAAGAAGGGAAATACCCAAGGAAAAACCGCACAGCAGTGGTGGGAAGTCAACTGAAACCCGCAGATCTAGGACTGAGGCCCAGTGGAACGGTACTCTCTAACATTCGCGGGGACGAACTCATCCGAATCGAGTGGAATCTACGTGCACCAACTCAGGGCATGATATTCCCGTAGGCGACTTCGACGACAACGATCTGTACGAGTCCACCAAGGAGATCCAGAGCCCGTGTAGGAGGCGAGAGGACGGCGGAGAAGAAGTGGCGGGGAGCAAGGACGCAAGCTAAACGGAGAAATGTTAATGGCGAGGGATACAGATAGATAGAGAGAGAGAGAGAGAGAGAGAGAGAGAGAGAGAGAGAGAGAGAGAGAGAGACTGGGTGGCTGACAGCCTGTCTCCAGCGCTCATCAGGACCAAAGCTGAGGCTCGGAGGATCAGAGTCTAGCTGGGGCCGAAGCTGGCCTCTTCGGTTTGTCGTCTTTCATGAGCCCCACTGGCCCGGTTCTCATAAAGCTCAGACCTGAGCCGGTCTTCTAGGGCCCGGCTGAATAGCCGGTTTAAGATCAACAGAGGTTATTTCTAACTTATCCGGCTTCTCCTTTCAACAGAACAGGCCACAGCTCTAATTTTCACAAAATTTCAAGATAAATTTGTTAACAAGTAATCATCTTTCTTAACCCTAAAAAATTTGCTAATGGCCTCCATCATCGTTGACTTCCACCCCACCTGCAAGTGAAGCCCATTATAATATCATCATGCTCTGTCTCAACTTTCTTAGATTTTGCCTGTCGACTTATCAAATTAATGGGTTACTTTATTTTCTTTTAATTATTAATTAAACTATATCATGAACACAAAAAATTAATAATTTAAAAAAACAAGAGTTCAGATGATTATTTACCCAATGATAGGAACAAAGCTGGTTGTCATTGATATCGAAATAAGGTAATGTCTTCTCTATAATTATAATATTTTAAAAAAAATTAAGGAGAAAAGAGAACAAACACTAAACTTTGATTCTCATAGTACAAAAAAATGAAGATTGCTACTGGTCTTGGGCATTTCCTCATATAGAAAACTTTCAGAAAACTAGGAAAAAATTGGACGAAAAGTTTGTTTGACCAATTACTAATCCTTCATCCCACCTTTGACATCATTCGCTTTGACTCTCGACAAGCGAAATCAGTAGGAGATTTCAACAAGCTGAAGTTACGGGGCCGTAGGTTGCATGCATGGCTACGATTGGTGGGTTGAAACCATGGCTTAGGATTTTACCCCAAAGGTTACACGATCCGATAGCTCTGATTTCTAGTTTTGGAAAGTTCCGTTGACCGGCTGCTATTGTCCAAAGTCGTTGTCGGTCAATTATGACAGTGGCGGCATTTCCCAAGAATATCTCTATGTCAACTACGACTTTATACTGACTCATTTGTCCTCTGTACTATTACGCACAGTCGCATTGTTAATTTGGAATTTACCCACCCGTAAGACTTTTTTTACTCGTATATTCGATGGTCATTAAGAAAATTAGGACCAGCCCGGTGAAATTCCTCCGTCGTCAATGGTAACTCTGTTAGAAGTCAACTGTCGAAAATAATTTTGCACGCAAAATTCTGGCGCCGGAAATTCTGGCCTAAAAACGGGTGAAGAGAGGAAGAGCAGATGAACGGAGTATTCTCCTCTGGAGTCCCCATGGAGCTCGGCTGCGGAAACTGTGCACCCTCCAAATCACAGGTGCCACTCTTCCCCCGCCACGTCGCGCCTCTCAAGTATCCGGCGGGCGTATCCTCTCGCCGGTGGGGGAGGCAGTCGGCAGGTTCTCCAACTCCCGGTAAAGACTCGTTCCCTATGATTTTCGAGAATCGTAGAACATTGTCGGCTTCAACGGTGCCTAGGGCAGCGGCGTCGTCGTCGTCGTCTTCGGCATCTGCCTCCTCTTCCTCCGTCTCCCTGGAGGTTTCCCCTGGATCCACGGTTGTGAGGGAATTCTACGACAGGATCAATCGAAGGGACGTGGCCTCTGTTGGGCCACTTATCTCCGACGACTGCGTGTACGAGGATTTAATCTTCTCCAGTCCGTTCGTCGGACGGAAGGTGGATTGAGCCTTTTCTCTTCTCCTACCTGCGCTTTCTATGGCAATGTCGCTACCGATTTTCGCTCAATCTCTCATGCTTGTGTTTTCCACCTGACACCTCCAAGTAACTTTTTAGTCCATGGTGCAGGCGATTCTGGATTTTTTTAAGAAATTCATGGAATCCGTCAGCTCGGATCTTCAGTTTGTCATAGATGACATATCCAGCGACGATTCTTCAGCAATTGGAGTTACGTGGCACTTGGGTACTTTTAAAACATTTTCTGCCTGGTCGTTCTGTATGCAGAAAGTTGGTGAATACTCTAATGCGCCTATTTTTCTGACAGAGTGGCAAGGCAGGACATTTCCATTCAGCAAGGGATGCAGCTTCTATCGCTTAGAGGTTGTCGACGGCAAGAGGCAGATAGTGTGAGTTATTACACTTTTGCTGAATCTGACTGATCTTTCTGGTAATGTCTGCAGTATTAATGTAGCTATCAAAGTTTTTCTACTTTTCTCTTTTTCTGAATTGAATGGTGCTAAAATAGTGCTAGGGAAAATCATCTTGATAGTCTAAGAATCATGGATCTTTCAACGTTTCTCTTATCGCTACTTGATCTGCATTCAACCTCACACCGAATATTTCTTACTACACAGATCTTGATTCATTGGTAAAGTAACACGACCAAATTAGACCTTCTCTGGTGGGAACAAAAGCATTGTTGAACCAATAGCTCACTGAATTCTTCAATCTAATATAAAGTACTCTAATTATCATTCAATTCGAAAGCCTCTTTCAGTTATAAGTAGTGCTAACCTTATGTCTGCTTCTAATATGTATGCCATCTAATTAATCCATTCCTTTCTTTTTGTTTTGCTCCTTTTTCTTATTTTCTCCCTTTTTTTATCATTTCACAATATCATTGAAAACTTCTTGCTCATGAATAACAATTTGTCATACGCTGTAAGCCAACACTATGTTTTAGAAGCATTTTTTTTACTATAACATTTTTTTTTGTCATCTATTGTCCAATAACGTGTATAGTTATGGGCGAGACCTTGTGGAACCAGCTATCAAACCTGGAGAAATGGCTTTGGTATGTATTTGACTTTCTTTTCTCTCCTTTTTTCTATTCAAAGTGATCTGGCATATGCATTTCTGGAGGCAGAAGTTTGCAAATATATTCATTGATGCTCACCAGCGGACAGTAAATCTGATAGGAAGACTGTAATCCTCGAACAAAACATGCTCTTCCACAAAATGAAAGGAGTCTTTGAAGTGAGGGTTTCATGTTCTAGGATAATGACTAATTTTAGGATTTTCAGTTCAAAATTGGTCATCTGAGGATATTAATGCACTCTGGCATAATCATCTCTTGGTAAAGCTTCTGTCAATATCACTGAAGCTATCACGTAACATGCACGTTTACCCTGCTGTGAGGATCCGTACATATATTCATCTGAGGATTTTTTTTTCTATCGATAAGCACCAATTGAACATATTAGTTTCCATCTCTCTCTTACCGTTTGTAATTTGGTGATCTGAATTTGATGTCCGTATGTGCATGAGAAGGCCTGGTGGTCATTTCTCTGCTGAATGTGCAGGTTCTAATTAGGGCAGTGACTTCCATACTCCAGCAATTTCCACAGCTTGCAGATCGTTTCTAATGGAAACGAGATGCTTGAGTCTTACCACCCATGAGAAGCTACATTGGACTGGTAACTGTGAGTACCTTTTAAGTACCTTTCTCTGGGTTATTGCCGATTTTTAAATGGAACCGTTCTTTTAACAAAAGAAATGACTATTTATAATCCGTGTGGATATCCATGTCTGTGTGGTTCTTGAGTCCGTTCAATATACACGTAAGATGAATTGTTTAGTTGAACTTACTGGCTTTGTCAACTGGTGGGCTTGCCTGTTGAGATATACCTACATATTTCACAGAGGTGTGTTTGAGTAACTCAGTGCTTAGTTTTGTTGATGGTCATGAAACATAGATATGAAGACATTCAGGATACCACATAAATTACCTTTTGGATATTCTTGGCTTAGAATTCCAGTGCCTTGTCATCTGTGATGGGCTTCTTGACAAAGTTTCTGTCACATTGGAATTTCATCGAGATAAAGTGAGCATATTATGTATGTGATGTACATTCTCGTATGTCATACTTCTTGATGAATTCTAGTACTATAGAAAGATCTAATAGGGTTGGCGAGTTGGAGGCATAGATAGAGTTGAACTTTTGAAAGAGTGAAGGTAACCAGGTAATTGTTCATTGCGTTTGCAGTGTGTTCGTGTTGTGTATCTCTGGTAATTGTTACTTTTATTTAAGAAATATTACAGGTTAATTGATTTCCTAATCAGATCTGATTGTTTGTGGGGTGGGCCTAAAACTACGTTTTTTTTTCTATTTAAATATGAAACTATTGTGGAAATGAGACATTTTCTCTGTGGTTAACATTTTGGTTCCATTTTTCTCGATCATTTCAGGGATTCCACTACGTCACTGGTCCGTTGGCTCCCCATTACGAAGCTTGTTAATAATATTAAATACAAACATTCGGGAAACCCTTTGCAAAAACGAAGAAATGACAAGCAAATGGGCCAAGTTATGGATTATTGATGTAGATAGCATGGACATTTTTTTCATATTTAATCGACGAAGATTTGTGGTGAAGAAATATAGTCAACAAGTGATGAAGTAGAATAATACTAACGAAGAAAGACAACTCTCTCTCTCTCTCTCTCTCTCTCATGTATATATATATATATACATGATTGAGAATTATAGTCAGCAAGTCTAAAGAAACATTTCATTTCATTTCATTTACGCAAGTATACTTCCAATTTGACGTTGAGTTACTCATGAAATCCAGAATTTCTATCACAGACGTATCCAGCATCTCTCATGTGATCGGTCAACCGTCCCAACCATCTGTAAATCTCATCTGCACATCCATTGTCCCTGTCTTCCACCACAAATGGGTGGAACCCATCCCCAAGACTCACCCAGGCACATCCGGGCGCCTTCCTCAGCCCCAAATCCCTCATCATTACTCTCACTCTAGCAAGCTCTTCCCATCGGCCCGCGCACGCATACATGTTGGCAGCCAGAACATAGTGTCCCGGATTGTCCGTCTTCGTCTTCAAAAGCCCATCGGCCGCCCTCTCCCCGATCTCTGTGTTCCGCCAAACTTGGCACGCCCCGAGAAGCGCCGCCCACATCACAGCAGTCGGCTCGACCGGCATCGTACTCATGATCACCTCTGACCTCTCTACCATGCCCGCGCGCCCATAGAGATCCACCATGCAAGAATAGTGTTCTAGCTTTGGGGTGATCCCATGACAGGAGGCCATGGCGCCGAAGAGCATCTGGCCCTCGATCACGAGCCCCGCATGGCTACAAGCCGAGAGCACCGCCACCAATGCGACACTGTCGGGCTTGATCCCCCGGTCGATCATCTCGTCAAAGAGCTTCAATGCGGTGAGCCCATCTCCCTGCATTCCATAGCCGGCGATCATCGAAGTGTAGGAAACCTCGTCTCTGTCCTTCATCAGGTTGAAGACCTTCCTGGCAACTGAGATCCTGCCGGACTTGCAGTACATGTCGATCAGGGAATTCCACAGCAGACGGCGTTCCTCGAACTCGTGTTTCTTTGTGATGTAGCAGTGCAGTTCCTTCCCGTGCCGAAGATCGGCCACACGGCCGAAGAGGGAGAGGATCGCCACAATCGTCACGTAGTTTGGTTGGAGACCCGACAACACCATGTCCCGGAAGAGCTGCGAGGTCTGCTCCAACCAATTGAGTGCTGCAAACCCAGAGATCATGCAATTCCAAGAGACCAGATTCTGGGTCGTCGCCTTCTCGAACAGGATCTCTGCAAAAGGGGTCTTCTTGCACCTCAAGTACATGGTGATCAGAGAATTCCGGACGGTTTCTATCTCGTGGAAGAGGTGCCGCACCGTCAACCCATGGACCTCCTTCCCAGACCTCAAGAACCCTAATTGAGAGCAGGCGTTCAGGGCGACGACCGCCGTCACAAAATCCAAGGATGACCCGGATCTCTTCAGCAGAGATATCAACGCAAGCGCCTCCAGGGAGTTGCCCCTTTTCAAGTGACCCCCGGCAATTGTATTCCAAGTCACCACATTTAGCTCCTTCTCATCGACCCTCATTCTTTCAAAGAGCTCGAACGCTTCATCCCAATTCCCCCTAGAAGTATATGCCGAGATTATGCCGTTCCAAGAGACCGCGTCTCTCTGCGGCATTTCTTCGAACAGCTTCCGCGCAGCGATCAAATCCCCACACTTGCCGTACATGGAAACCAGGGCATTGCAGACGTAGAGATTCCATCCGAGGACTCCGCCAATAACTCGCTCGTGAACCTTCCTTCCCTTGCTCAGGTCCTTCATCTCCCCGCAGGCCTTGAGAACGGAAGGGTAGGTGAAGTGGTCCACCGCGACCCCTCTCTCCACCATGGCCTCATATGCAGAGAAGGCGAGCTCCGGAGATCCAGCTCGAACATAACCAGAGATGAGGATGTTCCAGGACAAGCAGAGCGTGGAGATGGAGCACTCGACGACCGCACGGGCCTCCTCGAATGCTCCGCAGCAACTGTAGAAGGAGACCAGACGGGGGACCAGAGAAGGGTCCTCCTGAAACCCGAGGGAGAAGAGGTGGCCATGGAGCTGCCTTCCCTGGGGTAGAGCTCCAAGGGAGGAGGAGCACGAGAGAAGAGAGCAAATGGGGAGGAGTAAGAGGAAGGAAGGAGGAGAGTGAAGGCGGAGGGAGGAGTACGCAACGAAGGAATCCCACAGGAGGGATTGACTAGTGAGGCTGCTGATAGATTGGAGAAGGGAAGACAACGGGTGGTGACTAATTGGAGCAGAAGCTGCAGAAGAGGAAGATACGGTTCCACATGCTCTTCCGAAGGAGGCTCCTGCTAGGAGGATTGAAGAGCGCATGAAACCCTCGAGAGAGAGAGAGAGCAAGAAAAAAAGAACGAAGGCTACAGTGTGATCGGAAGCTGGGTTTGAATCTCCCTCCCTCCCTCCCTCCCTCCCTCCCTTTCTCTCTCCTCTCTCACCCTCTTCTCTCCCTCTCTCCAGGAACTTGCAATCTGCCTGCTCTTTCTTTCCAGTGTCTCCGTTTCAGTTTGCGAAGTTCCTGAATTCACTCCCGCAATATTTATTCTCCAGAGAACCCCAATTAATATTTTTTTTTGTCCTTTAATCCTTTCGACAATATTTAATTACATGAAAAGAAACCATTCCTGGCGGTGCCCACCGCCGCTCCTCATCTGGCGCAAAATATATATATAAAAACATCCTCACTAATCGTAGTTTCTCTGCCAATTCTGATGAACTATGAGTCCTTGTCTCTTAATCTGTTCAATAAGATATTCTGTGAAATGAAAAGAAAAAAAACCAGCATTGGCAGTGCCCCACCGTGGCTCAAAGCATCTAATCATCTGTTAAGAGCAACCAATCTCCCTGGCTCTTGAAAAGGCTGACCCAGGAAGAAGCAAGCACATTGCCCACCCATTATATGCGTCAAAAAGCATAAAACTTGTGTGAGAGGAATAGCGAGAAGGACCATGCATGAAACTTGTAAGGAACATGTGAGACGATTCTATCTCCAAACAGTAAAGGAAGAACGAAGGCTTGCACGACTTGATGTGACAACATCTCCTCCCACCAATTCGGTGTGACATTTCAAGGAAGATAGAAGACTAATTTAGAGAACAGGAGATCTTTCATGTTACGAGAGTTATGGACATCTCTATAATTTCCATCTCTATAGTATTCCGTTTTCTGTGGGCAACAAACTCAAGAATGGTCTATTTTAGAACGATGAATGGCGGGTTGTGGTACAATCTCCCTGTCCCCATCAGAGATGGCCAAATGAAAAAAACCCTTTAACCAGTCCAAATCGAGTTGGCCAAATCTGGAAAGTTAGCTTTGGTAAGTCCATTTTTCATGGTCCTGCGTGCCAAATGTTGAGATGAAAACACACAAAGATATGCCCAATTTAGCATGATGATTATTCACTATTATCTTGGGTAGTTTCGAGTACTGCAAAAGTTTAGCTCATAAGCATGTTCCTTTGCAGCCACAGCCACAGCCACAGTCGCAGTCTGGCCCGAATTCAAGATGTCCAAAAAGCTCTCTACTTCAAACAGGAGATTAATCTGGTAATTACACTTCTCCCCCTTTGATGGAATCATCACCTGTTTTACCCAATTGTCAGAAACATCATTGTGGGTCGACGGAAGCTGTATTCTATCTACTCTACCATCCCATTGTCAACCAAAGCTTGGCATTCAGACCTTACCTCTTCTTCATGGTTATCTCTGCTTGTCACGCCAAAATATCATGACTGTACTAAAAGAGATAATATTACATGTACAAAACTAGCAAATAAGGATATCATACCTGTCCATTAAAAAAAGCACGATCTAGACAAAGGCAGGTTTCATTTCTGTACATTTAAGCTCGAACTCAAATGCAAGACCACCGACCTTAGATCAACTATGGCATGTCATCGTTTTCCTTTGCTTTCCTGCTCAAATCTGAATACTGACCTCCCATCAGCAGCAATGTTTCCTCCCATAGACCCGATCCGGAGTCTATCATCCCAGTGCCAATTAGATCAGAGCTGCAAGCGGCAACAATCCAATAATCGGATTCAATTTCCTCTCTCAACTGATCCACCTGCCAGCCTGCGTAGCCAACAAAGAATCGGAAATCCTGCGGTTGGAATATTCCTCTCTTGACAAGCCCTGCAGCCTCATCTAGGCTGTTCCGAGTGCCAAAGCAGATGCCAGGGACCACCTGTTCGAAGTTTGAAGCTGGAGAACTCTCCCCTGCCTTTAATAAGAACATGCTGGCGTCAAGTGGCCCACCAAAATGGAGGGGGCAATCAGCAAATGTGGTCGCTAGGTCGGGGTTGGTGGGCTTCATATGCTTGATCCTCTTGTGAAGTGGACGGTTGAGGATGACACCAAAGGGGCCTTCTCTTGGATCCCTGGTTCCAGTCCTGAGTAGCAGAATGACAGTTCTTTCAAAGGTGCGCACTCCATCAAGCTTGTCTGTGGCAATTAGGATGCATCCAGTCTCTGGTACAGGGATTGGATGAGCCCATTTTGAGCCAAGTTTGCCTGATGGGTTCTGAGAGACAACGTCCTTGGATGACACATTGGAATCTCCTCTATGTCCCTGAAAAGGATATATTTTGGGAACATTAGAGCTAAAACTTAACATCAATGTCCATATCTTTGAAGCATCGCCTTCATTATTAAATAACATATTTCAGCCTTTGAGGGAGAAAACATGGGTTAATTTCAAACCATCACAACCATGATGACAAAACAGAGAGATTGCTTAAACGAACGAGGAAATTAATAATAATCGAGCTTCTTTGGATATAATAGATGCCTGAGACCTAAAAAGAATTTGGGAAAGGGCCTCAAAAAGACTGGTCCAAGGAAACAACAACAAGGAGACTTCCAATGTGAAAAAAACAAGTTTCAGTGTAACTTTATTCAATTAGAGACCATGTTTAAGGATAATCCGTATTAACGTAACTTACTTTCTCCTGGGCGACAAGACTTGCCCTGAATGTTCGCCAGTCCAAGTTCAGGTAATGGGACTTTTGGACCAAAGTATCATCCGGTTTGATTCTACCCTCAGAACCTTCGTCAGGAGTAGATGGATCACCACCACCTGCACATCGGAAGGAATTGATAAGCTGGGATCGATTTGATTCTGATATACCCGAGTGAATATCATAATGGAATGACTTGAACAATCATACGATTCGTAAAATAAAGTGAAGGGAAAAATCAAATACAGCAGCATGCATGAAATTTTTTTGGTTCGAAATATGAAGACTTTTTTGGCAATTAAAGAGATGGATGCTCCCATGCAAATATCTAAAAAAATTCAAAAAAGTTTTTGAAGAGACAGGTTTGGCGCATAATTCAGTAAAAGTAGCAAAAAAAAAATTAGTCGTAGGAGAACTAGGAGCTGACAAGTCCCGGAAAGTAAACTTTGCAAAGGAAAGAAGTAATTCGAGGATAATCTTGAACCAACGACAAAGAATTATAACATATAATTTACGACTAATTGATGGATACTCCAGTAAAAAAAAAAGAAGGGAAATTTAACGTGATAAAATATTGACTTCCAAAAATATCATCCATGAGTGTTTAATTTTCGACTGAAAATCTTCAAAAATTTCACTCTAGTAGTCCTCATCTATCCATGGTGGTAACCAAAACCTCCAAAAACCAAACATGTTGCACCCGAGACTCATTAATTTTACGCAAACGGAAAGCAGCCCACTTGAGCTGAATTATAAGAGAAACATGACAAGAAATGTGAGCGAGGCCAGAGAAAGAAAGTCACGTGAAAAGCGGACTAGCTTCGGAAAACGTGAACAGAAAGGAAAACAACTGTTTGCAATTTGCCACTGAGAGAAAGGGGGAGAGGGGGGGGGGGGGTTGCGAGGGGAACCAGAACCATACCGGGAGAATTTTCGCGCCCACTACTCTTCTTACCATTCGCCGACACATCCCCAGAACGGTACCAAAGGGACTTCCCATCCCTCCTACTCGACGCCGGGCTCACTATACGCAGCACACCTCCCCATATTCTTCCCTCCTCGTCACCCGCGCTGAGAGTCCCCCAGCAAGCGCTTCGCCGCTCCACCACTGCCCTCCTCCTCGACCCCCAAGCCGATCCCCTGGCCGCCACCCCAACACCGCCGCCGCTCTTCAGATTAATCGACCAGAGATCCATGGCGATCCGCCCTCGGGAATTCCCCGCCCTTCCGGAAGACGAACTCCACTCGATCGATATCCCTCGGTGCGATCACCGGCGATTTCTCCCGGCGATCGGAGGAAAAACACCAGATAGAGTCGAGCTCCACGTCGGAAAAATGGGGGTTGGGAAGAAAGGGAGTGGAATGCACATACCCCTTAGTGAGATTATTCGCCGAGATGTTGAACATAAAGGACCACATAAATGGCGGAGGAGAAGAAAAGGCGGAGGACACGATCTCCGGGATCGATAGGGAATATGCTCAACAGTAATGGATCCGGTGATCCAGTCCGACGGCTGGGGGATTTTCGAACTAGGCCAAGTTAAGTTTTTGTCTGCTAAAAATGCTCGTCCGTTCCGATTTGTACGCCACTTCACCTCGTCAGAAGGATTCCAGTCACACCCATCTTTCGATCGCTGCGCGTCGGTGTATGGATCTACGACCGGATGCCACGTTACACGTACCGACAAAATGTTTGTTCACGCACGCACCGACATAATGTAATAGCACCGGTGGCTTGACGAGGCCTCCCAAGTCATAAAGTTGTAGCCTCTTTTTCACTAACGTAGTGGTTACCTTATGATCGCTCTCTCTCTCTCTCTCTCCCCCCAGATTTTATTCAATGGCCTTGCGGCATCATGAAAGGAGAAAACTCAATAAATTTTACGGTTGGTTCATCCAAAGTGCAGGAGGAAAATGAGAATAAATAAGATTATAATCAGAGAATAGACTCCCACAACAGATCACTCAGTCGTGTAGTAGACCCAATCTAAGTTACAAGATTAAATGAAACGCAACAAGATTAACAAATTTCAGTATCAAATACAACAAGAATCCAAAACAATATGAAAAATATATCAATATTTCTGTGCTCCCCCCCCCCCCCCCCGAGGTTTGACTGTCACCTTGCCATCGATTTCTCGTGGAAGGCATTATGCGCACAAGAACAAATATGGGCCTTGAATCTGCCTTGGGGGGGCTGCATGCATCCACAGAAGAAACCAAAGAACAGAATATATCTCCCCCCCTCCACCCCGCCAAAGTCTCTTACGAAGAAGAGCAGCATTGGGTCTTCCTGGAGTCGGCCCCAGACTCTGACACATCAATCGTCTTCCCTTCTTTGAAGCTTCCTGCAGAGAAAGGTGTGGGTTCACCAGACGCGAGATTCTTCTTGCTGACCAGTCTGTATATCTCTCCGAGGACTATCTGGAAGGCCTTCTCGACGTTAGTGGCGGCGAGGGCCGATGTCTCGATGAAGGAAAGCCCCTCCTTCTCAGCAAAGCTCTGGGCATCTTCGAGGGTGACTGCACGGAGCTGCTCGAGGTCGGTCTTGTTTCCGATCAGCATGATCACAATGTTGGAGTCGGCGTGATCTCGGAGCTCCTTCAGCCAGCGGCTCACGTTCTCAAATGACGAGGGCTTTGTCACGTCATACACAATGAGGGCCCCAAAGGCTCCCCGGTAGTAAGCACTGGTAATGGCCCTGTATCTCTCCTGACCGGCTGTGTCCCAAATTTGTGCTTTTATAATCTTGCCCTCCACCTGAAATTGCCGGCCAGAACAGCAGAAGACACTGCCTCCTGTTAAAAAGACAGATCCTCGAACACAGCCTCAAAGAAGGAAAGATCAAAAAGAAAGGAATGGTTGAGATATGACATTTAAACCCCACTGAAACTCTACCATAAGTATCACTTGTTTTGCATTCAGATTGGTCAATGATGACACAACTCAACCGGCAACCCTAGAAGGACTACCACAATCACATTGGTCGCTGGCCAGATATGTCAACGTTCTAATTTTAGGGCAACTCAAAGTCTGTTGACCTTTCACTTGCGACCCCGTCAATGGTGAGGACTTTCAACTGGATTGCGCCTATTTTACTTGGTTACTGATACGATCCTCTTTGGAAGGATCGGATCGGATCGGAAGGAAATCAGTGGTGTAGATTCAACAAATCGGACAGAAAAGTGTTGATAGAACTTCAGAATGACGCTTCCATTGAAACACGTCAGAGGGAAAGGAGAGAATGACTGTTCCTCTCCCTTAGTCTGTCACGCCGAGTGCTATTTATTGCCCTCAGACGAACTTGTCTGAGACTTCCGATCTATGGAAGTCTCCTGAAGTTTCTCCCACGTGCTGCACACGTGTCTCCTTCTTCCTCCTTCTATATGTCATTAATGGGGTCGTAACAGTTACCCGATGCAGCACACACAATATCGTATTTCACCATCATTTGGTATATCATCATTGCGGAAACGAGTTTTTCAATGAAGAAAAAATTGATGGCTCCTAATGCACGCATCATTATACAGAATACGCAAATCACAACTCTTTCGCATAGAGAGGTTTCTACTTCACAAATCATAATTTGCAACCTGCTACTAACAATAGACCAAGAAGTAGAAGAAACCTAGGATTTCTAAAGCGGAAGTAGGCAGGATTTTCTAAAATATTCTCACTAGATACAGAAATCGCAACCAAGGCAGTCATCCTTGGTCCATGAGGACTAAATTAAAAAATTAAAGCAAAAAAAATTGGTTCAAGAATATCTCTAATGCGATCTGGTGCTTCACACAAACAGGCAGTCATCCTTGACATAAGCCTATGTAAACACGTTCTCTAATCGGGAGACGCTCGAAATTAAGCCCTTACCCCCACCCCCAACCACCCCACACAAATCCACAGGCAAGCTTTTGCTGAGAAAGTGAATAAAATAGATCCGACGAACGTCAAGAGAAGTTCCCCGAGAAATCCAGAAGCATAAAGAGGCAAAGACAAAAATAACTCTTTGTCCTTCTGATGAAATCCGGAGGTAGTTGTCCTACCAGAACAGAAGACTCGACGAATATCACAACAAAAATGGATCAACAACCGGCATCAGACAAATAGAATACGTTCTCGGACATAATTCAGCGGCGGACATATGAAACGGTTCCACAGATCCGAAGGAACATAAGAACGAAAAGCAGAACTACACAACAAAGAATGACGAAACCTAAAACATCAAATCCAGAAAACTAAAACAGGAGGTAAAATGACATGAGAAGGATATTCGTCATCCATCCGCTAAATCCGCAAGAGAAAATAAAGAAAATAAAAGCGAAGAAAGTGAATCCATCAGCATTCCCCGAAAAACACGCAACCGACCACGCGGTGGATCTAGGGAGGAAAGGGCATCGAAGCTACCGACCTGCACGGTGCGAGTGGCGAACTCCACGCCTATAGTGGATTTGGACTCGAGGGAGAACTCGTTGCGGGTGAAGCGGGATAGCAGATTGGACTTGCCGACTCCGGAATCTCCGATCAGGACGATCTTGAACAGGTAATCGTACTCCTCCTCCAGTCTCCGGGCCATGCCCATCTCTCTCTCTCTCTCTCCCTCCCTCCCTCTCCCTCTCCCTCTCTCTCTATCGGCCCCTTAAAGAAGAACAGCTCAACTCCTCCTACCCCTGTCGGTACACTTTCAAGTGAGTGAACCAGTCGCCAGGAGAGAGGTACTGAAAGCGCCGCGTTGCTAAAACTCATAGAAACCCAAGAAAATAATAAAAATATCAATATTATCATGTTTCTTAGGAAAATTATACGTATACCTTAAATCTCAGGTTCGGGTCTCCATTCTCTAAATAGGGCGGGTTGGGCCTAGAGGCAACCTGATTGGGAGCCGAGCCCAAGGAAGTGGATAAAGGGAACAGCTGAAGAAGATATTTAATTAATCAGTCTTAAATGCAATGAAATTAGGAACCCCATTTATTCCTTGATGTTTTTAGTTTGAATCGAAATATTAATTGATTCTACGTTTATGTAAAAAAATTCTTGGGAAGAAATCTTAAGCTATTTTTGGCAAAACTTGATGAAATTGTGCTAAAAATATCATTGATCCTCAAGAGAGATAAATATAAATTTTTATAATTGCCAAAAATATTTTCATCTTTAAATATAAATTGCGCTAATAGATTTAGGTGCAACAGGCGGAGTCGGCCAATTCTTTTATCCAGCCACTAGGGAGTTCGTTCTCCGTGAGCATTCTCTCTCTACAGTCCAAGATCCAGTTTCGTGTGTCAGGGGAAACCTGGTTCCAGCTACGGTGGGTGGTCCCCACCCGGGGTTCGTAAATACGTGGAAAAATACGATCTTGAATTTTGCGTTGGAAGCCCGACCCTCTTGATAAAACAAACAGCCGCTGGTCTCCGCCTCGGCCGTGCAAAAGCAGACACCCCCCCGGTGTTTTCCGCCCCTCTCTCTGATTCACCCATTTTCTCCACTTTCATGGCGGAGCTCAGGAAGATTCCTGCCTCAGAGGTCGCCTTCCATTCCTCCAAGAAGGACTGCTGGCTGGTTATAGATGGCAAGGTCCCTCCTCACCTTCCCTCTCTCTCTCTCTCTCTCTCTCTCTCTCTCTCCTATAATGGGTTATATTTTATTTTGCCACCCCAATGTCGATAGGTCTACGACGTGACGGAGTTCCTGGAAGATCACCCCGGAGGGGAAGAGGTTCTCGTCTACGCATCAGGTACAGATGTTTGAGTTCTTATCTTCTCTGCCTTTGGATTCGTTCTTCTGCGAGCTTTCGATGGGGCTCAGAAGGCTCCCTTGAGACTCCCCGGTGTTAGGAATCAAGAAGAAGAAATCGGTCTCGTATAGTATTTAGGGCTCTATTAAATCTGTGATGGGAGTAGAAGTATGGCTCGGGAGATTGAGCGGTTTCCTTTTTTTTTTCTTTTTCTTTTTTCCAGAAATGGGATCTTATGGTTTCTGATCGATTTTTCTTAGATCCCTAGTGTCTGGCGTTCATCTTAGGGACAATCCCTTCGACGAAGATTCTGCTCGAGATTATAAAATTTACAAGATTGTTTTGAGATTTTCAGTATGCATTTGTTTGAGTTCTTCCCTTTCCTGATTTGCATATTTCTTTCCCTGCTTAGTAAATAAATCTTGTCAACGAACATTTTTTTAAGGTATCCCCAACATTCACAACGGTGATCTAGTAGAGATTAACAATGCTTGGAATAATTTTCGTCTCAATTTCCATAGGAAGAAATCTATGCAAGCTGAAAGACACTCTGCACTGGTGCAAACATCTGAAATTGGAAACTTCAGTGATTACATCTCACATAATGGAGGAAAATAGGAACACATGAGACAGTCTACTTAAGTTATGAATCAAAAGTTCCAAGGACCTTATACCCTGATGTTAATTTCAAGCTTTTTGGCGATTCCCATTTGCTACAGAATATTCGTGTTCTTTGTACAATAATCCTGGTTCTTCTGTTCTTTCTTCCCCTTTTATTTGGATGCATTGCAATAAAAGGTACTGGAGATGCAACGCAATCCTTTGAGGATGTTGGCCACAGCTCCACAGCAAGGAGCATGATGAGCAGCTACTTGATTGGGGTCCTAGATGGCTATGATGCCGATGCCCAAGCAGCACTGAAAAACAAATCAGCCGCCAGCAGAGGAAGGGAAGCTTCAAGAGCGAATCTGGATCAGGGATGGGAGTCCTTTACTCTGGTGGACTTTCTGCTGCCATTGCTCATCCTTGCTGTGGCTGTTGTGTCCTGGTATATGCTGACCTTCAAGAGTCCTCCTTCTGAAGATTGAACTTGCAGATGGGCATTGTAAAATTTAAATCTATTTTTATGGAATTCTGGGACCAGAGTGCAGTCATTTAAATGTGATATATTTGAAAATTCCATATCGGGTTGGAGGGAGATACACTTGCTAGCACTTTCTGTGTGATCGGTAATCTGATTATGTGCTCTTGCCGCAGCGCCAAAGAAACTTAACACTTACCCAGCATTCTTGTTAGTTGGTGTGTAATGGCTCTTGTGTTCATTTTATTGCTGGAATTGGTCTCATTCTCTCTCTCTCTCTCTCTCTCTCTCTCTCTCTCTCTTTTATATTAGTAAGTTGATATTAATACCAACCATAATGTAAAGACTACTGAGTGAGAATTCAACTTTATTCTAAAACATTCCTTAAAATTCATAATATAATCACAAAAATTACATAAACTTTAGAAAACATCTCAACTTATTCTATAATTCTAAATGTTAAACTTTCTTGTTTAACCATCATAACTTATCAACACGTTTTTATTAAGTGGAACCACAAGTTGGGCTCTAGTGGTTGACTAACATACATCTGTGTGTCACTACCTTTTTCTGTAATCAAAAAGAAATTGTGCATAGCACAAGGTCATATGTGTGGTGTGGGGCCATACCACTCATCTATACTTCTCCCCAAGTGATCCTAGTCGTTTTGTTCATGAGAAAACTCATTGAACACCTGATATCGTAAACATATATGAATCTAAAACTCCTCAAAACTACCAATGTGGGACTAAATAACTCACAAAGCTTGTAGGTAGAAATAATACCAAAAATACTTTTGAGTTAAGAGAAAATAACACATTTGTGTTCACTATTTTAAGGGTAAAATGATAATTTATTTAGCTTTACTTATGTTCTAGGTGATCGATGGAGGTTCGAATATGATCAATACCAAAAACTTATGTTTTCTTCTATTTTAACTCCATAATTTTTATATAGAGAGATGTTCAATGGAAGAGCTGCCAAAGATAGTCATCATATAAAATTGTCACCAATGAAAAATGAACAAGCTATTGTCAAGAATAGGAAGATCCACCTAGGAACTTGTCATAGTCTCTTCAGAGTATTCTGAACATAATAGGAGTTTCTTCCTAGTATGTGAACATGAGGCAGAAGCTGTTTGAGATGTCCTCTTCCTCCATTGATCTCAACTTTGTCAAGTGATAGCTGCTAGAGACCCATCTCTATCAACTTCTGCTCTGTCAGGTGATATCCATTAGAGACACTTCACTGACACCTACCTTTGTCCTTTGGACTTTGTATAGGAATTCAGAGTGTCCACATAGTGCATATATTAGGAGAGATTTTGAGGCCATGGATACTCTTAGGAAACCTTCTAAACACACATAATTTTAGTTATCACTGATGTGACACCAAAACTTTATTTTTCTTATTTAAACTTATTTAAATTTTAAATTAATGAAATTTTACATCAATTTAAAATTTGAAAGTTTTATTTATTCTATTACGATTCATTCAACATGTACATACCTCAATTTCATAGATTGAGAAATTTAAAATTACTTTCACAATAATTGGTAGGTGGAACTTTCTTTTTGCCCAAATTGCCATTTGAGCGGTGTTGATGCCTACCTAATGTCATCACTTGATCTTTTCTATAATTTTTAAAAATATTTTCCTTGTGATATGATATTATACAAAAAAATCATATAAATCATGCACCATAATCTTTTAGTTTAAGAATCATGTAAAATTATATTATTTGAACAAAAGTATATTCTTTGAAAAAAAATTATAATATTTATCTGATATTATTATACATCCTTGTGATTGACCTAAAAGGTTTTTGCTATTTTTAGAGTTGTGATTGAATTAAAATTGACATATTCTTATACAAATACTTCTAAAAAATTTAAAATTAGTATTTTCTAGTTTTTTAAATTTTAAATTTGTGTGAGTTAACATACCAACTCACATCAAGGACCTAAATACCAATATGTTGAATTTTGAAACTTGAGATCAAAATGATGCAAAAATCATGACATGTTTTTGACTACCATGATTCTTGAGACTCATAGAACATGTTAACATCTTTCTACAACTTGAGATATTTTTTTAAAAATATAATATATTTATTCATGAGCAAATGTTACAACATAATTTTTAAGTTAAAAATAAAGTTGATGACATTGACATCAAGAGAAAAATTAGTAACATAATATACAAATGAAGTAAAAACATTATGTCAAGAATTTGATCAATATAAAATTACTGAAATGAGAGACCTAATTAATGTAGAAGAAATATAAAGCGATAAAAACTATAAGTATTTGGACATGCTCAATCATAAATATGATCAAACTAGGATTCATATTCTTGGTAGAAAAATGTTAACTCTAAATGAGGTGATGTCCCTAATAAGGTGAGAGAAAACTCATCAAAGTTTGATGCTTGGATTATAAAATATGTACACAGATTTGTGGCTAGAAATTGTAAGAGTCTAGCTATTAATATCAATAAAATTAAGAATCAGACTTTTGGACTAATAAATGTTTTAAGCCATGACTCTATAGACACCTTATTCCCTTATTGCAAGAAACTAAGGCACAAAGTAGACACATATTACAAATTGCATGACAAACCTCAACATTTAGAATAAGTAAAGAAAAGATGGCAATCAAAAGGTGGTGGTTATCCCCACATTATTGTTGCACAAAAAGAGATAAATATGTCAAACTAAGGGCATTGACCACAAAAAAGTAGTTAAAATTACAGATCGAAGAATCACTATCCTTATGATCTCTATCTTATTCAACTACACTTTTATTTTTATTAAATTAAATACCTTAAAAATTTTAAATCCTAATTATGAAGAATTAACTCATGAGGTATCAAACACATGACCTAGACCTCACACTAATTTATCACTTTTATTCTCCTAGTCTAAGTATTGAAAATTATGACTATGGCTTCCTTAGTCACAAGAAGTAGAATATGAAATATAAATCTATCACCTTTCATTACCCTACATCATGTTCTTCACGTTCTTACACTGATTTAGTAGGCAAGTTCACATTAGACCTAGGTACCATTTCATATGATCTAGATATGTTTATTTTGACAAGAAATTTGGAGGATGATTGAACATCTTAGATATTAGGGTAAATTTTACTACATTGAACTAGCTTGACAATTGTTGAGAAACTTTAGTTTCATCATCAAATACTAGGACACCCATATTTTATTAGTATTAAATCTCTATTTTCATTGAAGTTTAACATTTGAATTTTATTGAATTCAAATTTAATATATGTGGGTTCATAAAACATCAACACACCTAATTTCCTTAAAGCAATATAAAATGTTTAATTTCTTTTTTTCACATTAATAGGGATGTTTGAGGATCTGCTCTCATATTTAGTATTAATGGATTTAGATGATTTGTTATTTTCATTGATAATCATACTAAGATGACTTAGGTCTATTTATCTAAAAAAAATTTGAGTAAGGATTATACTCTTCTTCTCTCATTTAAACTCAATTGGAAGCCTATTTAAAAGTTTAAATTTGATAATTGTAGTGATTATTTTAATCAAATGTTAACATCTTACTTTCAAAACGGGTGAATTCTAGATGAATGATCATGTGTATATATACCTTGACAAAACAAGGTGATTGGACACAAGAATGACTTCCTACTAGAAGTGACTAGAGCACTTCTTCAAAATAAGGTATCACTTTTTTTTAGGGGTGAGGGAGTCATTATGATAGCCCATCTTATAATCATTTACCATAAAAATTCTTGACCTTAAAAATCTAATAGAGATTGTATCATCCTTTTATCCTCAGGTTCTATTGAAAATAAATCTCCCACAAAAAAATTTAAATATATAACTTTTGTTCATATCTATGAACAACATTACATAAGTTGGATCCTAGAGTGTTAAAATTTATATTTATAGAATAGTGTCAAAATGTATTGATGCTATCATCCTCTATTGAGAAAGTTCTTTATTTTTGAGATGTTGGTTTTCATGAAAAAGATGAAGAAATTAGTTTCTTAATCCCTACTTTAGATTCTTTACCAAATTATAATGTAATTCCCATTTGTTCACCTATTGTTAAACCCATTTCTCACTAGGTATTTGAAAAAGGAAGATATGGGGCATATATTCAAGGAAAAATAAATAAATTATGTAATCTATGTAGGTTCAAGAGTTCACTGAGATGATGTAAACATGACATCATGTATCAAAAACTCACTTAATAATGAGAGTTACCTATTCCTCTTAATAGAGGTGTTAGAACATATACAAAAAATATCTTTTGTATCCTATTTCACTTTTGTTGCCTCGTGATCATTTATCATCACCACATAAGACCTTTATCTCTAGGTTGAACTCAAATATTATTCCCACCATTATTTTTGAGGCTTTGGTTACTGAAAGATGAAAACAAAGTATGAATTAAGAGAAAGGTTTTGAAAAGGAAAAAAATACTAGGGATTTGGTGAAAATACTAATGGTAAAAAAAATCTAAGTTATAAATGGGTCTACAAAATAAAATATTTAGCAGATGGATAAATAGAAAGATACAAAACATGGTTGGTTGCTAAATGATATGCATTAGTGAATTTAAATTATCTTTAAAGTTTTTTTGTATAGTAAAAATGAATACTATTATGACTTTTGTTATCATTCATTACTAATTTTGGCTAGAATCTTTAAAAATGACTTCAAAAATATATTTTTACATGGAGCATTAAAATAATAGATTCACATGAAAGTTGCATCAAAATATGGGAATATTTTTTTCACAAATATATTGTGTAAACTAGATAAATTTCTATATAGATTGAATCAATCTCCAAGAGTTTAGTAGATTTATGAAAGTGGTGATCAAGATGGGATGTAAACAATATGCTGATCATACTTTGTTTATTAAGTATTCATTGTCAGGTTGAGTTGTGATCCTAGTCACATATGTTGTTGATATTATTCCGACTAGGAATTTGACAAAATATTTCATGTCTCTATCATCTATGTCAAAAGTGATCACGACCATCATAGGAGAAAAGGCACACCATTGGTAAAAAAAATAATTATGCAATGGGAGATGTCAAGACACACTAGGCATAATAAGTAGGAAGCCACATCACCAAGGAGTAAACCAATGTTTTGAAATGTGCCTTCAAGGAGAGATGTTTGGATATTGACCATCTTGAATTTGGTCCCTCTATAAGGGTTCCTTTTGCATTCTCTCTTTTTCTCTCTCTCCTTTCTCGCTCTTGGACTCTCCATCTATGTGTAACCCCCTCCATCAAAGTGTTATCTTAAGTGAAGTCTTTTCCTTTCATTTGAGTTTGATATATATATATATATATATATTCTCTCTCCTAAATGGAACCCCAATCCAAATGATGATAAGGAAAAGGGATATCTTAGTGAATGTCTAGCAAAAGAGGTTGAAATAAAAACCTTATAAATATTAAAATACTTTCTTAAGATTGAAGTTGACACTGAAAGAATGATATTTTTATTTCTCAATATAAGTGTATCATAGATTTATTACAATAAATTAGAAAAACAACATGTAAATCAGATGATTCTTTGATAGACCCAAACCTCAAACTTGGTGTAAGTGAGGACGACATAGTTGTAGATGAATAGATGTATCAACATGTATAAGAAAAATATCTTACTTGCCTCATACATGTTCAAACATAGTTTATGTAGTTAACGTAATCAATTAGACTACACATAATTCAAAATAGATGTTTGGACGTAGTCTATGACACTATCTTAAAGGAACAATAGAAAAATGGATCTTATTTAAAATAACTGGAGGATTAACATTTAAAAATTATACTAACACAGATGATGCTAGATCTGTTTTAGATAGGAGTTCAATTGTTGAGTATTTCATCTTTCTTCGTAGAGATCTTATTATATGGAGAAGCAAGACAAAATCTATTGTCATAAGGTTGAGTGTAGAAGCAAAGTTTTGCACTATGTCACAAAACAATTTGTGAGATATCATGGGCAATTTTATTTTACTTGAATATTAAAAGAGATAACGTGATCAAAATTTATGGTGACATTAAAATTTACTATTAGTTGCATACAGTTTGATATAAAATGATATAAAATATTGAGAATGATCAACATTTCATTAAAGAAAAAATAGAAAATTGTATGTCTTACATTTTATATGCTTCTATAAGTTGATAAAATTGCAAATGTATTCACCAAAAGTCGTCATAGTATTTTCTTCAATCAACTCATATCCAAGTTTGGAGTTGACAATATATATTCACAAACTTGAAGGGGGGTGTTCAAATATGACGTATTCTTTTCTATTTTTACTTGTCTTTTTTTTTTGTTTTTGTTTATTTTATTATGAATCAAATAGACCTGGTTTGAAACCATTCTATCTCTCTCTCTCTCTCTCTCTCTCTCTCTCTCTCATTTGTATTAGCAACTTAGTATAAGTGCTAGCCCTACTATGAAGATTATTGAGTGTCAATACAATTTTAGGGCTTTTGGCAACTACTTACTACTAGAATTATAAAACCAGGTGAAGCACTAAAAGGGGGACTAAATAGGGTTTTTTTTTATTTTTGTTTATTTTTTAGTTTTAAATTTGGTTGATCTATATGTTGGTAGATGTGTCAACAAATGCATTGCAAGAAAATTTCTTCGGACTCTCTCAATAAGAACACCAATGTTTTTATACTAGTTCATCCTTCATCTAGATACTTTTAATCATAGAAGAAATTAAATCCATTATTCACTTATTCCCCTAAGGAATACATGTTGATATTTACAAGATCAGCCACTCTTCAGAGATTTAACCTCTTTTGTGACAAATACGCCTATTACCACCTCGTAACTTCACCTTATGTACTCCTCTCTCTCCACCTAATGCACTCTTCTATAATATTATTCCAAAATGATAATCATTGTATAACATGGTTAGATTACCACATGATTTGTGTTGACTTTTACCATATGAATACAGATTTAACCTTTTCAAGATGATTCTTTTATTGATAATTTTTAATCTTCAAGAATTTTGAATGTAGAGAATCACCTAATGTTAGAAATTAATACCTTAGATTTTATAATTCGTAATAAGATCAATCTTAAATATTTCTTGAATTGATGTATTAAATATTTGAAGCATATAAATACTTGAATTGATGTATTTAAATATTTCTTTAATGCTCCCTTTTCTTTGTGCTGTCATTTTGAAGTACAAATGAATAGGAGGTAGGGAGAGCGATTGGAGATGAAGAGGAAATCTCTTTATCAATTGAAAGTTATACCAAGCATTTCTTAGTTGGAACAATTTAAAATTACAATTTTATCCTAAGCTTCTATTCCATAATATTATTGCTTGTGAGATACCTAGGGTAGCTTGGTGTATTGTCATTTATCTCATCCTAAGGATTTTCAAAAGCCTATGACTATGGGTCTCACTTTGTGATTACTAACCACTATATGCAATCAGATAATTTTTTTCCTCTATAATGGATAACGTATCTGATGAGGACTGAAGGAGAGCAGACCATCGTGCATGTTGTCATCACCTCATCACTAGTCAATTAAGGGATGATTTTCTTTATTATTATGCATTTGTTTTATCTTCAATAAGTCATTGTAGACTGCTCTTATCGCAAGCATTACAAAGGCTATAATTAACCTCTGACAACCTAGTATTAGTCATTGAAGAAGGTTTTATTCGTACGTTTGAACCTTCATCTTGCTCGATGAGGGAGAGGCTGAGAGAATCACCCTCTACCACCACTTACCACCATAGCTCTGTGAGAGAGAGAAGCTTAGAGAGCCACCATCTATCACCACCATCCGCCATCCACCGCCATTCTCTACTCTTCGCCGCTGCCACCATCTTATGTTTTAGCCACTAAGCCATGCGCTTACTACCATCGCACCACTGATGATGTTCCTCGGCTTACCATTGCCCTTACTTTCCACACTGCTGCTCTACCAGTCCATGCACCCTGTCATTTCGTTGCTTCATTCGCTCCACCCATTGTACCGTCCGACCCGTTTGTGGTCAACACTTTTTCTGGTTCATTGACCCAGTGAACCACCCTTCGAGCTACCAGACACGAACCGTCCCATGAACTACTCCAATCAACAACGAACATTAGTCAACGATCAACATTGATCAAAGGTCATCAGTCAAGGAACCAACTTTGGCATATGTTCTTCGACGAAATAGTCGCCTGCCTTGACCTTGACGTAACGTCAATTTATGAACTTTCTCTTTATGGATGAGCATTTATTCTAGTATGTTGTCCTTGATAGAACACCCAACGCTCTGAAGAATATGATCGATCGAGAGACCTTGCAATTATAGCCATAATTTGTTCTAGAAATTGGGCTCATATCTTTTTTTTTTCTTTTGGGTCTGTATTGAAATTAAGCAAGAAATTAGGTTCCGTCGCTCATCGTACTGTGCGGATTCCAAGTTCTCAGATTTCGTGCTTTGCAGATTTCGGGCTCTTCCCGGCGGGCCCGCGCAAGTCAACCCGCTGATCTATGGTTGGCTATTTCAGCGGGCGTTGGTGAGAGTCTGACGCACAGGGCATCTATAGTGTCGGCTGTCTTTTGTCCTGTTGAGGGAGGACCATGGGGGAGACGCCCGAGAGGAAGAAGATCGTCATCGACACCGACCCAGGGATAGGTGATTTTGCTTCGAACCCCGGCGACTGTCTGCCGTTCGTCGCGCATCTGCGGGGACTCTTCTCCCGTGGCTGTGTTTCCTCGGTTTGGCGATGGACATTGATGGGTTCTATGCTTCCCAGATGACGCCCTGGCGATATTTGTGGCGCTGAATTCGCCAGAGATTGAAGTTGTGGGCCTCACAACCATTTATGGCAACGTCTATACCTCCTTGGCCACGAGGAATGCCCTGCACTTGGTAAGCTCTAGCCAGGATTCGTCTGATACTGTAGGATCTATTTATTACCCTTGGACATTGAAATGTGTGGAATCAGACCACTCCTTCGTTGCCATACAGGCAGGAGAGAGATGCAGCGAATTTTTCGAATTATACGACAGTCACTTCTAATCAACTGTTGGCTTGATCCATCTGATACGTTGCTCTCATTGGTGCATTTATTTTGACGTTTTCTCCAAGGTTCTTTTATTTGTTGCACTGAAATAGTGTCGAACGTCGCAATCTTAAGACAGATGGTCAAGTATTGCCGGCTCTTAAGACAGATATACTGTTTATTCTTATCGAAATGCATTAGGGAACTTCGATTTACACTTTGATCATTCAACAAGCTTTGACCTCCGATTCGAAATCTGCTTTTGTCATTGTTCAAGACCCTATCTCTATGGATTAAGCGGCTCCATTTTCTCCTTTCTATATCTGGATAACTTCTATGCTTGCAAAGTTACTGAAACAATGGTTAAAATACCTTTCCCCTGCATGCATTCTATTAACTCATGTTATCCCATCTGTTAATATTTATGCATTATTATACTTTCCGTTCAGTGGACGACTGTGTTCTTTGGTATCATGCTTGGAGCTGTGGATCACACATATTTCCATCATGATAGTAAAATCTTTCGTGATGCTATTCTTAAGTCTTTTCATTTCGTCAGATTAAACGTCGCTGGCTTAACAGATTGGTTTTATAAAATTAATGTGATGCTTTTCTAGTTTTGCCTGTGAACCAATGGTGCATTTTTAGACAGGGCTAGATACTATGCAGATACAAAATACAGTTGTATTTTTAAGAAAATTCATTATCTCTCTTTGTGCTCCTTTAGTAATACATCTCCAATTGAATTCTAAGGAATCATGGCATGGTAAAACTGAAAATTGAAACCATTTAGTTATTTTCCTATAGAAAGGTCTTGCAGGTGTCCAACATCCATTGCATGGTCTTGAAACCATTGCATGTCAATCATTATATTAAGTCATATGTCTGGGTTTCATCGATTTCTGGAATATATTCTTCTATGCCTGACGTTATTGCCCTTAATCTACCTTTTTAGTTGGAAGTTGCAGGAAGAAATGATATTCCTGTTGCTGAGGGTTCACATGTAACAATCACGGTATGTAGTGTCCTTCTCACTGAGTTTTTTATCCAGCACTCCATTTAATTTAATCATCAATTCCTTCATTGTATGGTATTATACTTCGTCCAGACCTATGATTCTTCTGTTACAGAAAGATCATTTTTTTCCAGAAAGTGCATGATTTTCTGTTTCTTGAATTGGTTGTGGAATAGCACCATGTTGCCTTGCCACAGAATGTTTTCTTATACTGTTCTATTTCTCATAATCATCTGACACATCTTCCTAAAATCTGATATTTCATTGCATGGAAGATCAGTTTTTCTTGCTGCAGTGGCATAACAGATCCAGCACATAGTTTTGACAAATTTTGCATCAGGTACATGCCAGGGTGTGGGAACAGAGTGTTAGTGCTTGGAGTTTGGCATTGTGTAGGATGGTTTCACATGTGAGACCTTCAGTCATGAGATAAAAAAGAAACAAGTAGGGCCTTATCCAATTATCCTTGTAGAAATGACGATAAATTATTTGAACTCATCAAAGAAGTATAGCTTATTATGGCCTGCTATTTCAAGTAAAGTGGAATACTGTTATTGCGGTGTTTGTATTGGCAACTCGGGGGACAAATATATTCATCTTTTTATCGTTTGAATCATAAATTGTCCATTTGGAATTTTTTGTAGACAGGGTTCTATTTCCATATATGAAAAAAAGGTTCTGCATCACTTGCATTGACGAAACTAAACTTGTATTTTAATGAACTGAAAGTTATTCCAGAAATCGATGTTGAAGTTGTTTGTTTCGGATCCTGCTTGACTTCTCAAAATATCATCTCACCATAAAAGTTCATTGCTGTGTTTATATTCTCGGCATGGTTTACATCCTTTTTAGAGATTTAATTGACTGCTTATGAACATAGTGCTGGTTTTAGTATTTCTTACGGTATTTGGTCTTTGTTTTCTGTTGAAGAATGGTACAAAGCTCCGTATTGCTGATTTTGTTCATGGTGCTGATGGGCTTGGAAACCAGAACTTTCCTTCACCACAAGGAGCAAAAATCGACCAGTCTGCTACTGATTTCCTCATTCATCTAGCAAATTTATACCCCGGGGAAATAACTATTCTGGCGCTCGGACCACTGACGAACCTTGCTATGGTCTGTTCTTACTTCTTCTTTTTAACGCTCTTCTACTAATCGATGTGTTTTTTGGGACAGGCTATTCAACAAGATCCTGAATTTCCGAGAAAAATTAGGCAGATTGTTCTTCTTGGTGGTGCATTTTCAGTTAATGGAAATGTCAATCCTGCGGCAGAGGCTAATGTAAGAAAAGTTTAATTTGTAATGGCCTTGGTACTTATTCTTCCTTATGCCATATTATATCGTTTTAATATTGGTACAAATAGATATTTTGTGGAGGTTATAACGTGTGACTATGGCCTATTATTGACTGTTTCGAACTCAATGATCCTGCCTCAAACACAATCTCCTGGATGATCTGTAAGAGAACGTGGATATTTGGGCCTTGGGAGAATATATGTGATGTATCACTGTTAATTAGTTTTTCACTTTTGCTGTCAATGGGCATTGGCCTGCATGAATGCCACATATATATATGTGATGTTTTCTTTTCTGCATTTTCATTAGATGAAATCCGTCATAATTTTTTAAACTTTCCCTGGTCGATTTTGTTAATGATTTCAGGTCTTTGTGCTGAGTGCTCTGTCATAGGGGGTGAAACCCCCAAGGCCATAATCATGAACATGAAGGTGGAAAATAAGACACTTCTTAATTAACATTTGGTCTGGTATTTATGCTAAGCCCATTGTACTGGAGTTGTGTGATTGGCCCAATCTAGTTTGACAACTAATGAAGAAAAGACTGCAATAAAAGAAAAAGGGATGAACACAACTTACTTTGACACTCTACTTCAAGTTGGTGAATCAAAACTTCCCAACTTGGATACAAGATGCTGAAATACACTACTATTCATGCCTTTAGTAAATGTGTTTAGAATTAAAGACAACATATGGTGTGCAAATTAGTCTGTTCTCTAGCGTCTCTTTGATGAATTGTCAATGAATTTCACTGTAGTTGATTTGGTTGTGTTGAACTAGATCTTATGTTATATTGATTGTCGGCTTGTTGCCATTGTAGAGTTTCATTGGACTATCTCTCTTGATCTTTAAGTCTTCTAATATAATCTTCATGCATAATAATTCACAAACATCTTGAGCCATGGTTGAGAATTTTGCTTTTGCACTTGACCTTACTATCACATTTTACTTCTTGCTTTGTCTCGGTATAAGATTTTCACAAGGGAAGGTGCAATATCCTGAAGTGAATGTCATGTCTATTATAAACCTTGCCTAATCAATATCATCGTATGCTTCAAGTACCAATCCTCCATTCCTCTTGAACAGAATATTATTCCCTACCGATTGAAATAATGTAGTACTATACAAAATGTATGCAGGTGTAATTTCTTTAGATTGTGTATAATTAGCTAATCATACTCATTACATACATTATATCTAGTCATGTATGAGATAGACAAATCAATCTTCTGTCTAATCGTTGATACATCACCTTGTCTTCAACAACATCCTCCTGTGCTCTACCATCTTTGAGATTTGGATCTATTGGAGTATTTATTAGTTTACATGTAGTTTTGCGTGTTTCCTTCTGAAGATCATTATGTGTTTTTCGTGGATGATAAAAATGGCTTTTCTTGAGTGGGCTACTTTGATTCAAAAGAAGTATTTCAACCTATCCAATGTTTTGAATTCAAGTTCTTTGGTCAGAGACTATGTAAGTTATATTTTTTTTTTCTTTTCCTTCATATCTTGTCACAATTATGTAATCAACACAAATTAATAGTGCTAAATTCTTCTTGAAAATAAGTGTTTAACAAATAGTGTGATCTCCTTGACTCCATTTGTATTCTTTTCAATCATAGCCCTTGTAAACTTACCAAATCAGTATTGAGGTGATTGTTCACTTTCTTCAGTTTGAACACCATATTGCCAACCGTACAGGCATCTTTTGTACATTGCATACCCAATTCTTTCCATATCCTAGTGGGACTTCAATATAGATTTCTTTTTTCTAAGTCTCCATGCAAATATGTATTCTCAACATCAAACTGATGTAGATCCCATCCATTATTAGTTGTTAATATATATTTTTTGATAGTATTCATCCTTGCTACATGAACAAAAGTATAAGGGTAAGCAACCTCATAGCTTTGAGTCTATCATTTGGCAACCAGTTGGGTCTTGCATCTCTTAATAGATCTAATTACATGATATTTCACTGTATAGATCCATTTATAGCCTCTATAACTCCCAATTTTTATATCTCTAAAGCTTCGATTTCTTCATTCATAGCTTGTTTTAATTTTTCTCTGGACAGAATCTCAAACATGGTAGTAGGGATTGTAGTAGTGTTTAAACTAACAAGGAAAACTCTATGAGATGATGAAAAACGTTCATAGGCTAGAAAATGTACAAGAGGATATACATTTGGAAGTATAACACCAACCTCAGATTCATGTTTGATCAAAAAATTCTAGTGATCTGTGCAAAATCATCAATAAATGTAACAAACCATCTAGCACGAAAAATACATAAAGTGGATGAGGAACCAAAAATATCACTATGAATACAAGAAAAACGAGTGTAACCATTTGCACTACTTATAGGAAAAGAAACATGCTTGTGTTTTGTGAATTCAGATACGTCACAATGGAAGTCTGCAACATTCAAATTTTGAAATAAAGATGGATTTTTTTTTTGATTGTTATAAATGAAGGATAACCAAGTCTTTTTTGGTGAAGTCATATTTTGTCCATGTTTGATGAGTAGGGTTCATAAGGTAGGTTGCTTTCTCTCTTTACAATGTTTGATTGGCTCAGTGCTTCAAAGTAGTAGAGTTAATCTTGTTCTTTAGCATGCCCAATGTTTCTCCCCGATTCTTTCTCATAAAACACATGATATTTATGAGAGAACCCACTTTACATTGTAGATATGCAACAAGTTTATTAAAAGACACGAGATTTGTGGTCAATAAAGGAATATGAAAAATATTTCTCAAGATGAGTGAGTGTGAGCATTTCCCAGTAATTAAGGATCCCTCGACTGTGCTTTTTTTCCTATTAATAGGACAAGGAGAATATTTGGAATAAAATTCTGATTAACTGGTCATGTGTTTAGTCGCTCCTGAATCCATGATCCAATAATCTTTTCTTGGCCAAGGATTTGAATTCTCACTTGATCAAATTTAGGGTTTAGCCCAACTGGAAATTTATGCTACGTCCTTTTCTATATAACCTTGATGAATAATTGTCTTTAGGATCTCGCATAGCAATAGCGTTGTGTTGATCATACTTCTGTCGTAACATCTTCAATTGATTTGCATACTCTGTTACAATCTAGTTTCCTTGTTTCATTGTCATCATCTTTATTTTCACCTTATATACCTTTACTAGATCTCTGGCTCTGGAATAAGCTTGTTGGATAATCCCATGTCCTTGACTGCAGCTAAGAACATATGAGTATTGCTGATCTTTGGTATCATGGTACTCTGATAAGAACCCAGATCAAAGAACTACGAATATTTCGTATTAGATGAAAGAAACAATCTCTAGAACAGAAATATCGAAGATAAAGAACAATAAAAGAACCCAGAACAGATGGAAGGTCGCATACAACCCTCCGACCCTTTCTTGTAGATGCACAAGATGCTAACTCCGATTTTCCTCCCCCCTCTCCTTCCTGATCCGCCCCTCTTTATATCCTCTCCTTTCCTTCTCTTATTTATGCAGTTAGTCTCCTGCCATAACTGCTCTTGTCATAACCGCTCTTTGCCATAACTGCTCCTAGTCATATTGTTTCTTGCCGTAACTATGTCTTCCGTCAATAATGCTAACCATTATTGAGTTATTGGGCTTTGGGCCTTCTTCCTTCTAGCATATGTGCGTGGAGCCTCATACTCCATAACCACACCATGATTCTCAAGTGTTCTTCATTGCAAATTTCAAAATAGGAATCTCCTTGTCTTGTGCCAAGGAGGTAACTGTTTTGTCTTCTCCCTTTCATAGTTATAAGCAACTGAGATCAATTAAGAAAATTGTGCCCATCCAATCTGCATGACTGTGGGATGGCTGGCAACTTACGATATGATTTGGGTTCATTCAAGCTCTTGGAATTGTGAAGATACAGAGGTAGTAGTTGTCTCAGGCATATTTGAGGCAGTAGAAATAATTGGTGTTCTTAGACAGAGCTGAACAAATCTATTTCTAGCCAATGACTCTCGGCTGTTCTCTCACCTCCAATGCACTGGAGGAGAGCAAGAAATATGTGCGAACCTGTCGTTCTGTCACAAAACCCGAAAATGAGACCTGGTGGCATAAAAGGAAAGAAGGCGTGACGACCAAAGTAAATGAGAAGAATATACCAACCATACCTCTCCTTCTCGTTGATGGGATCTTCTGAAGAGACGTCTCAAGGCAGGAGAGATTAAAAAAACAGCTCGATCAAGCCTTTGGCTCTGATACCATTCTAAGTGCTATGTCACAGGTGATGAAACCCCCAAAACCCATATCCCGAACAGGAAGGCAGAAAATAAGACATGCTTTTCTTAATTAACATTTGGGTCTGGTATTTACACCATGCGTGGGTTGAACCGGACCGGTCCGATCCGGTTCAATACTTAAGTAATAAAGAAAATATTACAGTAATGGAAAAAAAGGAAAAATACAACTTATTCGGACACTTTGTTGGTGGATTTTATGTAATGCGAATATATATTCCCTTTGTCTGTTTGCTATCTACGTCAATAAGCTTTAAAAGAGAGGTATAAGTAACGTCCTCCTTTTGGTGCGATCTTTTCAGCCTTTATGACCAACATCTATCTGTGGTATCTGTAAAGATTTGGAAGGCACAGATGAACTGGCTGTCAGATCTTTTTCAGAAGACAAAGGGTAAAGGGGAACTCTATGACGAAAAAATTATATGAGATCTGGTACACTTTCATAATTCATACCAAGAATCAGATCATTGCAGTATGCTGCCCCAAAGCGTCTTGTGTGGATTGCGAATTTCCTTGAAGAATTCATGTAACAGATGCTGTAGCACCCATAGCATGAGTAGGCTGTTTACCCAATCTGGTCTTACATCATATTTTCTTCGGCAAAAGACAATCTTTACACAAGCATAATAAGAATTCTTACATAAATATATTCTTAGGCGGTTACATGCAATATAGGCTGTATAGTTATTATGAATGAATGTTAGCCTTTAGTACAAGCTTATAAGAGGCTTGTGATGAATGTATAAGCTGATAAGATGCTGTATAGTTATTATGCAATATAGACTGTATAGTTATGATGAATGAAGGTTAGTCTTAAGTACAAGCTTATAAGAGGCTTGCGATGACTCAGCCATCTTTCATTAGCCTCAATAAAGAAACTCTGGATTCATTCTGGCTGGGAGCAAGACTGATATTGTACACTTTATAGTATGCCCCTTCTACTCGGTACAGTCCAATTACTGAGGCCAGCTTTCATTCCTCCTTGATGGGAAATGTAATGTCATAATGTGCTTGTGTTTAGCGGTAGTTTGTACATTGAAGGCATATACAGTGGATTGGAAACTAAAAAGCAAGTCAACAAATAGGCGATTGTGCTGTTGCCTTCTCATTCCATTTGTTAACTCGTTCTGACATGTTTGCATGCTTTCTCTTCCGTGGCTTCTGGGGGACATGTATGTGGGGTATTTGGCATTATTAATATTCATTTTGGTTTCCTATTTTAGGAGCATACATATGATTCAGAGGTTCTTATAGGCAAGCTATCTGCTGTCTTCTATGGTTTTCTTAGAAAATGTGTTTGCTTAAAGATTCTTTGTTTTGAATTCCATAATCAGATATTTGGCGACCCTGATGCTGCCGACATTGTCTTCACTAGTGGTTCAGACATTTTAGCAGTGGGGATAAATGTTACTCATCAAGTCGTTTTGACAGGTAATCTGTTGACAGACCTTGATAACTGTATTTTGGTTTTATAAGTTTACTTGATTTGTTGAATGCTCTTAATTAGCTATAAATTGCAGAATACACAAAGTGATGCCAAGCCATTTGCTTTAGGTTGACTCAAGCCACATGTGAGATTTCTTTTGATAAAAAGGTGTAACAAAATCTTATGGAAATTTCTGTCATTCTTTGCAAGACTAGGAATTTCCAAGGAAAATCTGTTTTGTGTGTGAGAGGTACTCAATGTTTAATTGAAAAAGAAAATTAGGAGTCCATTTTTGCTATATATGGAAATTTGTGCCCAAGAATAAAATGACTAACATGCTCTAGCACATTCTAACACTTTCCCGTAAGTCATTAATATGTGCTGACATTGGGTTAATATTTGCTGCGTTTTTGTTGGCATGGGTTGACTCTAACCTTCTATTTTAAAATTTCAACGGGCCTTATTTTTTACAAACATTGACTTAAAAAACTCAAGGGTAAAAGCCCTGTCATACTAACTTTTTGTTTAGCATGCTTTGGCCTGATAACCTGTTTTTCTCAATCTATAACCTATAAAAAAGATCATTATTTTTAAAAAAAATTATGATCTTGTGATCATTAAAATCAGCTTGTTGAGTTCAATAGTATGTGCATTGTAGATACAGTGGCTGTCAAAGTCTGTCTGGTTCGCTTATCGAATATAAGATTACCAGCTATGCTGATGACAACCTCATTATCACAATGTTTAATTGTGGGTTCTGAACAGATATGACCGAGATTATTCATTACAGATTTAATCCACATTATTTTGAACGTAGTATGGATGATGAGCCAGTATGCAGCTTCAGTATTCAATTGAGCCTCTGAATTTTTTTTCTTGTCCTTCCAAGCAACCAAATTTTCTGATGGATGACCTTGCATTTGTGGACATCAGATGAGGCTTTGATTCCCTAATGGCCATTCTATTTATGTCGAAGCCATCTTCCAAAGAGCCTTTGATATGGAGCATGACTCTTAAAATTGCTTCCTAATGGCATTGGTTTGTTTTTGATCGAACTGGTTATGTCTTGGTCCCCACCCTGTTTTGGTACTTTACTTTGGTGTCAATGCAATAATGACAGAGCCTGAAGGTAAGATTTCACAATTTAGCAAAGTGAACCTATACTATATTATCAAAGTATTTCATGGATCATAAGAGAGGTCATCAGGACACAGACAAGTCAGAACATTGCTATACCTAAGAAAATTATCTCATATATTGCAAGCTATCTAGCAGCTGCTTGGTACTAAGGATTCCGAGTCAATTATTACATGGGAAAAAGGATTGGAGTCAGTCATGCCTCATACCAGGTGTCTCCTCATACTGTCTAATCTCACAGTTTACAAAAATAAAAATGATGTAAAAAAATCATAATTAAAAGCGATAATGAAAATTAAAATTTACAAGTTGTCAAAATCTCACTTTAAAGAGATAATGCATTTCACAAAGTACCAACTTTGCAAGAACATGGCTATCTCTGCAACTTTAGTTGAATACCTTGGAGACATTTACACCCACATAGTTCTCTTATGTGGGTGTAAATGTGGAATATGTGGAATGTATCCCTTATAATTCTCTTGTGTTTTAGGCAACCAAGAGTAAGAACTTGTCCGATGTGCACAGAACTGGCAAGACTCTCCTCGTACCTATGCTACTCTCCCTTGCCTTAGCCAGATATTTCCTCTCATTGCCCCAGGTGTCACCAGAACACTTTTAAGGACAGTGATGTTGGCAAAGATCTCACTCTTCTTAAGATACCAATATACAAGATTACAGGACAAGTGATGGTCAATGGGGAGGTCATTACCAAGAAGTAGAAATGAAATATCTCGATGATCTTTGTGAGAGAATGACTTCTCTCATTCCCTCATGTTCGTTTTTATCATTTTGACGACTCAATCCTTACCCTACAGTTCACTGCTCATTCCCATACTTTCTGCATTTTCTACCAACAGTACGAATGCGTAAATAAATAAAAAAAACGCATTTTTTAATCTTGTTGCGTGTTGCACTTCTCTCCATGTTCAGATTTTTTTTAAAGTTTCTGACATGTTTTAATTCAAAATTCTCTAGAGGATCATCTCAATCAGCTTGCACAATCCAAGGGGAAATTTGCTCAGTATGCTTGTAAGATCCTTGGTGTGTACTTCGCTTATCACCATGATGCGTATTCTATGCGAGGTTAGTATCTACAAGAGGTCCTGAGTTGACAGGAAAGAATCAGCTTGTACCCTGAGACACTGATGGGTGTTCTGTATTGGATGCAGGCGTCTACCTTCATGACCCCACTGCCCTTCTCGCAGCTGTTGATCCATCTTTGTTAACTTACACCGAGGGTGTGGTAAGAGTACAGACTGGTGGGATTACGCGGGGCCTGACATTATTTGATAACTGCAAGAAAAGGTAAGGCAGTTAATTTATAAATCTATATTTTAAGCTTGTCCAGTTAATTTGCCTGAAGCTTATTTTCATGTTTCTGTAAAATAGAATATCTCGTAAAACCTGTGCCCCTCCAATTCTTTCTGGTAGCTTTCCTGTCACCGATTGAAGATCACCAATTTGTCAAAAATTGAAGGCACTGCAATTCGGTCTTCTAGTGTTGTATCCTGTACATTTTTTACATATTTTTTGAAAAACTAAAATCGCCTGTGTTTTTCAATAAAGTGAATAGTACATTTATAGTATCATCTTGATGTTTCTATGTTTGGGCACTGATTGCCGTGGCGACAGAGCAAAACATTAAATATTCGGTTGTTTGCCAATTCAAACATTCTGATTACTCCAGGAGGCTGATCTTGTTATTTGTGTGATACATGAGATTGGCAGAAATGTGTATATCTGATGGGTCCGCTGGGACTTGTTTCTCTCAATAAATCAGGTACGGGGAGATGAATGAATGGTTTGACAAACCAAAGGTGAAGGTGGCCATCACAGTCGATGCTCCGGCAATTGTCAAGCTTGTCATGGATCGGTTGATGGGCTGAACCCGTTGGTCTTAAAAATGATGAACTAAACTCTACGCCAAGGTAAATATAGCTCCCTCATCATTGATCAAATCCGGTTTCTATGGATTCTATTCACCCTTTAACTCTACTGCGCCATATAATTACAATAATTTGGAAAACAAGACTCTTGGTCTTGCATTTGAGATGCATGATTATGTTATAAAATCCATAGCATGGTCCATTCTGAGGGATGGCGATCAAGCTTCTTTGATTGTACCTGGATGCTTTGTGGGTTTTTTCTAAATAACCTTTGTTGCAACTGGTTGGCATAGAAACACACTTCCTCCATTTGAACTTTATGCTTGGGTTTGGGGTAAAATGGGTATCTCACGATTTTATTTTTGGTTTTCTGAGTTTAATCAACCGTATTTAGTAAAAATGTTAAATCTATAACTTTACGGTTCATCAATAAGCATCATATTCTCATCAATTTTATCTTATTTCAATGCTATTCATGCCAAAAGAAGAGTAGTTCATACACACCTATTCATAATTTGTCGTAAATGCTAGATCATAAACTAGATCCCCCAAGATAACCTAGCTATCTTTAGATCTACTAAATAGGAAAGGAGATAGAGTCTATCTCATCCTTGTTTTCTCTCTTGACACATGCCTCAACTCATTAATTAGTTCAGACAGATTTGGCCATTCAATTTGTGATTCATTGCTGAACTAGCCTATGTTTATGAGCTTACAAGTGCAATATCAAGACCTGCATGGTACGAGTGTGGTGGCAAGAATCAAGATCCACACCGATCTAACCGTAGTGAATAGTAAATGGGTTATTTCATTCTGCTGTAGTTTCCTAAAACATGAGGTATAGATATGACAAGATAAACTATTATGTGTGCCTTAATTACTTAATGGAGTTAGAATAATTAATCTTTACTTTCTTTGCGATTTTCTTAAAGCCCAAATAGTATTGTAAATCCGACATTTTCCATTATTCCCAATCAATATGTTCATACTGCATTTATAAATTAATTAATATGTTGAAACTCTAGATTTTTTTAGCTTCCAATAAGTTTATGGAACTATCCCGGCAACGTTTTTTAGATTTTAATATCTCAGACTAATTCATTACTATGCGTATATAATTTAGCATGAAAGACTAGAATAACGTCATCTGTTATTTCCATCGGTGGTGGTGGGAATGGATAGGGGTGACTGAGAGGCTATACTCTCTTCTCTCCCTCTAATCTGATTGAGATAAGATAGGACCGTCTCATGAACTAGGTAGCATTAAGTGAGAGAAAGGGATGGTGGAAACAGAGTTGGCTAGGGGCCGTTGGTATCCTCTCTCTCTCTCTCTCTCTTTCCAGCTCGCGGAGCGGTGTTCTGAGGGGGGGGGGGCTTCTCTCTCCTTCCTCTTTCCTGTCAGAAAGAAATGTGACGTGGGATGAGGAAAATCGATTACAGACAACATGAATGTAAGAATTAACTCATCTTAATAATAATTAATCACGAAAATCAATTCAGAAAATATATAAAAATCAGGTCTTAAATATTTTCATTCTAAAAATAAAACTTTCAGACTTGCGAAGCCATTGAAGAGTAATTATTAACAGAGTACCACTACGAGGTACCTTGTACAGATGATAAGGAGTGATATCAGAGGATATCCTTGTACAGCCGAAAAGAGAGAATAAAATGTTCCTAAACTAACGTGGTTTAAACAAGGAAATTTAATATATATATATATATATATATTTGGTAGGGATGTGAACCAAACCAAAGAGCCAACCCCCACATAGAGTGATGTATTTATGTATATAAATCTCTTTTCGAGGTAGAGTCCAAAACTGCCGCCTAATGAGGTTTTTGCCCCCCCATTGACTTGTTCATACCACGGAAGTGGTGTTTGTAAGCTTAGACCATGGATTATCCTAACCCAACTTATTTTAAACATCCAAAAAAAATAAAATTTTGGATTCTTACCTAAATACATAGGTTATCTTGTTAGACTACAATTGATTAGGTAATACATCACTCAGTTGAGTCATTTTTTCGGTGTTAGAAGAAATAGTCCGTGGCTATATCTTGTAAGAAATTTAATCATTAAGGAAAATAAAATGAGATATTCTCAATATTTCACTAGTTGATCTTGTAAGCCCCAAAAGCATCCCCAAGCTCACAAAATTTTATGGGCACCAGACATCTAAAGTGAGAACTATGAGCTTATCATGACATTTCTTATTAATACAAGAAAAGTTGTAAAATTTTCTTACTGGTCTAAATTTGGTACCCATGGAAAACACTTTAATAGATGGTTAGATAGGCACTTCATGTTGGATAGAGTCAATTCATACAAGCTGGACAGACGCTTGGCATAAATGCCATGAAGAGCCTCAGGAAGTTGAGCAGGTTTGGGATTGGCAAAACCACTACGAAAGTAACTTGTTATCTCCTTTGGTGTGCATGTATTTTTCATATTTTACTGTCATTTATTGATTAACAACATACTTTGGTTATGCTAAAACCCAACAATCCTAGTACAAAGTCAAGTTTTAGAAATTTAAGCCCCAAAATAGGTGGTAGTAGGCTTGTCCAAGGCCAAGTACAGGCAAAAGTTTGGAGATAATAATTAATACGAGAAAAAATTTGCCAGAAGTGTGAAACTAGAGTCAAATAGTGATTGAAATTCTCAAGAGGAAGTGCATTGCGGAGCCTACCTCTTCCATGCTTGACACGTACTCTCCTTCCATCTAAAGGCAGAGACAATATAATGACTGAGACAGATCCATGTCAAAGGATGTTACCTTGAGAGGCATCTGAAATCTAATGGTGAGGTAAATGAACAGCCAGTTTGACTTTTTCTTAGTTCATTTCTTGCGTTAATAATTTATTCTAATTACATTCTAATGTTTGGTAGCTCTTTCCAAAAAAAAAAGGGTAATTGGTGTAAGAAAAGGTCTAGTGAAGCTCTAACTTCAAGGAGATTGTAGGATATGTCTCTAGTGCCATTAGTGAATGAGGATATCGTGTACATCTACGTTAGTTGCATCAGAAAACTGTGACAATCTCGTCATAAAAATTGGTTCCCAATGCATCCAAGAGTATGGGAAATTGTCACAAGAGAAGGGAGCATTAAAAACTGAAATGGTAATCATAGCTCTAGTGAGAGGGGGAGCACACAAGGCTGAAAGAGAGATGATGATGACGTGGACTGCATGGGAACGCAAAGACATGCCCATAAAATCAATTCCAACTAGTTGTGTTGAAGATAGCTACAATGAACCAGGTGAGTACCCTGAGAAGATCATTGGTGCCTATCACTACAAAACGACTTTCTTCTTAGTGATTTGAACAACACTTCATACTTTGATCCTCTAGAGTTTGGTACAAATTTTTCATGTCAAAATTCCACTTGCATCTTGATCGACATTACCTTATCATATAATATAAAATAACCCTTATTGAAATACTATCAAAAGTAATAAAATGATATTATGAGTTTGGGCTGTCCGATTAGTAAATTTATCACGAAATTGAAGAAAAATCTAAGAAGTACTTTGATAAAAAATCAACTTCAAGTAAAATGTAATGATAACTTAGAAAGTGACAATCAGTGCCACATCATGATAGATGATTATCTAATATTGAACAAAAAATCATGAGTGACATAGAACTAGAGATGTAACCAACTTGTGAAAATGTTGGAGCATGCTCCTGAGAGAAATTCAGCTAGTATATAACTGAGGTACTACAATAAAAACTATGGGGATAATTCACATGAGGAACTTTAATCCTCAAGAGGTATGAATGTAATACTGAAGTGAGAAATCTAATTATCTTGTAGGGACAACGAGAGGGCAGGAATCGAAATGGGGGTGTGGCAATAGAATAACTCAATTCAAACACAACATTTATAGATTCACACCTAAATATGGAGAGAGAGAGAGAGAGAGAGAGAGAGAGAGAGAGAGATGAATCTTGGCTCCACTTGACAAGTTTGATTGTGTAAGTGTGTGAGGCTGGTATCCAAGCAAGAGATTGACTATCAGACCTCATAGGTGATTTCAATGGATTAAAATTTAAAATACAACCATGACTAAGTAATTACCAAAAAAAATTCATATCAAGAAGTGATTGGTAAAGATTGCCCCTCTTTGAGTCATATTTTTCTAGAGAATAAAACTCAGTACAAGTTCCCTCTATTTTTTTCAATATTTGCATAATGTCATGAAACTAAAATTACATGCCATGGTTTTTAAAACCTCATTGAAAATAGATGCGGTCTTAGTACTATAAATATTAACTTTTTCTATTTCTAATTTAATTATGGAAAATAATTAAGAAAACCATTTTTTAAAGGAGGCGGATTCTCCAAGTATTTGGATGCTAGTAAGTAGACTAGTAGTTGACTTTGGTTGCGAATTATTGCTAGTTGGCTAAGCCCTATTGAATGGCGGGACCATGTGGCGCCATTTGGGTTAGAGCTTTTGATTAGGATGGATTTAAGTGGATAACAGCAAAAATGTGAAGAACGATGATGTGAGGTGAATCCCATTACTTGGGCTCACCATTGCTTGGCAAGTGTGCCAATAGACCCTAAAATAGAGTAATTACTTTTTTTTTCTTTTTTGGGATAAGAACAGGGTCAATTAGATTAGAATAGGATCTTCTTCCTTCAGCTATTACAGTGCCGATGTGAAATAGTGATGATAGATAATTGGGTTTTTCTTTTCTCAGATGATGGTTTTTCCTGCATCTCAAGTCGTGCAGCCTATGAGAAGCACCTTCCCAAGTAAGATTCATGTAATAAATTGACATTTTAGAAAGCGAGCGAGCGAGCGAGCGAGAGAGAGAGAGATGTCGACGGTGATTACGTAGGTGTCATGCGCGCAGACTACTGCGCGCATTTTGCACCTGGAAGGCGGCGTGGGTTTCGACAAGTTGGAGGAGAATCGAGAAAGGTTTAATCGGGGGAAAGCTGAGAGTGGCTTCATCCAAGGACCATCATCTCTGCTCTGCTTGGAGCAAGGCCCGGTATCGATTCCTGGGGAGAGGTGGTGCCGAAGGTCTTGCAGAGGAAAGTGTGAGACACAGTACCAGCAGCATCAGATACCAATGGGGGCCGTGGGGAGGGTGCTGCTGGACGAGAGCCTCCTCTGTGGGGAGGACGTTGGCGAAGGGGACACATGCCATCTCCTTCCCGGTGCGGCGATGTTGCTCCGCAGGCTTCAATACTCGAAGCTTCGTGTGGTGGGAGACCTAATTCTCCTATACTCGTTGACTTCTTTTAACTCCTATTTCTGGATTATTTCTTTGTTTATTATCAGATTATACATTGATCTCTTCAGTCCTATCACAGAATTGGGCTCTCCAACTTAAAATTAATTGGTTGACGAGGAAAAACGTATCGCATGTAGTGAACTTCACAAGTTAAATTTAGAACTTGTCAACATGGACATCATTTTATCATGCCCTCTCACATGCATGTGGATTTTGTTATGATTCTTCTCCTTAAGATCAGAGTGCGAAACCAAAATTTGGAACTAGGATATCAAAAAGAAATTGCGCAGAATTTTCGATAATGTGATGCCGTTTGCATCTTGTTAGTAAATTGTACAGAGGCCCAGATATGTGTGAACTTGCAGAGGTTATCCTCTACGTTACATCTTTTGTCTTTCCTATTCAAACTAATAAAAAGAGTATTAGACGCTGTCCAGGAAATTTATCTAGGACTCTATTTACAGTCCTTTGCAGTTCTAAATTTTGTGGTATCTGATGTTCACAAAAATACATTGAAATGTGTATACATGAAATGAATATGAGTGATAAGCACATTAGCAAAATTTGGCATGATCCCACCGCTGTCCCATAGTCCATTCCTTCAGTAGGTCTGTCTTTATGATGTCTTCAAAGGATTATTGATATGAGCCTTCTTCTGTTTGAGACTTGTGGGGAAGACTCCAGGAACCTCTCTCAGAAGAACATAGTAGTCCACAGCTGCTGCAAATCCTTCCTCTGAGTTACTATACTATAAATGGGAGAGAGCCCTTCTGGCTGGGGAATATGCTTTTCCTTTCAGAGTTTTTTATTTAACGGAATAATATTTCTAATGTCATTTTAAAGGAAATTGGAGTGCTATCTGATGATGTTTCTTCAATTTATTTTCTTGTGGTGATCTCTACCTGCTTTGGAAAGGAATAATCATTTCACCTGTTGGTCCTCCAGTGTGAGCTACCCAGAAAATCGTTCGTATACATCTTCTCTTTGTTTCCCGAGCCTCATTAACATGGTTAAAGCTAAAGTGCTTGAAGTCCAAGCACAATAAACATGATTTCTGCAGATTTGGCTTCCATATCCGTTTTTTCTGGATGCTTGTTATGTCATATATCCATGTTCATTCAATGGATTGATAAGATAGATATACTCACCTTTATCTTTGTTTTAGGGAATCTGTTTTGAGGAAGGTGCTCAGTTGGCAAAGGTGAATTCCTGTTCTCACCATTATTATGTAAACCTGTGTGGATGTAACTCCTTACATCAGAGAATTTTTTTCAAAACAGAAGTACATGTATAACCACATATAATCATGTAAGTCACTTGTTGCCAGCGACTTAAATAGTAACACTATATATAATGAATTTTTTGTAGAATTTTTGTGCTACATGCAAAAATATAACCAAGTTGCAATTTCAAAGAATTATTATTCAGAAGAAAAACCAAATAAAATCAAGAAAGTTCACAACATTTTAGAATTTCTTGTTGAAGGGAGAAAAGATTTGAACAGCCAATACAGGATATTCATTACATTATTTCCTGTCGAGTTCTTCTACCCAGAATAAAGAGTCAAACCTCTTAAAGTGGGTAAAAGTATATGTCACCGCGGATCTACATCTCACTACTTGCTGTTAGTTGAAGGTTATGACTATGGCCTCTTCTTTATTTATTGTATTCAAATAAATACTTTTTTCAAATGTTTTTTGTGCCGATTGTAATGTTTGTATTTACCTAATCCGAGCACTTAAGGTCATGTCTCACTCAATTTGCTCTTCTTGTCCACCATCTCATGATGATTTTAAGCAATTTTTTAATGTTCTGTTTTAATTGTTAGATTTAAACGTTGAGCAGTGTGTGCCATTACAACATTCAATTTCAGAAAATGAGACTTTCACTGGGCATTTATAATGTTGCTCTTCTTATACATTCCTGAACTTTTATAAACATCATACTGAATTACCAAGAAAATAATAGAGCAACTTTACTCTCCATGGTTCTTGAGCTTCCTTATTATGTATTCCCCTGGTCATGACAAATGTGATGCATTTTCATAGAATAAAAGGCATTTTTGCATTCAATTAGAACTGGTTTGGATTGGCCCCATGTCAGAGCTTTAAACTGAATGCTTCCTATTTTAAATTCAACATGAACGATAATTCATGGATACTATGTTTGTTTGTGATTTATTGCAACAATTCGATTGGTTCATTGTTGTATTGAAGATTGAATGCCTAACACCGTTTGAAGTAGCATCCGATAAACATTTTTTCCTTTGTTAACATAAGATTCCGTTGCTTTTCGACTGCAGTAGTTCCTTGGATAACATAGCTATCTCTTGCAGATAAATTTTCTTTTGAGGGTGGCGGCTATGCATTCATTTGAATCAGTCTGTCGGACCCCAAATTTCTTGGACAATATTTCTGATGACCCGTCGCTAACAATGGGAAGTAGTGTATATGCTGCATCTAAAAACGATATGAGCCTTTATCATAAGCTATGGAGCAATGGCTGGAAAATCATTCTTACAGGCGAGATTTTTTATTATACATTTTACGAGAAAAAAATCTTGCCACTAATTTCGTCTTGAAATTGGGATATTATGATATATCATGGTTTACACACCCCGGATGTCTTTCTGAAGAAACTAACTGTTCTATTTTATGTATAGGTGTGAGCATTGACCTGGTGGAAAGTGAAAATCTGTTGTTCATTGAAAAATTAGAAGAGTTGCTCATCACACTTTGCCGTTTCAAGAAAATGGTCTGTTTTCAATTCTTTATCTGACATGCATTTACTTTTAGTTTATTGATCCCTGTGTAGGTGTAACGTTTTAATGTTACTGAACACAATTTCTTTGTGAGTCCAGGTAATAAGCAATGTACAAGATATCATAGTTGGTTATGTCATGAAACCATCTCGTGAGGAAGATTTTCTGAAGGCAAGTAATAAGAAAAAAACAAAAAATCAGAAATGAGTATAAACCACCAGCTTTTATAGCCATTTTTCTTTTGTTTCATTGCAGAGAGGTGCTTTCCCTATGTGTCCAACCGAAAATGGATTGGTATTTGTTCCCATAATTATGGAAATTTCCTTACCATATCAGATGCAAGTAGTTGATGCAGTTCTCCACAAAGCAACAGATGAAATCATCAGGATTGATCTTTCTAACTCGGATTTTCCCAAGGGGATTACTTACTCAAAGGGCATGGAAGATCTAGAAAGGTAAACTTCATTTCATCCATTCTGGTATTTAGTGACTCAAACACATCAGGTCACTTTACATTAAATGATTAAAGAACAAAAGTGACAATTAGAAAATAATTGGATTTGGTCCTATATAATCAATTTTTTTCTGTACCCTGGCATTCTTATGGATGAAATTATATGCATTGCCACTGAAATATAGGAACACCTTTTTCACTAACTTGGTTTCAGATTTAGTATGTTCCAGTGGACTGCAGTTACAAAGAGATAGGCAGGGGTAGTGACCTTTTTCTGTTCTTCTGGCCTTGGTTGGCGCGTGCAACTCTTCCTTTACTCTTCTAACTTCGAAGGAGAAAGGCCAGATCTGGATGGGAATGAAAGGATTTCCGGTGGCTCTACTTTTTCTCTCAAATCAATATTATTAGATATACCATGTGTAAGTCAGATCGGGGTATGGCTCATTCCCATCAAAATGGAACCTAAAAAATCAGCAGGTAGTGATTTCGCTGTCATGTTTAGTATGTTGTAAGACTTTGTATTCTTGTAGTCAGGGACAAGGGAAAATGGGGTTAATGTAAATGTAAATTTTGTTCTTTCCTGTTTTGATGTTTCTTAAATGACTCAGTCATGGTTAATCTAGATATGAATGCAAAAATTTACTCAACATTATAGAGCTTAACGATGCTACTTTGTTGGTCTGGGAATTTCGGATGTAACAATACTGTGACTTCAATTCAATTGCATACTACTACTGTATGTATGAATTTTTGCTGTCCTTCAAGTTTATGGAATATGAATTTTATGCCGTTTTTATGATGATTAGAAATATGAAATTCCTTTTTCGAGTTAAATTCATTTGCCAGGTATATGAAGGATAACCCTCAGTGTTGCATTATTGACCCACTCAATAATGTGTGCCCTTTACTTGATCGCTTTCGAATTCAACAAATTTTGCATGGATTGGATGATGTTGATGGCCAGACGAAACGTAGAATAAGAGCCCCAAAATTTTTGAAGGTATGCTACTTATAATATCTGCTTAATGTAAGCTTGAAAATGAGATGACAGAAATGAATATTTTATGTGCATATTACAATGGTCAAAACAGCACCTTTATTTTCTGTTAATGTATTGGCTACAATGTTAGTGGTTCTCTCTATCTCACCTTGTGCCACGACATCTCCTACTTTTATGTGGATACATATGGACAGACAGTTCATCCAATTGTCTCCTTGTAGTATTGTCTAAAATCATATTGTATCCAGTTCATCGTCTTGAGACCATGTAAATAAAACTCATCTTAAAAATCATGATGTATTGTGAATCTACTTTATTTTTATCGATTTTCAATGATTATAAAAGTTCCTACAAGAAAATTGTTAGATTTTATTACTTTACTAGGTTGTCTCACATGACAGTCTGATGGTTGCATAAATAAAGGTACCTTAATATTACATCAAGAATGAATCGATGTTAGAAATTATTTATCACTGTTGACTAAGTTTGTCAAAAAATAAAGATAGAAGTCTTGGTTATTTCTGTATTTTGATGTTCTAAGAGCCCATGGGACTACTAAACATGTCTTCCTGGCCCTGGCTTCCTTTGGGACTACCATTTATAGAATTCTGAGCATTAACTTTATCACTATTCATAAATAGATCTGTGATTTTGATATAAGCCTTAGCCAAGCTTCTGCCTGGGCAATCAAGGATATTATGCCTAGGTTATAAGGTGAGACAAATATATGACACTTTTTACAAGTATTTTAAAAATTTGAGAAACGAATATAATATTTTTTTAATAAGGAATGTGACTCATTTGGGTGCCATGAACAACAAAGGTGACTCGTTTATTCTCATATTGCTCTCCTTGGTGGTCCGGATATCCAAGGTGTTCAGGGGGCTCTGTTACATAGCCGTTGCCTCAAATTATTCAGCCCTATAAATATACAAGGGAGAAGCAGTGTCGCTCAGTTGCTAGGGTGTAGGTGAGCTTGGAAGGATTAGATCGATCTTGTCATCTGCTGGAGTTTGGCTTTCCCTTAAACAGGAGAAAGCTATTGTAGACGGCTGTGTTGATAGATAGATAACCAATGCAGAAATTTAAATTCAGGTGCCAGATTTTTTTTTCCTGCCTAATGACTTCTTCGGATGTCACTGAATTGTCATTCTTCTCCAAAAAATCCATAGATATTTGATTTCTTCATTAAATATGCTCCGTCGCATAGCTAGACACTATAAGTAAGACGGGAGACCTTTGATGAGAGAAGAGAGGAGAGTCTGATTCTGGGTGGCTCTCCTCTCTTATTCTTTGTTCAATTTCCTTTCTCACCCATTGTCGACTCTTTCCTCTTTTTTTCTTTTACCCGCATCTTCTTACCTTTGTTTCTTGAAGAGTTATGTCTCATATTCCAACTTCTGGATCTCTGTTTCCTGTTCTTTTCCCCAGAAATCTGTTCAATTATTCAAATTGGGCACAAGTATTGCATAGTTTCTCTTCATTTCAGTGAGGTATGATATTAATTATGTTGGTATCGTAGTTCCAACAATGAGAGCAGGTTTCTAACTATTTGGCCGTGTTGTGAGTCAATGTTATTGATTCCACTTGTAATCTTGAATTCGTTATTTTCAATCCTCAAAATCATCCCAGAAGAAAATTATAATTAACTTGATTTTAATCATATGCCTGAATTAACTTATGTTTTATGTTGTAGGTGCATAATTCTGAAACTTATGCACCGATGGTTAAATATATTCCAAAGCTTCAGAATAACTAGCAGAATTAAAGAAAGTCAGATTGCGTCTCCTTTATGCAAATCCCACATGCATACTCCATCGATTTTGTTTGGAATGGAGCCAGATGAGTCACATGAAGTCTTTTAGGAGATGATGGTTGTGTTTTGGAATTTCGTCTGGTATCACGTCCTACCATGGTGTCAGGGAACAGATTGTTCGGATTTTGGAGCGCACAAGACAGAAGACAGATATTTACTCAATTAAAAATGTAGGTTCGCACCAGATGTGCCCCAAGGGGCAAACCCTAGAGTAGTTGAGTCTGTGTTAACCACTCGAGAGGGTTTAACTCTTGCCTGCGATTGTGCTGCCGGAAACATGCCCCTCCTCTCGTCCTCCAGCCCTAATACCCCTTTAACAAAGCACCCTCTCCCCCCGCGTCTAAAGCTCTAACCCTCACGTGACACCCCTTGCCTCAGATCAGATAGCTGGAATAGCCATTCCTCATCTGACTCAGAGTGGAATCACATTGTCCAAGAAGATCCAAGGCCTTTACACCATCTAGTCAGCTATTTGGGTCACTTGCAGAAGGTTGGATACCTTAAACATTCGTTCATCTAACATAGATTGGGGAGTTCTTGGCCAATTTGCTGATTCCATTAAGTTTTACCCAAGATCAGGCAATGGAAATTCCATGTACCATGTGTATTCCATGATGTTGCCCCAATATGCTGGAAAAATGCCTTTGGTAAATCCATCAGGCCTGAAGACTTGAATGTGTATAAAGATGGCCTTCTTCACTGTCTCTTCGTTGACATATGGTGGCTTAATCTTTTTAGACCGGTGCACCAAAAAGTCGTTAATCTTCTCCGTTTTATTACATATGTTGAAATCTGATATCTATAGGGATTTATTACATATGTTGATGACGTTTTCTATTTATTCCGGTTTATTTTGTTACATATCTAACTTTCTGTATCACCTATGGTATTTGTGGTGTATAGGTTGATGATTTTCATGATCCCGAATTGATGGACAGAATACTGGAGTCAAATTTATCCTTTCCTTGTATTGTAAAGCCGCAAACGGCATGTGGAGTAGCTTATGCTCATAATATGGTAATGGCATGTTATTGGATTTTCTGCGTTAGATTGTGTGAATGCATTATTACTTCAAAAGGTATGATGTTTTAGGCTTCTGTTGTACTCTAGCCGACAATGCAAGATTTGGTAATCTAGTACTTCCCCACTTGTTGGATGATTGAGTTTCAGCGTTTTTCTTAACTTGACATAGGTTGCCGTATTGCAGCAGTGCTTGCTAAGGAATATCATATTTAATCCCATTAGGCATATGCTTATTATTCCTATTTTTGCTATTATGGAAATAAGTATTTCATTGTTGATAACCTTGGATTGTTCTACAACAGAATGGTTTCTTATTATTGAATATGAGCTGGGAGTGTTTTATTGTTTATATTTAATTAAGTTATTAATTTTATTTTTTCTAATCTTACTTGTTCACAGGCATTGGTATTTAAAGGCGACGATTTTGAGAATCTACATGTGCCACTTCCAGCCATTGTTCAGGTAAACTTAAGTATTTGCTCTTTTATGAAATTCTTCTTTTTTTTCTCTTGACATGGATAACGTTAACTGTGGTAGACAGTGCTAGGCTAGCTGTGGTATGATTGGGGATCAAAAGAGTTCTCTTTAACTACCTATTTGTTCTTCATTAATTTCAGGAGTATGTGGATCATGGGTCTACAATTTACAAGGTTTATGTGTTGGGTGAAAAGGTGTTTTATGCTGTTAAGAAGTCCATGCCAAATGCAAACATCCTTTTATCAAATTCAGAGAAGAACGCTTGTGCCCCTATCCTCTTTGACAGGTATGCTCGGTAATCAATACTAGCTGACATTTTTTTATTTCTTTTATTTCACTATATTGCCAGCATCAAATCATATAACATCATGCAATAATGATGACTTAATTTTGTTGAGCAGCTTGAAATCTCTTCCAATTGAAAAAGAGGAATTACCTTCCAAAAGGGAATCGGTGGCACATACATATTCACTTGATATCGACCTAATTAACAATGCTGCAGACTGGCTGAGGAGATACCTTGATCTCACCATATTTGGGTTTGATGTTGTTGTAAGCATTCTCCACTACATGATCTTTCATTGTAGACATGCTGCATTAGTGAGCTAAACAGGATGACAAGATTTACATCATGTTAATCTTTGTCTCTTCATTTTACATTTTGTTCATGCTTATGGGGATTTGTCATGGCTGATTTGAATATTTTAGCCTTCTCCGACTAGGGCAGTCTGTTGATCATAGAACTGATGGTGATTATTAGTTTAGATTTGTCTTGTCTTTTTTTCTATCGAACTTAAGTTGTCTCAATTTGTTGCATAATCGAAACTTGAGAATGAAGATGGCAGTTGGTGGACCCAAGTCAGGGCTAGGGTGTGTGGTCAGAGGGTTTTAGGATTGCAAACTTTTGGGTATGATCCTTGTCAAATGTAGTGGACCCTTATAGTGTCATGGGCCCCTTATGTTACGGGCCATCCCAGTTGCCAAACACGGCCCTTTATGTTACCATCTAGGGTTCAGATATAAACCCCAGACTGTGATCATTGTCGGGTTGCTTTTTGCCCTTTTTCACTTTCTACAATCCTATCCTAGATTCGACCAAGGCACTCTCTTTCCTTAACTCTGGTTTTCAAGCTCAAGCCTAGGACGCATAGGCTTAGTAGGGCTTCTGGGCATACCGAACACATTGACACCCCTAGAGCTAAATGTATTTCATGCATTTTGAGACTCATCTGGCTTAAAATTATATCCATATCTCCAGATTTGGTTGCATGGTGCTAGAAGGTAAAAGAAAAAACTGGGGGGGATGGCAAAAATGGGAGACTAACGGTTAAAATGGATGCAGTTTTCATTGAAGTTTTTTATGAAAAGAGTGACAGAGAGAAAATAGAGCAACATAGAACCTATAAGAGGAGTGTTTAAATGCGCAATAAGTTGGGCTCTACCTAGAGGAGTGAATAAGCTCCTAAAGGATTGAAAAAGTAGATGTCCTATATGCAGACGGCGCAAATGGGGCTTTTATATTTTCTCTAACATCATTTCTTATCATAACCTAGACAACTAGATACCCATCAAGGTCTAGATAGTAGAATCTTTCACCCTCATGGCTGCTCACAAACATTTCGTTAGTTTTAATCTCTTAAAATAGATGGTAATTTGGGAAGAATGTCATTAAACAACTGAAAGTCATAGGATCAAGTCACTCATTTGCAGTAAATTCAAGGAACATGAAGAGCCATAGGGCATTGTGAAATAAAAACTCATCTGCTTCTCTTCATGTAATACTCGTAAAATTTGTGTGATAATATCGTTTGATATCTCCCTTGGTCAACAAAAATGGGCTTAGAGCCATTAGCAACAGTCAATTCATACTTCTCATAGCCCAAACAACTATGAGGTACAGACTAGATTAGTTATAGGTTATGGGGAAACTCCTGCAATATTTATTTGGAGAAGTGTGTTTTGTCAAAAAATTTAAGTTTCTTCTGGATATATTATACGTGAGAATTTTCATCGTGATGACTGTTTCTACCAGATTTATTGCAATGCCTCTTATTCACTTTATTTAGTAGAATGCCAGTGACACTTTTGTTGATTTCTAACTAGAATTCTGTAGGCTAGAGGGATTACGAAGTTCTCATCACCTGCATCACAATTAGATTCTCCAGTCATGGCTTCTCTCCTCCCCTCATCATTCATGGCTTAGTAGTAAACTTAGAATCTAGCTTTCAAATGTCTCAAAGTCCTGGATTAGAGCATCCAAGAATTTGATTATTTAGTTAAATTATATGTATTAAAGGGGCATTTTTTTTTATCTGCCACATCATTCCATTCACTAATAGAATAAGAGTCGTCAATATCCTCCTGCTTACTCTTCAGTCTATGGTGACTAGCATTGGGTAGAGGTTCATGCTTTACTTTATAAACTTCATGTGTTAGTAGAGGGATGACTGATTCGGTTGAGGATGAACAAGATTGGGGGTCCAGATATATGACATAAACTGACCTTGTGGGTCATCATGGTGTTTGTTTCAGATTCAAGAAGGCTCTGGAGACCATGTTATCGTTGATGTGAACTATCTTCCTTCTTTCAAGGAAGTCCCTAACAATGATGCCATACCAGCATTTTGGGACGCAATCAAAAATTCCTACATGACCAGAAAACTGAAATCTACATCTCCTTCTCATTTTGTTGTTTCGTGAGTATTCTACAAATGGTGTGAGAAGTTTTTATTTCATTTTCCTTTATATTTCCACGTATAATAAAATGAAGTAATGAAGGAACATACGTTTTGTTTTCGATGGACAAAATGTCTAATACATTATCGTTTCAAATATGTGAAGAAGAATTTTGTCAACATAAGTGGTAAAAAAGAATATAACTTGCATCTTGTACAGCCCACAAGAGATCGACTGATTAGTCAATGGCTTTTTGCTTCATCTTTGCTTCATTTTGACTAATGGTCGATTAGCTTTCAAAAAGGAAAGAGCTGAAATGTACATTCATGTTTATTTAGGGTTTATGGTTTCTTCATTTAAAGCATTAGCATGTGCTCTTTGATATTTATGACATGTTCCTCACTCTTGGAGGCATTATTTTGTGCTCCTTGATGTTTTTTCGGGGCGCAAGCTCTAAGTCAACAAAAATTAAAAAAGAACAAAACTTTAAGAATTCTAATGAAATTTCAGGGTAAGCATAATGAGCTTTTTTCTAAAAGAGAAACCAACTTCAATTCTCACATTTGATTGTCTATGATAATGTATGTGGGTCATGAGGATGTTCTCCTAAGCTCTCGGCCCCTCTACTTTTCCTATATATCTAGATATCATATTATTTCTACACTAATCTACGCCATTCACTTTTACCAAATGTGGAGGGTTTGAGTGTAGATAGTGTCAATGATGTTTTTATCATGGAGTCTCACATCTTCCACTCTCTCCATCAATTGGAGACATTAACCTTTGTGTGGACTAGACAAGATAGATGGAGAAGGAGGGATGAGAGGTAGAAAGGGGGAGAAGAAGGCCTTGATTCTCACACGTTTCAGTTTTCTCCCTTCTCATACCCATTTTTATGGAGAGTATAAATAAATGAATTTATGGAGATGGAAGTTTAGCTTTAACCAACACAAAGGAAATTAATTCTTAATGTCCTTGGTTTGTGCTTAGTACAAAAGAAAAAAAATGAAAGATATGATATCTAGAGCAATGTAAAATATCTTTGGACGAAAAATAATAAAGTATATGTAAAAATTCATCATAAACCTATTTCAGGCTCCAAACATTTACTAAAATTGAAAGATGCATAATGTAGTTTTAAGATTATGTGGAATTAAATAAAGTTTTAATTTAATCAAATCAATAAGCATATCAACATTTTATGTAGTTGAAGATTGTTGTGTTGTTCTAGCCAACAAAGAGATGGATGACATAAAGTATAAAATTAGAGAAAAAGAGAAGTAGGTGACAAGTCTGTACATAACATTTAAAAGATTTTACATCAACTTTTATGACTCCATCCATCAGAAAAACCTCTACCACCCTATTACCTAAACATTGTGAAATGGTTATCCAAATAGCTGAAGCTCTTATCTTCATTGTAAGGATAATTTAGTTCGAAAAGGAAAATTCTATTCTACAACCAAAAGATTGATTAGAAGCATTAAGAATTTAAAAAAAACATAATGGTTCACTCTTACAAGCCTAAGCAAACAACAATAAAATGCATCTTGAAGTTCCTCTAAATTGATCAGAATGTAGCACTGAAGTTGCATGAATTTGTCAATCAAGAGTTTTATGATAAAGAGGCCTAGGTGTTGTGTTGAAGTGAGAATAGACAATATGCATTTTAGATATATTTAAAAATATATAATAAATAAAACACTTGACATAGACTAATATATGTGTATTATGCCTATGAAAGTGTGAAAATAAATGCACCAATAAAATTTTGTTAGGGGTAGAAACTATGGATACAATTAGAATTAAACAAATAGTATAGAAGATCATTGAATTACAACTGAGATATGCAATTTTGAATGACTTACACTATGTCTGGGCACATTGAGCTATTAGGAATCAAAGAATTCAGCCCATTTGCTCTAGTGTTTGGCACATTTTTTCCAACCCTATAGAAAAAGAGAGAATGACTTAGTTAGAGTGAAAGGTTTTCTTTTTCAGCACAGTTGTACAGTAGACCAAAGGTTCCACTAAAGGATATCTACCATTCTTTTTCAGCATAGTGAGGACTCATTGGTAAAAGGTAAATGATGTAGAGGAAAAGTGGTTGGTGAGATTGTCCTCCTAGAAGCTTAGAATGTGGAATTGATTGTGGAAAGATTGTGAAGTCAAGTAACTTTGTCTAGATTTCTAGAAACCCATCTCATAAGAAACACTCTTTATAGATCCCAATAATATTATTGGCACAATTAGAAAGTCAAATAAACCTAATTTCCAATCTCAAGTTATGAACTTGTGAGAACACAAGTAAGCTCCCAAGTTATTATTTCACTTATTGACAAATAAGACAAAATATAAACTAGTGCCTTTGCGAAATATATACTAATGTCATTGTAAAAGATGACAAGTTGTGGTAAATAGACTAAAGATGAGTGTTAGTTAAAACATCTAGTCATTACTAATAAAATCATCTTCAAAGTTACCAAGTAAATTTAGCATACCCTTGTAGGATTGATTATAATGAGTAAAAATATAAGAATGATGTACACATAATATAAAAAAATCTTTATTTTGGAATAAAGGGTTGTCAATTTGTGCCACATAGGGAAGTCATAGAAGAACAAAAAAATCTCCATTTAATCATGAGGCACAAGATCATCAATCATTGAGTTTAGAAAAATGTTTCTGGAAATATTTGAAACCTCAATGATTAGACTGTATTGTCTTGAATCCAAAAGCGTTTATGTGAATGAGCCTCAATGATGGCCCATTAGCTCTTCAACTCACAAGTCAAGTAAAATTTCCAAAGACAACAAAATTATATTACTATTGAATTTTTCTATAAATATTATCACATGCTAGCTGTTAAATAGGCCAAAATCAGTTTTTGCACTCCTAAAAATGAGATCAACTAACCAAACAACATAAACTGAATTAACATGAAAAAAAATATTGGTCTTATGAAAATCACATGTTATTGACACAAATTGACCTCATTTGAATGCATTTTCTGTATAGAACCCATTTGAGGCCTTTCAACCTTTGTGGTCTACATTTTTATGTTTTTCAACAACTTTGGTCAGCAATCACCAATCAGGGACATTTCTGGTTGCCTAGAGTTGTATGTTAAATCAATTTTTCCTACTTGAATTTTTTTTACTCTTGACTCTCCATGTGGCATCACATAGTAGTCATCAATCTCAACCACATTAAAGGTTGAACCTATAATGATTTTTGGAGGTAAATAAAGTACATATGTATTGTTGCTAATCATTTGTAAAAATTTTAATGGCACAGATTTCCTAGGGTTCAACTTTTCAAAACTATCAATTGAGAACCCTTTTTCCTCAAGTGCTAAATGGCCAAATTGCCTACTTTATAAAGCTTATCTTGTCTTTTATTTTAATTAGTTTCATTGGGTGACAAAGGGTTTAATATACTTAATGAAATGATTTAAGCACTTTTATTGTATAATTAGCTGGAATACTTGTCCATTGAGTTTTTGGTCTAGGGAGAAAATTGAAGGAAATTGTTGAAGGAAAATGGTTAAATATTTAAAATGGAGAAATATTTTCAGATCAATTGACCATACAATTGTATACAAACTATGGGGCTCAAGAATAAGTTCTATCCCTTTGGTTTATGTAACAGATCAAATTACGAAAGATTTTGTTTAGAATCTCAAGTTGATCTAAAAGCACTCACTACACATATTAAAGATTTTGTAATTCTAGTCTAATTGAATACCGGATAGCTATTTTTCAACTCATACAGTAATTAAAAATCTAATAAAACTAATGAGACTATTACTATTCCTTTATAATATAAAGCAATTTAAATTGACATTTACTTGTGTCCTAGATTCAAACTTCTATCTATATGAAATTTAATGTATTAGTTTATCACTAAGGTAACTACATATTTTAATCTCCATTGTCAATGAAGAAGCATACTTGACACAACAAGTATGTTGGCATACTCCTTTTGACTAAAAATGCACTTGATACATTGTTATTGAATGTTGTTCTCTCTATATATCATTTCAACTTCATCAAACATCTCTAAAATTAAATCCAAATTATGTCAGAACATTGTGGAGGACCTCGCTTCTATTGCTCTATAAAATAAAAAATTGAAGAAACTTATGTATTTCTAATGTTAAAATTAATCATATTTTATATTTTGATGAATTTATTCAACTATATGTACTGAAGTTCATTGTTCCTATACTATTTAATAATATAGTCAAAGGAGTTTCTTCCAACTCTCTAATCACTTGGAAATATACATTGTTCATCAAAGGAGAGGGCATCCAATGAGGTAAATTTAGTGGGTTTCAAAAAGAAATCCATGAGAATCCATTTAAAAAGTTGAAATTGCAAGTTTTATTACTACTGACATCATTACATGAAATCAACTGAAAACTATATTATTTACTAATTATTAACTAATGATAATGAAGACTTATTAGTATCCCATACATACTAGCTGCTGGAAGGGATGAACGATCAACGAGGATGTTATGCATCTCTGAGGACTGTACAGACTTTGGCTGCGCAGATTTTGACAACGGAGGTACTAAACGGAAGAATATGAACAAAATGAACAGAGGTATTGTACCTCGGCATGTACTAGATAAGACAGATGGAGAAAGAGAGACTAGAGGTAGAAAGGGTCTCTATATCATCTGAATTTCATTAGACATCTCTGAAGTAAATTTCAAATTATGTTTGAGCATTGTGGAGGATCTCACTTCTATTCTCTTAATGAAAAATTAAAGAGTACTTATGGAAGTCTCATGTTAAAATTAATTATATTTTATCTTTTGATCAATTTAGCTAACTTTATGTACTTAAGTTGATTATTACTATACTATTTAATGATAGAGCTTAAGAAGTTCCTCACCTGCCCATATGTTATTTCCCGCCCTCTGCATGCGGCTGGCTCTAACAGAGACGCATAGAGAGAGAGAGAGAGAGAGAGAGAGAGAGAGAGAGAGAGAGAGAGAGAGAGGGAGCGAGCGAGAGAGGCAGGGCCGTGCTTCGTCCCCTGTTCCTCTCCGGCGGCAGGCCATTGGCGGGAGCGGGGCTGCACTGCGCGCGAGGTTCCCCTCGTTTTTCCTTGGGGGGTCGAGGCGAGAAGATTGACTTGGAAGGATGTGACGCGCGATTGACGCCCAGGTTTGTAGATCGGGTTATCTAGGGAGTTTTCTGTGTCAGAGTGCTCTGCAATGATCTCTGTTGTTCGTACCTGTTGGGTTCCGCGGTTCATCCGTTCATCAATTAGTCCGAGTTTTTTTCTATTAGAATTTGAGTCGTGGTCGGTGGACCGCATTGAGTGCGCTCCGAGGATTTCGTTTCTCGTTTCGCTGTCTGCTTCTCCCAACGGCATTCGGCTCTCTTCTCTTCGCGCTAGTCTAAGCAGATCTGCAGTGACCTTAGAACCATCCACCGAGGTCGCGATGAGCCTCCCCCAGAGGTCCTTGCGGGAAGTATGAGTACCTCGATGAGTTCCGCGTGATGGATCCACTGCCGTCCGGTTCCTCATAATTACAGACGGCTCTTCCCAAACTATCATGATAATTCATCGACTCATCTACTTGGCCTCTTCGATGATTTTCAGCCAACTCTTTGAATGGGAAACAGAGGGCTGCGGTCTGCTGACAGAGTGGAACGGTGAGCAGCCTGATATAGCTGCATCCTCTGCCGGACTTACCTCTCTGTCAGTACGATTTTTTCTCTAAGATTCAGACTCTTTCCTGGGTAGGCATCCCACACTACCTGCTGGACGGGACGAACTATCATGAGCGGTTCGGCATGCTCGGGGACTGCACAGATTTTGGCTGCGCAGTTTCTGACAGCGGAGGTACTGAACGGAAGACTATGAACAAAATGTATGTCATCCATTTTGGTCCTATTTGACGGAGGAGTGTGGGTTCCAGGCACGGCGAAGGACAGTGCAGATGGGTCTGCCGAGTCGCCGCAGCTGAAAAGGAGGCGCATGCTGCAGTGCAACCATGACGACCCTGTTGAGATCATTTGCGCCGGCCCTTCTTCAGAGTTCTTAAATCCCAAGGTGGGTCAACGAGATGCGAAGTCGTCAGTCAGTCTCTGGGTGATGCCAATCTGTGAATATCTTACCTCACAAAAAAGATGCCTTTTCGTGATCGTGTAGACCGGAGAAGAGGCAACGATGGGAGAAGATAAAACGAGAGAGGAGGAGCAGTGGGACACTGAATTATTGGGTTCGTCTGCTTGCCGCCTCCTTCCAGTGAAGCTGACATACGCTCCTTCCATTAAATTCAGAGGTATCAAAGATACTCATATACCGCCCCTTTATTTTTACACTCTAACCCCGATTTATTACTTACATCACGTGTTGATCAGGGAGGCCATCATACACGAAGTTCCCAACAACGACGGCTTCTACCGTCGCTTATCCCTTCACGCTGATTAAGCCATGCGGTGCCCGAGGGGAGGTAACTTTGGAAGAAATAAACCAAATACTTCGTGCCCCCCCCCCCCCTCCCGCCGTCGCAAGACGGAGACGAAGATCCGGACTGAAGGGGGGGAAAAGAACAAAAGGCTGAGCACATGACAACGAGCCTCTCAGATAAATATCTGCATTTATATTGTAAGCCCTTTGGTCATTAATTGGCCAGGTTTTAACATGACTTGTGGTATGAGTTGACTGCTGACTCGGCAAAAATGGTTGACCATTGACACTATTCTACTGTTTGTTGACTGCTGACAAGGCTGAATGGGTTGATTCTGTGGGCTGGCTCGAACCAGTTGTGCGGCTCGTGCGGACCAGGTGATCCGGGAGAAACCTGACCAGTGGGAGGAGCCGGTTTGAACCGGGGGCCCGAGATGGTCGGGATAGGGACGCAGTTGGGCACGGACCAGGAGGTCTTGCCGGTTGAGCTCCGATGGCTAAGGTGGCTGGGCCGGCGGGTGAGGTGGGCAGGGGTCCTGGTTGCTGGGCCGGCGGGTCAGGTGGGCTGGGTCAGGTGGGTGGGTCGAGGGGGCCTGCTAGCTGGGCCGGCGGATCAGGTGGGCTGGGTTAGGGCCGGCGGGTCAGGTTGCTGTGTCAGGTGGTCCTATTTTCTGGGCCAAAAATATGGGCTGGGCCGGCAGGTCAATTTGTGTAGCGAAATGTTCGTCTAAATTTATGATTCAATATCTTAAAAGAGTCTTCTTTCTCACAAGAGTATCTGTAGTCTTCTTGATTTTAATATTCAACTTTCTCAATGAGCACCTAGTTCCCTTTTTTTTAATGACTGCTCAATTTTCTAATTTGCTCTTTCATCTCATCTAAAGTTGACTGACTATGTACCTTCTTAAGAGGTACACGAAAGAGGGTAAATTAAAGATAATAAGGGGATGAAACCTTTGAGGATAATGAGATTTTATATCTAAACAAAGTCATCATAGCTCCTATTCATGAGAGCATTTACTTTGGAAGATTCCCATCATTATTTGAACCAATAAAGTCATAAATGAGTAAAGCCCTCTTAAATCAGTATGTTATTAGACCTCAAGAAGTTGAGCCAACAGCACCTTGCATGGATCAACCTTCAAACAAACATTACATCTCACTTTTCAAAAGATCACTCACTAGGAAAAGTTTAAGTTGGATGCCATCTTCATTGATGAACACTTCATATTTCCAAGTACTTGGAGAGTTGGAAGAACTTCTTAAGCTCTATCATTAAATAGTATAGTAATAATCAACTTAAGTACATAAAGTTAGCTAAATTGATCAAAAGATAAAATATAATTAATTTTAACATGAGACTTTCATAAGTACTCTTTAATTTTTCATTAAGAGAATAGAAGTGAGATCCTCCACAATGCTCAAACATAATTTGAAATTTACTTCTAGATGCTTAATGAAATTCAGATGATATAGAGACCCTTTCTACCTCTCGTCTCTCTTTCTCCATCTGTCTTATCTAGTACACGCCGAGGTACAGTACCTTTGTTCATTTTGTTCATACTCTTTTGTTAAGTACCTCCATTGTCAGAATCTACACAGCAAAAATCTGTACGGTCTCCAGAGATGCATAACATCCTCGTTGATCGTTCATCCCTTCCAGCAGCTAGTATGTATGGGATACAGATAAGTTTTCATTATCATAAGTTAATAATTAGTAAATAATATAGTTTTTAATTGATTAACATAAATTTTTAGGTAATTATGTGATTTTATACAATTTTTTATGATTTTTATAATCTTAATTTTGAGATAAATGAAGAAAAAGAAATAAAAATATAATAAAATGAGGGGGGACCTGTTGGCCAGTCGGGCCCGCAAGCGGGTCGGAAGTGTAGTGGAGGAGGAGCCGCGAGCAGCAGCTCGAGTGGCTAGAACCGATAGGGGCATGTGTGTGCCACTCCCCTTCCACGTCACCGGTGGTCAGCCGGCTGTGGGGCAAGGAGTGGTCGTACATGCAAGAGAAAATGACTTGATTGAAAATGTAATATTACTATATATTCGCCCGAAACTTCAACGCACAAGCGATGTGCGACTAAACTCACATCACACTTTCCTCGTAAAGGGTTTGATGATTTTAATACCTAAAATATCTTTTATTTATAAAAGAGATATACTATAATGATGTCATTTGATATGGGCATTAGAGTACTTATGTCAATCTCTCTTATGCAGGCGGACAACCGGCACAGGTTCGAATCCTCCTAGAGCCAAAACTCATATTTTTTATCTAATTATCACGACTTTCTTGTAGATCACCGATGAAAGATTAAACCGCCAGAATCAATGGATCATCGGCAAAAATCTTGTCAACGTAATTTGCGAAGTATTGTTACTGAAATTGCTAAACGATTCGCGATAAAAGGATTGTGAATCAATCGAGTAAAGCATCTCCGATTAATCGACGAACAAGCCGTCGTTGGGAAGAGGATGATCTGCCGAGAGACGAGTCGCCACCTCCTAAGAGTGTACCGAATGCGATGAAAAGCCTCCTCTTGCTGCGCGAACATGAAGATGAAGCTCCTTGACACGTGCCCCACCTCCATCTAGCTCCTCTTCGTTGGGTGACAGTTGCTAGAGAGCTGTAAAGTCGCTGTTTTTCTACTCCGCTAAGTGACAATTGTCGGAGACGATTTGACGACCCATTTCATTGATCTCTAGACTTCACAAGGAGATCTAGAGATTGCCCATGTTTGTAGAGTCGCCATAGCTGAAAAGGAGGCGCATGCTGCAATACAATCATGATGACCCTATTGAGATCATTTGCGTCGGCCCTTCTTTAGAGTTCTTAAATCCCAAGGTGGGTCAACGAGATGCGAAGTCGTCAGTCAGTCTCTAGGTGATGCTAATCTGTGAATATCTTACCTCACAAAAAAGATGCCTTTTCGTGATCGTGTAGATCGGAGAAGAGGCAACGATGGGAGAAAATAAAACAAGAGAGGAGGAGCAGTGGGACACTGAATTATTGGGTTCGTCTGCTTGCCGTCTCCTTCCAGTGAAGCTGACATACGCTCCTTCCATTAAATTCAGATGTCAGGATGACATCAACGTCCGGTGAACGCCAATCGGGCAGAAATAGAGTTCTGCCCGACGATTCTTATGTAAACGATTACCGAAAATTTAATTGATCAAATTAAGATCTATAAAAGCCGAAAGAATCGTAAATGAGTGAAGTATATCTTGGTAAATTTAAATCACACAAATTATCACTAAATGAAGTAGAAATTAAGTTGAAAGCAGGAAAATAGAGTTCCAACGTCGTGGTGGCGATGCGTTGGCGATACATCGGAATCCTAAGTATGCGGGAGGATTGTGGTGTAGTGTCCACGGCCTGGAAGGCTCTCCTTGGACAAGGACGACGTGGACAATCTCTAGATCTCCTTGTGAAGTCTAGAGATCAATGAAATGGGTCATCGAATCCTCTCCGACGACTGTCACCCAGTGGAGCGAAAAAACGACGACTTTGCGGCTCTCCGATGACTGTCACCCGATGGAGAGGAGTTGGATGGAGGTGGGGCGCGTGTCAAGGAGCTTCATCCTCAGGTCCACGCAGCAAGAGGAGGCACTTCATTGCATCTGGTACGCTCTCAGGAAGTGGCGACTCATCTGCCGACGGATCGCCCTCTTCCTGATGATGGCTTGTTTGTTGATTAATCGGAGATGCTTTACTCGATGGATTCGTGATCCTTTCATCGTGAATTGTTCAATAATTTTAATAACAATGCTCCAACAATTTTGATGGCTTAATCTTTCACTAGCGATCTGCAGGAAAGTCGTGATAATCAAATAAAAAATATGAGTTTTGGCTTTGGGAGGATTCGAAATCGTGCTAGTTGTCTACCTGAATGAGAGAGATTGACATAAGTACTCTAATGCTCATATCAAATGACATCATCATAGTATATCTTTTTTATAAATAAGGGATATTTTAGGTATTAAAATCATCGAACCCTTTCTGGGGAAGGTGTGACGGGTTTAGTCCCACATCGCTTGTGCGCCGAAGTTTCGGGTGAATATATAGTAAGTAATATTACATCTACAATCAAGTCCCTTTCTCCTACGTGTACGACCACTCCTTGCCCCACAACTGGCTGGCCACTGGTGACGTGGAAGGGGACTGGCCACCCGCTTGCGGGCCCGGCCGGCCGGCAGATCTCCCTCATTTTGTTCTTTTTTTTTCTTCATTTATCTCAAAAGTATGACTATAAAAAATAGATAAATTCATATAAAATCACATAATTCCCCAAAAATTCATGTTAATCAACTAAAAACCACTTTTCACACTTTAACACAAATATAAGTCTATTTATCATGAGTCAAGGCTAAAACTATATTATTTACTAATTATTAACTCATGATAATGAAGACTTATCAGTATCTCATACATACTAGCTGCTAGAGGGGATTAACAATCAACGAGGATATTATGCATCTCCGGAGACTACAGATTTTGGCTGTGCAGATTCTGATAGTGGAGGTACCGAACGGAAGAGTATGAACAAAATGAACGGAGGTACTGTACCTCGGCATGTACTAGATAAGATAGATGGAGAAAGAAAGACGAGAGGTAGAAAGGGGGAGAAGAAGAAGGCCTTGATTATCGCACCTTCTAATTTTCTTTCTTCTTGTGCCTTTTTCTATGGAGAGTGAAAGTAATAAGTTTTATGGAGATGAAAGTTTGGCCAGTACTGAAGAAATAAATAAGAGATATCATCTTCAGAGTAATGTAAAATGCTGGGAGCAGAAAATAAAAATGTACGTAAAACTCCATCATAAACCCATTTCAAGCTAGCCCATCGACTCTAAGTCAATGGTCTCTGAAGGAGATCCCAACTTTCAGCATGCGTGAGATCCACCAGAATCGCATGGTTCCTCACACATCATTTTAGCATGTGCTCAGAACCCACCACCACCCAAAAGCCGGTGCTCCGAGGAGTTTCACAATAAGAATACAGAAAATCATCTTCACAATACTTGAAAACCCGAGAGGGTCATAGAAAACAATGCCCAAACATGTTTCCCAAAGGCAGAAGCATAGATGACCTTTGGGTCTTTGCATGATAAATTAATCATCCAAAAAAACATAGAGACATCTTGATCTACAAGGCCCTGCCTTGCATGGGTCAAAAATTCGGTCATTGGATGAACAAACTTGATTTGCTAATCACTCAACTAATTAATGCATGAAATTCACATAGACGGAGACTGCCATTTTTTGTACCTCGAAAGGCTTCTAATTTCCAAAACAACTTTTGCTAGAAAACTCCGTAACATATGTGTGTATGATATTCAGCCGCCTGTTCCTACTCGTCAGGGTTGTCGCGTACACCGCACTCCCTGGGAGTATATAGAGCAATCAACTCAGTAACTACGAACCAGTAAACATTGTAAAAACCGGATAAAAACAACCTTCTTCATTACGCTTAAACACACACACACACACACACACCCCTCCTGTTTTTTTGCATGGATCAAAAAGGTCTGTCACAGAGGACTCACGAATGACCTCTGCCAATTTGATTATCTGAATATAGAGATGGCATCAACATGCTTTGCTTAAATGTCATGTTCTGAACATTCTCAACGCTCCCTCCTCTTCCATGAGCCATACATTGCATGATAAATTAATCATCCAAAAAAACACAGAGACATCTCGATCTACAAGGCCCTGCCCTGCATGGGTCAAAAATTCGGTCACTAGATGAACAAACTTGATTTGCTAATCAATCAACCAATTGTTAATCGCAATTATGATGCTATCTTTCCCCCATTCAGTCTTGATCTTCATCACGATGACCACATGATTCCTAAAAAGGTTGAATAAGGGAAAGGCAGCATCATAATCATGAGAATAAAAGGTTGAGCACATCATGAGTCTCTCATTTCTCCATCCTCGCATCATACCATGCACCTATTGTTTCATTTATCTTGTTCTACTTTGATTCATTCTCATAGATCTTCATATTATCAATTTTATACCAAAATGGGTCACATCATTGCCCATGGATGCATAACTAAAAATGATGCAAGTATGGTGACCATACATTGTGACAATATAAATATATGGCTCCTTGAAGATAAATGAATGCTGGGAAAGTGGGGGGTTTATTAGAGTATAGAAATAAAGGAGAAGTATCTATATAGTTGATTCTCTTGAATTTATTGCAAGGAGTGTTTGACATAATCACTAGTGCCCTTACGATTTCTATCATTAGAATCAAGTGGTAGGTCTCTGATAAGTATCAGCCAAGTCAGCACTAATTAATTTCTTGTAGGATTCATTTACTCAAGAAAATGAGGGCATTGAAAAGGCACATACCTGACTCACTAGCTTGATCGTAAGAAGCAGCAACACAAGGGGCAGACCTTTTGGATGGAAATGACCGCATATTAGCTACAGTTGAATGTGCTGATAATGTGTTGGCCGAGAGATCTAAAGTAAGTAGCGGACGCTTCATCTGAGCTGATACGCATCTCGCTCTCATTAAAGCAGCTTTCCAGCCAGCATTTCGAGGACTCGCCTAGTGCTCCCAAGATATCTATGGCATTTTGTGGTGCAGTGTGAGAATAGTGGCTTGGGGAAATTGATGAGATAGTTGAGGAGATGGCAAGCAGACGGACCTCCGCTGTCTGAATCTGGGCAGTTAGGCAGGTCAGGTGGGTCGGGTCAAGTGGTCCTGGTTGTTGGGCCAGCTGGTCAGGTGGGCTAGGTCAGGTGGGTAGGTCGGGGCCTGGTGGCTGGGCCGGCGGGTCATGTGGGCTTGGGTCAGGTTATCCTGCTTGATGTGTCAAATATATGGGCTGGGCCGGCGGGTTAGGTAGGTGGGTCGGGTGGTCCTGGTGGCCCCGGTGGGTGAGCCGGTCAGATGGGCTGGGCCGAATAAGTGGCCCCCTTAAGGGGGGGTCCCTGCCGAAACCAATTCGTTTCGGCCGCGACCAATGCTGGTCTTTGTGCCGCGGCGGCGAACGAACGGTGGCGGTAGAGGCGTCGTTGGCGGAGGCAGGAGGAGGGGGCGGCGACACCGGCGGCGGGGAACGGCGGAACAGCGGTGGCGGAAGGAGAAGGCGACGACGGAGGCGGCTGGAAGGCGGGACGATGGCACCGGAGCGGGACGGCGACGATGAGGCGGCTCATCAGGGGTGAAGCGGAGGGGGCGAGAAGGGCTGCGTCGCCCGGAGGGATGCGCGACGGAGGGCCGTAGGGCCGCATGCTCCGACCGAGAGTGGAAGTGGTCCTCGCGACGAACCTCCGCCCTCTGAATCTGGGCAGCAGCCAAAATCTGTCGATAGTGTCTGTCCCCCGAGCAGCATGCGGAGAGAACGGCTCATCCTCGGTCGGATTCAACCCGTCCCGCATTTATTGGGTCTCTAGAGGAGTTCCTGGGCAGATATCTCACACTACCTGCGTGACGAGATGAATCAGATCGAGGATGTGCTGTTCTGCATGCTCGGTTAACAAACATCGGTTGAGGACTGTATAATTTTGGTTGCCCACGTTCTGACAGCGGAGGTATTGAACGGAAGAGCATGAATATAGTATTATCTATCCTTTGGTCCCATTTAACGGAAGAGTCTGAACCTTCCTTGGGAAAAAAATCGTATTACAGAAAAGATAAATCCGACAGAGGATGCAGCTATCAGATTGCCCACCGTTCCTTTCTGTTGGCAGACGGGCTCCTCTGCTTCCCATCCATGGAGTACACTGAAAATCATTGAAAGTGCCAAAGTAAATCAGTCTATTGTCATGATACGTTAAGAGGCCAATGGGAAGAGCCGTCTGTAATTATGAGGAACCATCAGGGGGAACTCATCGCGGTTCTCATACTGCCTGCACGGGCCTCTGGGTCATCGCGACCTCGGTGGATGGTTCTAAGGTCACTGCATATCTAATAGAGAAGAGAGTCGACGGGGATCATCGTCTCTTTAAACAGGTTGGGAGAGGCAGACAGAGAAATCATAAACGAAACCCTCGGAGAGCAATTCAATGCGGTGCACTGATCACAACTCGAATTCTAATAGAAAAAAAACTAGGATTAATTTGAAAGACTGGAGACACAATATCGTCTTCTCACTCCACCTGGTGTGCACTTTGATTCTTTACATAACTAACTTTGTGAATTTTTATATTTTTTATGTTTACATCAGCATATAGAATGGAAGACTATGATCGTTTTTTTCTATTTAAAGCATATTTGTGTACGAGCACTCCTTGCCCCATGCTCGGCTGGCCACCGTGGAAGGGGAGTGACGCGCACGGTGCCCCAGCCGACCCTTATCCTTACTCGCTAGAGCCTACTGTGCTTCCGACCCGTGTGCGGGCCCGGCTGGCTGGGATGACACCCCACTTTTTCTGCTTTTTAAATTTATTTTTATTTTATCTCAAAGACATAGGTATAAAAATCATATAAGTTAACGTAAAATCACATAATTAACCAAAAAATCCTATTAACTAACTAGAAACTACTACTTTTAATTTGGCACGAATATAAGTCTCTTTTTTATGAGTTGAGGCTTAAAATATGTTACTAATTAATTATTAACTCATGATAATGAACACTTATTAATAAGGTATATTATTTGAGATATATATATGTATCTCAGAGAGAGAGAGATGACCAAGTGCCAGTGGGCAGGTGACCTAAGGAGAGGGAGTGAGTGGCGTCCGAATGGGACCCACGTCCAGTGGCTACACATATTTTTGGGACAAAAATTGGGAAATAACCAAGCATTTAGTCGACGAAGATGTTACGTAGGAATATATGTCTCAAGTGGGTCCCATTTTTTTTAATATTCAGACTCTTTCTTTGGGTAGGTATATGACGTGACTTAGTCATTGTATAGTAAATCACACAAATTTAAAATTTATAAAACTAGAAAATACGAATTTTCAGAGATTTAGAAGTATTTTTGAACAAATATATTAATTATAATTCAATAAAACTTCCAAAAATAGTGGTAATTTGCCAGGTCGATCACAGAGATGTAATATAATATCAGGTAATTATTCAGAATTTTTCTCAAAGAATACTATTTTCTATGAATATCATACTAGGAAATAAAAATTAAATATATTTAACATTCACGAAAAAGGGAAATAAGGGTGCGTATGTCTGGATGATGTCAACGCCCGACAAACGCCAATCGGACAGAAATAGAGTTCCACCTGACGATTCTTTCATAAGCAATTACAAATGATTTAATTGAGAAAATTAAGATCTGTAAAATCTGGAAGAATCGTAATTGAATGAAGTATAGCTTGGTAAATTTTAAACTAAATGAAGCAAAAATTAAGTTGAAAGTAGGAAAACAGAGTTCCGGCGTCACGACGACGATGTGTCGATGATTCACGAGAATCCTGAGCGTTCGAGAGGATTGTCGTGTAGTGTCCACGGTCTCGAAGGCTCTTCTTGGACAAGGACTACGTAGACAATCTCTAGATCTCCTTGTGAAGTCTAGAGATGAATGAAATGGGTCATCAAATTGTCTCTGATGGCTGTCACCTAGCGAAGCGGAAAAACGACGACTTTGTAGCTCTTCGACGGCTCTCACCCGATGGAGAGGAGCTGGATGGAGGTGGGGCGCGTGTCAGGGAGCTTCATCCTCAGATCCGCACAATAAGAGGAGGTTCTTCATCGCATCCGGTACGCTCTCAAGAGGTGGCGACTCGTCTCTCGGCGAATTGTCCTCTTCCTGACGACGGCTTGTTCGTCGATCAATTAGAGATGCTTTACTCGATAGATTTGTGATCCTTTTATCACAAATCATTCAACAATTTTAGTAACAATGTTCTGCAAATCGCGTTGACGAGATTTTCATCGATAATCCAACAATTTTGGCAGCATAAACCTTTACCGGCGATCTGTAGGAAAGTCGCGATAATCAGATAAAAAATATTACTTTTTAGCTCTGAGAGGATTCAAACCCATGTTGGTTGCTCACTTGCACAAGAGAGATTGACATAAATACTCTAATGCCCTTATCAAATGACGTCATTGCAGTATATCTCTATTATAAATAAGAGATATTTTAGGTATTAAAATCATCGAACCCTTTATGGGGAAGGTGTGACGTGGGTTTAGTCCCACATCATTTGTACGCCGAAGTTTCGGGTAAATATATAGTAATATTATATTTTCAATCAAGTCCCTTTCTCTTGCGTGTACAACCACTCCTTGGCCCACAGCTGACTGGCCACCGGTGACGTGGATGGAGAGTGGCGCACACGTGCCTCTATCGGTCATAGTTGCTCAAGCCCCTACTTGCGGCTCCGCCCTAATTGCACTTCCGACCCGCTTGCGGGCTCGGTTGGCCAGCGGGTCCCTCCTCATTTTGTTATATTTTTATTTTTATTTCTTTTTCTTCATTTATCTCAAAAGTAAGATTGTAAAAATCATATAAATTTGTATAAAATAACATAATTACTCAAAAATTCACGTTATTAATTGAAAACCACTTTTCATACTTTAACACAAATATAAGTCTATTTATCATGAGTTAAGGCTAAAACTATATTATTTACTAATTATTAACTCATGATAATGAAAACTTATCAGTATCCCATAGATACTAGCTGCTAGAGGGGATGAACGATCAACGAGGATGTTATGCATCTCCGAGGACTGTACAGATTTTGGTTGCACAGATTCTGACAACGAAGGTACTGAACAGAAGAATATGAACAAAATGAATAGAGGTACTGTACCTCGGCATGTACTAGATAAGATAGATGGAGAAAAAGAGACGAGAGGGAGAAATGGGGAGAAGAAGAAGGCCCTGATTGTCGCACCTTCTAGTTTTCTTTCTTCTTGTGCCTTTTTCTATGGAGAGTGAAAGTAATAAGTTTTATGGAGATGAAAGTTTGGCCAGTACGGAAGAAAAAAACAAGAGATATCATCTTTAGAGTAATGTAAAATGCTGGGAGCAAAAAATAAAAATATACGTAAAACTCCATCATAAACCCATTTCAAGCTAGCCCATCGACTGTGAGTCAGTGGTCTTTGAAGGAGATCCCAACTTTCGACGTGCGTCAGATCCACCAAAATTGCATGGTTCCTCACACATCATTTTAGCATGTGCTCAGAACCCACCACCACCCAAAAGCCGGTGCTCCGAGGAGTTTCACAGTAAAAATACAGAAAATCATCTTCACAATACTTGAAAACCCGAGAGGGCCGTAGAAGACAATGCCCAAACATGTCTCCCAAAGGCAAAAGCATAGACGACCTTTGAAAGATTTTGTTTAGAATCTCAAGTTGATCTAAAAGCACTCACTACACATATTAAAGATTTTGTAATTCTAGTCTAATTGAATACCACATAGCTATTTTTCAACTCATATAGTAATTAAAAATCTAATAAAACTAATGAGACTATTACTATTCCTTTATAATATAAAGCGATTTAAATTGACATTTACTGGTGTCCTAGATTCAAACTTTCTATCTATATGAAATTTAATGTATTAGTGTATCACTAAGGTAACTACATATTTTAATCTCCATTGTCAATGAAGAAGCATACTTGACACAACAAGTATGTTGGCATACTCCTTTTGACTAAAAATGCATTTGATACATTGTTATTGAATGTTGTTCTCTCTATATATCATTTCAACTTCATCAAACATCTCTAAAAAGAAATCCAAATTATGTTGGAACATTGTGGAGGACCTCGCTTCTATTGCTCTATAAAACAAAAATTTGAAGAAACTTATGTATTTCTAATGTTAAAATTAATCATGTTTTATATTTTGATGAATTTATTCAACTATATGTACTGAAGTTCATTGTTACTATACTATTTAATAATATAGTCCAAGGAGTTTCTTCCAGCTCTCTAATCACTTGGAAATATACATTGTTCATCAAAGGAGAGGGCATCCAATGAGGTAAATTTAATGGGTTTCAAAAAGAAATCCATGAGAATCCATTTAAAAAGTTGAAATTGCAAGTTTTATTACTATTGACGTCATTACATGAAATCTATCCTAGCAAATATTTTTCTTGTCACGAGACTTGAGATTTCCTGTTGGTTTTGATTGTAGTCATAAACTAGTTGTGTATCACAATCATCACTTCTCTAAGAGGTTTCATTAAATGACGTTATCATCAGGTGCTGTCATATTTTGTCATCTGATTTTAATATTTCTTCGACCTAATCCAAATTCACTTTCATTTACTCTCTCCGTGATGTGGAACTTCTAAGAAGGCTTCAACCATAGACTCCGTAAAGTGCAACATCAAGTGAGCATACTGTATTCATAGATTCGTGTTTAGGGTTTGGTCGCGAGGACCACCGTCGCCCCCGGTCAAGGGGCTGGTCGCGAGGATCACCCCCGCCCCCGGTCAAGTGGCTGGTCGCGAGAACGACTGCCACACTCGGTCGGAACATGCGGCTCTACGGCCCTCCGTCGTGCATCCCTCCGGGCGCCGCAGCCCTTCTCGTCCCCTCCGCTTCACCCCTGATGAGCCGCCTCATCGTCGCCGTCCCCCTCTAGTGCCACCGTCTCACGCACCAGGGCCAACACGACCACCCAACCCACCTACCTGACCCGCCGGCCCAGTCCGTATGTTTGACACAGCAAGCAGGACCACCTGACCAAGCGCACCTGACCCGCCGGCCCAGCCACCTTAGCCATCGGAGCCCAACCGGCATGACCTCCTGGTCCGTGCCCAACTGCGTCCCTATCCCGACCATCTCGGGCCCCCGGTTCAAACCGGCTCCTCCCACTGGTCAGGTTTCTCCCGGGTCACCTGGTCCGCACGAGCCGCACGAGCCGCACAACTGGTTCGAGCCAGCCCACAGAATCAACCCATTCAGCCTTGTCAGCAGTCAACAAACAGTAGAATAGTGTCAATGGTCAACCATTTTTGCCGAGTCAACAGTCAACTCATACCACAAGTCAGGCCCACCAAGCCCAACTCAGGGGGTTGTCCCAGCAATCACGTGTCCAATAATAATACCTTTTTTTCTTAAATAGGTAAGGACTCGCCACATATCAAGATGAGGGTGAAGTCGAAAGCCAGCTTCAATAACGATCATACCTTTAATATACGTACCAGGCATTTGGTCAACGAGGATGTTATATATAAATATATGTACGAGGTGGGTCCCATTTTGCTTTTGAGAAGGGAATCTCCTCGATTCTGGGAACTGTTGACGTGGTAGGCCCAGCCAGCCCTTCACGCGAGCGTCCGGAGGTCTTCATACCTTCTAGTACCGAACTAACCGCTCCGCTTCATACAGCAGAACCCGATATGAATTTTATATACGCAGAGATCCCCACATGCAGAGAGAGGGGACTATTTCTCACCCCCCCGGGGGTTTAAGGGAGCGGGGGGCTCTTTCAAGATCTACGGTTGTACCCAGCCGTTGACTTCCTGCTTGTTGCCGGCTTTCCTCCTCCGTTGCCTGTGCAACCACCTGCGGCTTTCCTCACCTGCCCATATGTTATTTCCCGCCCTCTGCATGCGGCTGGCTCTAACAGAGACGCAGAGAGAGAGAGAGAGAGAGAGAGAGCGAGCGCTATAAGTTAACATCGGTTAACTTTTCTGAATGAAATACCAATGACGTTCGGCAAAATTGTTTGCACCTGCTATAAGGCCGCCTTGCGGACTAAACTTTACATTGCATGAGTGCTAACAGGGCACGACCTCTCAGTCTCGAGACTCGAAGCACTTGTGATTCTCAGACTCCGCCCTTTCCCCTTGTCTCCTTCCGCCTCTCTCTCTCTCTCTCTCTCTCTCTCTCTCTCTCTCTGTATATGCAAGAGAATGATAAAAAATTAGATCCCGGTATATGTGCAAGAAGAGTACGAGAGTGTGCATTATATCAGTGTGCGGCGGGCGATGGAAATGGGTGCGGCTGGCAACAAGCCTACCGTGCCTTGTCCTGTTAGCGTACCCTTCTCGGGGGGATGGCGGGGTCTTCCCTACTAGTTACTGTCCATGCCCGTGCCGGCGTGCGTGCCCATGCGTAAACGTGCGCTGACGACTCGTGCGGTGATTCTCGCCTCTCTTCCATTGACTTGATGCCGCCGCGAGTAGATGGGTTGCTCTGTGAGAGCATGGAGCCGATGTGCATGCATGACAATGCCTCTGCTGTCAATGGCAGTGCTAACATTATGTATTTTCTTGTGAAAATTTATCATATCGAGAGTTATGTTGTTCTATGAAGTTTGCAAAGTTCTATCTTAGCTACCTCAGAGTTATCCCTCTTTTGTCAAAAATTATATAACTACAATTATTTTTCATAATTTAATATGAGTATACGTTTATTTATCATGAGTTAGGATTTAAAATAAGTTATTAATTAATGCCGTTGATGGACTAGCGACCTCGGTGGATGGTTCTAAGGTCACTGCAGATCTGCTTAGACTAGCGCGAAGAGAAGAGAGCCGAATGCCGTTGGGGGAAGCAGACAGCGAAACGAGAAACGAAATCCTCGGAGCGCACTCAATGCGGTCCACCGACCACGACTCAAATTCTAATAGAAAAAAACTCGGACTAATTGATGAACGGATGAACCGCGGAACCCAACAGGTACGAACAACAGAGATCATTGCAGAGCACTCTGACACAGAAAACTCCCTAGATAACCCGATCTACAGACCTGGGCGTCAATCGCGCGTCACATTCTTCCAAGTCCATCTTCTCGCCTCGACCCCCCAAGGAAAAACGAGGGGAACCTCGCGCGCAGTGCAGCCCCGCTCCCGCCAATGGCCTGCCGCCGGAGAGGAACAGGGGACGAAGCACGGCCCTGCCTCTCTCGCTCGCTCTCTCTCTCTCTCTCTCTCTCTCTCTCTCTCTCTCTCTCTCTCTCTCTCTCTCTCTCTCTCTCTCTGCGTCTCTGTTAGAGCCAGCCGCATGCAGAGGGCGGGAAATAACCTATGGGCAGGTGAGGAACTTCTTAAGCTCTATCATTAAATAGTATAGTAATAATCAACTTAAGTACATAAAGTTAGCTAAATTGATCAAAAGATAAAATATAATTAATTTTAACATGAGACTTCCATAAGTACTCTTTAATTTTTCATTAAGAGAATAGAAGTGAGATCCTCCACAATGCTCAAACATAATTTGAAATTTACTTCAGAGATGTCTAATGAAATTCACATGATATAGAGACCCTTTCATTAAGGCCTTCTTACTGTACGAAGTATTTGGTTTATTTCTTCCAAAGTTACCTCCCCTCGGGCACCGCATGGCTTAATCAGCGTGAAGGGATAAGCGACGGTAGAAGCCGTCGTTGTTGGGAACTTCGTGTATGATGGCCTCCCTGATCAACACGTGATGTAAGTAATAAATCGGGGTTAGAGTGTAAAAATAAAGGGGCGGTATATGAGTATCTTTGATACCTCTGAATTTAATGGAAGGAGCGTATGTCAGCTTCACTGGAAGGAGGCGGCAAGCAGACGAACCCAATAATTCAGTGTCCCACTGCTCCTCCTCTCTCGTTTTATCTTCTCCCATCGTTGCCTCTTCTCCGGTCTACACGATCACGAAAAGGCATCTTTTTTGTGAGGTAAGATATTCACAGATTGGCATCACCCAGAGACTGACTGACGACTTCGCATCTCGTTGACCCACCTTGGGATTTAAGAACTCTGAAGAAGGGCCGGCGCAAATGATCTCAACAGGGTCGTCATGGTTGCACTGCAGCATGCGCCTCCTTTTCAGCTGCGGCGACTCGGCAGACCCATCTGCACTGTCCTTCGCCGTGCCTGGAACCCACACTCCTCCGTCAAATAGGACCAAAATGGATGACATACATTTTGTTCATAGTCTTCCGTTCAGTACCTCCGCTGTCAGAAACTGCGCAGCCAAAATCTGTGCAGTCCCCGAGCATGCCGAACCGCTCATGATAGTTCGTCCCGTCCAGCAGGTAGTGTGGGATGCCTACCCAGGAAAGAGTCTGAATCTTAGAGAAAAAATCGTACTGACAGAGAGGTAAGTCCGGCAGAGGATGCAGCTATATCAGGCTGCTCACCGTTCCACTCTGTCAGCAGACCGCAGCCCTCTGTTTCCCATTCAAAGAGTTGGCTGAAAATCATCGAAGAGGCCAAGTAGATGAGTCGATGAATTATCATGATAGTTTGGGAAGAGCCGTCTGTAATTATGAGGAACCGGACGGCAGTGGATCCATCACGCGGAACTCATCGAGGTACTCATACTTCCCGCAAGGACCTCTGGGGGAGGCTCATCGCGACCTCGGTGGATGGTTCTAAGGTCACTGCAGATCTGCTTAGACTAGCGCGAAGAGAAGAGAGCCGAATGCCGTTGGGAGAAGCAGACAGCGAAACGAGAAACGAAATCCTCGGAGCGCACTCAATGCGGTCCACCGACCACGACTCAAATTCTAATAGAAAAAAACTCGGACTAATTGATGAACGGATGAACCGCGGAACCCAACAGGTACGAACAACAGAGATCATTGCAGAGCACTCTGACACAGAAAACTCCCTAGATAACCCGATCTACAAACCTGGGCGTCAATCGCGCGTCACATTCTTCCAAGTCCATCTTCTCGCCTCGACCCCCCAAGGAAAAACGAGGGGAACCTCGCGCCCAGTGCAGCCCCGCTCCCGCCAATGGCCTGCCGCCGGAGAGGAACAGGGGACGAAGCACGGCCCTGCCTCTCTCTCTCTCTCTCTCTCTCTCTGCGTCTCTGTTAGAGCCAGCCGCATGCAGAGGGCGGGAAATAACATATGGGCAGGTGAGGAAAGCCGCAGGTGGTTGCACAGGCAACGGAGGAGGAAAGCCGGCAACAAGCAGGAAGTCAACGGCTGGGTACAACCGTAGATCTTGAAAGAGCCCCCCGCTCCCTTAAACCCCCGGGGGGGTGAGAAATAGTCCCCTCTCTCTGCATGTGGGGATCTCTGCGTATATAAAATTCATATCGGGTTCTGCTGTATGAAGCGGAGCGGTTAGTTCGGTACTAGAAGGTATGAAGACCTCCGGACGCTCGCGTGAAGGGCTGGCTGGGCCTACCACGTCAACAGTTCCCAGAATCGAGGAGATTCCCTTCTCAAAAGCAAAATGGGACCCACCTCGTACATATATTTATATATAACATCCTCGTTGACCAAATGCCTGGTACGTATATTAAAGGTATGATCGTTACTGAAGCTGGCTTCATGCTCTACGTAGATCTGGTACATATAATTTTTGACAAAAGAGGATAACTCTGAGGTAGCTAAGATAGAACTTTGCAAACTTCATAAAACATGATTTATTTTAACATTAGAAATACATAAGTTTCTTCAATTTTTTATTTTATAGAGCAATAGAAGCGAGGTCCTCCACAATGTTCCGACATAATTTGGATTTATTTTTAGAAATGTTTGATGAAGTTGAAATGATATATAGAGAGAACAACATTCAATAACAATGTATCAAGTGCATTTTTAGTCAAAAGGAATATGCCAACATACTTGTTGTGTCAAGTATGCTTCTTCATTGACAATGGAGATTAAAATATGTAGTTACCATTGTGATAAATTAATACATTAAATTTCATATAGATTGAAAGTTTGAATCTAGGACACCAGTAAATGTCAATTTAAATCACTTTATATTATAAAGGAATAGTAATAGTCTCATTAGTTTTATTAGATTTTTAATTACTGTATGAGTTGAAAAATCGCTATGCGGTATTCAATTAGACTAGAATTACAAAATCTTTAATATGTGTAGTGAGTGCTTTTAGATCAACTTGAGATTCTAAACAAAATCTTTCGTAATTTGATTTGTTGCATAAACCAAAGTGATAGAACTTATTCTTGAGCCCCATAGTTTGTATACAATTGTATGGTCAATTGATCTGAAAATATTTCTCCATTTTTAATATTTAACCATTTTCCTTCAACAATTTCCTTCAATTTTCTCCCTAGACCAAAAACTGAAAGGACAAGTATTCCAGCTAATTATACAATAAAAGTGCTTAAATCATTTCATTTCATCAAGTATATTAAACCGGTTGTCACCCAATGAAAGTAATTAAAATAAAAAACAAGATAAGCTTTATAAAGTAGGCAATTTGGCCATTTAGCACTTGAGGAAAAAGGGTTCTCAATTGATAGTTTTGAAAAGTTGAACCCTAGGAAATCTGTGCCATTAAAATTTTTACAAATGATTAGAACAATACATATGTACTTTATTTACCTCCAAAAATAATTATAGGTTCAACCTTTAATGTGGTTGAGATTGATGACTACTATGTGACGCCACATGGAGAGTCAAGAGTAAAAAAAATTCAAGTAGGAAAAATTGATTTAACATACAACTCTAGGCAACCAGAAATGTCCCTGATTGGTGATTGCTGACCAAAGTTGTTGAAAAACATAAAAATGTAGACCACAAAGGTTGAAAGGCCTCAAATGGGTTCTATACCCAAAATGCATTCAAATGAGGTCAATTTGTGTCGATAACATGTGATTTTCATAAGACCAATATTTTTTTTCATATTAATTCAGTTTATGTTGTTTGGTTAGTTGATCTCATTTTTAGGAGTGCAAAAACTGATTTTGGCCTATTTAACAGCTAGCATGTGATAATATTTATAGAAAAATTCAATAGTAATATAATTTTGTTGTCTTTGGAAATTTTACTTGACTTGTGGGTTGAAGAGCTAATGGGCCATCATTGAGGCTCATTCACATAAATGCTTTTGGATTCAAGACAATACAGTCTAATCATTGAGGTTTCAAATATTTCCAGAAACATTTTTCTAAACTCAATGATTGATGATCTTGTGCCTCATGATTAAATGGAGATTTTTTTGTTCTTCTATGACTTCCCTATGTGGCACAAATTGACAACCCTTTATTCCAAAATAAAGATTTTTTTATATTATGTGTACATCATTCTTATATTTTTACTCATTATAATCAATCCTACAAGGGTATGCTAAGTTTACTTGGTAACTTTGAAGATGATTTTATTAGTAATGACTAGATGTTTTAACTAACACTCATCTTTAGTCTATTTATCACAACTTGTCATCCGGAGACGAAGATCCGGACTGAAGGGGGGGAAAAGAACAAAAGGCTGAGCACATGACAACGAGCCTCTCATTTCGCCATCCTCGCGTGATATCATGCAGCACCCAGTGTAAGTTTCTAGTTTCCTCATCTCCGTCTACTTCCATTGATTCTCACCCATGTTCATCTTTTCAGTTTCCTGCCACAATGGGTAACATCGCTGCCCATGGATGCAGGAATAAATCGGATGCAATGTATGGCTCATGGAAGAGGAGGGAGCGTTGGGAATGTTCAGAACATGACATTTAAGCAAAGCATGTTGATGCCATCTCTATATTCAGATAATCAAATTGGCAGAGGTCATTCGTGAGTCCTCTGTGACAGACCTTTTTGATCCATGCAAAAAAACAGGAGGGGGGTGTGTGTGTGTGTGTGTTTAAGCGTAACGGAGAAGGTTGTTTTTATCCGGTTTTTACAATGTTTACTGGTTCATAGTTGCTGAGTTGATTGCTCTATATACTCCCAGGGAGTGCGGTGTACGCGACAACCCTAACGAGTAGGAACAGGCGGCTGAATATCTAGTCTCAATATGTTCTGGTTTGAACTTAACACGATATTTGGATAATGTCAGATAAATACCTGCATTTATACTCATATTAAATTATGAAAAATAATTTTAGTTAGATAATTTTTGACAAAAGAGGATAACTCTGAGGTAGCTAAGATAGAACTTTGCAAACTTCATAGAACAACATAACTCTCGATATGATAAATGTTCACAAGAAAAGACATAATGTTAGCACTACCATTGATAGCAGAGGCATTGTCATGCATGCACATCGGCTCCATGCTCTCACAGAGCAACCCATCTAACTAAAATTATTTTTCATAATTTAATATGAGTATAAATGCAGGTATTTATCTGACATTATCCAAATATCGTGTTAAGTTCAAACCAGAACATATTCATACTAGATATTCAGCCGCCTGTTCCTACTCGTCAGGGTTGTCGCGTACACCGCACTCCCTGGGAGTATATAGAGCAATCAACTCAGTAACTACGAACCAGTAAACATTGTAAAAACCGGATAAAAACAACCTTCTTCATTACGCTTAAACACACACACACACACACACACCCCTCCTATTTTTTTGCATGGATCAAAAAGGTCTGTCACAGAGGACTCACGAATGACCTCTGCCAATTTGATTATCTGAATATAGAGATGGCATCAACATGCTTTGCTTAAATGTCATGTTCTGAACATTCTCAACGCTCCCTCCTCTTCCATGAGCCATACATTGCATGATAAATTAATCATCCAAAAAAACACAGAGACATCTCGATCTACAAGGCCCTGCCCTGCATGGGTCAAAAATTCGGTCACTAGATGAACAAACTTGATTTGCTAATCAATCAACCAATTGTTAATCGCAATTATGATGCTATCTTTCCCCCATTCAGTCTTGATCTTCATCACGATGACCACATGATTCCTAAAAAGGTTGAATAAGGGAAAGGCAGCATCATAATCATGAGAATAAAAGGTTGAGCACATCATGAGTCTCTCATTTCTCCATCCTCGCATCATACCATGCACCTATTGTTTCATTTATCTTGTTCTACTTTGATTCATTCTCATAGATCTTCATATTATCAATTTTATACCAAAATGGGTCACATCATTGCCCATGGATGCATAACTAAAAATGATGCAAGTATGGTGACCATACATTGTGACAATATAAATATATGGCTCCTTGAAGATAAATGAATGCTGGGAAAGTGGGGGGTTTATTAGAGTATAGAAATAAAGGAGAAGTATCTATATAGTTGATTCTCTTGAATTTATTGCAAGGAGTGTTTGACATAATCACTAGTGCCCTTACGATTTCTATCATTAGAATCAAGTGGTAGGTCTCTGATAAGTATCAGCCAAGTCAGCACTAATTAATTTCTTGTAGGATTCATTTACTCAAGAAAATGAGGGCATTGAAAAGGCACATACCTGACTCACTAGCTTGATCGTAAGAAGCAGCAACACAAGGGGCAGACCTTTTGGATGGAAATGACCGCATATTAGCTACAGTTGAATGTGCTGATAATGTGTTGGCCGAGAGATCTAAAGTAAGTAGCGGACGCTTCATCTGAGCTGATACGCATCTCGCTCTCATTAAAGCAGCTTTCCAGCCAGCATTTCGAGGACTCGCCTAGTGCTCCCAAGATATCTATGGCATTTTGTGGTGCAGTGTGAGAATAGTGGCTTGGGGAAATTGATGAGATAGTTGAGGAGATGGCAAGCAGACGGACCTCCGCTGTCTGAATCTGGGCAGTTAGGCAGGTCAGGTGGGTCGGGTCAAGTGGTCCTGGTTGTTGGGCCAGCTGGTCAGGTGGGCTAGGTCAGGTGGGTAGGTCGGGGCCTGGTGGCTGGGCCGGCGGGTCATGTGGGCTTGGGTCAGGTTATCCTGCTTGATGTGTCAAATATATGGGCTGGGCCGGCGGGTTAGGTAGGTGGGTCGGGTGGTCCTGGTGGCCCCGGTGGGTGAGCCGGTCAGATGGGCTGGGCCGAATAAGTGGCCCCCTTAAGGGGGGGTCCCTGCCGAAACCAATTCGTTTCGGCCGCGACCAATGCTGGTCTTTGTGCCGCGGCGGCGAACGAACGGTGGCGGTAGAGGCGTCGTTGGCGGAGGCAGGAGGAGGGGGCGGCGACACCGGCGGCGGGGAACGGCGGAACAGCGGTGGCGGAAGGAGAAGGCGACGACGGAGGCGGCTGGAAGGCGGGACGATGGCACCGGAGCGGGACGGCGACGATGAGGCGGCTCATCAGGGGTGAAGCGGAGGGGGCGAGAAGGGCTGCGTCGCCCGGAGGGATGCGCGACGGAGGGCCGTAGGGCCGCATGCTCCGACCGAGAGTGGAAGTGGTCCTCGCGACGAACCTCCGCCCTCTGAATCTGGGCAGCAGCCAAAATCTGTCGATAGTGTCTGTCCCCCGAGCAGCATGCGGAGAGAACGGCTCATCCTCGGTCGGATTCAACCCGTCCCGCATTTATTGGGTCTCTAGAGGAGTTCCTGGGCAGATATCTCACACTACCTGCGTGACGAGATGAATCAGATCGAGGATGTGCTGTTCTGCATGCTCGGTTAACAAACATCGGTTGAGGACTGTATAATTTTGGTTGCCCACGTTCTGACAGCGGAGGTATTGAACGGAAGAGCATGAATATAGTATTATCTATCCTTTGGTCCCATTTAACGGAAGAGTCTGAACCTTCCTTGGGAAAAAAATCGTATTACAGAAAAGATAAATCCGACAGAGGATGCAGCTATCAGATTGCCCACCGTTCCTTTCTGTTGGCAGACGGGCTCCTCTGCTTCCCATCCATGGAGTACACTGAAAATCATTGAAAGTGCCAAAGTAAATCAGTCTATTGTCATGATACGTTAAGAGGCCAATGGGAAGAGCCGTCTGTAATTATGAGGAACCATCAGGGGGAACTCATCGCGGTTCTCATACTGCCTGCACGGGCCTCTGGGTCATCGCGACCTCGGTGGATGGTTCTAAGGTCACTGCATATCTAATAGAGAAGAGAGTCGACGGGGATCATCGTCTCTTTAAACAGGTTGGGAGAGGCAGACAGAGAAATCATAAACGAAACCCTCGGAGCGCAATTCAATGCGGTGCACTGATCACAACTCGAATTCTAATAGAAAAAAAACTAGGATTAATTTGAAAGACTGGAGACACAATATCGTCTTCTCACTCCACCTGGTGTGCACTTTGATTCTTTACATAACTAACTTTGTGAATTTTTATATTTTTTATGTTTACATCAGCATATAGAATGGAAGACTATGATCGTTTTTTTCTATTTAAAGCATATTTGTGTACGAGCACTCCTTGCCCCATGCTCGGCTGGCCACCGTGGAAGGGGAGTGACGCGCACGGTGCCCCAGCCGACCCTTATCCTTACTCGCTAGAGCCTACTGTGCTTCCGACCCACGTGCGGGCCCGGCTGGCTGGGATGACACCCCACTTTTTCTACTTTTTAAATTTATTTTTATTTTATCTCAAAGACATAGTTATAAAAATCATATAAGTTACTGTAAAATAACATAATTAACCAAAAAATCCTATTAACTAACTAGAAACTACTACTTTTAATTTGGCACGAATATAAGTCTCTTTTTTATGAGTTGAGGCTTAAAATATGTTACTAATTAATTATTAACTCATGATAATGAACACTTATTAATAAGGTATATTATTTGAGATATATAATGTATCTCAGAGAGAGAGATGACCAAGTGTCAATGGGCAGGTGACTTGAGGAGAGGGAGTGAGTGGCATCTGAATGGGGCCGACATCTAGTGGCTACGCATATTTTTGGGACCAGAAATGGGAAATAACCAGGCATTTACTCAACGAAGATGTTACGTAGGACTATATATCTCAAGTGGGTCCCATTTTTTCTAATATTCAGACTCTTTCTCTAGGTAGGTATATGACGTGACTTAGTCGTTGTATAGTAAATCACACAAATTTAAAATTTATAAAACTAGAAAATACGAATTTTCAGAGATTTAGAAGTATTTTTGAACAAATATATTAATTATAATTCAATAAAACTTCCAAAAAAAAGCGGTAATTTTCCAGGTCGATCACAAAGATGTAATATAATATCAGGTAATTATTCAGAATTTTTTTTCAAAGAATACTATTTTCTATGAATTTCATATTAGGAAATAAAAATTAAAATATTTAACATTCACGAAAAAGGGAAATAAGGGTGCGGACGTCTGGATGATGTCAATGCCTGACAAATGCCAATCGGACAGAAATAGAGTTCCACCTAGCAATTCTTACGTAAGCGATTACAAACGATTTAATTGATAAAATTAAGATCTGTAAAATCCGGAAGAATCGTAATTGAATGAAGTATAGCTCGGTAAATTTTAAATCAATAAATTATCATTAAATGAAGTGAAAATTAAGTTGAAAGTAAGAAAACAGAGTTCTGGCGTCACGACGACGATGTGTCGATGATTCACGAGAATTCTGAGCATTCGAGAGGATTGACATGTAGTGTCCATGATCTCGAAGGCTCTCTTTAGATAAGGACTACGTAGCCAATCTCTAGATCTCCTTACGAAGTCTAGAGATGAATGAAATGGGTCGTCAAATCGTCTTTGACGGTTGTCACCTAGCAGAGCAGAAAAACGACGACTTTGCGGCTCTCCGACGGCTGTCACCCGACGGAGAGGAACTGGACGGAGGTGGGGCGTGTGTCAGGGAGCTTCATCCTCAGATCCGTGCAATAAGAGGAGGTTCTTTATCGCATCCGGTATGCTCTCAGGAGGTGGCGACTCGTCTTCTGGCGGATTGTCCTCTTTCTGACGACGGCTTGTTCGTCGATCAATTAGAGATGCTATACTCGATGGATTTGTGATCCTTTTATTGCAAATCGTTCAGCAATTTTAGTAACAATGTTCTGCAAATCGCGTTGACGAAATTTTCACTGATAATCTAGCAATTCTAGCAGCATAAACCTTTACCGGCAATCTGTAGGAAAGTTGCGATAATCAGATAAAAAATATGAGTTTTGGCTCTTGGAGGATTCGAACCCGCATTGGTTGCCCGCTTGCATAAGAGAGATTGACATAAATACTCTAATGCCCTTATCAAATGACGTCATTATAGTATATCTCTATTATAAATAAGGGATATTTTAGGTATTAAAATCATCGAACCCTTTATGGGGAAGGTGTGACGTGGGTTTAGTCTCACATCATTTGTACGCCGAAGTTTCGGGCGAATATATAGTAATATTATATTTTCAATCAAGTCCCTTTCTCTTGCGTGTACGACCACTCCTTGGCCCACAACCGGCTACCCACCGGTGACGTGGATGGAGAGTGACGCACACGTGCCTCTATCGGTCGTAATCGCTCGAGCCCCTGCTTGCGGCTCCGCCCTAATTGCACTTCCGACCCACTTACGGGCTTGGCTGGCCAGCGGGTCCCTCCTCATTTTGTTATATTTTTATTTTTATTTCTTTTTCTTCATTTATCTCAAAAGTAAGATTGTAAAAATCATATAAATTTGTATAAAATAACATAATTACTCAAAAATTCACGTTATTAATTGAAAACCACTTTTCATACTTTAACACAAATATAAGTCTATTTATCATGAGTTAAGGCTAAAACTATATTATTTACTAATTATTAACTCATGATAATGAAAACTTATCAGTATCCCATAGATACTAGCTGCTAGAGGGGATGAACGATCAACGAGGATGTTATGCATCTCCGAGGACTGTACAGATTTTGGTTGCACAGATTCTGACAACGAAGGTACTGAACAGAAGAATATGAACAAAATGAATAGAGGTACTGTACCTCGGCATGTACTAGATAAGATAGATGGAGAAAAAGAGACGAGAGGGAGAAATGGGGAGAAGAAGAAGGCCCTGATTGTCGCACCTTCTAGTTTTCTTTCTTCTTGTGCCTTTTTCTATGGAGAGTGAAAGTAATAAGTTTTATGGAGATGAAAGTTTGGCCAGTACGGAAGAAAAAAACAAGAGATATCATCTTTAGAGTAATGTAAAATGCTGGGAGCAAAAAATAAAAATATACGTAAAACTCCATCATAAACCCATTTCAAGCTAGCCCATCGACTGTGAGTCAGTGGTCTTTGAAGGAGATCCCAACTTTCGACGTGCGTCAGATCCACCAAAATTGCATGGTTCCTCACACATCATTTTAGCATGTGCTCAGAACCCACCACCACCCAAAAGCCGGTGCTCCGAGGAGTTTCACAGTAAAAATACAGAAAATCATCTTCACAATACTTGAAAACCCGAGAGGGCCGTAGAAGACAATGCCCAAACATGTCTCCCAAAGGCAAAAGCATAGACGACCTTTGAAAGATTTTGTTTAGAATCTCAAGTTGATCTAAAAGCACTCACTACACATATTAAAGATTTTGTAATTCTAGTCTAATTGAATACCACATAGCTATTTTTCAACTCATATAGTAATTAAAAATCTAATAAAACTAATGAGACTATTACTATTCCTTTATAATATAAAGCGATTTAAATTGACATTTACTGGTGTCCTAGATTCAAACTTTCTATCTATATGAAATTTAATGTATTAGTGTATCACTAAGGTAACTACATATTTTAATCTCTATTGTCAATGAAGAAGCATACTTGACACAACAAGTATGTTGGCATACTCCTTTTGACTAAAAATGCATTTGATACATTGTTATTGAATGTTGTTCTCTCTATATATCATTTCAACTTCATCAAACATCTCTAAAAAGAAATCCAAATTATGTTGGAACATTGTGGAGGACCTCGCTTCTATTGCTCTATAAAACAAAAATTTGAAGAAACTTATGTATTTCTAATGTTAAAATTAATCATGTTTTATATTTTGATGAATTTATTCAACTATATGTACTGAAGTTCATTGTTACTATACTATTTAATAATATAGTCCAAGGAGTTTCTTCCAGCTCTCTAATCACTTGGAAATATACATTGTTCATCAAAGGAGAGGGCATCCAATGAGGTAAATTTAATGGGTTTCAAAAAGAAATCCATGAGAATCCATTTAAAAAGTTGAAATTGCAAGTTTTATTACTATTGACGTCATTACATGAAATCTATCCTAGCAAATATTTTTCTTGTCACGAGACTTGAGATTTCCTGTTGGTTTTGATTGTAGTCATAAACTAGTTGTGTATCACAATCATCACTTCTCTAAGAGGTTTCATTAAATGACGTTATCATCAGGTGCTGTCATATTTTGTCATCTGATTTTAATATTTCTTCGACCTAATCCAAATTCACTTTCATTTACTCTCTCCGTGATGTGGAACTTCTAAGAAGGCTTCAACCATAGACTCCGTAAAGTGCAACATCAAGTGAGCATACTGTATTCATAGATTCGTGTTTAGGGTTTGGTCGCGAGGACCACCGTCGCCCCCGGTCAAGGGGCTGGTCGCGAGGATCACCCCCGCCCCCGGTCAAGTGGCTGGTCGCGAGAACGACTGCCACACTCGGTCGGAACATGCGGCTCTACGGCCCTCCGTCGTGCATCCCTCCGGGCGCCGCAGCCCTTCTCGTCCCCTCCGCTTCACCCCTGATGAGCCGCCTCATCGTCGCCGTCCCCCTCTAGTGCCACCGTCTCACGCACCAGGGCCAACACGACCACCCAACCCACCTACCTGACCCGCCGGCCCAGTCCGTATGTTTGACACAGCAAGCAGGACCACCTGACCAAGCGCACCTGACCCGCCGGCCCAGCCACCTTAGCCATCGGAGCCCAACCGGCATGACCTCCTGGTCCGTGCCCAACTGCGTCCCTATCCCGACCATCTCGGGCCCCCGGTTCAAACCGGCTCCTCCCACTGGTCAGGTTTCTCCCGGGTCACCTGGTCCGCACGAGCCGCACGAGCCGCACAACTGGTTCGAGCCAGCCCACAGAATCAACCCATTCAGCCTTGTCAGCAGTCAACAAACAGTAGAATAGTGTCAATGGTCAACCATTTTTGCCGAGTCAACAGTCAACTCATACCACAAGTCAGGCCCACCAAGCCCAACTCAGGGGGTTGTCCCAGCAATCACGTGTCCAATAATAATACCTTTTTTTCTTAAATAGGTAAGGACTCGCCACATATCAAGATGAGGGTGAAGTCGAAAGCCAGCTTCAATAACGATCATACCTTTAATATACGTACCAGGCATTTGGTCAACGAGGATGTTATATATAAATATATGTACGAGGTGGGTCCCATTTTGCTTTTGAGAAGGGAATCTCCTCGATTCTGGGAACTGTTGACGTGGTAGGCCCAGCCAGCCCTTCACGCGAGCGTCCGGAGGTCTTCATACCTTCTAGTACCGAACTAACCGCTCCGCTTCATACAGCAGAACCCGATATGAATTTTATATACGCAGAGATCCCCACATGCAGAGAGAGGGGACTATTTCTCACCCCCCCGGGGGTTTAAGGGAGCGGGGGGCTCTTTCAAGATCTACGGTTGTACCCAGCCGTTGACTTCCTGCTTGTTGCCGGCTTTCCTCCTCCGTTGCCTGTGCAACCACCTGCGGCTTTCCTCACCTGCCCATATGTTATTTCCCGCCCTCTGCATGCGGCTGGCTCTAACAGAGACGCAGAGAGAGAGAGAGAGAGAGAGAGAGCGAGCGCTATAAGTTAACATCGGTTAACTTTTCTGAATGAAATACCAATGACGTTCGGCAAAATTGTTTGCACCTGCTATAAGGCCGCCTTGCGGACTAAACTTTACATTGCATGAGTGCTAACAGGGCACGACCTCTCAGTCTCGAGACTCGAAGCACTTGTGATTCTCAGACTCCGCCCTTTCCCCTTGTCTCCTTCCGCCTCTCTCTCTCTCTCTCTCTCTCTCTCTCTCTCTCTCTGTATATGCAAGAGAATGATAAAAAATTAGATCCCGGTATATGTGCAAGAAGAGTACGAGAGTGTGCATTATATCAGTGTGCGGCGGGCGATGGAAATGGGTGCGGCTGGCAACAAGCCTACCGTGCCTTGTCCTGTTAGCGTACCCTTCTCGGGGGGATGGCGGGGTCTTCCCTACTAGTTACTGTCCATGCCCGTGCCGGCGTGCGTGCCCATGCGTAAACGTGCGCTGACGACTCGTGCGGTGATTCTCGCCTCTCTTCCATTGACTTGATGCCGCCGCGAGTAGATGGGTTGCTCTGTGAGAGCATGGAGCCGATGTGCATGCATGACAATGCCTCTGCTGTCAATGGCAGTGCTAACATTATGTATTTTCTTGTGAAAATTTATCATATCGAGAGTTATGTTGTTCTATGAAGTTTGCAAAGTTCTATCTTAGCTACCTCAGAGTTATCCCTCTTTTGTCAAAAATTATATAACTACAATTATTTTTCATAATTTAATATGAGTATACGTTTATTTATCATGAGTTAGGATTTAAAATAAGTTATTAATTAATGCCGTTGATGGACTAGCGACCTCGGTGGATGGTTCTAAGGTCACTGCAGATCTGCTTAGACTAGCGCGAAGAGAAGAGAGCCGAATGCCGTTGGGGGAAGCAGACAGCGAAACGAGAAACGAAATCCTCGGAGCGCACTCAATGCGGTCCACCGACCACGACTCAAATTCTAATAGAAAAAAACTCGGACTAATTGATGAACGGATGAACCGCGGAACCCAACAGGTACGAACAACAGAGATCATTGCAGAGCACTCTGACACAGAAAACTCCCTAGATAACCCGATCTACAGACCTGGGCGTCAATCGCGCGTCACATTCTTCCAAGTCCATCTTCTCGCCTCGACCCCCCAAGGAAAAACGAGGGGAACCTCGCGCGCAGTGCAGCCCCGCTCCCGCCAATGGCCTGCCGCCGGAGAGGAACAGGGGACGAAGCACGGCCCTGCCTCTCTCGCTCGCTCTCTCTCTCTCTCTCTCTCTCTCTCTCTCTCTCTCTCTCTCTCTCTCTCTCTCTCTCTCTCTCTCTGCGTCTCTGTTAGAGCCAGCCGCATGCAGAGGGCGGGAAATAACCTATGGGCAGGTGAGGAACTTCTTAAGCTCTATCATTAAATAGTATAGTAATAATCAACTTAAGTACATAAAGTTAGCTAAATTGATCAAAAGATAAAATATAATTAATTTTAACATGAGACTTCCATAAGTACTCTTTAATTTTTCATTAAGAGAATAGAAGTGAGATCCTCCACAATGCTCAAACATAATTTGAAATTTACTTCAGAGATGTCTAATGAAATTCACATGATATAGAGACCCTTTCATTAAGGCCTTCTTACTGTACGAAGTATTTGGTTTATTTCTTCCAAAGTTACCTCCCCTCGGGCACCGCATGGCTTAATCAGCGTGAAGGGATAAGCGACGGTAGAAGCCGTCGTTGTTGGGAACTTCGTGTATGATGGCCTCCCTGATCAACACGTGATGTAAGTAATAAATCGGGGTTAGAGTGTAAAAATAAAGGGGCGGTATATGAGTATCTTTGATACCTCTGAATTTAATGGAAGGAGCGTATGTCAGCTTCACTGGAAGGAGGCGGCAAGCAGACGAACCCAATAATTCAGTGTCCCACTGCTCCTCCTCTCTCGTTTTATCTTCTCCCATCGTTGCCTCTTCTCCGGTCTACACGATCACGAAAAGGCATCTTTTTTGTGAGGTAAGATATTCACAGATTGGCATCACCCAGAGACTGACTGACGACTTCGCATCTCGTTGACCCACCTTGGGATTTAAGAACTCTGAAGAAGGGCCGGCGCAAATGATCTCAACAGGGTCGTCATGGTTGCACTGCAGCATGCGCCTCCTTTTCAGCTGCGGCGACTCGGCAGACCCATCTGCACTGTCCTTCGCCGTGCCTGGAACCCACACTCCTCCGTCAAATAGGACCAAAATGGATGACATACATTTTGTTCATAGTCTTCCGTTCAGTACCTCCGCTGTCAGAAACTGCGCAGCCAAAATCTGTGCAGTCCCCGAGCATGCCGAACCGCTCATGATAGTTCGTCCCGTCCAGCAGGTAGTGTGGGATGCCTACCCAGGAAAGAGTCTGAATCTTAGAGAAAAAATCGTACTGACAGAGAGGTAAGTCCGGCAGAGGATGCAGCTATATCAGGCTGCTCACCGTTCCACTCTGTCAGCAGACCGCAGCCCTCTGTTTCCCATTCAAAGAGTTGGCTGAAAATCATCGAAGAGGCCAAGTAGATGAGTCGATGAATTATCATGATAGTTTGGGAAGAGCCGTCTGTAATTATGAGGAACCGGACGGCAGTGGATCCATCACGCGGAACTCATCGAGGTACTCATACTTCCCGCAAGGACCTCTGGGGGAGGCTCATCGCGACCTCGGTGGATGGTTCTAAGGTCACTGCAGATCTGCTTAGACTAGCGCGAAGAGAAGAGAGCCGAATGCCGTTGGGAGAAGCAGACAGCGAAACGAGAAACGAAATCCTCGGAGCGCACTCAATGCGGTCCACCGACCACGACTCAAATTCTAATAGAAAAAAACTCGGACTAATTGATGAACGGATGAACCGCGGAACCCAACAGGTACGAACAACAGAGATCATTGCAGAGCACTCTGACACAGAAAACTCCCTAGATAACCCGATCTACAAACCTGGGCGTCAATCGCGCGTCACATTCTTCCAAGTCCATCTTCTCGCCTCGACCCCCCAAGGAAAAACGAGGGGAACCTCGCGCCCAGTGCAGCCCCGCTCCCGCCAATGGCCTGCCGCCGGAGAGGAACAGGGGACGAAGCACGGCCCTGCCTCTCTCTCTCTCTCTCTCTCTCTCTGCGTCTCTGTTAGAGCCAGCCGCATGCAGAGGGCGGGAAATAACATATGGGCAGGTGAGGAAAGCCGCAGGTGGTTGCACAGGCAACGGAGGAGGAAAGCCGGCAACAAGCAGGAAGTCAACGGCTGGGTACAACCGTAGATCTTGAAAGAGCCCCCCGCTCCCTTAAACCCCCGGGGGGGTGAGAAATAGTCCCCTCTCTCTGCATGTGGGGATCTCTGCGTATATAAAATTCATATCGGGTTCTGCTGTATGAAGCGGAGCGGTTAGTTCGGTACTAGAAGGTATGAAGACCTCCGGACGCTCGCGTGAAGGGCTGGCTGGGCCTACCACGTCAACAGTTCCCAGAATCGAGGAGATTCCCTTCTCAAAAGCAAAATGGGACCCACCTCGTACATATATTTATATATAACATCCTCGTTGACCAAATGCCTGGTACGTATATTAAAGGTATGATCGTTACTGAAGCTGGCTTCATGCTCTACGTAGATCTGGTACATATAATTTTTGACAAAAGAGGATAACTCTGAGGTAGCTAAGATAGAACTTTGCAAACTTCATAAAACATGATTTATTTTAACATTAGAAATACATAAGTTTCTTCAATTTTTTATTTTATAGAGCAATAGAAGCGAGGTCCTCCACAATGTTCCGACATAATTTGGATTTATTTTTAGAAATGTTTGATGAAGTTGAAATGATATATAGAGAGAACAACATTCAATAACAATGTATCAAGTGCATTTTTAGTCAAAAGGAATATGCCAACATACTTGTTGTGTCAAGTATGCTTCTTCATTGACAATGGAGATTAAAATATGTAGTTACCATTGTGATAAATTAATACATTAAATTTCATATAGATTGAAAGTTTGAATCTAGGACACCAGTAAATGTCAATTTAAATCACTTTATATTATAAAGGAATAGTAATAGTCTCATTAGTTTTATTAGATTTTTAATTACTGTATGAGTTGAAAAATCGCTATGCGGTATTCAATTAGACTAGAATTACAAAATCTTTAATATGTGTAGTGAGTGCTTTTAGATCAACTTGAGATTCTAAACAAAATCTTTCGTAATTTGATTTGTTGCATAAACCAAAGTGATAGAACTTATTCTTGAGCCCCATAGTTTGTATACAATTGTATGGTCAATTGATCTGAAAATATTTCTCCATTTTTAATATTTAACCATTTTCCTTCAACAATTTCCTTCAATTTTCTCCCTAGACCAAAAACTGAAAGGACAAGTATTCCAGCTAATTATACAATAAAAGTGCTTAAATCATTTCATTTCATCAAGTATATTAAACCGGTTGTCACCCAATGAAAGTAATTAAAATAAAAAACAAGATAAGCTTTATAAAGTAGGCAATTTGGCCATTTAGCACTTGAGGAAAAAGGGTTCTCAATTGATAGTTTTGAAAAGTTGAACCCTAGGAAATCTGTGCCATTAAAATTTTTACAAATGATTAGAACAATACATATGTACTTTATTTACCTCCAAAAATAATTATAGGTTCAACCTTTAATGTGGTTGAGATTGATGACTACTATGTGACGCCACATGGAGAGTCAAGAGTAAAAAAAATTCAAGTAGGAAAAATTGATTTAACATACAACTCTAGGCAACCAGAAATGTCCCTGATTGGTGATTGCTGACCAAAGTTGTTGAAAAACATAAAAATGTAGACCACAAAGGTTGAAAGGCCTCAAATGGGTTCTATACCCAAAATGCATTCAAATGAGGTCAATTTGTGTCGATAACATGTGATTTTCATAAGACCAATATTTTTTTTCATATTAATTCAGTTTATGTTGTTTGGTTAGTTGATCTCATTTTTAGGAGTGCAAAAACTGATTTTGGCCTATTTAACAGCTAGCATGTGATAATATTTATAGAAAAATTCAATAGTAATATAATTTTGTTGTCTTTGGAAATTTTACTTGACTTGTGGGTTGAAGAGCTAATGGGCCATCATTGAGGCTCATTCACATAAATGCTTTTGGATTCAAGACAATACAGTCTAATCATTGAGGTTTCAAATATTTCCAGAAACATTTTTCTAAACTCAATGATTGATGATCTTGTGCCTCATGATTAAATGGAGATTTTTTTGTTCTTCTATGACTTCCCTATGTGGCACAAATTGACAACCCTTTATTCCAAAATAAAGATTTTTTTATATTATGTGTACATCATTCTTATATTTTTACTCATTATAATCAATCCTACAAGGGTATGCTAAGTTTACTTGGTAACTTTGAAGATGATTTTATTAGTAATGACTAGATGTTTTAACTAACACTCATCTTTAGTCTATTTATCACAACTTGTCATCCGGAGACGAAGATCCGGACTGAAGGGGGGGAAAAGAACAAAAGGCTGAGCACATGACAACGAGCCTCTCATTTCGCCATCCTCGCGTGATATCATGCAGCACCCAGTGTAAGTTTCTAGTTTCCTCATCTCCGTCTACTTCCATTGATTCTCACCCATGTTCATCTTTTCAGTTTCCTGCCACAATGGGTAACATCGCTGCCCATGGATGCAGGAATAAATCGGATGCAATGTATGGCTCATGGAAGAGGAGGGAGCGTTGGGAATGTTCAGAACATGACATTTAAGCAAAGCATGTTGATGCCATCTCTATATTCAGATAATCAAATTGGCAGAGGTCATTCGTGAGTCCTCTGTGACAGACCTTTTTGATCCATGCAAAAAAACAGGAGGGGGGTGTGTGTGTGTGTGTGTTTAAGCGTAACGGAGAAGGTTGTTTTTATCCGGTTTTTACAATGTTTACTGGTTCATAGTTGCTGAGTTGATTGCTCTATATACTCCCAGGGAGTGCGGTGTACGCGACAACCCTAACGAGTAGGAACAGGCGGCTGAATATCTAGTCTCAATATGTTCTGGTTTGAACTTAACACGATATTTGGATAATGTCAGATAAATACCTGCATTTATACTCATATTAAATTATGAAAAATAATTTTAGTTAGATAATTTTTGACAAAAGAGGATAACTCTGAGGTAGCTAAGATAGAACTTTGCAAACTTCATAGAACAACATAACTCTCGATATGATAAATGTTCACAAGAAAAGACATAATGTTAGCACTACCATTGATAGCAGAGGCATTGTCATGCATGCACATCGGCTCCATGCTCTCACAGAGCAACCCATCTAACTAAAATTATTTTTCATAATTTAATATGAGTATAAATGCAGGTATTTATCTGACATTATCCAAATATCGTGTTAAGTTCAAACCAGAACATATTCATACTAGATATTCAGCCGCCTGTTCCTACTCGTCAGGGTTGTCGCGTACACCGCACTCCCTGGGAGTATATAGAGCAATCAACTCAGTAACTACGAACCAGTAAACATTGTAAAAACCGGATAAAAACAACCTTCTTCATTACGCTTAAACACACACACACACACACACACCCCTCCTGTTTTTTTGCATGGATCAAAAAGGTCTGTCACAGAGGACTCACGAATGACCTCTGCCAATTTGATTATCTGAATATAGAGATGGCATCAACATGCTTTGCTTAAATGTCATGTTCTGAACATTCTCAACGCTCCCTCCTCTTCCATGAGCCATACATTGCATGATAAATTAATCATCCAAAAAAACACAGAGACATCTCGATCTACAAGGCCCTGCCCTGCATGGGTCAAAAATTCGGTCACTAGATGAACAAACTTGATTTGCTAATCAATCAACCAATTGTTAATCGCAATTATGATGCTATCTTTCCCCCATTCAGTCTTGATCTTCATCACGATGACCACATGATTCCTAAAAAGGTTGAATAAGGGAAAGGCAGCATCATAATCATGAGAATAAAAGGTTGAGCACATCATGAGTCTCTCATTTCTCCATCCTCGCATCATACCATGCACCTATTGTTTCATTTATCTTGTTCTACTTTGATTCATTCTCATAGATCTTCATATTATCAATTTTATACCAAAATGGGTCACATCATTGCCCATGGATGCATAACTAAAAATGATGCAAGTATGGTGACCATACATTGTGACAATATAAATATATGGCTCCTTGAAGATAAATGAATGCTGGGAAAGTGGGGGGTTTATTAGAGTATAGAAATAAAGGAGAAGTATCTATATAGTTGATTCTCTTGAATTTATTGCAAGGAGTGTTTGACATAATCACTAGTGCCCTTACGATTTCTATCATTAGAATCAAGTGGTAGGTCTCTGATAAGTATCAGCCAAGTCAGCACTAATTAATTTCTTGTAGGATTCATTTACTCAAGAAAATGAGGGCATTGAAAAGGCACATACCTGACTCACTAGCTTGATCGTAAGAAGCAGCAACACAAGGGGCAGACCTTTTGGATGGAAATGACCGCATATTAGCTACAGTTGAATGTGCTGATAATGTGTTGGCCGAGAGATCTAAAGTAAGTAGCGGACGCTTCATCTGAGCTGATACGCATCTCGCTCTCATTAAAGCAGCTTTCCAGCCAGCATTTCGAGGACTCGCCTAGTGCTCCCAAGATATCTATGGCATTTTGTGGTGCAGTGTGAGAATAGTGGCTTGGGGAAATTGATGAGATAGTTGAGGAGATGGCAAGCAGACGGACCTCCGCTGTCTGAATCTGGGCAGTTAGGCAGGTCAGGTGGGTCGGGTCAAGTGGTCCTGGTTGTTGGGCCAGCTGGTCAGGTGGGCTAGGTCAGGTGGGTAGGTCGGGGCCTGGTGGCTGGGCCGGCGGGTCATGTGGGCTTGGGTCAGGTTATCCTGCTTGATGTGTCAAATATATGGGCTGGGCCGGCGGGTTAGGTAGGTGGGTCGGGTGGTCCTGGTGGCCCCGGTGGGTGAGCCGGTCAGATGGGCTGGGCCGAATAAGTGGCCCCCTTAAGGGGGGGTCCCTGCCGAAACCAATTCGTTTCGGCCGCGACCAATGCTGGTCTTTGTGCCGCGGCGGCGAACGAACGGTGGCGGTAGAGGCGTCGTTGGCGGAGGCAGGAGGAGGGGGCGGCGACACCGGCGGCGGGGAACGGCGGAACAGCGGTGGCGGAAGGAGAAGGCGACGACGGAGGCGGCTGGAAGGCGGGACGATGGCACCGGAGCGGGACGGCGACGATGAGGCGGCTCATCAGGGGTGAAGCGGAGGGGGCGAGAAGGGCTGCGTCGCCCGGAGGGATGCGCGACGGAGGGCCGTAGGGCCGCATGCTCCGACCGAGAGTGGAAGTGGTCCTCGCGACGAACCTCCGCCCTCTGAATCTGGGCAGCAGCCAAAATCTGTCGATAGTGTCTGTCCCCCGAGCAGCATGCGGAGAGAACGGCTCATCCTCGGTCGGATTCAACCCGTCCCGCATTTATTGGGTCTCTAGAGGAGTTCCTGGGCAGATATCTCACACTACCTGCGTGACGAGATGAATCAGATCGAGGATGTGCTGTTCTGCATGCTCGGTTAACAAACATCGGTTGAGGACTGTATAATTTTGGTTGCCCACGTTCTGACAGCGGAGGTATTGAACGGAAGAGCATGAATATAGTATTATCTATCCTTTGGTCCCATTTAACGGAAGAGTCTGAACCTTCCTTGGGAAAAAAATCGTATTACAGAAAAGATAAATCCGACAGAGGATGCAGCTATCAGATTGCCCACCGTTCCTTTCTGTTGGCAGACGGGCTCCTCTGCTTCCCATCCATGGAGTACACTGAAAATCATTGAAAGTGCCAAAGTAAATCAGTCTATTGTCATGATACGTTAAGAGGCCAATGGGAAGAGCCGTCTGTAATTATGAGGAACCATCAGGGGGAACTCATCGCGGTTCTCATACTGCCTGCACGGGCCTCTGGGTCATCGCGACCTCGGTGGATGGTTCTAAGGTCACTGCATATCTAATAGAGAAGAGAGTCGACGGGGATCATCGTCTCTTTAAACAGGTTGGGAGAGGCAGACAGAGAAATCATAAACGAAACCCTCGGAGCGCAATTCAATGCGGTGCACTGATCACAACTCGAATTCTAATAGAAAAAAAACTAGGATTAATTTGAAAGACTGGAGACACAATATCGTCTTCTCACTCCACCTGGTGTGCACTTTGATTCTTTACATAACTAACTTTGTGAATTTTTATATTTTTTATGTTTACATCAGCATATAGAATGGAAGACTATGATCGTTTTTTTCTATTTAAAGCATATTTGTGTACGAGCACCCTTATCCTTACTCGCTAGAGCCTACTGTGCTTCCGACCTGCGTGCGGGCCCGGCTGGCTGGGATGACACCCCACTTTTTCTACTTTTTAAATTTATTTTTATTTTACCTCAAAGACATAGTTATAAAAATCATATAAGTTAACGTAAAATAACATAATTAACCAAAAAATCCTATTAACTAACTAGAAACTACTACTTTTAATTTGGCACGAATATAAGTCTCTTTTTTATGAGTTGAGGCTTAAAATATGTTACTAATTAATTATTAACTCATGATAATGAACACTTATTAATAAGGTATATTATTTGAGATATATATATGTATCTCAGAGAGAGAGATGACCAAGTGCCAATGGGCAGGTGACCTGAGGAGAGTGAGTGAGTGGCGTCTGAATGGGACCCACATCTAGTGGCTACGCATATTTTTGAGACCAGAAATGAGGAATAACTAGACATTTAGTCGACGAAGATGTTACGTAGGAATATATGTCTCAAGTGGGTCCCATTTTTTCTAATATTCAGACTCTTTCTCGGGGTAGGTATATGACGTGACTTAGTCGTTGTATAGTAAATCACACAAATTTAAAATTTATAAAACTAGAAAATACGAATTTTTAGAGATTTAGAAGTATTTTTGAACAAATATATTAATTATAATTCAATAAAACTTCTAAAAATAGCGGTAATTTTCCAGGTCGATCACAAAGATGTAATATAATATCAGGTAATTATTCAGAATTTTTCTCAAAGAATACTATTTTCTATGAATTTCATACTAGAAAATAAAAATTAAATATATTTAACATTCACGAAAAAGGGAAATAAGGGTGCGGACGTCTGGACGATGTCAACGCCGGACAAACGTCAATCAGGCAGAAATAGAGTTCCACCTGATGATTCTTACGTAAGCGATTACAAACGATTTAATTGATAAAATTAAGATCTGTAAAATCCGGAAGAATCGTAATTGAATGAAGTATAACTTGGTAAATTTTAAATCAACAAATTATCACTAGATAAGCAAAAATTAAGTTGAAAGTAAGAAAACAGAGTTCTGGCGTCACGACGACGATGTGTCGATGATTCACGAGAATTCTGAGCATTCGAGAGGATTGACATGTAGTGTCCATGATCTCGAAGGCTCTCTTTAGATAAGGACTACGTAGCCAATCTCTAGATCTCCTTACGAAGTCTAGAGATGAATGAAATGGGTCGTCAAATCGTCTCTGACGGCTGTCACCTGGCGGAGCAGAAAAATGACGACTTTACAGCTCTCCGACGGCTCTCACCCGACGGAGAGGAGCTGGATGGAGGTGGGGCGTGTGTCAGTGAGCTTCATCCTCAGATCCACGCAATAAGAGGAGGTTCTTCATCGCATCCGGTACGCTCTCAGGAGGTGGCGACTCGTCTCCTGGCGGATTGTCCTCTTCTTGACGATGGCTTGTTCGTCGATCAATTAGAGATGCTTTACTCGATGGATTTGTGATCCTTTTATCGCAAATCATTTAGTAATTTTAGTAACAATGTTCTACAAATCGCGTTGACGAGATTTTCACCAATAATCTAATAATTCTGGCAGCATAAACCTTTACCGGCAATCTGTAGGAAAGTCACGATAATCAGATAAAAAATATTACTTTTGGCTCTGGGAGAATTCAAACCTACATTGGTTGCCTGCTTGCACAAGAGAGATTGACATAAATACTCTAATGCCCTTATCAAATGACGTCATTATAGTATATCTCTATTATAAATAAGGGATATTTTAGGTATTAAAATCATCGAACCCTTTATGGGGAAGGTGTGACGTGGGTTTAGTCTCACATCATTTGTACGCCGAAGTTTCGGGCGAATATATAGTAATATTATATTTTCAATCAAGTCCCTTTCTCTTGCGTGTACGACCACTCCTTGGCCCACAACCGGCTACCCACCGGTGACGTGGATGGAGAGTGACGCACACGTGCCTCTATCGGTCGTAATCGCTCGAGCCCCTGCTTGCGGCTCCGCCCTAATTGCACTTCCGACCCACTTACGGGCTTGGCTGGCCAGCGGGTCCCTCCTCATTTTGTTATATTTTTATTTTTATTTCTTTTTCTTCATTTATCTCAAAAGTAAGATTGTAAAAATCATATAAATTTGTATAAAATAACATAATTACTCAAAAATTCACGTTATTAATTGAAAACCACTTTTCATACTTTAACACAAATATAAGTCTATTTATCATGAGTTAAGGCTAAAACTATATTATTTACTAATTATTAACTCATGATAATGAAAACTTATCAGTATCCCATAGATACTAGCTGCTAGAGGGGATGAACGATCAACGAGGATGTTATGCATCTCCGAGGACTGTACAGATTTTGGTTGCACAGATTCTGACAACGAAGGTACTGAACAGAAGAATATGAACAAAATGAACAGAGGTACTGTACCTCGGCATGTACTAGATAAGATAGATGGAGAAAAAGAGACGAGAGGGAGAAATGGGGAGAAGAAGAAGGCCCTGATTGTCGCACCTTCTAGTTTTCTTTCTTCTTGTGCCTTTTTCTATGGAGAGTGAAAGTAATAAGTTTTATGGAGATGAAAGTTTGGCCAGTACGGAAGAAAAAAATAAGAGATATCATCTTTAGAGTAATGTAAAATGCTAGGAGCAAAAAATAAAAACATACGTAAAACTCCATCATAAACCCATTTCAAGCTAGCCCATCGACTGTGAGTCAGTGGTCTCTGAAGGAGATCCCAACTTTCGACGTGCGTCAGATCCACCAAAATCGCATGGTTCCTCACACATCATTTTAGCATGTGCTCAAAACCCACCACCACCCAAAAGCCGGTGCTCCGAGGAGTTTCACAGTAAGAATACAGAAAATCATCTTCACAATACTTGAAAACCCGAGAGGGCCGTAGAAGACAATGCCCAAACATGTCTCCCAAAGGCAAAAGCATAGACGACCTTTGAAAGATTTTGTTTAGAATCTCAAGTTGATCTAAAAGCACTCACTACACATATTAAAGATTTTGTAATTCTAGTCTAATTGAATACCGCATAGCGATTTTTCAACTCATACAGTAATTAAAAATCTAATAAAACTAATGAGACTATTACTATTCCTTTATAATATAAAGCGATTTAAATTGACATTTACTGGTGTCCTAGATTCAAACTTTCAATCTATATGAAATTTAATGTATTAATTTATCACAATGGTAACTACATATTTTAATCGCCATTGTCAATGAAGAAGCATACTTGACACAACAAGTATGTTGGCATATTCCTTTTGACTAAAAATGCACTTGATACATTGTTATTGAATGTTGTTCTCTCTATATATCATTTCAACTTCATCAAACATCTCTAAAAAGAAATCCAAATTATGTTGGAACATTGTGGAGGACCTCGCTTCTATTGCTCTATAAAACAAAAATTTGAAGAAACTTATGTATTTCTAATGTTAAAATTAATCATGTTTTATGAAGTTTGCAAAGTTCTATCTTAGCTACCTCAGAGTTATCCTCTTTTGTCAAAAATTATATGTACCAGATCTACGTAGAGCATGAAGCCAGCTTCAGTAACGATCATACCTTTAATATACGTACCAGGCATTTGGTCAACGAGGATGTTATATATAAATATATGTACGAGGTGGGTCCCATTTTGCTTTTGAGAAGGGAATCTCCTCGATTCTGGGAACTGTTGACGTGGTAGGCCCAGCCAGCCCTTCACGCGAGCGTCCGGAGGTCTTCATACCTTCTAGTACCGAACTAACCGCTCCGCTTCATACAGCAGAACCTGATATGAATTTTATATACGCAGAGATCCCCACATGCAGAGAGAGGGGACTATTTCTCACCCCCCCGGGGGTTTAAGGGAGCGGGGGGCTCTTTCAAGATCTACGGTTGTACCCAGCCGTTGACTTCCTGCTTGTTGCCGGCTTTCCTCCTCCGTTGCCTGTGCAACCACCTGCGGCTTTCCTCACCTGCCCATATGTTATTTCCCGCCCTCTGCATGCGGCTGGCTCTAACAGAGACGCAGAGAGAGAGAGAGAGAGAGAGAGAGGCAGGGCCGTGCTTCGTCCCCTGTTCCTCTCCGGCGGCAGGCCATTGGCGGGAGCGGGGCTGCACTGGGCGCGAGGTTCCCCTCGTTTTTCCTTGGGGGGTCGAGGCGAGAAGATGGACTTGGAAGAATGTGACGCGCGATTGACGCCCAGGTTTGTAGATCGGGTTATCTAGGGAGTTTTCTGTGTCAGAGTGCTCTGCAATGATCTCTGTTGTTCGTACCTGTTGGGTTCCGCGGTTCATCCGTTCATCAATTAGTCCGAGTTTTTTTCTATTAGAATTTGAGTCGTGGTCGGTGGACCGCATTGAGTGCGCTCCGAGGATTTCGTTTCTCGTTTCGCTGTCTGCTTCTCCCAACGGCATTCGGCTCTCTTCTCTTCGCGCTAGTCTAAGCAGATCTGCAGTGACCTTAGAACCATCCACCGAGGTCGCGATGAGCCTCCCCCAGAGGTCCTTGCGGGAAGTATGAGTACCTCGATGAGTTCCGCGTGATGGATCCACTGCCGTCCGGTTCCTCATAATTACAGACGGCTCTTCCCAAACTATCATGATAATTCATCGACTCATCTACTTGGCCTCTTCGATGATTTTCAGCCAACTCTTTGAATGGGAAACAGAGGGCTGCGGTCTGCTGACAGAGTGGAACGGTGAGCAGCCTGATATAGCTGCATCCTCTGCCGGACTTACCTCTCTGTCAGTACGATTTTTTCTCTAAGATTCAGACTCTTTCCTGGGTAGGCATCCCACACTACCTGCTGGACGGGACGAACTATCATGAGCGGTTCGGCATGCTCGGGGACTGCACAGATTTTGGCTGCGCAGTTTCTGACAGCGGAGGTACTGAACGGAAGACTATGAACAAAATGTATGTCATCCATTTTGGTCCTATTTGACGGAGGAGTGTGGGTTCCAGGCACGGCGAAGGACAGTGCAGATGGGTCTGCCGAGTCGCCGCAGCTGAAAAGGAGGCGCATGCTGCAGTGCAACCATGACGACCCTGTTGAGATCATTTGCGCCGGCCCTTCTTCAGAGTTCTTAAATCCCAAGGTGGGTCAACGAGATGCGAAGTCGTCAGTCAGTCTCTGGGTGATGCCAATCTGTGAATATCTTACCTCACAAAAAAGATGCCTTTTCGTGATCGTGTAGACCGGAGAAGAGGCAACGATGGGAGAAGATAAAACGAGAGAGGAGGAGCAGTGGGACACTGAATTATTGGGTTCGTCTGCTTGCCGCCTCCTTCCAGTGAAGCTGACATACGCTCCTTCCATTAAATTCAGAGGTATCAAAGATACTCATATACCGCCCCTTTATTTTTACACTCTAACCCCGATTTATTACTTACATCACGTGTTGATCAGGGAGGCCATCATACACGAAGTTCCCAACAACGACGGCTTCTACCGTCGCTTATCCCTTCACGCTGATTAAGCCATGCGGTGCCCGAGGGGAGGTAACTTTGGAAGAAATAAACCAAATACTTCGTACAGTAAGAAGGCCTTAATGAAAGGGTCTCTATATCATGTGAATTTCATTAGACATCTCTGAAGTAAATTTCAAATTATGTTTGAGCATTGTGGAGGATCTCACTTCTATTCTCTTAATGAAAAATTAAAGAGTACTTATGGAAGTCTCATGTTAAAATTAATTATATTTTATCTTTTGATCAATTTAGCTAACTTTATGTACTTAAGTTGATTATTACTATACTATTTAATGATAGAGCTTAAGAAGTTCCTCACCTGCCCATAGGTTATTTCCCGCCCTCTGCATGCGGCTGGCTCTAACAGAGACGCAGAGAGAGAGAGAGAGAGAGAGAGAGAGAGAGAGAGAGAGAGAGAGAGAGAGAGAGAGAGAGAGAGAGCGAGCGAGAGAGGCAGGGCCGTGCTTCGTCCCCTGTTCCTCTCCGGCGGCAGGCCATTGGCGGGAGCGGGGCTGCACTGCGCGCGAGGTTCCCCTCGTTTTTCCTTGGGGGGTCGAGGCGAGAAGATGGACTTGGAAGAATGTGACGCGCGATTGACGCCCAGGTCTGTAGATCGGGTTATCTAGGGAGTTTTCTGTGTCAGAGTGCTCTGCAATGATCTCTGTTGTTCGTACCTGTTGGGTTCCGCGGTTCATCCGTTCATCAATTAGTCCGAGTTTTTTTCTATTAGAATTTGAGTCGTGGTCGGTGGACCGCATTGAGTGCGCTCCGAGGATTTCGTTTCTCGTTTCGCTGTCTGCTTCCCCCAACGGCATTCGGCTCTCTTCTCTTCGCGCTAGTCTAAGCAGATCTGCAGTGACCTTAGAACCATCCACCGAGGTCGCTAGTCCATCAACGGCATTAATTAATAACTTATTTTAAATCCTAACTCATGATAAATAAACGTATACTCATATTAAATTATGAAAAATAATTGTAGTTATATAATTTTTGACAAAAGAGGGATAACTCTGAGGTAGCTAAGATAGAACTTTGCAAACTTCATAGAACAACATAACTCTCGATATGATAAATTTTCACAAGAAAATACATAATGTTAGCACTGCCATTGACAGCAGAGGCATTGTCATGCATGCACATCGGCTCCATGCTCTCACAGAGCAACCCATCTACTCGCGGCGGCATCAAGTCAATGGAAGAGAGGCGAGAATCACCGCACGAGTCGTCAGCGCACGTTTACGCATGGGCACGCACGCCGGCACGGGCATGGACAGTAACTAGTAGGGAAGACCCCGCCATCCCCCCGAGAAGGGTACGCTAACAGGACAAGGCACGGTAGGCTTGTTGCCAGCCGCACCCATTTCCATCGCCCGCCGCACACTGATATAATGCACACTCTCGTACTCTTCTTGCACATATACCGGGATCTAATTTTTTATCATTCTCTTGCATATACAGAGAGAGAGAGAGAGAGAGAGAGAGAGAGAGAGAGAGAGGCGGAAGGAGACAAGGGGAAAGGGCGGAGTCTGAGAATCACAAGTGCTTCGAGTCTCGAGACTGAGAGGTCGTGCCCTGTTAGCACTCATGCAATGTAAAGTTTAGTCCGCAAGGCGGCCTTATAGCAGGTGCAAACAATTTTGCCAAACGTCATTGGTATTTCATTCAGAAAAGTTAACCGATCAAGAAACTTGTACAAGGATGCAAAAAACCTGGCCAATTAATGACCAAAGGGCTTACAATATAAATGCAGGTATTTATCTGACATTATCCAAATATCGTGTTCAGTTCAAACCAGAACATATTCAGACTAGAGTGAACAAAAATGGTTCATGGTAAACTATATATGCACAATTCATACCCTTCAGTAATTAGATGTAATTATCATTTCTCACGACACCAATCTTCCCTCCCAATCACCAATCTTAAGAGAGCGATTGTCGAGTATTAGAACACAATAAGGCAACCATAGACCACAACGAAAGGACCACGGATCGGATCTTTCAATGTGAAACCAGGCCGACCGGTGTCGGCATCGAAGCTTGAATAGAACCTAAGAGAGAGAATCCTAGGCACTCCGATCTATGCGCCTCCTCCGCCTATGATTTTCACCGACCATCATCCTTCTCTGGACGAGTGAATTCTGATCAACCGCTCTCTACTACGGACTAGGAGCGTCCATTAGATTCGAAGAAGAAACCAAGATATCGGCACGAAGATGGACGACCTACCGGAGCACGCACGCCACCGTGACGGCGGTGCTACAGTAACCCACTGGAATTGAAGCGATGACGACTCACAATCAAAAGAAATTCAGCATACACCTTATCAGTGTGGGCACCATAGCGAGCCGAGTGGCCACGGAAAAAGAGGCGAGCACTGGCTTTCTGAGGCGCCTTTTTTCTCTTCAGATCCTTCCCTGCCACCGCCGACGAGAACACCGGGAGAAAAAAGAAGATCACCGGAAGCGACGACGACGACGAACCTGAGACGGAGCCGGAACCGGAGCCGGTGGAGGAGCAAACCTCCTCCGCCTCCGCCGCCTTCGATCTCGGAGGGATCTAGGGTTCAACCCACACCCTCCAACGGTATTTATAGTGCGATCGAGCGCTCTCTCTCTCTCTCTTCTCGGGCCCACCATATGCCGGCCTCCCCGTTAAAGGTACTGCCATATTTACGCCTCCTGCAAAACCTTCCCAGAGTGACACGTCATCGGTCTTTTTAATTTTCTTACGGTGACGCCGTTGGAACAATACGCGGCAAGACCGTTGGGCTGACGTCAGCTCTTCACCACCTCGTGCTCGAAAATGTGGCGTCCGAGTCGCCCGCTCCAAGCCATCCGGGACCACGGTGCGAACCATCTTGGATGGGGCGGTCAGGGGGATGTGGGGCCCACTGATGACGTGTCTCTGAACGTGGAAACGAAAGCGCGGTGTTTCCGGCAAAGTATCCGGAACCGGCCACGATCCCGCTAAGGATTCCCCCGGTCATCGTCTCCTGCCGAATCTGACCGGTCAACGGGCGGATTACTATAATAACCAGCCCCCTCGTCTCCTTTCCGGTGGAGGAGAGGGAAAAGGAAAAACCGTGGCGATGATCGTGGAGATGGTGGAGGAGGCGAGGAGCATGCTGGTGTTGGAGGAGGTGACGGTGGAGGACCTGGTGGACGTCGGCAGCGACAAGAAGGGCGGCGGTAGACGCGGCGACGACACGAAGGAGGCTGCTGCGGGGAGAGTAGACTCGGAGGAGTGCCTCGCCCCGCCGGCCAATTTCGCGATGGTGGATTACGGGATCTACCGCTCGGGGTTCCCCGAGCCGGCTAACTTCGGCTATCTCGATTCCCTCGGCCTCCGGACCATTGTGTGAGCGTTGTTATTCGGTTCTGTCGCCTCTGTTCTTGGTTGTTTTGTTTTTTTTTCTCATTTTTCTTTTTCTTGGTGGCGTTGCGGTTGTTCTAGGGTTCTTTGTCGGACCGGGGATGATTTGTGCTGACGAGATGGGGCTAATTTCGTAGGTACCTGTGCCCGGAACCATACCCGGAGGCTAATGCCGATTACGTCCGTTCGCGTGGGATACGGCTGTGCCAGTTTGGCATCGATGGCAGCAAGGTATGAATGATAATGTGAATCATCCCAGTAATGATCGCCCCCTTTTATAACATCATCCTGCTTTCCAAGTCCCTCGTTTCGCAGACCTTTGATCATTTCTCCTGTCATATGTTTGTTTTTCATAGTTTTTTATCTACTGGGGGGCGTTGTTGATCATTTCTCTGGAGTTTCTGGTTCGTGTTCAGAATTATAGGTTTATGTCGTGATTTCATATTTTGATACGATTAAAAATTTGTTATGTCATTTTCTTGACTAAATTCAAGATTGAGAGTTTTGATATTTTCTTCTTCTTATTTGAATAATAACCTGTATTTGACTGTTGCCCAATAGGGATCAGTCAGTACAGTCGCAACTCATTTAGGAAGATGGATTTTGACTGATCTTTGAGGGATTCTCTCGTAACCTTGTTAATCAAAAGTCGATAAAAATGAACAGAAAAAATGTTTCTTTCTATAAGGCACCTATTTTTCCTTGGTTGTTTGCTTTCGGGAGATTAAGATATTTTGTACGTGTAATAAAAGCCACATTTCAAGCCATCTCCTTCCTCTTGAAAACTGTGATACAAAAGTTATTTTGTATATATATGAAATTTGGCAAGGATCCATTGTCTGGTTAGACTCACAGGGTTGAAGATCTTCACTCCTCCCTTTTCTGGTGCAAAATCGATATCAATCTCAAATTATGCGAATATACATCAAATCGGCTGGTTTGAAGTAAAGGAATATTCTATTATGCAGGCCTCGAGCTGCATTGTCTCGTATATCAATTTTTTCTTATCTTATCATTATATAAAATTATTACGATTTTTATTTTTTTTACGTTGAGTGGCACTATTTCTGTCATACATCATCAACGTTACCATGATTTCAGGAGCCTTTTGTCAAGATTTCCAAGGATACCATGATGCATGCTCTGAGAGTCCTACTTGGTACTAAATTAATTTCCCCATACCTCCAATGTTCTGTGTTATTACAATGAAATTCAATCCATTTAATTATTTCCATATTTTTTCATCCCTAGATGTAAGAAACCATCCGATTTTGATCCACTGCAAGCGTGGAAAGGTACATCTCCCCCCTTCTTTATATCAGCCATCGTTCAAGAACATGTTAATCGATCCTTTCCCCACTCTGCTAACTTCATTCCTCTTTATTCCTCTGTTGGGTTACCGCAAATTGCAGCACCGGACAGGTTGCCTGGTGGGCTGCTTCAGGAAGTTGCAGAGTTGGTGCCTGGCCTCGGTATTTGAGGAGTACCAGCGACACGCCGCAGCTAAGACCAGGGTGTCCGACCTCAGGTTCATCGAGGCTTTTGACATCTCGAGCATGAGCCAGTGCCTGCTGGGCGCCATCTACCGGTACCACGGCCTCGGCTCTCGGGCCAGGCGCCTTGGGTACCACGAGAACTCATCCTAACAGAGACAAACAAGCCCTCATCACAATTCTCCTCATTTCCATTGTTCTTTGATTCTTCTCATCAATCATATAAGCAAGTAACACTACCAGCCCTCTCTAGGAATTCCACTCCCCCAATGTCTCGCTTCTTTCCTCCCATTCATTGTAAGTAACAGTAACAGTACAAGTCCTCTCTAGGAATTCCACTCCTCCTTGTCATTTCTCTCTCTCTCTCTTTCTTTTCCTTTGGGTGAATTCTCCCGCTCCTTCCAAGTGAGAGCTGCATATTTGTTTACTCACTGGAGGATCTCTTCTTCCCTTCTGGACGGGTCCCCCCCACTCGCCATTTCTTGAGCTGATAATTGTCTGTCTGTCTGTCTGACTGTCTGCGGCCAAATTTCAGACAGAAGAGGAAGATAACATCTCTTGTTCTTGATATTCACACTTTCTTGATTTTCTTGTATAGCTTTTGGATATCCCTAGGGTGCTGGGCATGATTGTGAATCATCTGATCTCTCTTGACAAGCAATTCTGTCGGTAATTGTCAAGAGATTATTATTAATTCTCCATTAATGCTGATGGAGTGGATAAATTCATTCATCGATGTAAAACCATGCGGGTAGATCGAGAAAAGGAATACAATTTTATTTTTAACTTTAAAAAATCACTTAATCATGGAGAAATCCTTCTCACTCAGAAAAAGTGTGAATCGATCGATAAATAACCTTGGTCCCTGATCAAAAAAAATTAATTGGGCCTTCTTACTACTTGACGCAATATAATATATATATATATATATAATAAGATGTACAAAGATAGGATGCGCACATTTTAATTGCTTCATCGTAAATGGAGTGAGAATCCAACCCAAGAAGGTGAAGGAAAGAAGAGCTTCTTGAGTGGGTGCAACTCTGGAGAAGTATGCTATTAATAGCAATGAGTTGGTTGTTAGGTAATATACCACGCACACGTTTATCTATACCAGGGGAAACGAAGACACTCTTTCCAGCACTCGTTTAACTTTTGACCTTAATTTTTGAAGTTGGACGGTTTTTCTTGTCCATCCTTGAATAAATACCCAATAAATTATTTCAACGAAATGCCAGGACGTGAGGCGTCAACTTGCCTTCCTAGATAGAGTCTTAACCCATTCGATCGTCGGATGCTTGCCGCGGATCTTCCCTCCGTGTTTCACTCCTGGCCAAGCTTTTAATGGGTTGAGTAATCCAACACTGAGGCCGTGCATTTCTGCACCCTCTCTCGCTATTTCTGCCGGTAGTGACGCTGTGGAGGGAGAATGTGGAGACCCAACGAGGACGCTGGAACCCTACAGGAAATAGAAAAATACTAATAAAAAGAATACTTGCCCCAAATTCGGGCCTTCCAATTCATTTCCTGCCCCCCGGAGGAAGAACTAACCAAGATCAATAAAAGCAGGGAGATGGGCAACTTCCCTCCCTCCATTGAGACGGATGGATGAGGGAGAGCTGAGGAGTGAACGACGACGGCTGCGGCAATCACAATGGCGGGTAAAAGTAGGAAGATAAGGAGAAGCCAAGGAAGAGGAGGCCGCCGATGGCCGCCACCGTGCGCTGCGAGATCTTGGACGCCAACATGCTCCCACCCACCACCGCGATCGAGGTGCACACCGTGTGCCCCAGGCTCGCTCCCACGGCCACCCCCACCGCGTTCTTGTGGGTCGCCAACTGTGAAACCCATGGATAACAAACAATGGACAATGAATATAAGACGGATGCGCATGTTGATGATACTATTGAGCATGGTATGATGCCTGCCATGAGAGCATACCAACTCAGCCCCTGAGACTACAGACAAGCCATTTGATGCTACTAGTGGGGTCTGGGTATGTGTCTAAAGTTGACTTTCTTCCCTTCAATTTAACAAGCAGTTGACTTACGTTACTTTGGGGGGGGAAAAATCACAATAAGAGGAGGAACCAAGAGTTTAAAATCCGAAATTTCTTCGTTTTATCAAAGTCCCAGGTGTAATTATTAAACTGGGAACTCTGAGGGGGCATAGAAAAGGCATGTCCTGAGAAGTGCAATGAAGATGATAGGGATGGCTTACCGCAATTGTTGCTATCTGGCTGCGGTCGCCCCATTCCGCCAGAAACGTCAAGATGAAAGACTGCAACAAACAATTATGAGCAATAATCAGGGGCAGCTGACCTCGGTTTCACCACCAACGAGATTTATTTTTATTATTTATTTATTTTTTTACACGAATGGAACTGTACATGAGTCAATAGATAGACCCCTCTCAAATAATAATGTCCCTGAAGCCCCGCGACTCCAATAATATCTATGTATCTATCTATCTATCAATAACACGAATGAAGAAGCAAATACCTCCAGGAAAATTGGCGTGCAGAATCTTGAAAAGAAACGGCGCAATGTTGTTTTCCCCTGGCCGGCTTCGAGTTTCTCTTCCACCTAGACAATGAGGGCAAGTTTAACTGATTACGAAGAGCTTCAAATAACTTTTAAAATCAAGGAACTTCCTGTAGGAAATTTTGACCATAAAATATTGAAAATTATTTGATCACCAGGTGTATGTACAATGAAAATGAAGATGAAGACACTGCATTTGCCTAAGAACAAAACAGGAAAATGATCAAGTAATTTGTAGCTAGCTCTTGCATTGAGGGCTCAACAGATTGTCCGGAATCATATTAGATGATCATTTGCGATTTGTAAACTCATTGGAAACTCAGATAGAAGACCACATCCAGTCCACACAAGACTTGTATCGATTTTTCTGTCAGACAATGGTGACACATCCTCGTGAACCCTGTCCAAGATGTCTGCTGATACACCTTTCTTCCAGGCATGAATAAATCAACGAAGGAAATATTGATGTACATTGCATGTACAAGAGGGACTGAAGGAAAACATGCCTCTAAACATCAGTCCTAGAAAGGATTAATTCATCACACACTTCAAAATAAGATATTCTCCAATCTTTCACCGGCAAGCAACATCGAGATCAATGTCGATCTCACTTCTTTCATGTGAGTCTCTATTTCTGAGGGGGCATGAGATTATGTCTGGTCCCACAAATTCAATGAAAAAAGCTCTACCAAACTGAAACTAAAACCTAAACACCAGCGTCTGATCCCAATCCCGGGTCAAACTAGGTAGAATAATTTTACAGAAAATGACTGATTATATTTCCCCTTGGTGCATCCGGGCTTTCCTTGCTCATTCCTTCTCTCTTCTTTACTTTGGCACTTATCTACATATTTTTTTTCTTTTTCTCCAGCTCTTTTTCCTATTCTTAGATCAGATAGTATTGATCATATTCTGGGAATGAGATACTTGTTCATTCCCTCAAATATAATCGTCAATTTACCTCAAACATCTGGACGCCAAGATTTACCTTTAGATAATTATTGGTGCAAAGTTTTTTTATAAACATGTTCCATCGTGTAAAATATAAAATACGATGTCTTCTTCAGTCACTTTGCTTTAAAAGAATTGGGTAAGATAAGCTCACTCGTATTAGGCAGGAACCAACCAATTTTTATTTTTATTTTGACCAAAACGGTAAAAAAGTAAGCATTCATTTCTATCGCTGAGACTTGCAGTGTGGTACCTCAATCATTGGAGAAGGGGTGGCGGGGGGAGATGCAGCAGAAAGGAAAGGACGAGTGTAGGACAGGAACAACAGAGGAATGAAACAAAGCATCATCAAAAAATCAGCTTGCACAATGATGCTGTCCCATAGATGATTACCAGTACAACAACAAATCTGTGGGCAATCAATCCTGCGGTGTGGTAACTTAATCATTTGTTCAAGCCAACAATAGAAAATTCGTAGGAGGGTTCTGGCAACAACAGAGAGGGCAATTTGAAAAAACCACTTATAGTGGTTCATATACGTTCCATTTTCGTTTAAAATTTCATGCATGAAGGGCACTATTTCATTTGAATAACCATTAACACCTAATAACAAATGCAGCATACTTTGGTCCATTCTCAGCTCTCTAGAGAGGTGCTTACTGTTGCTAAGCCTTCACACAAAGACAGCCCCCTGCTTAGGTGTATACCTTCACAGCAGTATGGGCTGATACATGAAAATTTGGTACACAAACATCTAATGAAAACGCCTTTCCCAGCCAAACAATTTACCCAAATCGTAGGTTTTACATTTTTCAAACAAAATTTGATGAATGACCCAAAGACGTACATTAGAGAACTGATGTACGTTACAGCTATTTGGATTTCGTGGGAAAAATCAAGTAAAATATGAGGAAACTAGATAATTTCAATTCTGTTTTGTTAAAACTCGTACTCATTCAACAGCATGCATCCAAACTCTGTAAAGTATAAAATAAATAAATAAAACAAGCAAAAAAAATATGATCAAGATTAAAATAGTTGATATTTAGATAAACTAATAAGAAGGAAATTCAAGAAAGCATACTTCTTCTATTTCCTTCTTTTGTGAAGCCTTTGAATCTGATCTCCAAGCAATGTAAAGCAATCGTAGACCAAAAAATGCATAGAGAACTGCAATTCAGAAGAAAAAAATTACAGGGACAAACCATTAGGGAAATATAGGCCTGAAATGAGAAATATCTGACAAATGAAAGCATGACATCGAGAGCAAAGAGAAGGTGTAATAGTTGTAGAACCAACAATAGTGGAAGTTTTAAAAGGTTTTTGACGCAAAATGATTTATCAAATGAAAAACAAATGGCAACTTACAGGGCTTCATATAACACTTCAAAGAAGCATCGATCCATAGAATCCAATTAAATAAAAATTTAAAGTACATTACTTTCATCAATTGCTCCATATTCTTATCAAGTTGATTAATCTTTTTGCCTCGGGTATGATCACAGCTCCCTATGCAGACTGCGTTTTCTGTGTTTCACCTCCTTCCCAAGAGCCCTTCTGATTTAAGTATTGCTGATGCTTTCTCCTCTGTAAACAGTTTTTATTAGCCAATGGCGTCCAGGAATCACCATACCACCACTCCCCATCTATGAGAAGAAAAAAATTTACGCCCGAAAATTCATATTAGCATGTTACGTGAGCGTTAAATATTTTCACCGGAATGCCTTACTTACAAAAAATTTCATAAATTACATTCTTACTTATCCTATATTAAATGTGAGCAATTTTAGTATTATGTGGATAGACATAGGTCCATTCTATTCTTCACTTGTGCAATAACTGATCTATGCTTTAAAGGTAATTTTTGACTATACCAAAAACTAGGCATCTTCTACCACCTTGCCTTTTTGCCCAGGTAATAACGCAGTGAATTACTACATTAATTGTCATAAAAACCTTGATTGATGGCTGGATCTCTCTCAAGCAAATTATTAAAGCTCGGCAAGCATTCAATGAAAATACTGCATATTTGTGTCCAATAGTTGATGCAAAAACTAAAAATATGTAACATGCATTGAATGCAGTGTGTTGAGCTGATATCGTCAAACATACAGATATTTGATTGCTTCATAGTGCACTAGTCATAGAAATGGTCTAACCTGTAGCTGCACTGTTCGTGTGTTTCCTCGATATCAAGTTGGGCACTATCCTACCAAGCCCAGTTGAGAGAATCTGAAATGCGGGTATAATCAGTCAGAAACCAGCAACAAAGAAAAATGGTCAACATTTGGTTTCATTAGCATGATGAGCGTCAGTATAGCAAGATTCTGGATACAAAATGGCTTACTGTCATCACAAAAAGTGCGCTGAGAGCTCCAGAGAGCACAATTGACTTAGGATGCCGCATGGCCATAAGAGCTGCGATAATAAATGTCTCATCTCCAATCTAGAAGTGATCCAATGCATCAGCGAAAGCATGCACAGTGAAAGAGTCGGAATAAGCACCAAAGAAGAACGCATGTGAGCAGATATAACAGGAGCTAAAAAGTGGCAATATCCCACCTCACTGACAATGATCATCGAGAGACTTGCAAAGAAAGCATCAAAGAGACCAAGACCAGCATCTGAATCAAGGCCTGCTCCGCTGCTTATATACTCCTTCCTAAGAGGTTGAAGCAGCATCTGTGGCACAGTATAAAAAAATCAAAACAAGATTTTAGTATTCATAATCATACAAGAAAAATGGAAAATGCCAACATATATATGAATCAGAATTGGAAATTTTAGAGAAGGGGGTCACAGAAAAGGTTTGCGTACTTTGGTACGGCGATCCAAAGGTATCAGGGACTCGGTGGACGTGTTCTCCCCACTCTCCACCCCGACATCCTAAAAACTCAGTATGCACGAGAAAAGCTTTCGTGACAGTGTCGCCGGACGAGAAAACCACACAGGAAGAAGAAAACGAAAAAGAAGCAGAGATAAACTTCTGTAAATAACACCACTGGTGGATCTAGTTACCTGGGAAGAGACGAACGCTGAGACAGTCGATAATAATATGAGAAGAACGATGAAGGAGCGGGAGGCCGTGCGCAGATCCATTCTAACCCAAACCCCAGACCCGAAAATTCAAATTCTACCTCAGATCCAACACCTCGAGCGGAACCAGTACCTCACAACCGGCCAGAAGCAAGATCTCGAGGTTGGGGACGATAAACTTAGATCAGCATATCTAATAGAGCGAGCACTTGATAAATTTACGGATATCGAATTCCACCCACAACAGGGGTGCGGAAGAAAGATAAAGATCTATCCAAAAGGGGCACGGATCTCGCCCCAGAAACGATCGAAAATCTGGCGAAGGGATTGATCGAACAAATCAGAACCTAAAACCTACAGGGGAAGAGGGGAGGAGGAGAAGGAGAGCCCCGGAGCTTCTCCTGTCCGTTCGCTGCTCAGAGCTTCTCCTCCCGCTTTCACGAAGACCCCCTCGTCTTCCACCCAAAAAAAAAACAAGTCTGAAGCATAAATGACCTTTAATTCCTCAACTCTTCCAATAATGATAGATATAGACACCTCGGGGCTGGCGGTTGGCGGGCTGAGTCAACGCCTCCCACATGGTCAAAACCCCGTGTCGGCGGGATTCGCTTTCTATTCATTGGGGTCGACTTTTCTTCGTATTTTTTCCGTAAATGGGCCTGTAACTAACTATGTGTGGGCCCACCACCTAGACGTGGTTCGATGGAAATTGGCCAAAAGGAGGGGAAAATGTTTGACCGAGGAGTAAATAGGGTGTAGGATTAAAGAGTTGAAAATTCGGAGGAGAGAATTTTAGTCAACGTTTTGACTGATGCCATCACAAGGAAGAGTTGTTCCTGGGCCAATTTTGGGCCCTGTTGCCGCGGCCGCGTTCATGTCTGCTCAGCGTTGACTTTTCATTACTAATATCCCGTAAATGGGCCCATAGCTAACTCTGTGCGGGCCATCCTTCCTCCCCGATACGTGGTCGGATGGAGAATTGACTCAGGGGTTGACTTTTGGAGCTATAAATGCTTGACCGAGGAGTAAACAGGGTGGTTTAGGAATCATGGGTTAAGAGCTGAAAAGTCAACGTTTGGCTGCTGCGATCACAAGCAGAAGCCAATTTTGGGCCGTGTTTGCTGGCACGCTATGGGCCCGATCGGATCCAATAAGAGAGCTCGGCCTAAGCCCATCTTTTTTACATATATATATATATACCACATCTCTGAAAACCCTAACACTGGTTGAAGTTGCTGCGGCTGCCGGTGTGACCTTCTTCGCGCTCTCTAGCTCTCTCGCGGACGGGAGGGATCGGGGTGGAAGACATGGCGGCGGAGGCGTTGCCACCACCGGAGGTGAAGCTGTTCAACAGGTGGTCCTTCGAAGATGTCGAGGTCAGTTCAGTGCCGGTCGTCCTTTCCTGCCTTCTTCTTCGTCTTGTTTTGATCCGTGGCGGACGGATCCGCCTTCTTCCGCATGTTTCGAAAGCAGTAGTGGTTTGTTAGGATCTCCAGGATCTTGATAATTCCTATTTCTTGCTCTTCTGACTATGAAAATCGAGCGGGAGTTGGATGGCTCGGAGAGCCTGTTTAGATTGAGCGGGAGTTGGATTTGTCGACGAATATAATATGTTTCCTTCTGCGCTGAATGAATTCGCTCAGTAACCCGCAGAAGTTATCGTTAGCATGCATCTCATGCTACCTCACCAAGATTTTTTATTTTATTTTTTATTATATGATCCAACAAGGCCGTGGCTTTTAGTTGTCTTTCATGTGGTTCCTGAGTGTCGTTCGTGATTTATTGCTGCTTCTTTTCCGCGGTTGTGTATTGATTAAATTTTGGTTCATCCTTTTCAAATGTTCCCAATGCCTGCTTTATTGAGATGATTTTATTTGGAACAACCATACCGGTTCAATACTCAACAGTCTGCACTCAGCGGGGTAGCCGCCGTTCCTCTCTTAAGGCTCTCTGGGAACGCAGAAGAATTCCCGTAACCGTCTTGGCTTTTAAGGACCATCGATATTCGATGGCGTTATGTTTGCGCATCAAGTTTTGATAGATGCATCTATTAATTAGCGGGCTGTATTCTCCTCTCTTGTTTCGTGAGGATGCTAATTTTATCTATGATCTTAACGAGCTCACCTTCTCTTTTTGTGAGGCTGGCTCCTATTCCCTTTGGGGGAAAAAAGCGTGGATGCTGGCATTATGATTCCTACCACCCTCATCTTGGCTCTTATTTTTTCTACATTAGTTTACATAATTCGGTGCTTATAGTGACTTTAAACAGCTCCTTTTAAACAGCAGGTTGAAAATTATACCGAGCTGTCAGATCTTCCTATAGTGATGGAATAGAAGATGACTGTTCCCTGTGGGGTATCCTTTATCATTGGTTTTCTCTGTGGGGCTGAGACCTTGAGTTGGAGCCAAGCAGAATTTTATAAACCCCGTGGGGTTAGATTGTTATTTGTGTATGTATCTCCATTCGTTGGAGTTCCTCCCACAAGGAAGTTCTATGACCTGAATTTGCACTGTTTCAACAGGTTAGCGACATTTCACTGGCCGACTACATAGCCATCACCCCAGGGAAGCATGCTACTTATGTCCCCCACACTGCCGGGCGGTACTCCGTGAAGAGATTTCGCAAAGCGCAGTGCCCGATCATCGAGAGACTGACGAACTCTCTGATGATGCACGGCCGCAACAATGGCAAGAAGTTGATGGCCGTCCGCATTGTTAAGCACGCGATGGAAATCATCCATCTCCTCACTGATGCCAATCCGATCCAAGTAATTGTTGATGCCATCATCAACAGGTGAGGCCTTGTTTGAATCGTAAACCACTGGAACAGCAGGCCTCTGATAATTTCTTAAGGTTACTGACGGAGAGTTGGGTTTGTGTTTACCAGTGGGCCGAGGGAAGATGCCACCAGGATTGGCTCAGCCGGTGTTGTGAGGCGTCAGGCTGTTGATATCTCCCCACTGAGGAGGGTCAACCAGGCAATCTACCTCCTCACGACTGGTGCCCGGGAGAGTGCATTCAGGAACATCAAGACCATCGCCGAGTGCCTTGCTGACGAGCTCATTAATGCCGCCAAGGGATCTTCCAACAGCTATGCCATCAAGAAGAAGGATGAGGTCGAGCGTGTCGCCAAGGCCAACCGTTGAGAGGCCCTCTTCATGCATGTTCTTATGCTCCTTCCCTCATCCTCCTCCCTACTTATTAGCAGCTGCCTGATGCCATGTTTGGATTGACGGAGGTTTTGATGTTCCTTTTCCCCTAGTCTGTAGTTTCTTGGAGAATTTTGTTGCTATTGCTGGTAAACATACATCCACCTTCTATTTCTTTCAGCCCATCTACTTTCAGCTTGCTCCAGAGCTCAGGGTAGATGTGTTCATTGGGGCGTGGGCTAGTTCAGTGTCCAGTCCTGGCCTAGCAGGAACGTGACTAGTTCATTGAATCACTCAACACTTGGATATTAATTAGGTCTATAAACATGGAATGTGTCTAGATAATGAGCAAAGTCTGGTCGAACAGAATCTGAAGGACGTTGCTGGTGCAGTGATTTGTGATGAAGTTTAGCAGATGTTTTCACAAGATAGTCACCATATTGAGGAAAATGATGAAGGTAGTTGATGCAGGCGGTGACATTACTCGAGCAGCAGACTAGCAAAACACTTGGAAAAGATTGTCGTTTATAGTGTTACCTCAAAGAGATTAAATTCAGGGTATTTCTCCAAGGTGAAGGCTTGCATGGGATATGTCAATGACCATGCTTTTCTTTTAGCACAATTCCATGTGCTCGAGCAACCTAAGTTAAAAGGCATTGCGCAAAGGCAATATTTGCACATCAAAAAAATAAAAGAAAATAAGTATTTATAATATTACGTCAATAAAACATTTTAAAATACCTAAAAAGTGTGATATAAAACTTGTGAGAGTGTTGGATCAAAGACAAGGCCTTCTAGCTGTTAAACTTTTCCTCTTGGAACATTCTTTTGCTCTCACTACCCTTTTGAACATCAATTTATTAAAACTTCATCATGGGTGAGTGTTGGAAGCTTCTTTTATTGGAAAGATCTTAAGTGACCCCTTTTTCCAAAAATATATTGATTTTTCTTGAAAGTGAATAAGTGTTCACCTTCAATTTCGAGAATATCCAATTAGATTTTTTTTCCTTGATCCATCTTTGACTTCTTTGTCACCCATCTCATACTCAATAATGAACCCATGAGCTCATTCATTGACCCTCTACAACAATGTTTGACTTCATCTTATTCTATGGACAAGCGTAATAAATTTTATAATCGAGTATGAATTAGTGCAGGTCTTACTTAGAGTTCTAAATGCATGGAAATTTGATTGAACCTTGTCAATACATATATAGTTGATTCTTTAGTTAGGGGCTTCGTTTGATGTCTTTGACTAGATGCCATTCATAACTATTAGCTTCTTCCAAAATCTTTCACATGAATAGTTGATTGAACTCGATGCTATTCAAAACAAAAAATGATATTCTGTGCATTACTATGAAGAGAATGATCTCTATGATGAAAATCAAACCTAATAGTTTCACAATTTGATGGGGGATGATAAGGACAATACATTGAAATGATCATAATCATGTTTTCTAAGGAGAATTAGTTCATCCCTCAAACATATAGGTCACTTAGCCAACTTTGATCGGATGTTTCTCTATTTCTTTCTTTTTTAATAGGTTTACTTATGATAATCAAATTGACAAAAAACAAGCCACTTATATTAATTAAAATCTAGATTGAGTCTTAGAACTATAGTGGTCAGATTTATAAATCGTAGGTAAATTGCATGAAAAAAAAATTCATGATTCATCTTGGCACCTACTAGAGGTAGTCTTTCTCTAAAAAAATATATATTTTTTGAAATAAATGGATTTATTTTCAAGGAACCATCTATAAATAAATGGATTTAGTTTTAAAATAAATCTATTGGATTAATATATGTATTCTTTTCTTCCATTTGATTGGATAGTATAATAATTAGGAAATTGAGAAAAAATAACATTAAGTTCACTATGTAATTAATTAAAATTAGATATTGATCATATGTCAAAGGTATTAGCTTTTTGGATTCTTTTAGTTTGGATGATGGATAATGGATCTAAGTGTAAAGTGGTAATAAAGAAATAATATTGTGCTGAGATATTAGAAAGATATTGTTACAATATTTTACTAATGCTTAAGTATACTTGATTATGTTGGAAGTGCATTGATATGATTTATGGGATTCTCCCAAATAAAATAATCATTCAAATAATGCAAATGTATTTAAGTGTAAAATAGTAAATTTTTATTAATTTTTTTTTCAATGTCCTATCCATTGAAAACATTACAATTTATGACATGAATTACATTCTCTTAGGGTTACTTTATTATAATATTTAGCATTTTACAAACAACATGAAATGGACCAACTTAGAAGAGGAGAAAAACATAACTTTTGACATTTATGAAAAAGTACTTGACTAGTGTTACTTGATTACCTGATTCAAAATTTAGTTATATAATTGTTTGAAATATTTTAGAAGTAACTTGTACTTGAGTATGTTACTTGTATTTTATTTAATTAGAAAGTGAACACTATTATTATGAAGAAATCATGGGAACAAATTACTAAACTAGTTATTGATGCCACTTTTATAGTTATGAGACAATTTTGAATTATTTTTGGCCTTTCAAAGTTTAATAAATCACAAAAAAAACCTGATCATTGCCAAATTTTAAAAAAAATGATCAAAATCAACATCTCCATCTCAAACATTCAAGGCTGTCAATTACATGAACTACATCTACATTAATTAGCCAGGAAATTCACTCCATGGAATCTACATGACAAATCAATAAGAGTATTCACTTGTTCCTTATTTCCAATTTAGTACTTTTAGTACTAAGGAGACCTAGAGTAATGCATCTAGAAGAAATTAGCCGGATATGAAGATAATTGATTCCTTATAATTATGTTGCATTACATAAATACCCAAATATAATTTATGTGAAATGTTGCCTCGAATAGTAATGTTATCTCATGTGTAAGTGTTGGCACATCTAAGCAAAACAAGAGAAAACTATAGCCGTTTATTTCATTATTATGAGTTGACAACATGATTGGCTCCTATGACTATATCGTTGGACCCATTGTTAATCAAATGAACTAGTGTTTGAGAATCAGCACTTTGAATTCTCGCATGTGTCAAATTTTGGTTTTACTAATGAATTTTTTTTAGAGTTTAATCTAACATGAATTACACAAATTTAGAAATACTTTAATGATCTTGAATCACGCTGTCTTATAGGCTTTAGTTAAGCATACATACGTACATATTAGAAGTTCTCAATCCTTCTAACGTAGATTAGAAGCTCTGATTGGTTCAAAGCCACATCTCTCTCTCTCTCTCTCTCTCTCTCTCTCTCTCTCTCTCTCTCTCCCGCTCTCAAAAGCTGATAATTCTTCATGTATTTCCTCAAGAGCCGATTGAAAGCTCCAAAATCTTTTAGAGTCTTGGATTATTTCATTTTATTTTATTCTTTCTGGCTGTGTTCGAAGGGTTTGCCGTTGAGTAAGGCTTGGAGCATTGTGAATATGCTTATTTGGGTCCATGATAAAAAAGCAAACTCACACTGTGCTTGGTGGAATTGATCAACGTAGAGCTCGCGTAAAAGTCATGGAGTCTCCTCTCCTTGTTTCTTCATGCAAAAAGATCCGATTTTTACGTTAGAGCTAAATAATTTGGCATTATGGATGAGGTGAGCGAATGTAGTTACGTGCTAAAAGCTTGCAGAAACTAAAACATAGATAGGGATTCAAGCTTTCAGAAATATACCTGGAGAGAGACTTAATTGAGTCTCTGATCATTGGAGTAGAGTTTAAGTCCTTGATCCGACCTGCAAGAAAGAAATCGTACAATACTTTGATGTGTTGATCCAAAGATTGCAGGCTGAAAGTTGAACTAGTCTACCGATTAGTCCGTAGTTTGTGAGATTTGATTCGAATGGGGATATAATTCCGAAATGGCAATAAAAATGTGATCTTGATTGGTCTGAACGGGGAAGATCACCGGTCGATGCAACCTTTTCTCTACCATGGTGAAGGAAAAATCTGAAAAGAGTCCGGGGTTTGTGGCCTGGCAGGTTGTGGTGGTGGTGGCGGTGGTCATCTTCCTCGTGTACTCTACTCTCTTTTTTGTTTACTGCCTCACTCGCTCTATCACTCTCTCTCTCTCTCTCTCTCTCTCTCTCTCTCCCCATCGAAGTTTGTGGAGAGGAGGGGAGCTCTTTCCCTCTCCTCCTCTTCTTTATCTTTGTCTCATCCTCGTTTCCATCCTCCTGTCCCCGCTCTCTCTTTCTCTCTCTCTGTCCCTCTCATTATCTCTCCTCTTCTCCCGTTTCGTTGCCGGCTCTCTGGATTTCGTGTGACGCGCCGGAAGGGGACGGGATTTCCCGGCAGACAAGGGGATGGTTCGTCGCTGCTGCTGCGGCGGTGGCTACTCCTGTCGGCACTGGTAATAATGGCTGGGTTCCAGCGATGGACCGCGAGAAGTCCGCTGTGGAGATTTCTGGAGGTGTTAGGGCGATGATCGCCACAAACATGACTGAGGGATCATCGTCGCTGGGTCCCCTCCTGGGCAGAGGTTTGTCTGATCGACATTATACTCCTTTGCCAATTCGTGAGTTCTTGTTGATCATTTTCTCTGGTGGCAACGTAGGAAGTATTAGGGTTCTCCGGAACTAGGATCGGGGAGCTTGGAATCTCGGGTTCACACGGCGATCGTTTGCTTTTATATGACTGTCGTTTTACTGAATCGCCACCTTGCTCGAAATCAGCGTAGTTCATCTGCTTTTCTCTGTGATCGGATTGGTTTTGGAAAGCATGGGTTTCATCTCCAAGCCAGCAGTTTTTCTCAAAGTCGATCCTCCGATTTCTTTCGCGCCTGTTACCAGTCTCTCAGCTTTCCATATATTTTCCCATTTTGTTCAAATGTGTCCTAGTTTTGGCTGATAACGTCGATGACAATGGATCTTCTTTGGGTTGGGTTTTTGCCTGATCGAGTTGGTGAAACGCCATGGCTGCTGTTTCTTCCAGCTTTTCATCTTTGTTCTTGTTTCTATGATTCTATGCTTGTTGATTTAATTTACAGATTTAATCTTTTGTGTGATCTCCTCACCTCTCTTTTGAGTGGCGGGTACAAACTTTTCTCATGAACATCTTCCCTAGCACTTTTGCTTTTATTATTCGATCTATTATTTCATCTCTCACTGCGGTTTTTCCCTGTTCAGAAACCATCTTCCCACCTTTGATTTCTTTCAGTTCTTCGGTGTTCTTACACTTTTACAGTGGTTTTTTTTTTTTTTTCGTAATGTGGTTTAATATTTACCTTTGCACATAAGTTGTGTAATTCTCCCAGTTATCTCAAACAGACGAAAAGTATGTGTTTTATGCACCTCGATATCCCAGATGACTTTGGCTCATGTTATTGCAGATAATATGTGGCAAATGAACATGAGAGCTAACAAAGCAATGGAGCCCGGACCATATCCTCTGCGTCCAGGAGAGCCAGACTGTGCATACTACATTCGGACTGGCCTTTGTAGATTTGGGATGACGTGCAGATTTAATCACCCTCCTAATAGGAAACTGGTAAATGTTTTCTTTCTTTATTTGTGCACATTTATATATATCCACAGCTTCTTTTCACAGCCGTATGATGCATCTTGCCTCTTTGGTTTCCATGTTCAGTTAGTGTAACTTGTAAAATTGTGTTCATATTCTTCTTTAATTGTGGTTATGACACATTTTTGTCAGTTTCGCCTGGAATTTTTTTTTTTTTTTTTTTTCTGTCACATGTAAGTTAGAGTTATAAATATGCAAGTGCATTGGAGATGGAAGGTTCACTTTTTTTTTCATTTTGATGGGAATTTTGGAACGACGGTCGGTATCGGAGTAATATTATGTGGAAGAGACCCGTTTTTCATGTTCTTTCTTATTTCTGGTGTAATCTTCCTCAAAGACTGCCTCCAATAGATGCCAATGAGTGTTCGTTATTGATGGGAGAAAAGTAGTGGATGATACTCTCCATGAGTCACTTAAGGTAGTATCCCGTATTCTGTCAATTTAGGAGCTGATTTTTCCTGTGACCATCCATCCGTTTCTGGATAACTGAGCTTGAAGTCATCAGATCTAAGGTAGATCAGCTGATTTATGGCAATTTGACCCTGTTCAGTCTTTATGGAGTTCCATAAATGGCGAATCTTCTCCTGATTCCACAAAGGCCCAGCTAATGCACTTGTCCGTTCCAATTCCTAATATCGTCCTATTTTCGCAAAAAATGTTATTGCAAAGCTGGTAAACTTTGTTCTTCGAAGGTATGGTGCGGAAGCTACCTATAAAAGAGAATGACTTATGGTCTTGGATATATTATTCACACTTCTGTGGATCCTCCTGGTGTTCACTGTGAAGATGCACTTATGACATCGAAACAAAATCCTCTGTTTCACATTGGGTTTTGTCCACTGATCTTGTGTGTACTTGCTTTGTGAGCAGGAAAATGTGGATATTAGTGTGAATAAGATTCATACTGGAGTGAGGAAGGCCTTGTTTATGGGGATATTAATCATCAAAAGAGGATGGATTCAAAGGAGTTTTTTTGGTTGCTGGAGGAAAATTCATTTAATTTTTTTCTTCTTGTTAACTCCATCGGTGTACGTTTTCTGATTGAATAGGATGTCATTTCAGGTTTTTGATTAGAAAAGTGTCTAGGCTCGGTCTGCTTGTTGGTTGTCTCAGGTATCAAGTATGCCGGTCTAGTTCTGTGGTATAGAAAATTATATCCTTTATATCCATCATTCTTTCTTTGTGATTACATTATTTCGATTCCCCTCCTTTTCTGCCTCTAGTTCTTCCTTTTCTCAGAAGAAATCTTTCATTGGTTTCCCCATTGGATACGAGTCCCATACATACATCAGTTTTTCTTTGATATTAACCACTGCAATGGCCGACACTTGGGCTGGGTCTTTGGGATAGGGCCACACAAACAGAGACTACTCTACCACAATAGTCATGGAAAAGAGTATACTGCTCTTTACTGCTCTTTTCGGAAGCCCCCCCATCATGGTTCTTCTTTTGTCTAACGGAGTCAGATAGTTTCTTGGATCTCTTCTTCTGACTTCCGTCATGCAACATGTTTTCTCTTTCTTTTTTCTTTGCTTTGATGTTCTCTCCAATTATCACTAGCTTCTTGAATTATGCCTCGTCATGACCATCATCTTGGATTACAGATGGATCTCAGACCCTGGAAATGGTCAGTGGAGAGGATATGGACTTCCATAAGCCGTAGAATGAAGAGTGGGTTTCAAGCTCTTGTAGTGAGAAAGGACATGATCTCGTCCTGGGTTGTTCTATATTGTTCTTTTGTAGACCAGAAAATATTCTCATATAGGGTCTTAACCATACATTTACACATTCTATTTTCTTGTACTCTATACTTTCAAAAATTGTTTGATTATCATCATTCATGTATTGTGACCATTATAATTCCACTTTGCTGTTTATTGGACGAGTATTGACTGATATTTATATGCTCTACTTCATTTTTTTATTTGAACTAAGAGTCTCAAGATTCCAGTTTCTTTAATCTGTTGGCTTGTTATTCCTTTTCTCTTGAAACGTCATTTTCCACTTTGATGAAACAGGCTATGCAAGTAAGTGGATGCTCATCTTAGACAGACACGTTGCATGATATAAGTGCCCATGGTCGATCTTTATGGCCTTCCATAAAAAAAAACTCGTAGATATCAACTAGTAAATGGAAACATCACCCTGGACTGCTTGGTCTTCTGAATTCAATACAATGGAGCGCCCTAAACCCTGAACAGTTTATCTAACAGCCAATGTGGGTCATCATACCACTTTGGAGACAAATAACTAACTGTGTTGCTTTATCAATTGGCACATGGTCTTCCCCTTTCAACGAATTTCATCTGTTCATATGTTGTGATGTACTTTAGTTTTAAATTTCAAATCAATCAACTAGATTTTCTCAACGAATTTCAGGCTGCTGCTGCTGCTACTGCGAAATTTAGCGGGGTATATCCCGAAAGGGTTGGCCAACCAGAGTGCCAGGTCAATGCCTCATCCTCTGCTCCTTTTCCATCATGCATCTGCTGTTGGGAATTCCATTAGTAATCAAGGGCTCATCATCCATTGAGTCGTATGATGCATATCATTGTAAATCTTGTAGTAGGAATTGAAATGCCAGATGAATTTTTATGTTTACTGTAAGATGTGGATTTACTTTATATGTCAATACAGATTCTCCCCATTAGTATTTTAGAGGTACCCTTGTTAGAAAATGCTTGTTTTGGTGTCAAATATTTTTGTTGTCTGCTTGGGTCTTGAGAAAATAGATTATTTCTTGGATAACCATGATATGAGACAGCTGGCAGCCTCAATTTGTCCTGCCTAATATTTCATATTATGGTATACTGTGCCGGTGAAAGTTACAGTTGAATGCACCTCATTTGAATTTTAAAACTGAAGAGTTGAGAGAGTGCCACATTGTATTTGCCATTAGGTTTCTCAATCGCCCCAACAAAACTAATAGGGTTCACATATTCTGATGGAGATCCAAATCAAGATTTTAAGTATTCTTGAGCCTGGGTGTCGGATCAAGTGACATCTCAGATTATATAGCCTATTGTGTTTTCTCTTCCTAGTAAGCTTTTTTGGTCAGTTTTAGTTTTTTTTTTTCTCCCTTCGCCATGTAGGAGTCATGTTTCTGCTTGGATTCATAGTGGCAGTTGGATATGAAAACGTGTGAATCTTGAGAATTACGGAGAAGCATACATCTCCTTGATGAGATGCAGTGAATTAAGGGGGACTAAGAGCACAGACCATGAACTAAAGTCCTGAAATTTTGCATGACATGAAGTCTTTCAGATGTTGGTGTCATTCCTCTCTAGATTATGCGCTGCTTCCTTGTCTTTCTTGGGAATGAAGAGAGGCTGTCTTCTCTTCTTCTTTCTTCCTTGTTGCTCTTGATAGTTCAGTATGGCAACGGAAACCCACAGTTTTGATGTCAGAGGCATGTAACGACGAATAGAGTCAATCTCAGGTATGTTTCTGGGGGGACTTGGAGAAGACATTGCCTTATGTTGCCCTTGTAAGTTAGGTCCTGCTGGTGGTTTGCCATGTCAGTTGCTCGAGAGATTGGTGCATCTGGTGGATAATTCCAATGGAACTGAACTCTGGAAGAAAGCCTTCTTGTTCACCTTTTCTCGATGGAATTGGGTGGTACAGACTGAACAATCACCGGAACCTGGACTGTACGCTGAATCACTGGCCATATGCTTGCCAAAACTCATGTGTGACTGAGGTATGCTATTTTTAGCCACTCTGAGATCAGCCAGGCTGCTGCTACTGTCCCCTGCTACTGGCCATATGCATCGTCAACCAGGCTAATTTCCTGTCTTGTATCACTGTCATGTCTATCATCTGCTGCCTCATTTCAGCAGTCATGATCCTACAATACCATAAAAACAGCACTGTCATGGACATTGACTGTACTGGTGTATTATGACACCACATATGTCTGCATATGGAAGCACTGCCACCATTGATTTGGATCACTTCAACATACAGTTGCTTACTCCTCACCATGTCAGAAGTCCTTAATCCCTGTTCTGCCTTTACCATTGATTTGGATCACTCCACCCCACCCCAAAAGACAAAAAAAGAAAAGAGAAAAAAAAACTAGCCTTTGCCTTTACTCTTTTAATAAGACCCAAAGCTATACACAAACGTAGGTTATTTCACTGCCTCTCTAACATTGACCATTATAAGGCCCAAATACTACTATTTAAATCCAGAACATTCGACTATCGTTAATTGGTTTAATTTGAACCTCTTGATTGCAGACCAGTTGATTTTCGTAGTGGGTCTTCAGGCCTTCACTTGCTTTGGTTGCTTTATCTGAAAAGGGGTAAGACCAAGTTTAATTTACATTGATTGTATACTATGATAACTGTAGGGCAGCTATGTACATAGTGTCCTTCACAGACAGCTGTCCTACATCACTATCTAGCATAACATTGCAGGGCCAATTTTTCTAAATCATACTGATGAAAAAAATCTTCTGGCTCTTTTCATGCAAGATTATGTAATTATGCTTGATCATTGTCTACCCGCCAGGAAACTTCAATGATCACAGCTACAAACTTTCTGAAACTATGAAAATTTGACTTTTTTGACAGATTTTTCCAGAAATTCTAGAATCTTACTTTCGACTAGCATCATCAAGTGGTGCCATTACTACATTTGACAACATTTCATGCGTACTTTCTTGTTTCGATGGGTTTATTCATTGTTTCTCTCCCGGATTGATAAGAAGCATTTTTCTTACCGTTTATTCAGTACTACTTGAAGACAGGAGCTTGTAGATTCGGAGCAACATGCAAGTTTCATCATCCCAGAGACAAGGCTGGAATTTCTCAGAAAGTTCAGTTAAATATTTTCGGTTTTCCCGTTCGTCCAGTATGTTCTTCCTCTTGGTTTAATCTCTCTTCATTGGATCATTGAGATTTATTTCTCCAAATTTCACTAAGTGAACCAGCTTTTTTAACATTTATCTGTAGATAGGTTTGATAAGTGTACTTAAAAACGAACTTATAGGTCTAAAGTCTTACGACGATCTGTTTTATGATGTCTTCTTGCAGAACGAAAAAGATTGTGCATATTATTTACGAACTGGACACTGTAAATTTGGCAGTACTTGTAGATTTCATCATCCACAGCCATCTAATGCTGTGGTGCCAATACATGGTTCTGTTTATCCTACCGTACATTCCCCAACAAGTCTAGGTCAGCAGTCTTATCCAGGAGGATTAACAAATTGGCCTTTGTCAAGGGCCTCCTTCTTACCTGGCCCAAGTTGGCAAGACCCTTCAAGTTATGCACGACTTATTCTTCCTCAAGGGGTGGTTCAAGTTCCTAGCTGGAGTGCATATCCTGTAAGTCTCATCCAATTCTCGTTTTCTTGAAGTTTCCTTTTTGTGTACGGTTGGCTTCTATTGCTAACTAAGTATGGAAGTCAACGCTGGCTTATTTCTTTCCACTGCCTCTCTGCTTGACTATTTGATTGGAGAAACGAACATTTCTTCTCTCGGGAAACTTGTTATTTGGTTTTTTTCCCCCTTTCGCTGGTATCTATTATGTTTCTTATCCTCTTGCGAAGTTCCAATCACTGCTTACTGGTTCAAGTCTTAACGCGCAACAACCACTTTTACTCCACATATCAGTTTTTTCAGTGAGAAGGCTTGGATGCAAATAATATTCATAGGATCCGTTCGTTACTCGTTGAATGAGGGCAACTCATGTTCTTTGTTGTCTTTTGGAAGCTCAGTTAGCTTGTTAATGCCATGGAGTTGTGCATGATGAGTATAGTGGGTGCTGAGCTCATATATTTTGCTTTTGATTGTGATCTTTCACTTTATAGCATTTGACATATTTTTTATTTGAGAAAAGTACAGAATTACCGATATGTCAGTACATATTTTGCTTTTGGTTGTGCTAATTTTTGGCATGTTGAACATGTGGGATATTCATTGAGCGGCAGCTGGGTTCTGTTGCGCTTTCTGAGGGTCAACAGCAGCCAGCCGGAGGTGGTCAATTGTATGGGACTTCGAGACAAAGTGAAGCCACTAATTCTGGAGTTCATGGATCATTTCCTTCATATCATTCTATGGAGACGTTTGGTTCGCAGATGGAGACTGTATTTCCTGAGAGACCTGGTGAACTTGCGTGCCAGTACTACATGAAGACTGGAGATTGCAAATTTGGTGCATTGTGCCGGTTCCATCATCCTAGAGAAAGGCTTAGTCATGTTCCTAACTGTATGTTGAGTCCATTGGGCCTTCCGTTGCGTCCAGTAAGTTAATTATTTGCGTTTAATGTTAAATCCTGCAAATGCTCGATATTTTATTTATTATTTTATTTTGGTGTACCTTTAAAATTATTTTATAGGTGGTGATGAGAGATGTGTTCTTGCATCTTTATGTATTTTGATTATTTTTTTTTATTGGTTTAATGAATGCCTTTTAAACATCATATTTTATATATTACACGATGAGGACAGAGGCTCAATCTAATCTGTTTGACTCTTTTCCAAGTTACTGCGTTCTTGGTGGTTGTGAGGGACTTTCATTTGGTTTTTCAGTCTAAGGAGCTATACAATCACAGTTTCTTCAAGCTTGATGAAACTTTTTCGGGAAACACACTGGCAGTTTGTACTCCCTTCTCAATCAAAATGTGGGCTTGCTCGATAATCGAGAGACATGCTTTATCCAATTTTCGTGTTGCTAGATCACCGGATTTCGTGTTGCCCATCTAATCACTCCCTTCTCATTAAGTATGATTCTAGTTACTTTGATGTGATAACTTGGACGGAAGAATCAAATCCCATGTCAATAGTGGATGGACAGTTTATGGCATTTATCATGCAGCGAACTTGTTTTTCATTGACCTTGTTGAAACTCATGCAATATGTAGGCACAGCCATCAAAGACATTATTCACGGATGGCACAATTCATCACTGATAGAGTGAATTGTCGATTATTCATCATTGATAGTATGTAAAAGTAAGTGTTTCATCAAGCAATTCTGTACAAGCATGTTACCACAGAATCAGCACGTGTGGTGCCCCCACTGTCAATCTGTAGATGTTTTAATATCTGAGACTTCAAACGAATCAAGGTTTCATGGATAGGCTGATGTAGACGTGCAGTACTCTATGGTTGTTACATTGAAATGCAGATTCTCTTCAGACAAAAAACATATAATAATGTTTTTTTTCTGATTTTATATGAACTAATTATGTTTCACTTCTGATTAATTTCGATGTTGCATAATCTTGCTGGCTGACTTTGAAGTGAGAGAGTTGACTTTGTTCCTTCCTTTATTGTTGGACAGGGAGAGCCTACTTGCGTCTTCTACTCTCGTTATGGTGTCTGCAAATTTGGTCCAAACTGTAAGTTCGACCATCCTATGGGAGCCTTCATGTATGGACTTTCTTCACCATCTTCAGCAGATGTACCAGATGTTCGACACCTACTGGGATCTTCAGTGGTCTCCACGTTGCCAGAATCCTCGTCGGAGTCCCCCGGTGAAATGGGTCCAGGAAAGTCAATGCAGCTCATATTATCAGAACCCCGGCAGCTGTCTGCTGTTAGTGAGAACACCCAGGGAGAAGGATCGCATGTGGCTTCGAGTATTGGGCCAATCTCTTCTTTCGGATAGCTGTCCGAGGCTGCTGTTCTCCTGTAAATTGAGTTCCATTGCTGAAGGTGTACAGTCTACCGCGACGGGTTGACCAGCCCATTGCAAGGCAGCACTTGCCAGCAGCAGAAGAAGCTGGCATCTGTAAATCTGCGCACAGTCCTGTGGAGAAGGAAAGTAGCAGTAAGGATGCTTTTCTCCATCTATCGTCTGATCTCCTCTCCTCCTCCACTGTATAATATTATTTCCATTGCCCTGCCCTCTGTGTCGTCTAATAATCTTCTCTCTGATCGTCATTTCCCTGAGAACAGGGCGGCTAGTCTTCCCTGTCTTCTGTGATTCAATGCTACTTACCTTGGGAAAGCCAGGCCTTGGGCTTCTGGGCATGGCCAGTCCAATCGTACCTAGCAAGTAGGTCATAACCAAGCACCGAGGGCTAGCTAGGCTTGCTTTGGATTAACCTAAGACTAGTCCTGAGTAAGAGTTATGCCTGCGTTGCAGGGAGGAGGGCTGTGCTGTGCTAACGATGGACTTTCCAGGGAAATAGGCCATTGAGTAAAATAAAAAATAACATTAGGACTAGTATTTAATCTAATCTATTTTATTAATACAAACCGAAAAGCTTATGGGTCTTTTTTTTTTTTCTTCTCTGGAAATTCTGATTACTTCGAATGCATCATGAATAACAGTGGATAATCTCCCAGTCAAGTCAGATGAGTGTGGCCGGTGTCCGACGGAGGGCTCTTCCAGTCGCAGAAAATGGGCAGCGAGATGACTGCGGTTGTTGTTTACGACGCCATTAAGGAGCGCTACTAATTACGAGTTGCACCCAGAAATCGAGAGATCGTTCTGGGTGTACTTGTGATCGTCCTTCCTCTTCTTGTTTGTGCTTATCTTTCGCAGCTAAACTGGACTGTCTTCCAGAAACCGGACCGGTCGTCGCCGTCCGCCAGCGGCATTGACGACGGAGTCCGCTCCTCTTGAAGGCTCTCTTGTCCATAGCCGACACCGGTCCGAGACGTACCACTGTCCAAATACCAGCCGGAGACTTTGACTCTCCCATCCATCATTAGCAGCCCCCTATAAACTTGGCTCCACCGCTCAGATGGCAAGCTCACACAAGTCTTCCACAGTATTCTCTCTCTCCCTCTCTCTCTCTGTCTGTGGTTCGTTCCGGTCGTGTCTTGAAGATGACGGGCTTCACCGAGGAGCTGTCTTCCGCCATCGCGCCGTCCCGGCTGTTCCTCGCGGGCGCCCTCGACTCCCACAAGCTCGCGCCAATTCTGCTTTCCGAGTTCGTGTCCCACGTCGCCATCGTCGAAGGTGACGGCGGCGTCGGCACCGTGAGGGTTACCGAGTTCACAGACGGTATTGCCTCTCGTCTCTCTCGCTCCCGTCTTCGAAAGTGATACGCTTGCTGAAGGTTTTTCCATGGCTCTTGCATGCAGCGGTGCCGTACAAGACGACGAGGGAGCGCACGGACGTGCTGGACAGGGAGAATCTGGAGTACGCGTACACGCTTCTGGAGGGAGGCCCGCTGGGGGAGAAGATCGAGAGCGCCACCTACCGCATGAAGCTGACGGCCTCTGCAGACGGCGGCGGCAGCGTGTGCAGCGTCACGATGGGGTACCACCCCAAGCCCGGCGTGGAGCTGACGGCGGAGGAGGTCAACGCCGACAAGGAGGCCTTCATCGGCGCGTTCCAGGCACTGGAGGCCTACCTCCTGGCCAACCCAAACGCCTACGCTTGAATAAACAGCCACCGTTCTGCGGATGATCTCTTCCTGCTGCTTTTGACGAGGAATAAACCCACTACTACCCGGTGGGCTATGTCGCAGTTACCCACCTGTTTTATTTTTTACGTCGCTCATATGTAAGAGAAAGTCAACGAGAGTCGAGAGGCCCAATTCCTGCTCGGGGTGACCTGATCTGTTTCTCTCTCGCCACTTTCTGTCGTAAAAAATGGGCTAGAGCCAAATTTTTATTCCTCCGGGTTCAGCCCTCGGCGTCTTTCTGCGCGCGTGCCCCGTAGAAGAATCCGAGCTTCTTCCCCATGGGATTTGATTGCACAGATTTCACCGCTTTCAGTGGAGTCCTGTCAGATCGATCAAGAAAAAAAAAAAAAAAAAAACTAGAGATTTGAAAACTTTGATCTGATTCTGCTACTTTTCAATCTTGTAAGGCGCCTGTTTGTAGGGCCCCTTCTGTGCTTCGACTGGAGCCCATTCCGCCCGGCAACCCATCTGGATCTCTCTCCCTCACTTGTCAGAGAATGGCAGGGCGTCTGGGACTCCCCCTCTTCGTCCTTTTCCTCCAACAGTGCACACCAGACGACCGTCCAGCCGGAGCATTAACTCCAGTTCACAACATCTCCCGTCTTCTTCTCCTCTCTCCCTCACAAGGAGAGGGATAAGCAAACAGCAAAGCAAGAGCAAGACCAGATCTTCTACATCTCAATGCGCCCCCTTTCAAACCGGGAATGTCTCCGGGGGCTGTTCTCTCCCGCTTCCTCCTCCTCCTCCTCCTTTCCCTCTTCATGGCTTCCATCTCCCTCGGATCAAGCACTGGCCATGTAAGTCGGTTCTTCTTCCCGTCTCACGCTGAGCGCTCCGTCAATGTTCGATTTCGTAATGTGTTGGGTATATTCCTCTGATACGACGGCATCTTCGCCAGGAGGAGATGAAGCCGGTTGCGGGGCCGCCGGGGGGATTGCTGGTCCTGAACGAGGCCCGGCGGCGGCTCGGGAGCTTCCAGGTCTGCGGGCTGTGCACTTGCTGCGGAGGTCCCCGGAATATCTGCGTGCCTTCGCCCTGCTGCTACGCCCTCAACTGCAACATACCCAACAGGCCCTTCGGTGTTTGCGCATTGACACCAAGAACCTGTAGCTGCTTCGGATGTAGCATCTGAGCCTTCAGCTTTCTACCTCGAAGAGCGAAACGAGAACCAATCTGGCTGCATCGCGCCCGATGGAGGAGGAGCACCATCATCTTCTTCTTCTTCTTCTTCTTCTTCCTCCCACTCCCTCGCCGTTTTGCTAATTTCGTGCCCACCATTGTTCGGCGATTAAAAGGCCAAGCTTGGTGGAACGGGTGATAATCCCGGCCTTGATGGCGACCAGAATTTCTGTAACTCTCCCAAGATGCGCCTCTCTCTCTCTCTCTCTCTCTTGCTGTCTCTCTGCGGCTGGTTTATCTTGGGTTAGAAACTCATCAAAGCTCGGGATTTCTTCCCTCGTCTCACTGTCCGGTTACAACCTGGTCCAACCCAGTCGTTGGCGGCGGAAGGTGAGCTGTCAGATTTGTCCCCCGCCGCCGATCGTTCTCCGAAGACCCACGTGTCCACTGACCATCGCCTGACTGGGCGGTGGCATCCAAAGCGTACAGTCTCGGCATGGTTAGCCCTCACTCTGGTAGCAGGCTATGCATAGAATCTCGCGCGTTCTTTCCTTCAAAGAGTCAACTCTTCCACCGGGGCGGAACTCGTCTGGCCCTCCCTCCATTGCCTCACAGCCGTTCTCTTCGCCCGGATGAGATGGTTGAAATCAACTACTTCTGCTGTGTCGTGTCGAGGGCTCGAGTTGTTCCTCGGCTTGAGACGATGAGCACTCCTGCCCGCGGCGACCCAGTCGGGGAATCGTCTTAGAGTGCAAGAAAGTTGGCGCTGATGTGGCCTACGTGGAGGGGGCTGAAAGGTAAATTTGGTATGACGAAGAAAAATCACGAAATGGGGGAGAAAAGTCAGAGGTTGCCCTTTTGCTATGTCTTTGCCCATATTCGTCAACTGTTCTTCTTCTCTCATTTCTTGTCTGAGGCCATCAACAGTGAACGTTCTTAATCTGACTTTCGTTAAGATTAATCGAGAGGTAGATATCCACAGCAAAGGGAAAGCCTTTTTAATATTAGAAATTGGAGATTTATGTCAAAAAACTGTTATACTGATGGCATAAAAACATTTAAGCTTCATCTTTATAATTTTAAAATTTACATTAACTATATACCATTTATTGCGTAAATATATGTGCCTAACTATTGCTCCTCTCGGATCATAAGACTGAGTTGACCATTTTACTGTAAATGTCAATTTTTTACGCTACAACCTTTGGAGATGTAGCAGAAAAGATCTGAGCCTACAGCTTTTTGCTATCTCCCCTTCTCACAACTACTTCCGATATCCTGCTGCCCCTTCTTTTCCAGTCTTCCAGAAATACAAATCAAATAATAAGTGAATCCTTCTAGGAATCGTTCAAACTTCAAATAATCATGTAAGTTAAAGATTAGAGGAATTTTATGTAAGACGTCCTTTTAGATTGTAATGAGATAATGGGCATTAAAAAAGTACACAAGAAGAATAGAAAAGGTCATACTATAAGCATATCTAATATGTGATGCATTCTGTTGACACCAAAATTTCTAGGTACCCATTTTTGTATTGAAATCCAAATCTTCATAATTTTTGATTTTGGAATCAAAATCCAATTCAATCCAAGTTTATGATTTGGCAAATTTTGTAGTTCTTTATTGGAATCCACATTTTTTTAGTATTATGTTATGATGAAACTAAGATGCTTAAGCTATATAACATTTCTTCTGAATATAACTAAGATGAAAACCACGCTTGCAAAGAACAATAATTCAGAAGGATTTTTAATTTTACATAAGGAATAATTTTATCTATTTTTTAAAGTGCAATAGAATGTGATAAACGTGGGTTTAATATCTCATTTCTGTTTAGCAAATGGTGAATTAGTGTCCGTCAAGAATTGCATTGTATTAAATATTGTGCTATGTAATTTTGAATATAATGTAAATTTCTATTTCAATATATTGTTGCTATGCTATCATGTAAATTTTCATATTAAATATTAATCTTGATGTATTGTATTATTATGCAACTTAAACTTCATGCATTGATATTTACCCTACACTATTTGCAGTGACGATTCTCATATGTTGAAATATTAACCTTAGCATACTCCCTTAATCAAAATAATTTAATAATTTTATTTTTTTGTCATCATAATTTTTTGCAAATTCCAAACTTATTAAAGGTTCTAAAAGTAAACAATGAATACTCTTATAGACGAAATTCCTTTCTATTATTTTATTATCTTCTGCCCCATAAAAATATTCTTACCACAACTATTCTTAATTAATACCTTGATAGCAATGTAACTTATCTCTTGAATTCAGATTTTTCTAATAAAGACATGAGAAGCATGCAGATGCGTCATGCTAAAGTTCTCTTAGTCAATACTATTATGAATTTAAAATTTATAAAAATGAAACTCAAAATATACATCCTAATGAATTTATTCATGAAATTTATTGTGAATTCGGACATATTTTGAATTTAATGCAGAAAACAATCCCAACGAGTCTTTCCAGTTTGTATTGATGGGTATCTTCATGAACCTTCAATAAAACGCGGAGTAGTACTTGGTGTCATTATTTCCTCTCCATTATTGATACATGAAGGTTCCCCACAATTGCTCGAAAAATTCTATGGAAGTGCATGAATACATTATATTAAGGGTGTATGGGAAGGAGTCAATGAACAAATACCCTTGAAAATTTCTCGTGGGATTCCTCGGAAAACGTAATTGTGAGCATATTTTGCTAGAAAGATATTTCTTCATTTCCTAAATCTGTACTTTCTGGCGCTTTTTCCATTAAACTCCATCTCATAGATCAACATCATCGAATGCAACTTCGTTTTGTGAAACAAATCATGGCAATTCTGAGCACACAACAGGCAAGGATTTTTGATTAATTGAAAAAAAAAGATAGTGTTAAGCAAAAAAAGAAAAAAAAAATCGAATTCTTGAGTGACTTTGAACTGCACTCTAACGCAGGGATGTCTGCCAGATCCAATCCAACCATGGACTAGTGAATGTTCTCCTTCTAAATTCAATCGAAAGATTTTAACCTTGTAGAAGTTCTTGTTCCTCGTAACCCCTTGATACACGACGGGTTATAGTTTAATTCTAGTGGTTGAAACTATCTACGGAAAATGGTGAACGCTGAGGTTTAGAGATGATCTTTGTCTGGGAATGATCGTCACAGTTATAATGGCGTCGACGAAGACTGTTTTAATCCCCTGGGAGCGGATGAGTGCCGACCAAGGAAGCTGCCGGAGTAATCTCCGGACACCGACCGATCTGACCGAAAAGCGACACGCCGGGAAAGTAGAAAGCAGCCGCCGTGGATCCCGGGAGAACTGTCGTTATTGCACCACCGTCTCTCTCTCTCTCGCTAGTTCTCTCTCTCTCCGTTTTCTTGCGGAGGAACCTTCCACGGACGATGCTTGCCTTCTGGAAACCGAAGAGGACCCGGGGGATCTACGGCGCAGTCTTCCCGCATGCGGGGCTCAACGTTCGGCGGCCGCCACCAGTTGCCTTGCTTGATCTTTGGAGAACAACCCATCCATGGCCACGCTGGAGATGATGATGGGTCATTTCTTACAGAAGAGAGAAGGTTGCTGGTGAGCAGACGGAGGCGCTGCCATGGCCCGGCAATCTCTCTCTGACGCCTTCGCCTCCCTCGCCTTCGGCCTCATGGAAGACCTCTTCTCCATCTACTCCATCGCCGTCTCCCACCCCATCTATCTCGCCTACGTCGTCTTCTTCTCCCCTTACCTCTTCGCCGTCGTCTGCTTCCTCTCGCCCCTCCTTTTCACCACCTCAATCCTTCTCCTCTCCCTCTCCACGGCCATCCCATGCTTCACCGGTCGTTCCTCGTCGCCGGTCTTCTGCGGAAAAACCATCCACTTTGTTCTACAGGCGCTGAACTGGAGGCCGGACACGGAGCTCCAGGCTTGCTGGGAAGGACCAGGGGCCATGGGAGACGATGATGATGTACAGGAGAAGGAAGAAGAAGAAGAAAATAAGAGAATTGTCTTAGAAGCGCTGGAAGCCATCGGCAAGCTGTACAAGGCCATGACGTACGAGGTGGAGGAAATCCCCGTCAGACTGGCCCTGGAGCTCAAGACTCAGACGATCGAGGCCAAAGACTCAGATGATCTCCCCCGTGTAGAATCGCCTTCTGATCTAAGAATAGTACCATGCGTTGAGGCCAAAGGCGCTCACTTTGCGCCGGAGAATTCGCCGGAGCACTCGTCGGGGCCTGCCATTAAGCTCCCGAGTATCAAACCAGTGAAGGAGAGGCTGCCCGAGAACCAGAGCATCGTGGGGTATGATTTCAAGGTTGTTTCCTGTGTTGAGGGTGTAGAGCTTCCTCAAATGGGGCGGCGCTCCAAACCTGCCATGAAAACAGGAGACCGTGGTTCGCCGGAGTTCAGACCGGCGGGAGATTCTCGCGGCGCCGGCTCCGGCGAACTGCTGCAGAGGTCGGCATCATCATCAGGGCGGTGGAGAGGTGGCCGGCGTTGCGCGGCGCCGCCGCCACCCGAGAGCTTATCGATTGCCGCCTCCGTGGGGACGGACAACGAGTGGAGGAGGACGCTTGCATGGAAGCTCCACGAGGAGCGTCTCGCCTCCGATGGTGGCGAGGAGGGCATGGACCTGCTCTGGGAGACCTACGAGCTCGGCTCCGGCAGCAGGCACTTAAGAACGAACCCAGTGGAAGAAGAAGAAGAGGAAGAAGAAAAAGCAGAAGAAGGAGAAGAAGACGATGGGGAAGGAGGGGACATGGTGGGCCGGTTGTGCTGCCTGCGAGCGCTGAGGCTCTCCACGGGGAAGATGAACCTCGGCATGGGGAGGTCCAACCTGCGGAGGATCTCCACCGCCGTGAAAGGCGTGGGGGCCCTTGGTCGCTCCCTCACGAGGAGCCGCAGTGTGAGAGACTGACCCACTAAACGAAGAAATCTACTACCCTGTATCAGTCTCCCCTAATTAATACTTGTCAACAAGATCATACGCTCTCTCTCTCTCTCTCTCTCTCGCTCTCGCTCTAAAGAATACTTGCACTGAAAATGAGCTGAGAGCGTCTCTAGGAGTTGGGAGTGCCTAGGCATGGTTTGCAAGTGCCGGCTCTGATTCTGAGGGGGAATTGCTGCCCATATCCTTGGTCTTGTGGAGAAGAAACGTCCCCGCGAGGATGGTGACGAAGCCACACAACTCGGTGGCGATCTGCGCGGCGTCCTGCGAAGACCAATCCTGGATAGAAGAGAGAGGGATGAGAACTCTGTTTAAGCTGAGATCATGGTTTATCAAGCTGGCATCCTTACATCTCATTAGATATCAAAATAGAATAAGTGGGGGAAAAAGTCAACGTTTCGAATGAACAAAAAAAAAAAAAAACAGCGCATCCAGTCGCGCAGCAGGTTATCTCAGGGTTTCATGCATGAGTAGCATTTGCTAGCACTCACCAGTCCTCCTTTTTGGGGGGGAGAAGAGAGATGGATGAGAACTCTGCTTAAGCTGAGATCATGGTTTTATCAAGCTGACTTCATCACATCTCATGAGATAGCTAAATAGAACATATGGGGGAAAAGTCAACGTTTGGAATGAACAAAAAGGGGTCAAACTGTCGACAGCGCGTCCAGTAGTGTAGCAGGTTGTCTCAGAGGGTTATGCAGCACTAGCTAGCGTTTGCTAGTACAGACCAGTCCTGGGTTTTGGGGGGTGGAGTAGAGGGAAGAGATGTTGAGAACTCTGCTTAAGCTGAGATGGCAGTTTAGCAAGCTGACATCATCGCATCTCATGAGATATCTAACGGAGAACAAGTCAACGTTTGGAATGAAAAATAGCCATGCAAGCGCCGACAGCAGATCAAGCCATGCAGGGGGTTATCTCAGACGGCATTACCTTGAACATGATGACGCTAGCGAGGATCGTCAGAGAGGTGAACATCACGTAGTAGACGGGAGACACCACAGCAGTGTTGAACGTATCCAATGCCTGAAACGGAGGAGAGACCGTGATGAGAAGGAAATATATTATGGGAATTTTTTCAAATTGAGAAATTTTCTCCCGATTTCAAGTTGAGAATTTTTTTAAGACGATTAAGATGAAAAGTCAACCATGCTCCATAGTAATGATCCAAGCTGTCCATTTTGCGCAGGTCAATGGTACCATTTAGAGAGCAATAAACTAGCTAGGACTGCATCTGTATGTTCCTTTATTGACGCACAGACTCAATGTATGCTCCTTTTTATTACTCGTCCAGGAAACCGTTGACTGAATACATTCAATATACGACGATGTGCAAAAGATGATGACTGTTACTGTTTCAATAACAGTCAGGGTCTGCTGCAACTAGGCCACACAGGAGGTTCTAAAAGTCAAATCGATGGGATAATGTACCTTAATGTCCAGAACTCATAATTTCCCGCAGATTCAACATCTGAAATTCTCTAACTATGTTTTTTTTTTTTTTTTTTTTTTTTGTTTTGACATTTTCAATTTATGACTTAGCTCCTTTTCAACACAAGGGAAATCCAAAAAAAATCATTCATTAAATTACTTACAGATCAAAAATCTACCCTGATGCTCACGAATACCACTTCTTGTTCAAAGTAATATACTAAAGCTACTTGCATATATAAATAAATTCAATCCTTGAGCAAAACTAGCCCTGTTCACCACAATTTTTGAGCGTGAGATCAGAAATGCCCTATCATGTTGTACGCAATTGATGAATTTTTTTATAGAAAGGATAGAATTTTCTAGATTCTTTCATAAACCCTGTTTCCAATCTGCACACTCTGTGATGTACACAAAGCTGCTGATTAACACATGGACCTTTCTCACCAAACTATGCCACAATAAGCAAAAAATATACCGCGGCGTTTCTATTGATTAGTGGATATCCATCTGTGACCCTGGTGTCGCACCTTCTTTGCAAAGTTTTATCAAAGAGTAGGAGGTAAAAGAAAAGTTCGATGAGAATAGAAAAAAATGATATGACGCAGAGTGCAACTGGACAGAAAAAAAATAAAAATGATAGAAATTCACAATTTCAACGAGTCAGTCTCTATCATCATTTGATTTTTATGCAGGGGTTGAAACTCACAAACCGTAGCATTATTACCAGAAATTCCACCACCATTAGTCTGTGTGATGTTTCTCCAAACTAAGAACCCCTATTTTCTCGTTCTCATGACATTAATAACTGTCTAAATCCAAATATAAGCAACAAAGCAACTTCATTCATTTTTTATTTTTTTTTAGATTTTATTTTATTTTAAGTATTTGCATCGGCCACTCCTTGTTATCCTTTAAAAGGCAAAAGGCTCTCTGCCTATAATATACTTTCAAGGGAATATAGATAGCTTGTTTCCCTCAGGGAAACAGTAATCCCCGGCAGATCGGAAGATTTGAGGGGCGCTCCATCCTAATGCAGGCAGCAGATACAGGGGGAAACATTTTATCCCAAGGATGAAAATACTACTATTTTTAGTGTAGACTTGATGGGGAAGCTATGAGATTGCGGAGCTTCTGTACGAATTGGTTTCCTTGGACTTCAAAAATACCTAACATGATAAAATATTTTTTTTTCTCATTTTTTTTCTTTTTTTCAACAGAGAGAAGGGCATTCTCATGTTACCTTGTTCAAGTAGTGTATCTGAAGCACACAACATATCACCACTACAGCAACGAAAAACCAAGTTTGAGCATACACAAACTGATTCATTCCTGAAAAAGTCAACTTAAGAGCAATAGCTAGCGCCTTCACACCCATGACCTGCAATCAGAAACAGGATAGCTCAGGAAATGAGAAACATAAAATTAGAAAAAATAAAATAAAATTCACGAGCTGAAAGTTCCTATCCCAACCGTAATGGAGCCAACGATGGAGCATAATCCAATGTAAACTATCAAATGCGTCTGCCCATACCGAGGAACAAGCCTAACAATGAGAAAGGTGACTACGAAGAGAGCCACAGCAGCATAAGCAACAAAACCTGTAAAATACAGAGTCGTCATTCGACAGGGCAGGACCAGGGTGGGTCGTACACAGACTGTTTCTTCAGTATATATCTTAATCTACCATGCCAAGTTACCTAAATAAATCCTTCAAAAAAGTAAACTTGGAGAATAAAACAGCCCCATAAGGGTCATAGATGCATAGATTTTTTTTTTTCCCATGCAAAGTACAAGATCAGGCGTTCAGAGAAATTTCAATGGAAGGAAAGACCCCGCTTGGATCTTGCCAGGACACAAGAACTACTCCTTGAGTTGCGTGTGGGAAGTGGTGGTACATCATAAAATGGAGGAGAAATCCACGTTATAAATTCAGCAATGAACACTAGAAATTTTATTTAAGAATCAAAGCGACATTCCCTGGAAATATTACCGGGCTCAGTGGCAAGGCTCCACACTTCGTGAACGGATTCTATATCTTTCTCGATTGGTGCATGTAAAACAATAACAGTGGAGCCCACCACACAAAGAATGCAACCCACCACTCCAAATATGTGCAATTTTTCATCCAAAAATATATGAGCCAACACTGCACTGCAGGAAAAGGAAACCAGATGATAGAGAGATAACGTTGACTTAAACCATAGATCAAAGGGTCATCTAGTTTGATGTGTGGCGAACCTGAAAATAATGCTCAAGGCTCCCAGTGGAGTTACTAATATCGCAGGAGCAAAGCCATAGGCAAAAAAGTTTGCAATCTCCCCTATAATCACTGCAAAAATCATTTGAAGGACACATTTCATAAGTTTCTTCTGATCTCGAGATGGAAAAAAATGGCTTTATAAAAAGAAATACAGAGAATAGGATCAAATATAAAAGTTCTTCTGGTTTTCGCAGTACAAAGACAACAGAAGACAATACATAAAATGAACTGAGTTTTTAGTGAAACTGTGAGCTAACTGTAAATTTGTCCAACTGTCAAGTAGAGAGAGGCAGAAGCACAAGAAAAGAAACAAACGTTGCATAGCTTATATCTGGTTCAAACACCAAAAGCTACATACAATGGTGTATGCTATGGAACAATAGGCAGAAATGAATGAAACATAGTAAAATGATGGCCCTGTGGACTGCATGAAGGATTCACTGCTACAACACGATGATGTATGCTATGAAAATCAGGCAATATTTTCACAAGTGGTCATGCGCCAGAACAAAGGGGGCTTAGATATATGAATAGATACATCATAAATTATGCAGACACAAGTAGAAATACCTACATATGAGGCTCTCCCTAAAACCTGATTCTTGAATTAAAAAAATAATCTATCACGTATAGGCCAGTAAATAGTAAACGAAGACTAGGAAGGTGATATTCAGAAATTGAGAATAAATGAACCCCTCAAATACGTGTAGATAAGATTATGTATGTACACTGTGGAAACGATAAGACAAGCATACAGCATCCAAGAAAATTACGTTCTTATCTCTAGGTGCAGGAAGAGGGAAGCGTATATTCCTAGAATTTTCATAACGGCAGAAAAATTCACATTTTTTTACAGCTGCATCTAGGGAAAGTTTCTCTATAAATGTACATGACTATGTTATGATACGAGTTGCAATCTTATGTGAATCCCTGAATTAATAGAATGTGACCCAGAAATCTATGGAAAATCTTATCACCAATATCTGGTGATTTATTAAAAAGACTAGAGGATAAACTAGGAGAGGAATCTCAATAGCGTCACCAATGTGATTCACGGTCACATTGATGGGTTATCAATCTCATTCATAAGGGCTGAGTTTTCTAATAAGTGATAGATCTACGAAGGAAATTTAAAATGGGCGCTCCTATAGTTTTCTTCATAACCACTTAAACTCAAGGGTAAGCTTTCTTCCATCAAAATTCGTCAAATCTTGTGTCATATTTTATTAGCATAGATATCACCACCAAGAATTTACATTGAACTCATTATTTTCTCTTTAAGTATGGAATACAACACCTCATGTGCCTTATCGGTTGCCGGATGCGGAATGCAACAGTTCAGAGTTTGGTTAATGATCAACTACATCATACACGCCAGGTTTCAAAACATATATTGAGTCAAGTCCATCATCGTCACGTATGCAGAACTAACTGTGGGATTGGGAACCGTATAAAACATATTTAGAAGCATGAAGCCCTCTGAGTGTCAGTTAAGATCATTATCAAGGTCTCCAATTTGAAACCACATTGTGCAGATCATTATGATTCTTTGGTCCAAACTCCCACAATAAAAATAAATAAATTATTAAATTATCATACATTTATTACAAATAGGCGAAAAGAAAAATGGTTAATAACCATCGTTTGAGTTCTAACATTGAAGTTTGGTCTTCTGTTCGTTTTGAGGACAGGTCGACTTGAGATTAGCTTGATGAGCGTTAGTGCATGCCTATTAATGTAAGCCCCCTGCTGGGTTGAAAATGTGATCTCAAAAAATCAAATCAAATAGAATTAGGCCGGAGCTTCATCTGAAGACGGGTTAATCTCGGTTTCTACTTTGAAGTACGCAATAAATTCATGTCTAAAGCTGTCCACCCTGGCAAGTGAGTGCCTGTTCTATATTATAATTCATCTCATTGATCATATCTGTTTTTCAAGTAAGTTAGGAGATTAAATGGTTTCCGTTTCTGTAGTGTATTTCTATTTCCCTTTCAGAATAATTCAACTGAGATACATTCTACAGTTGAAGATTGTATTCGCAACAAAGCGGAATATTTTCAAGTACAACATATAGAACAAGATGATAGGAAACAATGTAATTCAGCAAGTGGGAAAAGAATATTTCTTAAAAATATTTGACACGTTCATAAGAAAAAAATATTATTTTATTACTATATTGTGACAAAAATAAACTGTCAAGAGATACAATGGTTTAAAATCTCAGTTTACGAGTTCCTTTTTTTAAAAATCAATGAAATCGTATTATTAAAGATTTCAAACAATCTGTCTTCAGACTATAAGACGTGTAAAAAAAGGAAGATGCCAATAAACTAGGGCATTGGGAAGCTAAACCTGGTTATAATTATAACTTCGTTGATCGTTTTAACTTTTAAAAAATTATCACTCATAGTATATACCGATGTATGATGATCTAAATTTCCTCATCTAGGTTACCTTTATTTTTGAAAAACATGATGGATAAGATTACAAGTTTGACGAAAAATAAAAACTGCAGTGCATTCTCATATGAAGTCCAACCATTCCCATCAGTACCTCAAGGGAGGAAAATACTTGAAGAAAGAACGTGAAAAATTTCATGCAATGGAGATGACAGTAGCGAATCAGGTGACCAGAAGTGTAATTTTCATTCCATTTTATTTTATGATTCCAATTAAAAAAAAAATTTAATTTTTTTAAAAAAATCCCCTTCAAAGTATTGATAAAAAAGTGATCTTGAAAATGGAAAAATAAATTATAAATACATATTGCCTCAAAAATGGCACAGCAACTCTAGCACAAGCAAGGTTTTGAAAGAAGAAGTGATGAGAAAAATCCCTTAAAGTTCACACAGAAGCAAAGCCCAAGCTCTCCTCAATGTCTCAGCACATCATCCTCAGTGGTTGCAGTGGCCAAAGACGTGTTAAACGCTAAGTCTCAAAAAGGTAATTTACTGTTTTAATAAACGGACCCGTGAAGTCATTGTACCGGTAATTGGCTCATGTAACTAAGTATTCATTCAGAGATCTTGAAAATTCTAAAATGCCCTGAACTTTGACAATAAAGGAGAAAGACCATTAAGAGGCTCATACGATAAGAACACCCTTGATTTTCTAGCTTATTATCACAGATCTAAGGGCTTTTCTAAAGTAACAAGTGAAGGGTAGGAGGAGTACTGCAAAGTTCCTAAAACAGTACTGCTACCTGCATTCCTAGATGTGTTCTTCCATTTAGCCAGCCCGTTAAAAAGCCAGAAAAATCAACGTTACAAAAGCATGGACCCAGAAAGCAGAAACAGCCTGGAATTTTCTAGGAACCGATATTTCTTTACCAGAATATCTTTTCCGAAAGGCAAATCGGTTTGAAACCTGGTCAGAAACCAGGTCGTAGCATCTGCTTATAATAAACCTGTTTATGCTCGTATATCCGAATCAATTTTGATCCATGACATAAATTCCAGTTTCTTTTTTTTTTTTTTTAGTTTTTACTAATGCACACGACTGTAGACCGATGAGCAACTAGTTTGCATGCCTTGACTCGATTAACCTCCAGGCTGCAAACCTGTGACCGAGAAAAGTACTAAAATCAAACAAAAGAACATGATATCAGAACTAGCCCTGTGGAATTTATTCCCCCGAGGACCTAAAATTATGTCAAGAACGTGCTTATCCAAATCCCAAGTGATCAGATTCTGGATGCCCACAGATTAGTTAATTTACCTCTAATCATTTTCAAGCGTACAACTAAGCAGACACTGCACTGAGAAATGTAGGAGATACTTACTGGTGATCATTCCAAGCCACCACAAAGGTTCATGTAAGTAAGAGTGTCCCCCAGCAGCTGAAATAGAACGGTGGCATCAGGCTGAAGCGTCGAAAGGTGCCATGCTGCCGTAAGTGGTTACATTCCGTGCATAGATCAACATAGTAAATGCCGATCACGTAGAGAAATAGATCAAATAAAGAGAAACATTCAGGGAAATGAGAAAGAACCTGCACTAACACCACAAGCTCCCGCCTTTTTGAGCCCCTTCTTCTTGATGATGAAGCTCGATCCAATGAAAGCACTCGACAGCACCGCCAGGCCGAGGCCCCGAACGTTGTTCTCCCCAGACACCATCTCATTAGCATCAACTCGGTAAAAAAACTAGAAGAAGACGGGAATTTCGGATTCCACCGCGACGGGAAATGTGTAGATAAAATCTATGCGCCAGGGAAAACTCAGGCTCATCTCCGATCAGACACCTGAAAAACTTGTCATATAGAAGAGCCCTGTGGCAAGACTACTCTTGCACATGGTAGCTGCACAGCGGAGGAGGATGAAGGGGAGAGAGAGAGAGAGAGAGAGAGAGAGAGAGAGAGAGAGAAGGAAAGAGAGAGAGAGTGAGAGATAGAAAGAGAGAAAGAGGAGAGAGAGAGAGAGAGAGAGAGAGAAAGAGAAGGGGAGAGAGAGAGAGAGAGAGGAGAGAGAGAGGAGAGAGGAGAGAGTGAGAGACAGAGAGACGAGAGAGGAGAGAGGAGAGAGAGAGAGAGAGGCGCAGAGGAACGGTGTTGCCGTTGCCCGGGAGAATCTCTGACGTTGGGCAAACTGAACACCAGGATTTAAAGGGTCTCCCGGATCCCGCGCTCGCCCTTCGACCACACACAGATGCTGACGTATCATCTCCCCCTGAGGACACTCTCTCTCTACCGTCTGATTCGTGTCTCCACTTTCCAAAATCAACGGGTCCCTTCATCTCTCCGAGAACCGGTCCAACGGGCATTAATTGATTAATTTCCCGTTCTGGTACTAACCACAAAAATGGGCCCATAAATTTCGCATGCAAAAAAAAGAAAAAAATACCTCTTGATATATTTCTGGGTGAAAAAATAATCTGATAATGCTTATTTTTGAGGCCTGTAATTATCCTAAAGGACTTTATTCTACCTCCATCCGTTGCATAACACACACATAGGAGGATGAGGTGAAAGAGAAAGAAAGAGATAGAGATAGAGTGGGATAACGAGGGATAGGGAGGGAGAGAGAGGGAGGGAGAGGCGGAGATAGAGAGAGAGAGAGAGAGAGAGAAATTATCCTGGGAAGCTCTGTAGCCGAACCATGAATCGAGGGCTGTTTTGACTTGCTTACTCATCCACGCTGGTCAAAGCTCCAGGCGATGCCCTTGTCACTTGAATGGAAGCTCGAACCAGTTTCAAAGATATATCGAAAGTCAAAGATCGTCTACTTGGAATGAGCCTGCGAATATCGCAATGGACGAGAAATATGCGTGTTCCGGTGAATATCCGAACCTTCGTCACTTATCGGACTCGGTGTTTTGACGTTCACGTCAAAGAGGAAACGTGTCAGTAGCCCAACTCAGAAATAAGATAGTTGGATAGATAGAGATAGATAGATACATAGATACATAGGGAGAGAGAGAGAGATAGAGAGAGAGAGAGAGGGAGAGAGAGAAAGAGAGAGGAAGAGAGAGAGAGAGAGAGAGAGAGAAAGAGAGAGGAAGAGAGAGAGAGAGAGAGAGAAGCAATTCCACCTTGGCCCGCCAGTAAGCAGCTTCATATACCTTGAAAGCGAGGCGAAGAGCTGTTCGCTGTATTTCTGCGTACACGCCATCAGTCGGTGGTGTATATGGCAGGGGGTCGGCAAACTTGCTGAAAGACAAGAATTTAGCGTTGCATCAGAGCGTGCCGGTGAAGACAAGAGATCTCTTTTAATGGCTATCTCCTCGGTCAATTCAATCTCTCTCTCTCTGTCTCTCTCTGTCTCTGCGGTATGGAAGAACGATGAGTTAGACCAACTGATGCAACATCGTAGTTATCTTTAGGCCAACTGATGATCTGCCTTGGTAGCAGAGATCGACTCGGCGTCCTCCGCGAGGATGGGTAATATCGAGACGGTAGATAACTTTCACGAATATTTAGTTGATGTGACTATGACTGAACATATTTAGTTGATGTTTGATCTTGGTCAAACGTGTGATTGACCCACAGAATTTGCGGTCACTGTGACTCACTACCTCCATGAAACATCATTTCCGTACCTCAGTACCGAGCTCTTGAAACCAAGTTTGAAGCAAAGTTGACCACAAGTTTACGTCAGCTCTTTCAGGTTTCTTCCTCACACTCATCAGTTTCCGGTTTGCAGACGCCAGTCTTCTTTCCAGGAGCCTGCTACGCAATCCATTATCCTCCTCGTCGGACATATATCAGCGGTGCATTTCCCCGTCGCCACCACCTGAACGTCTGCCGCGGACTGATGCGGAACCAGAACGGAAACGCCATTGTTGAAGACGGAGAGGGGAGCCTGAAGCTCCAAATGCCGGAGCCCGTGGTTGGAGCTATCGGCGAAGAGGTTCAGCAGAGGCTCCGCCAGAAGTGGAGCAGAAGCTCCACTGCGTTCGAGCCACAGCGGGAGGAGCAGGACGATTCGATCATCGCCGGCGGCAGCGGCAGAGATGGAGGCTCTTCCTCTTTCTTTCAAGCCCCGGAGAAGAAGCTCACCCTCTTCGCCCTTCGCCTCGCCATCCTCGAGAAGGTCGCCAGCAGACTCGGTGCTCTGGGATTTGTCTGGGCGACCGTCGTTCTCCTCGGTGGCTTCGCCATCACCCTCAGCAACACCGATTTCTGGGTCGTCACCGTCATCCTGCTCGTCGAGAGCGCCCGCATCTTTAGCCGGAGCCACGAGCTGGAGTGGCAGCATCAGAGCACCTGGTCTTTCGCCGAGCTCCGCCGCAACAGTTTCCGCCTCCTTCGCTCTCCTTCCTTCGCCTTCCTCCGTCGGATGAACCCATCGTCAGCCCTAAGTGACGCGCGCTCTGTTGTGGCCTCTTCGGGGCGGCGGCGGACATGGGAGTCCGGCGAAGTGCCGCTGCTGCCCTACGCCCGCTGGTTCTTCCTGTCGAGCAACATCAGCAGGGCTCTCTACTGGTTGCAGCTGGCTTCGGCGATGGCCTGCGTCACTCTGTCGTTGGAGAGGCTCATCAGTCAGGACTATGGCGAGATCGAGAAGTGCGACACTGATAAGCGCAACCGCAAGGCGGCGCTTTTCTTGTTCTACGGGACGGCTCTTGCAGAGGCGGCGCTCTTCCTCGCAGAGAAGGCCTACTGGGAATGGAAGATATCCTTCTGCAAGCTCCTCGAGCGGGTAAGCAAGGAATGCGGCTTCGGCCCCGCGGGAAGCCTCTACGTACGCCGCTTCTTCTACGATGCCTACTCGATGTGCATCAATGGCAGCATCTTCGACGGGCTGAAGATGGACCTCGTCTCCTTCGCCGAGGAGCTCCTGGTTTCCGACTCCGGCAACGAGCAGCTCATGGGCGCCCAGATAATCAAGACGTTTGCAAAGAGTGAAAAGTTCGCGGGAGAGACTCTTCGAAAGGTGGGCAACTCGGAGGGGGTGATCCAGCGATTGCTGGAGATGCTCAACTGGAAGAACCCAGCGGAAGCCAAGATCCGTCTTTCGGCAGCAGAAATCGTCTCCAAGCTCGCAGGGAAGAACCAGAAGGCTCTCCGCCTCGCTGGGATTCCCGGTGCCATGGAGTCTATCGCGTCCCTTCTTCACACCAGTCAATTTTCATGCGTCGAGGAGTTAACAGACGATTATTTCTCTGCGCTGAATTTGCTGGGCCTGCTGATATTGAAGAAGGTCACCCGAGACCACGGCAACTGCGGTAAGATCGGGAACACCCGTGGCCTGCTGTCGAAGATCATCGACTTCACTGGCGACGGCGAGAAGATGCTGAGAAATGGCTATTTGACGGATGCCCAGGTCACGGCCTTCAGGAGGTCTCTCCAGCTGGTGAAGAGGTTGGCGAGGGCAACGGGTCCGACGGGGGAGCAGCTCCGGAGGGAAATATCCGAGAATGTCTTCTCCATCAGCAACATCCGGGAGATACTGCAGTACGGAGAGAACAACAAGGTGCTGCAGAATCTGGGTATTGACATATTGACAAGCTTGGCGATGGACGAGGAGGCGAGGGAGAGAATCGGAGGCACCGGTGGGGTGATACAGCAGTTGTTCCGCATCTTCTTCAACCGGGAGACGGAGGCGGGAGAGGCCCTGGCAATGCTGGCGCTGGACAGTCCTAAAAATTGCCAGCGGATGCTGAAGCTAAGCGTGGTTGACCCTCTGGTCGCCGCGCTGAAGGACCCCGTACTGCAAGTCAACTCATCGAGGATTATGAGAAACTTGTGCGCGTACGGCGATGCCACCTCCTACAATCAACTCTACGGAGTCTCCGCCGCCGCCATTCCCACCGTGAGTATTATTCGTTATTGAAGCGGATACTACTTCTTTATCGGATATTATTACCACCGTGAGTTTACAGAAGCAGCTAGCTAGCTGGAGGATCATTGGCCTATCGCTCTTGCAGGTACTAAACGCAGCAGCAATGGCTGATGAGGAGAAGCTGCTGGAGGTGTCGATTGGCCTCGCCACCCAGATCCTCAGATTCACCAGTACAGAAGAACTGGCGAGGGGATTCCGAATGGCCGCCGTCACGAAGGACAAGCTGGCCGAGAAGCTCGTCTCTACACTGGAGAGGTACGAACGGCCGTCAGTCAACGTCCCAAGAATGCGGAGGTTCGCTATCGAGTTAGCGATCCAGATGATGAGGTCAAGCCCAGAGACGATTCTCCGGTTCGAGCGCTACGGGATGATGAGCCAGCTGCAGCGCGTGGTGGAGACGACTTCGGAGCTCGAGAGCTTCCGAGTCTTCTCCGGCAGCGTCGGGGTAAACCGGCACGCCGCCAGCGTTGTTTCGCTCGCCGAGACGGCCATGGCATTCCTCCACCGTGATCAGAGCGTATAATTGGCTGGGGCTTCTTTTGGGGAATAGCACCATCTTCTGCGAGTCAATGACGATAGGATGAAAGCTGCCTTCAAGCCCCGCCATACAGCCCCCATCTTGTGATTGATTGACCTCCATGCCAGTTATCAATTACAAAATGTATTATAACAAGCATTTACAATGAATTTCTTCCTTTCTGAACTCTAGCCCAACCTAGCGACCAGCATTGACCGACAGCAAATCAGAATTCAGATTCTTGCACACCATTGCCGAGACTAACCAAACTCAATAACTGCTCAACCAATGGTTGACTTCCCTTGATCTTGCTCAAAGATCTTTTGAAGTCGTAATTTGTCCACCATCCCAGAATAGTAATCTAAATCTTGTATTGAGCTCAAACGCTAGTAAAACGAAGCAGACTACTAAAAGTGTCGCCTCAAATCTCTTAGATAAAAGGTTAACCAAGAACATGAGTTGTCAGATAAAAGGGTGTATAAAAAATCGTTCCTCTTTCTGAATTAATGCTCCCCCTTCAAAGTTTCATATGCCTACATAAAACGTGATACATACTATTATTTGACTGTCCTTTACATTTATAGAGGTCACATAGGAATCAAGGGTAAGATCAGACTTTAATCCTATACGGCATATTTAGAAAACATGTCAATATTGCGAAGGTTTTTCTTTAATCATATTTAGAAAATGTTTCCCCACTCAACCATTAGCATGCTTCTGCAAGCACCTTACCCATGTACCACTGTATTGTGCTCGTTTTCCCTTTGGATGGAAGTGTCACCATACGTCTTCTCTTCAGAGAAAGGAAGTCTAAAAGATGTTCTTCTGGTTAGAATCCATTATTTGCGCCACATGCTACAACCCAAGGTAAATTGTTATCGGCAAAAGAAAAAAACTCACTGAAAAGGGGCAAAATATTACATCCTATGCTGTAGAGCTCGTAGAACAAGACGTCACAACTTCATCGTGAGATTTTATCATAATGTATCAGCGAGGAAGACTGGAAGAAACAGAATCCTCAACCGCGGGGGCCGACTGAAGACTCTGAACTCTCCCCAGGATCGTCATCCTCCATAACCTCGAACGTCTCGCATCCTCCAACGTTAGATGATGAACACTCCGGAGGGATTGGTGAACGCCTGGGCATGATAGGGACCTTCCCCTTGCGACGGAGTCTATCAGCTCTTCTCTTCACATCAGCAGATGACTCATCGGACAACTCCCCATCTTCTCTGTAGCTCCTTAGATCTTTTTCCGCTACAATCGGTGCGCTGCCCTGGTCGCTCAGCCGCCTTGGAAAAATGAAAGGCTTACAACAGCAAAGAAGAGCAGTGAGGAGGATGATGTACACGTACAGTGAAACCCAAACATAGAATGTCCACTTCCAGTTGTAGGCTAGATTTTTTCCCCATGGTAGTCGAGAGTTGAGAAGGATCTCCGATGAGTACAGTTGAGGGATATCATAGGTTCCGGACCTCGGTTTCAGTCTGACTTTGATTGCCTCTGTTCTAGGATTCTTTTCCTTGTACTCCACGATCCCCAAGATGATCTTCTGTGTTTCACATGATATACCCAAGACGTGCGGCATTCCCATCAGAAGTGTCCTCATTATGCGAACAGGAAGGCTTCTAAACCGAAGCATGCACGGCTGGGTGGAACTTGCCAGCACGTCTCCATCGGGCGAGATAATCTCGGCAGCAACCTTGACAAGATTAAATGTGATGTTAATCAGTGTAGACGCAACAGAAGCTTTCTACTTCTATCAAGTGATGAGACTGTTTAATCACCTGCCGCGATCAAAGCCTAACATCATAGCTCCAACATGATAGAAATTTTTTCCATAACGCACACAAGGTTGTGAGAATATCAAATTAAATTAGACTGAAGTAACTATCTCACATCTGTTGATGCTCGCCACCTGCACTCATAGCTGTGTTGTAATTTTTCAATCGAAATTAATGATCAGAAAAATCGTAGTACTTGTGATATTAATCTCCCTCAGCGCAAACAAAATTGTTAATAAAGAAGGTGGACTTTGGAACCATCATACGAGGGAATAGAAACATCAGCATTCGTCGCTTCCACTACGACCTTAACGGAAAATATTTCCCTAGTTGAAGTTGTTAAATAATCAAACCAGTTGTGAGTATTTATGTTCTCATAAATTTGAAATTCTTGTTTACCTAAAACGTCCCCATAATTTCTTTCTCAAAAAGTTATTTCCTACCAGTCAAAATATGTTGTATATCGTACAAGATGGAAGTAGAAGGCCATCCCTCGTCACATACTACAGAGAAAACGTCCATCATCATGGCTGCCCTTTGGTAGTATCATATTCCTGATGATCATAAAAATATTCGATTTATTTCTGGGAAAAGTTGAGATTTTTTTTTTATATCCAACTATGTGAGTACTATGTTAATGTATTAAACTGCAAGTAAAATAACCTAACTATCATACAGTTCTAAGAACATGTATTCTTTTAACCATCTACGCATCTAGGAAAAAAAATGTCGAAGTTCAAGTAAGAATAGACATTTTTTCTATTGTCGTGCATGATTCAGCAGCAACCGTGATCTTCACGAACAACACTTGAAACATTTTAAGGAGAATATGCAATATGCAGACTTTCGTCCGGTTTCTCCTCTCGTCTTTGGCAGCTGCATTTGACCTAAATGGTGGGCCACGAACTGTTTATATAGTTTAGTCACCAATCCAACAAAAACCCACATTAGGATTCCCGCCAGTAAAGGGAATCCGTAAGCCCATTAATAGCATTAGTACAGCTAACCATAACCCCGATATATGATTTTTGCGTACCGAGTGATGCGTATGGTGTTATGGCCCGACATAGATGGCCTAGTTCACGTAATGAACTCAAGTCAATATCTCCTTAGATTCTGCAATCCGGTCAAGTAGTGGCGTCACAGAGCTGACTTGAGTCGTAAAAGATTTGAGTTTTAGTCGGCTTGGGAATCAAGCGTCTGGTCCGCTCTCACCATATCCGGGGTTTTAACCTGACGGATCTCGAAACCTATGTCTCCTATTGTCTTCTGTTATAGGCTCGTCGCGTTACCTCGCCATGACCACAATCTTTATCACCTTGCTTGTGAAGCAGAAGATAAAATCTACCCTCATATGGGTCGGGAGGAAAATGGAAGCCGTACCTGGAACACGCCAAGACGAAGGTTGAAAGTCGACTCCGGCAGCACGAGAACGAGTGACACCCGGAAGGTGTGACCCAACGGTATCGGCCTCTTCTTCGGGGCAGCGCCGGATGCAGGAGCGTAAGAGAGAGATACCACCCCGCTTGGGTGGGCATCGGTGTAGTCAAAATGCAGGGGTTGGCTCAGCATTACGGGCTCCTCCAACCACAGCGAGACCAGTCCCACGCCAATTCCCACTGCCAGAACGAAGATGGCGACGAGGAGGAGGCAAACGTAGACGGTGCCCAGCATGCCGAAGGCGAGCCTCCGCAGCGGGGGGCGGCCACTACCCTGCGGAGGGTCTCTTGCAGAGCCGTCGGATCCGGCAAAGAGAGAGGAGAACGTAGAGGAGAGGGAAACCATGGCTACGGCAACGACGTTGACCATGGCGGCGACGAGGTCGAGGAACCAGCTCGCTGGCCTGGCAAGCTGGGCAAAGGTGTCCCCGCCGCCGTCGTCCTCAATCGCCGGAGGGATATGGTGGCGAGGCGTCAACTCGCCGGCGACAGAAGAAAGCGGGCGGCGGTGTTGCAGAGGGCCGCGGGGGGCGGCGGAGCTCCTACGACGCATTTCGGGTTCCATGAGTGACGGCGGCGGCGCCGCGCAAGGGAAAGGATAATGGTGACAAAACCCGGCATGCAGCACCGCAGAGCAGAAGGGGGCACGTAGCAATGTTGCTGCCTCTACGTCAAACACGTTGCTCGCAGACTTGAAAGAACTAATAGCCACAAACGGACGAGAAAGTTAGGGGGGCTCTAATTCAAATGCCGTGCACTGCAATTACGCCGTAATGTATCTGGTACACCTGGACGAACCTTTGACTGTGTCAAGTGTTGGTATTAAAATGGTTGACAAATTATTTTATGATTTGAATATATTGATGAATTAAAATAATCCAGTAATTATTTCTATCTAGTGGATGTTACACGCATTAAAGCTGATGTTTAATAATGTGCTGATTGACGGCATAGGCAATGTTTCTTTTCGCTACTATACGAGATGTTAGAAAGAGACGGACAGACACTTACTGTACACCTTGAACGCCTTCCTTTACGGGTTTAGTTATCAACATATGACGGACACACTTTTCGGTTTGATCTCTCCTCTCTCTAGCTGCACATTACCTTTATCGTACTTAGTGTGCTCTCTTAACCCGACATATTTCTTTCTTATGGTTGACATAACACTAGCAACTATACAGCGAAGGTGTTTCTATGCTGTGGAATATTTCTAACCCTACTGACGCGTAGGCAGACGACCATCACTTACAGCATCATATGTATATGCTTCCGTTGTGTGAAGGCCAGAGGTGGTTGGATCGAACTGTCTTGATACTTTGACATCGCTATGTTCGTTTCTGTTCTCTGACACTTTGCTGTAGATTCTGCTGCTGTTCGTGCAGCCACCATCGCTCTTGACCTTGTTATTCTTTGTGTCAGTGCCTCCGTTAAGACTGTTCCCCAGGTGGTTGTGCTTCTGGGAGTTGTTTCCGCTCACATTGGGGTCTATCGATTGTCTAACCTTCACGCCTCTGATCATCTGTTTGAAGTGCGCCGTGTTAGAAATTGGGCAGAAGAAAAGCTTGCGCAAGATATTATCTACTCTGTCATTTTTAGGTATTTAACTAAGAGAGAAACATCGGAACCATTTTAGTTGAAGGATGAAAGCCGCAGATCAGGCCATAAAAGAATTTAGGCCCAGACCCTTATTCAAAACAACTTCGGCGTAATGAGTCGAAGTTTATTCTTAGTTATAAAAGCACTTGGCTATTTCAGCAGAAATCAACTATCCATGCGAGCATAACAATATAATCTGCTTTAATGTAAGATTCTTCTAACAAATTATCTCATAAGTAAACGAATAAGATAAACATTGACTTTGTCATCAAACTAAAAAAATCGATTATTTGACTCGAACCAAAATGAAAATTGGAAAATTATCTACCAGGTAACAAGTTTTCCTTCGCTTGGATCAAAGTCAAATACCTTGGCACACGTGAAGAGATTCCTCTCAGCTGTTCCCCTTTTGTATCTTTTGTCTTGGTTTTGTGTCAAATATATCAACTTTCTTTTACTATGATAGGGACATGGCATATTCAGAAAAGAAAACGAGGAGTTATTTACTTGTTCATTGCAGGCCAATTTTGGCATTATACTAAATCGAAGAATGGTCTCAATTAGATAATATTGAACGCAATAGATCATGATGACTCAACATTTTGTTTTCCAAGCAAAAGAAATGGTGAATAACGGAATATGATTAAGAAAAATATCTATATACTCGTGATTACATCAAGAAATAAGAATCATTAGAAAGGAACAACAACATTTCAAAGCAAAGCAAGAGGTGTGATAAGTGGGATTTCCATTTGGGGCGAGAAAACAGCTGAAGTACTACTAGTAACTACAACTTTAGGAATAAAATCTGCATGAATAAGCAAATAAAAAAAAAAAGAAGGAAGACGTACATATTTGCCGCATTTAATATCTGAGTAGATCACGATGAAGTCTCCTTCTTGTAGCCCATTGGATCGCACAAAATCCCCTGTAAGCACCAGAGGGATGAATACAAGTGGTTTCCAAACGAAGTTGAACTGAAATCGTCCATCAGAATCACATGTGAATTGAAGATGGTCGTTAAAACGTATGAAGAAAGATATCCGTCCGCCAAAATAACATTTCATGGGCAAGAGAGAATGGAATAGTTTCCTACCCGTGTTTTCAAGTAGATACATCCTGCTCTTGTTGTTAGGCCAAAATCTAAGAAAGGAAATGAACTGGGATCAGATCAGCTGATCTACTTGGTTGACTCAAATAATATGTATCAGCCTCATAGTTTACACAATGATCCCACCTGTACCGCATGTTCCATGACCGTGATGTGACGATATCTTCCATGACGATGGAGATTCCATCCCTTGTCTCTAACTCCGGCAAGTGTGTCTCGGCTTCCTTCTAATCCAGCAACCAAATGGGTATAAGCATATTTGAAAGGAGGAAAATCTTACTGGAGAGGAGAAGGGAAAACCCAGACGAAGTGAGGGCGAGAGAAGAACCTTTGGCAGGACGATCCTCCCAAGGCTCCCCACATCGCTCTGCTTGAGAACTTTCTGCAGGAGGAACCTCAGATTCTTCTCCGACTTCCATCCCAAGTTGTTCGCCGGCAGTAGATACCAGATTTACGTCAGTTTATGGCCGAAGATCATTGAAGAGAGGTAGAGAGAGACGCTAAGCAGAAAACAGGCATCTTGCTGTGCTTTCCCAAATTAGGCCGGTGGATATAGAACAGGTGGAAAAGCGGCCGATTGAGAGAGGTAGCTACCTGTCGCCTGTCTGCAGTGCTGCCAGGTGGGAAATCGTGTTGCCTCTGTTGCGGCATGGTCGTGGCAGTGGCTCCTCCAGTCTCCACCACCTGTTGGGAGGAAGGAGAGGTAGAAGGCCGAAAGGTCCAGCTTCCATGGGCGTTCATTTGTGAACAACGCCCTTCCCCAGGAAGAGCAGGAGCACATTGCTGAAGATGAATCTGATGCTGGTGCTGGTCATGGGTGCTCTGATGGTGCTGATTACGTTGATGGTGGTGGTGGTGGTTGTGGTTATGGTGGAGGGAAGAGAAACGCCTCTGCCTCGCCATCCTCTTCTTCCTAGCCTCCTTCGTAGCAGACGAGGCCAACCTCACGAGAGACTCTCCGGGACCCTGATGGAACAAGTGCCCCACCGCGTACTGACCAGGAAGGCCACCGGAAGTATACAGCGATGGTGCGGGATGTGGAGAAGTGGAGAACACGGGGAATTGAGGCAGCGCCTGCGTCCAAGGGCAAATGGGTTCCACAGCGTGGAAAGATGACTGAGGCGAGAAGGACTGAATGGAAGGGGGTGTGGTCGAAGCAGATGTCGAGTATAGAACTTCGCCGCCGCAGGGGTCTCCGGGAGGCGCCCAAGGGCTACAAGGCCCTTGGATAGCGGGGCCAGGAGTGGTGACGGGAAGGAAACTCTGGCAGGAGTTTGGAACAAGGCCCTCGTGAGGACCCGAGACGGGGGTCTGAATGAGATCAGGGAGAGGAGTGTGGATCGTTGCCGCCTGTGTTTGTTGGTAAAGGTTTGTGATCTCGAGGTCTTCTTCTTCTCCGGTGAGGAGATCCGCTGAAGGGCGCCTTTTCTTCTGGAGATGGTTGTTCTGCACCCAGGTGAGGATAAGCTTGAGCAACTTCTTCATGCCGTCCTTGCCACCTCCGAGGCTGCGGACGGCGCAGTCGATGGTGGAGCGCCGGAGCTTGATGCTCCTAAGGTCCTGAGGGGAGATGGTCTCCTTATTGTCTCGGAGCCACTCCAGGAACACCATCGCCAACTCTTGGGATGCGCAGCCCCCAGCTTCTTTGTCACCTCCGTTCCCTTCCTCTAGGGTTAACAGCCGCAGCTCCCGGTGGTGTTGCTGTTGGATAAGCTCTTCCCCTTGCTGCGTCCGGCGAATGCCTTGTTGCAGGATGGACTCGTCTCCATCCATATTGTTGGTCTCCTCATCGTCGGGAAAGAGAGACAAGGGGTCCCACGATTCATCGGCTGAGCCGAGAAGATCCATGCCCGCAAACTGGTACATGCTGCAGTCCGAAGCCAGGGAGTCCAGTGGATGTCTCCTATCGGACGGCGTGGAAGGAAGAGTCACCGGGACATCGCCCACGACGGAGGACGACGTTTGACCCTCTGCATGCTGTTGATGGTCCTGTCCACCGAGGGCCCAAGGTACCGAAGAGGCGGAGGAGGAAGACGAGTTTGAAGAAGAAGAAGACGGACATGCGGCATTCGACGGAGAGGAGAGACATGGGAAATCGGGAAGAGAAGGAAAGGCGTCGTCGGAGAAGATGAGGTCGGTTTCGATCTCCGCCATCATGGCATCCTCATCCTCTGCAACTCCCAGAGATCCTTTCTGCACTTCGTCTTCCCCGTTTATCTCTTGTCCAGGATATAAACCGACACCCTCGTGCTTGCCTTCTTGCCTTTCCACTCCATCCTGCCCCTCCACCAGCATCATCTTCTTCGCTTCACAAGCCTGCTTCTGCATCTCCTGCTCCTCGTGGCAATCTATATTCAGATCCGATGCCATCCTTTCAGTTCTGTGTCACAATTCTGAGGATCAGTACGAGAGATGTAGAAATATTGGTCGCAACTCCGTTCTTCACCGCCTTGCCTGCGGGGCAAGCGAACCGTTCTGTTTCTATATGCAACTCTGTTCTCTGAAGGATGGGGGGGGGGTCCGAGGCAACGAACAGAAACCATATAAGAGCATGAAGATATAAGAAACGATTCTGAAGATAGTAGAGAGGATTTTCACGCCAATGAGTTAATATTTACGACAAGAGATGGGGAGAGAGAAAGTGAGGCGGTTCCATCGTTTCCTCCCACCAAAACAAGCTTGCCTTTACGTCAAAGTACAGCACATGGGAGGCAAAATCCGATACCCTTTTGAAAAATGAGATTTTTTAACGCGTCCAGCGGATAAACACGTTACGTAATATAAACCCAGTAAAAAAAATTGCTATAATTCTAAGTACCTGATCGGCCATTACCAGCGATGATAAGAAATGGTCATAAATACCCGGGTAGAGCCGAAGCCGACGTGAGGATACCTGTTTGAATGGGATTGCTCGCATGCGACCACAAACGTGAGCAGATGACACCTGGCGAGAGAGCCGCTGACATACGAGCTCGCAGTACCCTTTTGTTTCTTCCCTCAAGAGTAAATTCTGCCCATTGGTCGTTCTTGGGGAAGATCAAATTGGCACATTGATCGAGTCGTCCTCGTCGAGACCTCTCTCCAGAGGTTTCCGGTGGTAACCGTCCAGTTGTGGATCTTGGCCGTCCGTTTGTCCTGCTCTTGGAACCAGGATTAACTCGTCCGTTTCGGTTTTAAAATACGGGTCAAGTCATAGAATTACCAGGCTAAACAGAAAATAATAGACATATTATTGCTATATTAATGAAAAAGATGAAGGATAGGTATACCAAGACCACTAATATATTAGGATGTACAAATAAGGTCATATGGGATCATGTTACTGCCTTCATGTGAAATATCCACATGCTACGTATAAGCTTAGGCCAAGTCAAAAAGCGAACTATGAGCAAGAATTTCCATCCAGTTTGAGAGAGAAAGCATATACTATGTCGGTTTAACTAGTAAGCAAGTGATTAGTCCTTAAATTAATGACATTCTCCTTTGTTATTGGGAATGTCATTAATTGTAAGTAGAATGTCATTAATTTATGTGATATGTCGGTTTAACTAGCAAGCAAGTGGCTGGACATAGTAAGCAATATGCTCCTTCATAGGTTGAACTTCTCTCATGAGGTCATTATTATCACTTTATCCAAAAATGGCGTGAGTGAGGCAATAGTCCACTTAGCTCAAGATGAAATCAATTAAAAAACCATTCCACATCAAGAATTAACTTCTTGATAGAGGGAAAATCATCAATGTATTGTAAGTAGATATAAATTTCTTAACTTGAAACATAAATTCAAAGGCATTTTGTATAGCAAAAACTCATACACAGAAGGTGAAAGTAACAGCTCCAATTCAAATATTACTGATAAAAAGAAGAAGTTAAATTTAAAAAAAGGCTTGTAAGACGTTATATTGATGAATGCACTTTTTATCATGTCCACTAATGATATGTCATAGTCTCTTCAGAAAAATATAGAGGTTGTTTATGTAGAATTTTTTTGGAAACAAAGCTTTTTTTCATTTGATATAGGCAAAAATCTCAAAAAACTCAAAAACTCAAAAACTCAAAAACTCAAATCCACTTCCCTCCCCCACTTGGTATTTCACCTAACCTTATAATTCTAACACTTATCACTTCTCACAGAGGATCAATAATGGTATATATCTGAGAGAGGGAAGCATTGTAGGTACAAAAGAAATTTAAAGTTAACAAAGTTTATATAATTGTGTCAAAAAATAATATAAAATTCTATGTAACCAACATGGCAAGTAGGAAAATAGAAAGAAGAATAAGGAATTTTTTGATAGTACAATTGTATTTCATAATGAAGACTTGATTATTTTATGTGATATGGAGTTTTTACATGTATGTTTAGGCATAGACTGAGTCATTGGTACAGCTTCATTTTCATGACATAGAAAAAGTTAGCCTTATACTCTACAATTGGCTCTAAGGAAGTTGCATTTGAATGAGTGGACCCAAATTGGAGGAAAACATGAGCTGTGTTCAAGTGATTCAAGGAACCCATGTAGAACATTTGTGCATTTGAGCCTTAATCTCAACTCGACTAAGTGACAACTACCAGAGAACCATTTTTGTCAACTTCTGCTCCGCCGTGTGATAACCGTCAAAAAGACATTTCATTAATGTCATTCTTTGCCCTTTGGATAAGAATTCAAAAGAGTACCCACATTATATACATTCAATGAGAGTTTTTGAGGTTGTGAACACCCCTTAGAAACCTTCCAATTATATAGAATTTCAATGGATCACCATTGCAAATGTTGAAACTCTAATTTTCTTGCTTAAACTTATTTAATCTTTAAATTAATAGTACTTTTACTTAAATGTATTTTTTTACTTCATTAATATTTATTTAAAATTTATAAATCTCAATTTCAATGATTAAATCATCTGAAATTACTTTCACAATAATTACCAGGTGGAACTTTGTTTTCATCTAAATCATTTTTTCATTTCATTTCTTGAAACTCATGTAACAAACTAAAAAATAATTATAATAAATTTGTGTTTATATAATCATGACAATCAACCTTTTGAGTTTAATGCTACATATGATTAATTTATCCCTATAAATAAATGCTAACTTTAAAATTATTGAACAAAATATTAGGACAAGTATTTTCATAAGCTAAATTTTAATTTATACAAAATAATTTTCATAAATACAAAAAGGTCCACCTATATATCAAATAAAGTTGATAATATAGTAAAAAATGTCACTAGACATGGCAATAATTAAAGCATGTTCCACAAAGGTTCACGTTATAAGCATATCAGCTTATGTTTGTAAAAGAAAAAAGAAAAAAAAGAAAATGGCTCCCTACATACAACTTAAATGTCTCTTAAGTTTGAACAACTAAGAACAAAATTTAAAGTTCAACACCTCTAGTTCAAGGTACCACTCCTTAAAGTATTAGTCTTAGTTTGATATTTCATACGTAGGGTACCACACAAATGCTGATCTCTCTTTCTCTCTCTCTCTCTCTCTCTCTCTCTCTATCCAACTACAAGATTTTAATATACCTCATAATCATGATTGACAAATGGAGCGGCCTTCGCCAAATTAGTCCCACATGGTCTCATCCATGGACCTACTATGGATGACTAAATTGATGGCTTGGTTGGACATTTAGTGACTACTCAAACCCTCGTCTCTTCTTTATATTACAGCCTTCTATTCCCTCCTACTTTTTATAATATCTAGGCCCACCATAAAGCATTATTATCTTCAACAACCTCACTTCACTACGACCCACTTTGCCCCCGCATATTTAGTTTTGACCTATAAGAAAAATCCTGCCAAGAGTAGTCAAGATTTTTGCCATCTAAATGACATGTACATGCATATGGTAAACAACATAAATAATGATGTATACAATTTGAGCACTCTAAGATACTTCATTCATCCTCAGAAGTATCAACCCCTAGTCACCTGATTAAGTGTTGGAATCATATAAACAATTCATGTTAGACAAGTATTGACCATCAAAAGAATAGAGCAATTCAATGTGTTGATAGTCTTAACATCCAAAACTCAATAAATTAAGCATAATCATGGATCATCACTTGTGTCCAATTATGTTAACGCATAGATCATTGGAATGAAAAGTGTCCAAAAATAGTTTTAAAACATACAATTTCTAAGAAAAATATATGATTATATAGAGTTAATTTTTTGTCCAAAGACATAAATTAAGCTCTGAAATTCTGTGCAAACAATGCTCACATCTCCCTCTCATCCAACACAACTTTTGGCTTTGCTAAAGGTTTGTTAACTCTTTTATCATTGCAGACCTTGCGGATGCATTTGTAACTATTCAATACAAAATCAAAGATGTTTGATTAGACTGAGAATCAAAATGATAATACGCCCAATAATTACATGAGGAAGATGTTAATAAAACTCAACCATCATGGGAAAATCCTTTAAAACTTATTGTGACTAGTGCATCCATTAGTCATTCAACTTCATCAACCGTCAAAAAACACAAGGTTGCATAGGGCCCCTAAACTAAAATATCATCAATGCTTCTACATATACACAGTCTATGTGATAATCTCACTAAGACAAGCAGATTGGTTGTCAATAATATGCCATGGCCAGCCTGATGCGCCATCCATCAAAAAGCTCCTTAAATTATCCTATGGTTCATTGAAAAGGGTAAATTCTGTCCTCCAAAACACAAAATAAGCATGGACAAGAATGCTCACCTAACTTAGACAACCCTTGGGATCACTACTACTATGTAAACAATGAGAGGAATGCAAATCTCAAGCCTCAGCAGCTTATGCTTCTGTATAGAGATATCATACCAACAGGTCCCTCCCTACTGGGAGGGTAACCGACTAAAACCCAAGAATAGAAGTCAAGAGAGAAATTACTTTTCCTCAGAAGCTTATCACACACTTTCTTCCCTCACCTCCCAGGTACCTTTGAAGGCTGGCACAGCTAAGTGTGAAGGGTCTTGAGGAAATCTGCATAGAATGTAATATTCGCAAGGGGTTCCATTATATATCAGACAAAGTCTGTGGAAATACATGTACATCAATGGCAGACAAGGTTAGCTCTGCTTTGTCGTCTCGATTGCGAGGACCAGGTCATCAAATTTGGCTCCCCGAACCTCCTTGACAACCTCACCTCCCTTGAAGATCTTGAAGGTTGGGACCGCCTTTATCCCCAGTTCCTTGGCCAGAGGCTGCCAATAAGCTCAATCAAGTCCATGTTGTAGTGTACAAAAGATTAAGCATGAGAAAGAGAGAGAGAGAGAGAGAGAGAGAGACCCTGGGACAAACCTTGTTCTTTTCATTGCAGTCGAGCTTGAGGAAAACAACATCGAGGTTTTTCTCCGACAGCTCTTTGAACCTTGGGGCTATAATCTTGCAAGGGCCACACCTGCAGAAGAGCATTACAAGAAGATTCTCCTCAGAAGGCGATCAGCTGAGATTTCTCAAGGTGCAGCTCGCGGTGCTGTCCGACGTTTTTCCATGTCGAAAATGGGTGTCCAAGAGAGGCATAGTTGTTGTAGCTAAGGAGGATTCCGTGTGCTAAGGCCACCCAATGAAACGTAGAAACAGCTTTACTAGCAGTACCAGCCGCTGGCTGCTGGGATAGGTCAACAAGAATAAGGGGACGAGAACATTCTGAATTATATATATGACGAAGAAAACGAATGATATTGACTGCTCACTACTACGACAAGAATACCTGAAATATAAAAATTTGAGAAATCTCCCCATAGTAATAAAACCATAATAGACTGAAAACATCTACAGCTGATGGATGAACCCCTCCAGTTAAGGCCTACGTGCCCATTACACTTGCAAGGGCCAGTTCAACTTAACAGGAAGACCGGATGAAAATCTGAAGAAATATCATTTAACATGGATCATGGGAGGATTTTTTTTTTGGGGGGGGGGGAGGAAAGGGGGCTAACCCTGCTGCTTCAAGGAAGCAGACATGAGAAGGATCCCATAAGATGACATATTTTGATTCCAAACGCCAGCTCCCATGGAAAATTAAAAAGGCAAAAGAAAAGTCCTAAGACTTGACTTTATTAAAACTTTTGACTTTACAAAGTAATAAAAAACTCTCTGACAAGATCAAAACTTTTCATGAGAACATCACTAAATAGAGCACGATTGTCATTGTAGAAACTAAGGTCAACGTTTCCCACTAAAAGAGTGAGACGGGAAACAAAAGTCCAATATTATGCAGGACAATATCGCATAAAACTACTGATAAGGAATGGCAAAGCTTCAATGACAAACTTCTAACCCACCAAAGCTTACTGTTGAAGTATTTCACATTAGTAGGTCCGGTCAATCCAATCCATTGTGTATGTTCATGGGCTAAGTCAGCCTCTGCATTCGTTGTCGCACTCTGCATTTATATGTGAGAGAGACTGCTTTCCTCTGTCTTCCTTCTTCCTCAGCCCATTTATCCTATCCTTCCTCACATGGCTACCGGCTATGGCTCTCCTCCCACTCACAGCTCACGCTCCTGTCTGTTTCCATTCCAAGCATTCACAAATGTTAGAGCAGAATGGAAGAGTCATCATCTATATTCTCTGAATAAGATGGAGAGGTCAACTGGGACTGGTCAGTCCATCCCCTCTCTAGACTAAGTCGGAGAGACTCCTCCCACACCTTTTCTTTTAGAAAGAGATGTAATTAGGGAACTATAACCGGCGAAATTATTCAGAAGATTATTATACTCAAGTATCATGCGAATAAGTGCAAATAAAAGGTAGATCAGAAATACCAAGCAATTGTACAACCTCCTTGAGGGAGCATTTGATGGAGAAAAAAGTCTAGAATCTTTGCAAAATCATTTTAACAAATCCTACGCTATCATAGACAAAGTGCATGATAAGAGAACCAGAAATCTCTGAGAAAATCGAATCAAAGAATCCTTGTTTCATGAAGTTTTGGTGACACAAGTCCACTGCTAGAATATCCTCATCTTTAACCACATCATCAGCAGCAAACGTTAGTTCGAGATTCTATTAAATCTATTGAACGAACTTCATTATACCTTCCCTGTGCTAACCAAAGCTACCCGTCAGCATGCTAGGGGCCATGACAACTTATTCACAATTCCACCTTACTGAGTTTTCAGTGTTCAATGGGTGCACATCATCTCTTTGTCACTCCATATTTAGTAAGAATCAAAATAATTTACTGGATAACAAGAAAACATCACATATCCATGGAGCGCTAATGAACCCATGGATGAGAATCTGGAACAGCATTCATTGGATCACTCACAGGATTTGACATAAAGAAACACTTTATTATCATTGGCATGAACTTTAATAAAGAAAGCAGATTAAGATACAAAAATGTACCAGCACTCAACTCATAACTTGCCCTGAACACAGAATAAAAAACAAACAGAAATTTTGAAATGAACGGTTCACAATCTGAAGTTATCCTTAGTAAGTAATGGGCTAGATGAGCATCTTAGATGTAAACAAATAGTCCGCAGTGGAAAATTTACCATTATTGAATTGATTAGGTGACATACCACTTCATTCATCTCCCAATCCTAAACATAAGTATTGTTTATTTGAGGAATGTGAAAAGCAATTGCAGACCGTTACATTAGTTGAAATGGCTTATAGTACCAGTACACATTATTCGTGGATTATCAAGTATATCTTCCTGCACAACAAAGCATATTCGATAATAGAAATGATTACTGTGACCAAAAGCAGAACACAGAAAAAAAGAAAAAAGAAAGAAAAAAAAGACAAAGAGGAAATATCAAAAAGGTTGCATGAAATGAATACGTGGGAATGAGACTAAATCTCATGAATGGAATGGCGAAAACACCTCACATGTCACTTGTATCCCTTTCCCAGACAACAATTTGACAACTCTACTACAGTCCTATGGATACAGAGGAATTTATCAACCAAAATAATGCATAATTAGACAATGTCGCTAACCACTAAATTTCAACCACGGATATCTAGGACGAGATCAAATTGATCACAGTAAGGATTGACGAGAGCTATGATACCTTTCAAAGATGAGGGGAGCAAGTTAATAGAGTTTTTGTTGAAGGGTAATTCTGTTTTAGGTCCTTTTCCTACAATCTCCTAAGCCTATCCCACTAAAATTTTCTGTCTCTTAGTTGAAATGGACAAATCACCTCGTAGACTAAACACCACATGCATTCTCTTTCCATAATTTGATGTGCACCAGTTCTTTGAGAACTGCATTTTGCGAAAAATAAATCTAGCCAGAATATGGCATCCAAAGCTAGTAGAATCTTGTAGAGTTTTTCATTTATTACTCAAGCTAGTTTCTGACAGGCACTTCACCAAGTGGACCACGCTATCTTGGTTAGGAAAATCATCACATTCTTCTGAAGAACTGGCTACCTTGATGAGGTTGAGGACTATGGCGCATAGACCTTCTGAGGGATATATATGATTTAGCTCGAAATGCATATTTTTCTATACTCATATTCCTTTCCTCACCAGCTCCGGAAATTCTTCAGAAAAAACTTTATCACGTAAATTAACAAGATACATAAGACAGCCTCACACATCACAATATATGAACCATCTTTCAATCATCTAAGTCCAAGCACTTGTACCAGTGTGAGATAATAAATAACGATACAGCAATCCATTCTTAGACCACCAAAAGTCATAACACTGAAGGACTAACAGGACCAATAGGAAAGCGAAACCAGCGAAATGCTGGATTAAAAAAAATTGGATTTTTAATGATAGTGGAAGAAGGACCTTCGGATCTACGTTGCTATTTTTCTTCCACCATAAAATCTGGACCCTTGTACGCTCATCTCTCTGTGTCCCTCACCCTGACATGTAAGAACTTCATTCGAAGGTCCCAATACCACAGACCAGAAAGAAGCACTTTTGTGCATCATTCGGCATTGTAAAAGGAGCTACATAAAAATCGTCATAGGACAGAACTCCCTTCATTCAATGTCTCTGTCTGTGTCTACACCGATCTCATAGGACAGAGCACAACATCGTTGTCATTCTTCTGTCAACACTCCACCGGAATGACATTCTTGTGTCCTCTCTTGCTCCAGGAAAAACTGATGGTGGGCTTCAACACTGGATGGCATGTCTCTGATGTAAACTCACAGAGACATTTGCGATCGTTCTTCATCTTCCAGTCGAACTCTATTTTCCGAGGGGGAGAACTTGGACAGAAATGTGCTTTCCATCTCGTTTTTTCCTTCCTCAAGAACCACTCTGCATTTCTCTTTCCAGACATGTCCGGGATTTGAAGAAATTTACCACTACCCGTAGTAATGTGTTTCACAGAGAGAGAGAGAGAGAGAGAGAGAGAGAGAGAGAGAGTAACTCACCACTGGGTGTACATGTCAAGCACGACGATCTTGTCGCCCGCCCCTTTGACAAGAGGCCAAAAAGTATCAATATCCACCTCTGTTACCGTCCCCACCGTCGGCGCCAGTACATCCACGCTGCATCTCACCGGCGGAACCAGACGCAGCAGATCTCTCCTGGACGACGAAGAAGAGGAAGAAGGGAACCCTGCTACCCAGAGATTATTGGCCCCCCTTGTTCGCAGCAAATCAAGCTGCGCTGCAACAGCAGGCCGGCACGGCATCCGAGAAGCCGAGCTCGTGGGAAGAAGCCCCAACTTGGAAGGGCAAGGCGAATGCAAGACCCACGGCGAATTCTGCAACGCCATCGGCTTAAACACAGACTTCGACTGAGAAGCACCAGTGGAAGATGAACAAGAACAAGAAAAACAGTAGCTGGTTCTTCCTCTCTCCCCCTTTCGGATTCCTCTTCCCCGCTCGGCTCGGAGAACGTATGGAGGGAAGCGACTGAGCCTAGAAGGGGCCGGGGGAAGCATTGCAGAAGGAGAGAGGGTTTCCACGCCGAGATGGGCAATGACTAGAATGCCCACCAAAAGGCCTCGGTGGCCTGCTTTTCCACCAGGGGAGACCTGGGCGGGTTCGTCTGCCAGGCAAGCACCACCTGCCGCTGGCTGCTCGGAAGCCAGCCGCCACATAAAATCCTTCCTAAATTGTCGGAGAAAATCCAGGCCCCAGAGCTCCAACATCGCCCATTCAAATGGGCTCCTACATCCCCGCCGCCGTGCCCACACGGTACCTCTGGTTTATTCCATGGAATCATCTCAACTGCCTTCACCTGTCCAGAAGAAGACTCTACGGCAAAAACAAACAATAAAGAGAATAAATCCGCATCAAAATGGGCAGATTCTTCACGGATTTCATCGTACGAAAAATGGGACGTTAAATTGACCCAGCTGATTGATTCTAGGGTTCTTCTGATTCTGAGCCACAAAACGAGTATCGAAGAAAAGCCACTCTTTTTGCTCTACTTTCCATCCAAACCCGAGAGGGGCAGCGATTAGATGATCCAACACGATCCATCATATTTACTGTCTTTCACACTCATCATCTCACTCTTGCAGCCCACTAAACGTGGATCAACCCACCCCCCGAGAACGATCATTCCTCCTAATCGTTTCATCATCCATAGCATCGGAGTGTAAATAAATTGTGGAACTATCGGAAAATGAAGCGGAGTATGAGGATGCATGAAAAAAATGAGAAAATTGGCATCTTTTGCTGTTACCCTCTTGATAACAATTTACAAGTTTCATAAAGGTGATTTTTTTTTTATATAAATCATATATGATTGTATTCATGGCTTATCTCGCGACAAATGGAGTAGATCTCAAGCCCTTACTACTTTAGCGGGCTAAAAATAGTTGGATTATGTTATTTTTGCAATTAATTATTGTCCAGGATTTTAAAGTGATGGTAATTTTCTCTTTTATAAAATATAAATTTATAATGCTTAATTAGCCATCCATGAAATCGGAAAACATTCGAATGAGTTTTTTTCCTCAAATAGTATATCACTCTCAACTGCTTACGAAGAGCTCTCTTGAATGATAAAAATGTGTCCTTGAAATCGAAGATAAAATGGAACTAAAACATCGACCCGGAAGGCCACTGTGTCCCGATTCTTCCACCCCGAAGCAGAATTTGCAGCTGCGGTCGCCGTCGTCATCCCCATCTCCCTCCCCGGTTTCCCGCTCCCCCCGTGGAGGGAGATGGAAGACTCTCCGTCGTCCTTCACCGTCAGTAGCCCGAGGCGGACGCTGAGTCTGCTGAAGAGGGAGAGAAGGGCTGCGGCATGGCCTCTGCCGGACCAGGAGAGGAAGGGCGCCGGCGCCGGCGCTCCGGTCGGTCCGAAGCCCTCCGAGGTCTACGGCTTCGTAGGTGCGATCTCCACCGTCATCGCCACAGGTGAACTGATAAAGATGAAGCAAAGGATTGTTCAGATTCTGATGTGATGCGGTGGGAATCATCTTGTCTGAATTGGGTACATCTTCTTTGGATTATGTAACTCGATGCAGCCGTTTTCCTGGTGTGGGCTTACACTCCCGAGCCGTGGCTTCATGCTTTGGGGATCACCTACTATCCTAGCAAGTGAGTCTTCTGCGCTTCTTTGTTCTATTATTTTTCTTTCTTTTCTTCGAGGTGTAGTTAAATTCACAACTCGACATCGCATCTATCAGTTAAGTCGCCAAAGGAAGTGATGCCAGTGGTTTGACACCCATGGGCAGAGGTAGAGTGGTTCATTATCGACAATCGGATCCTCTGTAACTCGATAGCTTTATCTGTTCCTCCTGTGAGTAATGCTCGGTCTCGTGTTAACCAGCCCAGAAGCCATCCCACTGAGCTCTGGATCATTCTTTTACGAGTTAATTCTAATATACGTCGAGTACATGTCTGATTGAGCTAAATAGAGCTACAAATTATTAAATTGTGGGCAACTTGTATTTATCTACATACGTATCGATCTGTAAAGATAGAATTTTTTTTCCCTGAATTGTTTTTTTCATTTTGGCATGCCATGAACCCTACCAAGATGGGATCCTCAGATCTTGGTCATGACTAAGTGAGACGGAATTGAAATTTCCATTTCGGCCGACTACGAATCTTTGTGCCTTGATAAAGAGGATAATGTAGTGAAATCTTCTGCTTTTTTGTCTAAATTTCTTTGTAAAAGCATCAAGGGAGCTGACTGAACTCATAAATTGATTGTTGAGAAGTATACCCATTTACCATTTTTTTTAATTTAAAAATCTGACGCATTTCCTGAGAGGAGTTGAAAACAATTCCATCCTTCTATATTTACTCTATATCAGATAATTTTCTTACTGATATTACCACATAAAATAATAAAAATAAATGACATCGAAATTCTGGGGCTCTATAACTTCAAATTATGACTAGGATTTTGATGTCCAGGCTAGAACTACCCTGTTGTGGTGAAATATGAAATGTAATTCGAGAGGAACTTAAACAGCGAAGCTAAAGCGTTGCACCTTTTAATGTTTTTTGTTGAACACAGTTTTTTCCCCTAAATAAATAAAGTTTATTGGGTTTCTCTGGCAGTTTTTAAGAATATCCTAAAGAAAAAAGATATACTTCACTTCTATTTTATTATATCGTGAGAATACTTTTTTCCTTGTCATTCTCCGCTGCAAAAATCATTGTTTTGTATTCGAAATTGTGCTTCACGTCTGTTTCTCATGCTGACAATTGTTCTATCAGGTTCTGGGCATTGGCTGTTCCTGCTTATGCTATAGTGGCAAACATCTTAGCCATGGCATTTTATCTTGGATTGAATTTCGCCAGTACTCCTCCTCCAACTTCGTTTGCTACATTATTTGGTAAGCTCGTTAGCATGTGATCACATTGATGCATTGTCATACAGAGCACAGCATGCAACGAAATGAGAGCATGCAGATAAAATCTCAGAAACATTGTGTGAGAATGCAAGTAGAGAGAGGATGGGGGATGCACAGTTAATAAATTTCTGGTTTATGGTTCAGATTATTTTTCTAACCAGAGTAGGAAAAGGAAGTGATACTTTGGTGAAATACTAAATTAATACACGCTGCTTACGAGGGCCAGACATTAACCATGACTCCTAAAATTCTGGGAATACCCGGAGTAGTAGTTGCAGCATCTTTCTGACTAATTAAAAGAAATCAAGAATCTCTCTGATTTTTTATTTAAAAGTCAGCTAAGTATCAGAAAATGATTCACGAGTCTCCTCTCTTCTTTTTGAAACTACATGGCTTATTTGCGCAAGTTAATGATTGGTTTAGTATTTGTTACAAAGTGTTATTTGGTCTAATGTTTTGTGGAAAAGGAAATGATGAGTTTCACCTTTAGATAGAATATTTAGTGAATAGTAGCATCCTAGGGTTAGAGTACCCATAAAACAAGTAGATTACTTAATACTTTAGTCATGTTTAGAAATGCTTTGAATATCAATGAAAGCACAAATGATGATAAATGGTTAGTGGTGATCTTTTTTTTTCTTATAATAAAACATGAATATACAATGACGTCCGCTTAAGAGGCATTCGTACCTCTTTAAGAACAAAGATAAGAAGGAACCTCGCCTTATGGATATCCACCAATTCTCTCTATCAAGATTCTGTCAGCATCCGACCCTGGCATGTCGGCTTAGTTATCCTGATCACTCCTCAACGTTGACGTTTAGCTGCCCCATGGTTATATCCAAGGATCTTGTCAAAGATCAAATGGACTTCATCCTCTCGAAAAGGAAGTCCAAGACATGTATGAAATATCTGATACCTTACTTTGCCCATCTAATGTTCATGTGCAACTGAACGTTATTGGAGCCTAAGAACCATAATGTGCTTGCAGAATTTATCTCTGGAAGATGTTGCGTAGAAACGATAGCATGCTTTGAAACACTTCCTATTGTCTAAAGGAAGTAATTGGTCCACCTGATTATCATCTAGAATCAGCTGTATCGTACTTTGCTCCTGGTGTCAAGCAGTCATCTTCAGTGGGTTCAAGAAGATAATTTTGTTTTTTTCAAACCTCCATGGAAGGGTACGAATGATTATAGAAAAAGATTAAGTGGTCGAACTTGGTGCATATGCTTCTTTTTATAATTGTTTGATGAACTGAGTGCTTATGGAAATTATGACACAGCTGATTGACCATGTTTTGGGATCCTTGAGCAGTCCAAATCCGCTATCTCCAGGGGTCCAATTATGTTCTGCTTATGTTATCTCATTTAATCTTATTTTATATATAATCTTGGTTAAACATTGTCGAATGAGATGTTGCTTTATTACCTGTTATTATGATTTTTTTCATTGAAAGAGAGTAATTACTGAGGCTGTATATATCTGGGAGGCCCTATGAAACAGCCCAGATCACACATTCAGTAAGTAGAATATCATTGACATCTAGACTTTCGTGAGCATGGAAGGAGTGCTGCGAGGAGTGAATGAAAGGTTATCTATGGAACAAACACGTAGCAAGAATAGAGAAAGCTGCTTGCGACTCAATTAGTTCTAAGCCTGAAATTGTGTCATCGTGAGACAAATGCTGCATTTTTTCTCAATATAATGAATTAGTGGGCGTGATTTACAAAAAAATGGGTACCAAGATCAGCCTAACTTAGGAATCCAATGGATCATTTAGATGTTCATCAGATGAAGCCCATTTAATTGTCAACGGGGTGGAGCCCATTTAATCAAACCCTCATTTAAGAAAGTCTTCGGGATAAAATCCATTTGAGGATTCATGGGAATGATCTCAAATTATTGTTCTTTCCATCAGCGAGCTAAATATAATCTCGCTTCAAAATGGGTAGCCTAAATCTGGTTGAAAATCACTTGGTAGCTACTCTGCTTAGTGTGCTCGGTTGACTTGATAGTGAGAGGTTGCTTAGGTTACTCTGCCGGATCAAGCATGAGTCAGACAAAAAAGAATGAGGAAAAGAAAAGAAAATAAAATAAAAAAGTTGGCATCTTACCCTATCTTTTGATCCATAAATACGATGATTAATCGTTTCTTTTAGTATTTTTTTAATTTTTATCATGTGGGTTAATGTATTTTCCCTCGTTTGATCCCTGACGAGGAATTTGGTGGGTTTTCTTCGCTGCCTGGTAGATGAGCACACCAGAGAACCCTCGGCATTGGTTGCGTCAGAAGATGGAGTGGAGAAGCCCATCGAGCCGATATCTGACCTTAGCATCGCCGAAGTCAACGATCTGATGTTTGGGAACATATCCTGAGCGCTGAGCATGTATCTGGCTTTGACCACTGAAGAAGGGTAGGTAGGTGATGCATGTATCACATCCCATGGTGTGAGGGGTCAAACTTTCCTTCTTTATAGAAAGGAGAGTGCCAGAGGGGGATGGGTGTGGAGGCAAATGAAGACAGTCAACCTCCGAAGTCAACCCTCCATGGTTGACTTGGTGGACAGGTGAGTGGAGTGTTTTTCTTCTCATCATGGCCTTATAAACAGAAATATATCCCCTTTATAGGAAACGAGAGAGCATGCAGCAAAGGTTCGAATTCTTTTTTCATTAATCTCATCTTAAATAAATATCCATACTAATGAAAATATAGCGAAATTAGTCATGAAACTATTCAGTGCTGACTTGATGGGAATCAGGAATTTGGCCTGTTCGTGCTCAATAATTTCCTTTTACTCGGCTCTAAATGATTGGCAAAGCCTAGCCGCCCACCAGGAAGAAGGGTGTTACAAGAACCCATTACTGAGTAGAGAGAGAGAGAGAGAGAATGCAAGTCTAACTAACTATAGTTTACATGTAATTTAATTTGAAAATAATAAATTACTATATTCAGAATAACCTGTACCTCTCTACACCTCATCAGTTCAGAAATTGAGAGAGAGAGAGAGAGAGGTCTTTTATTTCTGACATTTTTGTGGAGTGGAGTAATTAATTGCGAGTGGGCTTTTAGTTTCAGAGGCTCACATCGGATACTATAATGGCTCCTGGGCCTGTCCGTACCGGAGCTCCTGACTCCTCCCTCTCGCTCTCTGCGCATCGGCGGAGGATCTGGCATCGCGGCATATTCCCCTCCCTCCCTGCGTCTCTCCCCTCCACACCCTTCTCCGCAGGGGGTGGCTGTGCGACCATCGACGCTCCAGTTCACACCTTTTGATCTACCTCCTTACCCGTCCCACGCTCGCCTGCTATCGATCGATCGAGGGGGGCAGACGGCAGGGTGGAGATGGCGTCTCTCCGCAGCAGGTTGGAGGCGTGGATCAGGGAGCAGACGGCGAAAATGGGGGCCTTGACTTGGTCCCCGCCCCTGACGCTGCAGGTGCCCGTGCGATGGAGGTGGCCGCCGTGGTGGCGGGACGTTGGGAAGAAGGAGCAGGAGAAGCGGCTGCGTGAGGAGTTCGAACTCCGGCGGAGGCAGCTCCAGGACCTCTGCGGGGCCGTCAAGGCCGAGTCCATTGCCGATCTGCAGGAGGTCATCTGCTCTATGGTCCTATCCGAGTGCGTCTACAAGGTCAGTCTCTTCCCTTGAACTCTCTTATCCCCAACTCTACGCATTTGTCCATGGATCAGTCGCTGTCCGGCATATTATTGTTATCTTACCTCCTCCACTTCCTCCGCCTCGTCCGGCCAAAGAGTAAGTCCAATCAATCATGGGGTTACCTATTGGTAACTTACCCATAAGGTGTATAGGCTCAAATGAGCTTAATACTCAAAATCATGGATATTATGCTCTGTGGATTAATGATGATTTTCCGACATTGTCTCAACAACTGATTCAGGTATGTTGCCTTGGATCATCCGCAAATTTGTCTCAACCAAACCCCGAAATGAGACTAGGGAACAGCGAAAGCTAAACACAGAGAGTTGGTTGCTCATACGTGCCTTGACTTATAGTCCAGATGAAAGGGAGCAGACCATCAATGCCTTAGTCACCTTGAAAACCTTTGGTTAGAAAAATGGTGATATTTTAATTAGAAAGAAAGACAGTGAACTGGTTTTAAGTATCTATCGCTTGTTTTGTGCTTCCTGCAATTTTTTGTGGAATTAATCACGTAATCCTGATGATATGTTTAGAGCGATGTTTCTCTCGTTTCCTTTTCATCAATCTTCTCTCAGTCTTATCAAATTTCTCCAGCTCTTGTATGTTTCAGTTACCTAAAACACATACTACTGCGGTGCCATAGCAAAAACTATTTGCTATATAAGCTACTTTTACTATTAGGAATATGGAGTATTCTCAAGATCTCTTCGTTGTTTTACCTGTAGAGGCCTGCCAGTGAGGTGATTCGAGTAATTAACAAATTCAAAGCTGACTTTGGTGGGCAAGTTGTCTCCCTTGAGCGTGTACAGCCTTCTCTAGATCATGTGCCTCACAGGTAGGTCTGTGTATATCTTCTTGGGTTTGTGTTTCATGGCTGCAGAAAGGTTTTTCCTTCTCAATATATTTTGCCATGATTACATGGAGATGTATTGAATGCGGATTACATAAGGTTAATTTTGGCTATCAAATGATGAAAAATAACCAAAGTTATGTCAAGAAGCATAACATGGAGCACAAGGTGTCGAAGATTTGATCACCTGGATGTTGTGCTTACTTATCCCGCGCATATCTAAACATCATGATGATTTGAAAATATTTGTATTTCATGATGTTTTTGTTTTTCGTTTCATCATTGCTTCCTTGTGAATGTTTGGAAACTTTGACCTGTGAGCATTTAAAGAATATGACACATAGTAATGAAAGAGATGACGATGTAGCACTGTTAAAGGGTCACAAATGGCTTTCAAGGTTAAACCTTTAAGTGGAGGGGTACAGTACTTCCACCCTGGTAGCCGAAGATATTTAGGGTAATATGTATCATCTGTTGTGTTTGTTTCCCTACTAAGGGTAATTTTTGTTTTCCGGTAGCTGATTTTATACATTTTCGGATATCCTTGCTGCTTTTTTTCTTACCAAATGATGTTAATCTGATAAGCCTCCCATCATGACATACTCAAGACGGAAGAAGCTCCCAACTTCTTCCAGTCCAACCGATGTGTGTATGTTAGTAAGCATCAATGTGCGAAGGGGAAGGCTGAGGGTTATAAATATGGGAACTCAGTTATGTAGTAGTCAGGGAGAAACATTTAGTCTCAAAGTATCCGGAGATCCTCCACCTGTTGTGGTAGAACGGGTTCATTCTCCACGACTCTAACCCCCATTTCCCCAATCCCCTGTTTCCCATTCTTCTCAAATGAAATTCTAGTCTCTTCTGAATCAAGGTTCTTACCATAATAAAATGAAGTGGGTAGAAATGTTTTATTGAAGTGATTCATTACACTCATAATTATTTGAAGTATTTTCAAAGATTCGATAAAAAAATGAATCCTTTTAAACATTTTGTATAAATTTTTCAGATCATTTTTCGTTTTATTTTTAATTGAAGGGCAAAATATCTTCCGATTTTTTTAGGTCATTATTGAGAAGGAGAAGAGTTGATTAGTCAATGAGATCAATTATCAACGGGGGTTTTTTTATTCTACTTGATCTGCCTTACTTCGAGAAGAACGTTCATGTCATTGATTGTTGCCGTTGCACAGTAAGTGGAAATTGATGTGACAGGCTGGAAGGTTTGCATTTAATTGGAAACCTCAAAAGGATGGACTGTTTTCAATATAACAAATTAGGTTGTAGAAAATCAATTTGCAATCATATCCTTTGGTTGGAAGTGGATACAGTATTATCGATTGGGTCCAGTATAATCCAACACAAGAATACATTTTCCTTCCACCATCTTAATTATTGGGCCCGTTCTTGCAGCTTGTTTTCTTAGTTGACAGCTTTTTCGTCATTAAGGCCTGAAGGATCATTGTTTCCCGATGTGAAACTAGTTTGCAAAATTCAATTCCCGCATAGAGCTTGCTTTCGAATAAAGAACATTCTGTCCTCTAAATTTCAAATTACGGGTTGAGCAAGTCTCCAATTTTCTAAATGTTGTGTTTCTGCTTAACCAGCTAGATTTGGGCCATCTATTGGTTGAGGAAAAGGGAAATTTCAGACAAACTAGAGTGTTTAGAACTTTTTCAGTATTGGTATCTGTTTAGCTGAAGATTGGAGCATTCAAGCAAATCTGATTCTTAGTTAACAGGTGAGAAATAATCCCGTGACTAAACATCCGATGAATTTCATGTCGAACTAAGAGATTATTGATTGGTTTCCCGTTCAAACTGGAAAGATTGGCACAGGAGAAGCATCTTCACTACTTTTTATTCACAATTAAAGCCATTGGCTCAGCAAGACAGACTTTTTTTTTTTTTTAATGATCTCTATCCATTAGGATCTGCAAAATCTTCATGGTTACAGTTTTCTGAAGGGAAACTTCATTTTTAATAGAGTTTTTATTCATGAATTCTAATAGGGATGTGCTTATTGAGTTTAAATTGGCAACAGAATCATTATGATCTGATGTTTTGCTTTTTCATTTTTTTTTGGTTTGCTTCACTACTGAATGTATATGATGCCCTCTAAGATAATCTTGATTATAGTAGATACAATTCGCTCAGTTATTTCCATCTTTATGCTGATCCATTGTCTATCACTTTCCGGTAAAACAAAGAGGCATTGTGTATTAGCTATTGCTTTCCCTCCACTCATTGTTTGGCATTACATTTTAGATTCTCGTTTTGGGTATTGTCTGTAATTTGTTGACTTTTCTTGAAAAATCATTTCAGTTTTCACAATTCTTGTACTGATACTTCTTTGTCACCGCCAATTTCATCCAGTTTGTTGCCTCTGTCATTGCAGATATCTTTTGGCTGAAGCAGGCGATACACTTTTTGCCTCATTTATTGGAACAAAGCAGTACAAGTAAGTGAAACCTGTGGAGCTGGTCTTGTTCTCCTCATCTCCATGATATGGGTTACAAAGTTACGTAATATTTATGATTTTCTATTAATAATTTTCCTAGGGATGTCATTGCCGATGCAAATATACTTCAAGGGGTCATATTTCCTGAGGAAACTGTTGACAATATAGAGGATAGTGAAAACAAGATGGAAGAAAAGCTCACCAAACAAATTCTACCAAAATCAAATGGTTTGCAAAAGAAATCTAAGCCTGCCGCTCATCGGGTGAATACTTTTTTATCATTTTTTGGTCGTACCCAAATTATTTTGTAAACTTTTTTCAATGCTTTACCTTCTCATTATTAAATGCTAGTTTTTCGTTCTAGAGATTATCTTTCAAGGTACATGTGCAGATGCTAACTCATATTTACTGTCTCTCCACATCCGTGGATATGGCTGAAATTATGATTGTGACATCATTTATTTTGTTTTCTTATGTCTTTTATAGATGGTTAAGAGTATCTGCTCATGCATATTTCATAATGTTGCGAATGACAACCCATGCTTTGATGGTGGATAAATACATACTGGGCATCGGTTAGAGTACATGTAAGGAAACTACGTAATAAGAAGGCATAGAAAGTGAAAGAGTGATAGATGGTAGAGATAGACAAGCACAGAATACCCAGTAATGAAAGATGGTAGAAAGGCACATCAGTGGATATTTAATTTTTGCCGTTTCCCTCTGTGAAGGTTATACTCGACTTCTTTTAATATTGTTCCCTAAGATACGACTTAGGGGGGTAGCTATGATTAAGATAAAACTGGATTTTTTTTATGTCTCTCAGAAAACCCTAGGTTTTGTTGGTCCTATAAGAGGATCTGATTACTACATGTTAGTTGCTAGCATTTTTTCTCATGTTGAACCATAGTGAAATCTCTGTCATAACCCAGAAAAGCACCATGTCTCCTCTCAAATAAAATAAAATAAACACTGTTGCTCGTTAGGATGATGTGGGATATTACTCCTATTCTCATGTCTGCCGTTTATCTCCATCAGTAATACTTTTTCTCGTTTCTAGTATTTTTCTAATTAACTGAGATCTCTCGTTTTTCAAGTTATTCTCCTTAAGATATCTCATTTTTCCCACTGTATAGCAGGAGCTGTTTCGTTTTGTAATATTTATAATCTGTTTTCTTCATTAGTTGCCAATGTACGTTGTTGAAGATGCTTATAATAGTGTGGATTGTTTTCCTTTACCCAATTATTTTTAGGGATTTTTGGCCCGTGCTAAAGGAATACCAGCATTAGAGTTGTACAAGCTTGCACAGAAAAAGAAAAGGAAACTTGTTTTATGTGGACATTCACTTGGTGGGGCTGTAAGTGTCGTACTTTTTCTTCTTTTTTTTTGTTGCACTTTGCCCTTGGTGAGACAACTGGAGCGTTCATGCCTCAATTTTTCCTTGTGAAGGTAGCAGCACTGGCTACCCTTGCTATTTTAAGGGTTATTGCTTCATCTTCATCCAAGGATCAAGTGGAAGTTCAAATTAAGTGTATTACATTCTCCCAACCTCCAGTTGGGAATGCGGCTTTAAGAGAGTAAGTTTTTGTTGAGATATTATATGGCATCTACTATCTTCCATTTAATTCACTGATTCCGCATGACTATTTTTTCCAAGGTGTTATTCTTTTCTCAAATTCCATAAAAAGTAATGGTTGTTTTGTATGTGTTCTGATTATAGCTATGTCCACCATAAAGGATGGCAGCAGTACTTTAAATCCTACTGCATTCCAGAGGACCTGATCCCACGTATATTATCTCCTGCTTATTTTGATCACTACAACGCGCAACCTCCACAATCCCCTGTCGATGCAAGAGTTTCGGGTTCATCTTCACTAAAGAGTGAAGAAGGTACCAAGAGGCCTTCAACAGCAGAAAATAAAGAGGGCAATAAGGAGCAGCTTGTAATGGGGTTAGGCCCTGTTCAGACTTCATTGTGGAGGCTTTCCAAGCTTGTTCCATTACGAGGTGTATGGAAACAACTGGATAGATTTAAAGGGAGAAGATATCGATCTGGGGGAGAACTGTCAGATGTAGAATTGGCCTTAGCATCAACCGTTGAGGAAGCAGAAAATGGGCCATCATCTCTTGAAATACAAGAGGGTATTGATGGAATATCTCTTTCTCCCATTCCTACTGTAGATAAAGAGATGGTTAGTGAAGAAAAGAATGGCCACACAGCGGATAGAAATTCTCTGGAGATTGGAAGTGCTTGGCGTAGTGTTCCTTATTTGCCGTCATATGTGCCATTTGGAAAGGTAAGCATTGCAAGTCCTGACATTATTATTTTTTTGCCATCTACGCTGCAGAAGCAACTGTTCATTCAGAGGTTGTCAGCCATGGTTTATTTTGTTATTTAGATTTACCATGCTATATTTTCATGTATGAAATGCTACCATCTTCAATGAAAACATGGATTACTATTCTCTTTTGGAAATGGATCATTGACTCTATGCCTGAACTTTTTTGGAAATGGATTATTTTAATTTATTTTGGAATATAAGAACAGAAAAGTAGTGACTAGTCATCTTGTTTGGAGGTAAAAACAAAGGGGCTAAGCATGTGTTAGCGCCTATCTGTGGATTGTTCTCCTGGACTGAATGACAAAGATATGGGATGGTGGCTGTGTGTCCCCTAGAATTAGGCTCCACTTCTCCAAAAAAGTTCAGGAATAAAGGAAGAAAAATAATTTTCTTCTTCACAGGGTTACCCTGAGGAAATCACGGGGAACAAGTCCCCGTGAAACCTGAGTATTGGTCAATTATTTGAAGACCCATATTGTTCCTGTTTTCTATGATTGAACTAACACATTTTAATTTCCTGCATCCAGCAGAATGGAGGATTGTAGAAAGTAAAGCTGAAGTATGTAAGAACATGTAATGACTCAAGTCATTACAAGTAAGAACTGAAACAAGATGAGATTTCTGTGACTGCTCCTTCGGGTCATTCACTTCAAACTCTCAATTATATTCAAAATTTTCCTTCAGCTGTATGCCTGATTTCGTTTACTGAAATTTTCTGCATAAAATATTATGAAGTGTGATGGTCTTGGCCAGCAATGAAAAAATGTGTGATGATAAGCATCTCATGGATCGACTAACATCAAGTAAGAAATACATTTTTATTCCGGTTTGAAAAAAAATCGGTTTATTTCCTTCCAAGGGCATCCTGGGTAACGAGATCTGTTATCTTTTTCCTTATTTGTTTTATTTGAACTAAGTCTGAAAAAAATCAGGCTGACATTTTACAATATCCCATACAAAATAACTAGGCATTGGTTTTAATTTGAAAGTTTCAGATTTAGAGTCGAGTGGTTTGACTGAAGACCTGATTCCAATGTTTTTTAGCATACAGGAGACGATGGTCAAGATGTGAGAGAAGGGTGAAGAGAGACCACGGATGGTTGAAAATGCCCTTTTCATCTTGTGGGATCAATTGGCTTCTTATGGAGGGCAGGGGTACAAAAATTTCTAAATGCTCTCATTGTAGGGGGCTAATGATGGGACGGAGAAAAAGAATGGAAGGAAATAAAAGATAAAATTCACTGTTGCTGATGTTGATAACCATGACCCACCATAACTTTCTGTCTTCTGTTGCTCTTTCCTGCGGCAAGGGATTGCTTGCTGGTAGCCTGTCACCATTCCCCACCCTCAAAGGGAGAAAAATTGTGGTTATGGAGTTAAATTCAGGATGGTTAATAAATCTTGAAATTTCTCTAAAATTTTCATTGCATCTTCTAGTGTGTTTATATCCTTTTATTGTTTGATTAGATATCTTCTATCAGTTTTGTAGGCATACCACTTTTTTCTGTTTTTAATCGATCCAATTCCAATCTGGACTAGATCAAACCTAGTTGATTTTTAGGCTGATCCGAATTTGTGTCAACACGCTTCCTCCCTTTCACTTCATTTTTCTTTTGTTGCTTTAGATGCCTTTGATTTGGTTGGGTTGACAAAGAGTAAAAGATGAGGCTTCCGTTGCATGGAAGTACATTTTTTGCAAAATCATTAGAGTTTCATCTTCTTTTATTGAAATTTATTTAGAAGCACACCTAAAACTTGTGAACTGATGATGTTTTGTTTTTTATGGCTCGCCAATCTAGAATTCAACTCCAACTCTGCATGAGAGAAGTTTTTGGTCCTCCCTGTTACTAATGATTTTTTTTATCATTGTTCTGCATCTTGCTGCATTTTTTATTTAATATCCTTCTTCCATAGTGTGCAAGCACAGGAGGAGACCTGCTATTGAGTTGTGGCTTTATCAAACTGTTTTACTATTTTAACGCTTGGGTGTTCTCATGTGATTGAATTTCTGTATATCATGCTTAACAGCTTTATCTCTTGGGGAATTCATCGGTGGACTTCCTATCTGATTCAGAATATTCAAAATTGACATCGGTACGAGTTTCACAGTTATTCATTTTAAAAAGTTGGTATTCCACGTAGTTTAAGGAGATCATGTATATCCAAACTTCGGACTCCTCAAAAGTGAATCTGTAGATTATTATAGGCACTCATGTTGGTTGCTTTGTGATGGCAAAGGCATTTGCAGGTGAGGTCTGTGATTTCAGAATTGAGGGAGCGATTCCAATCACACTCTATGCGATCTTATAGATCACGTTTCCAAAGGTGAGTTTTATCACATTTGTGTATAAATTCGATTATGAATGCTGAAATCATATTTAGTAACTCTTACGAGAGCTGCTTCGATTCGATCGATAATACACATTTAGTTTCTTGTGTTTCTCGTTTTCTCTGAGCATATGGATGCTTCTCTTATCCTTCCATAACATGAAAGTTAAAATCTCGAGGGATAAAGGTTCACTTGTTTTTTATCCATTGATCTGGATTCGAGAGTTGGTTGAACGCATTCTGATATATGTTGTTGGCGTATGGATAGCATATATCCCTACTCTATCGGTGTCTAAACTGATGAAAGAGGAGAATGGCCCGCACAAAGTAAAAACATATATGGACTAGCCTGGCCCCGCTTTGCTGAAAACCAATCAATAGAAGAGAAAAAGGCCATTTTTTATCCTCCCATTTAGACTATTGAAGCTTATATAGACAAAGAAATGGCTTTCTCTCGCCAGATTAAATTAGAGATTATTTTCTGTGTTTATTCAGCTTTCTTGGTGTAATAACAGCCTTGTAAATAGAAAAGAACTGACCGAATAAACATTTTTTACTGAGTGGAAAACGTGCCTTTTTGTTCCATTGGTTGGCAAGGTAACCATGAATAGACAACGCAAGGTAGAAAAATGAGATTTTAAATAATGGGAGGTAGAAAGAGAATAATAGGGTAAAGGAAGGGAAAGGAGAATTTTACTTACTCTTTTTGAAGTAGCTATCGGAAAACTGCCGCGAGGAATATGACATAGACTTGGTATAGACGAAGCCTATAGTGGATATAACCCGCTGTATTATTATTATTATTATTTATTTTTTTGAGTTCTTTCATCTTTCTGTATTTTTGTAATGATAAATTTGTTTCTAGAATCTGTAATTGTCTTTTCACCTTGTAAAACACTGTTACTTGCGTGAGTCTTACTCTGAAGATCTAAAACTTTCAGCAATCATCTTCAACTTATTATTATTACATTGCTTGTGGTTTGGAACCTTGATTCGTCGCTTCTGCTTTCAAATATACATTTGTATGTATCTGAGCATATTGATATCATTTTCCGTAAGCGTAGAATTCATCTTTTTTCTGTTATGCAAATCGTCATCTACTTCTCTCTCTCTCTCTTTTTCTCTCTCTCTTTCTAATGAATGTACTATCTATGACCTCGAAACTGAATACGGCCAAGGCTTACCCCTGTTTTCGTTACACTTAACTCTACTGCATAAATTGTATATAATAGTTCCATAACATATTTTCCCCCTGAACATGAGAAGTTTGTCATGGTTTATGCCTGATTTCTTGGGTTGCAGAATTTATGACCTATTCATGTCAACGAACGCTACACCTTTTCTTGGAGGGGAACAGTTGTCTCAGTTTCCACACTTACAACAGTGGCTTGGTCTTTCTGCTGCTGGTACTGTGGAACTTGGCCACGTTGTAGAGTCTCCTGTTATACAAACAGCAACTTCTATTGTTCCTCTTGGATGGCGTGGTATTCCTGGTGAAAAGAATGTGGAGCCTTTGAAAGTTGATGTCACCGGTTATGGGCTCCATCTGTGTTCTCTTGTTCAAGCCCAAGTCAATGGCAACTGGTATGCTCAATCTCCCACCCACCCCCTTCCCCAGAAGGGTTTTTTTTTTTTTTAAAAAAAACTTTATGAGTCTCATTATTTTTTAATGTCATAGGTTCTCATTATCTGTGATCAGAACAGGACACCACACTTATAGAAAATTAAGAAAATTCTTCCTCTGTATTTTTCCTTTATTATATTTATCTTTGTTGCTGGGTTTCATAATTTTTGAGTTTAAACCTGGAATCTGAAAGCAGCATGTAAACTGAAGTACCGTTATTATTAATTATCATGTGACACATGAAAAACTCACCCTCTGAAAATCCATTTTGATTTTGTTATTCAGTAAGATCATATTCCATACTGAAAAATGGTAGCCAAAATCGAAGAGAAATCTCAAACGATCATGCCTCCGAGCAGCTTGAACATCCGTTCAACGTTCTTGAAATACATTTTAAAAATTTTAAAGTTTCAACTGTAAGCCATGAAATAGATTGGCGGCAGTGTCTATGGAATGGAGGAGAGGATCCCTTTACTTCTGATGGATGAACTAACCAGGCATCAATCAACATCTGCTTCTCACAGCAAAATACGATGTGGCTGGTGATCTAAGTCTTCATTTCCGCTCATATTCTCTTGTTACTGAACTGAGCTGAACTGAGCTGAACTGAGCTGAACTGAACTGTTTATTGCATCACTATCTATCATTAGATGATTTTTTCTTCTTCATTTTCCCATTCATACTTACATATCATCATATCTATCTATCATCTTTGTATACTCCTGGCGACGCGTTTGCCCAGGTGCTCCACCGTGTTGGAATCACCGCCGCCGATGCCGTCAAATTACCTGAACCACAGCGCAGCACAAGATTTGCAGAAGATCAGAGTCTTGATCGGGCCGCCGCTTAAGCGGCCATTAAAGCACCCCGGTATCGACGAGTCGTTTCCCAATCTCCCATCTCCTGCCGCGGCGGCGCCGGCGAGTATCATCGGTGCAGCAGATGAGGACCACACTGGGAGGCCCCTCATTGACAGCGGAGTCCAATCCACCCATCCTCTAAACGACCTCGTCATATACTGCACCAGCGATTTCGTCACCGTCTGCAAGGAAGTCTACGTCCGAACCCGTCGAGTGCGGTTGCTCGGGCTCGAGGTGCTCTACCCATATAATTAAATGAAATTCTCCCGAAGAAATCGATCCAATCGATTGATTTCTGCATCCACAATCAACATAGTTCTGGATCTCTGCAGGGCTCCGGCAAGACGGCCTTGTTCAATTCGATTGTGGGCGAAGGCCGCCCGGAGGAGGGTCTTCCGTCTTCCCCGAGTGGCGTTCATCCGCAGGAAGCAATAGCTGGTGGCTTGTGCTACCTTGATTCAGCGGGGATCAATTTGCAGGCAAAATTTCATTATCATCGTCATCATCATCATCTCCACCTTGGAGTATTAGAATTTCCGATCCTGGGTGGCTGTGCAGGATTTACAGTCGGAGGCGGAGCGGTTCAGGGAGGAGTTGCAGGCGGGGGAGGGGGATCTGAGGAGGAGGAGGACGGACTTAGTGGTGCTGGTGCACAACCTGGCGCACAAGATCCCAAGGGACCGCCGGCCTGGCAGCGGCAACATGGCGGAGCGACGGCCAGCGCTGGCGGCGTTCCTGGAGGAGGCGGAGGCCAGAGGAGTCCCCTGGGTGCTCGCCATAACCAACAAATTCGCCGTCAGCGCTCATCAGCAGGGGCTGCTCGTCGGCGCCGCCATGGAGGCCTACCGCGCCTGCCCCGACCAGACAGAGATCACCAATTCCTCTCCCTACATCGTCCCCAGCACTGGCCGTGCCGCCGTGGGGAACACGGCAGGGGAGGACGGCCCCGCCCAGAGGCTCGCCTTCGTGCGGATGCCATTCCAGAAGAAGAAGGCGGTCATGCCCATCGAGGGTGTGCCGGCGCTGCGCAGGCTCGTCCACCGCGTGCTCCTCAGCCGTGAGGAGGCGGCCCTTGAGGTGAGAATAAAAGACGACCCACCACCACCACCACCACCACCGCCGCCGCCGCCGCCACCACCGCCGCCACCACCGCCGCCACCACTACCAGTTTTTGGTTTTTCTCTGTTTTTATGAAGGGCTGAGAGCGGTGGCGGTGCCGCTGCCTGTTGATTGCATGGGAGACCCGCCACCACCAGCGCCACCACCACCAATTCCCAGTTTTTTCCTTTTTCTGCTTGCATGAAGGATTGAGAGCGGTGGCGGTGCCGCCGGTTGTTGGTTGCAGGAGCTGGTAATGGAGAGGTTGGCGGCGGAGCTGGCGTGGCAGAAGGCCTCCGGCGGTGGGGAGGCCGGCGGGGAGCTGCAGGAGAGCAGCAGCGGCGGTGCGCTGACCGCTGCCGCCGTGGGGGCCTCCCTTGGTGCGGGGCTGGGGATCGTCATGGCCATCGTCATGGGCGCTGGATCGGCCTTGAGGAAGCCTTGAATATGGAACAAGTATTGGCTTCCTTCTTGCTTCCTGCTGCTGGTGATGTTGATGGCGATGGTGATGGTGGGGAAGAAGAAACGAATGCATGCATGTATGCTTGGAGCTAACCTCCTTGTATAGCGAGTGAGTGAGTGAGAGAGAGAGGGCTGCTGACTGCTTCCCTCGGATTACTTCTCTCTCATTTGACTTTCAAAGGCGTGCTCGTGGAGGAATAATAGCGTGCTAAATTTGGAATGGAATGGGATGGAATCTCTCTCTCTCTCTCTCATGGCGGCGATGCCACCAGGACATTGTGGATGAGAACCGGTTGGTCAACCATGAGGTAAAGCAGCACTACAGTTACAAAGCATCGGATTTCATTCTGGGCAAAAGAGGGTATGATCGTCTTATTGGATATCTGGAGAACATCTGAATCACAAATAAAGAAGAAAAAGAAAAAGAAAAAAAAACTAGCAAGAGAAAGAAGAGAGAGATAGAGCTTGGTGGGCTAGCAGCAGGAAGATCTGGTCGAAGCTCGGTTGACTTGGGTGTCGGTGCCGCTGCTGCCGTCATCGGTGAGGCTGACCCGGTTGAGGGTCAACTCGGCCTTGTAAGAATCAGAATTCAAGACCTTCCTGCTGACGTTGTTGTAGATCTCCCTGATGACAATCTCGAAGGCCGTCTTGACGTTCGTGGAGTCGAAGGCGGAGGTCTCCATGAAGAAGAGCCCTTCTCTCTCCGCCAGGCTCTTCCCTTCTTCCACCGATATGTCCCTGATGTTCTCCAGATCGCACTTGTTCCCCACCAGCATCCTCGCCACTGTCGTGTCCGAATGAGCTACAATTCGGTCAAAATGTTCAACACACAAAGGTCAACGAGGTATACACATCCATAGGATGAAAAGATAAAATTGGATAGGTTAGTGGGGTCAACACACAAAAGGTCAACGAGGTATTACACATCCATAGGATGAAAAGATGCAAGTGGATGGGTTAGTGGGGTCAACAGGCAAAAGGTCAACGAGGTATGCACATTCATATGATGAAGAAAATAATTTTTCCACAGAATAAAAAAAACCAAGCTCTCTGGGGAAAGTTTTATTATGGCGACGTATTTTGTTCCTCTCATAGAAAATTTAAAAAAAAAAGAAAAGAAAGCGTTATGGCTCTTGATTTTTGAGAAGAACGTGTCAAGAAGAGGAAAAATGTTTGACTTGTTAAACACCTTCTGCTACAGTTCTGGAAAAAAAACGTTGTAAAGAAAAGCAGAGGTGGAATATTCAAGTTATATATATGGCAACCAAAATATTGTCAACGTATATTTTGACCCGGGAGGAACTAATTGCCTTCCATGTGTGCATTAATATTGTATGATGGTAAATAAAGGCCTTAGCAGCTTTAAAAAAAAATGCTATAAGCAAACAAACAAGGATTTCCTGGCTGCTTGTGACGATCTGAACTCTCTTGAGAGACAGACCCCTGGAGTTCTTTGGTTGGCTTAACTAGATGTAATATATCTTTCTGCTGCCATTCACGATTTCAATGGCTAATAACTTCTTCTTCTTTTTTTTATGGATTCAGTGGACTAGATCTATTTAGCGAACTGGAGAAGTGACTTTGCATGTTTCCTCACTGATAGAAGATCTTCATGGCAGTTTTCTCGTTTCTGAGGAACTTACGTCCACACTAGAATTAGTTCCAATAAGAAGAGACCTGTTTCAGTTGAGTTCGATTTGATGATGAGATGCTCTTCTTGATTTTTAACTAGATATTTACCAGTTCTCGATTCAATGTTTTAACCAACTGTGAGCAGGATTACCTTCAAAAATATAACATTATCTTCATTCAATTTAAATTTCGACTAAAGTGAAATCTCCCAATCTAGAACATTAAGAATGTGAAAATGGATGACACCTGCAGGCAATTTACGAACTGTGACTAGCGTGCAATATGATCACAAATACTTAGAATCTCTCCATAACATATAACGAAACTAGAAATGCTGACATCAGAAAACATTGATAAAGAAAACTAGGTAGATGAATTCTTGATCAGTCATAAACGCTTAACATTGGCCACGGGATCATACGACCCCTTCTAGGTTAGATGAATATTAAATTAATAACCACCACCAACATTTCTCTCTTTGTAAGGCATTGTATCCTCCCTGACTGCTTTCTTGTAAACCAGCACTAGCCATAGGAAAGGTTTGTTGCAAACACATGCATGAAGGCAATCCAATCAGACTCGTCTAGTTTATTTGTTTGGGGCATATAAAGTTTCCGAGCATGTAAATCTATGCTTCGAACTCCACATGCCCCACTATCTTCTTCATTTTCCTCATCGAATTAGAAACAGGATCTCATTCAACCAAGCTGCTTGCTCTCCCAGAGAATGTGCCTCTTGAGGATAATACTTAAACGGGAACCATGAAGAATCAATGGGAATGCTGAAGAAGAGGAATAACATCATTGCAGCACCAGTGCTTGCCATTGCATAGGAGGAGAGAAGATTATTCCTTGAACCAGATCCTTAATGTTTTGTTTCAATACGTAATCTTTTCTGATCGCCTGGTCCAAGAATGGATATATTCATCTACTACAAGAGCCCATTAACATTCTATCCAATGAGTTTTAAAGGATCAAACGAACTTTCCCCAGAGTATTTTTGCATGGTTCGCCGATCAAAACATAAGTTTTTGTTGGATCGTGCAATTCCTCAGCCACCGAATTTTCATTAAGCGACATCCTCACTTTCCACAGGATTCACGAGGATAAGTAAGAAGCAATCAGGAGAAACATCGCAGGCTATTTCTCGACCACCGTCTCCTTATTGTTTATTCAGGGAAACTCAGATTAAAATTCAAGAAAGGCCTACAAGAAAATAGAATTGAAGACGTGGTATTGACAAGCCCACCAGTAAAATATGAAGGAGATTCAGAAAAATCAGGATAAAATACCCCATCCAACCAAAAAAAAAAAGTCACCATCTACGTACAATGTACAACGGCAGGTGTACGTTTTACGCTGAAGATAAAAGATCGATCGGCAAGAGTTGTCAAAACTGCAGCAATGTCTTCGCACAAGCAGGCAACCAGCGACGGCCATCGAAGTAAGAGGTAGAGCGCGCAGTGAGGGAAGGGAACGGAAGGGAAGGGAAGGCGAGGCCACTCACTCCTGAGTTCCTGGAGCCATCGCTCGACACTGTCGAAGGTGGTGCGGCGGGAGATGTCGTAGACGATGAGAGCGCCGAAGGCCCCGCGGTAGTAGGCGGAGGTGACAGCGCGGAAGCGCTCCTGGCCGGCGGTGTCCCAGATCTGGGCCTTGACCTCCTTCCCGTCGATGTCCATGCACTGCGTCTGGAACTCCACCCCGATGGTGGCCTTGGAGTTGATGTTGAATTCGTTCCTCGCGTACCGCGACAGCAGATTTGACTTCCCCACCGCCGAGTCCCCGATGATCACCACCTTGAACAGGTACTCCTCCCCTTCCTCCTCCTCCATCGCCGCCGATGCCCCTCCTCAACCCCCTCCTCTCTCTCTCTCTCTCTCTCCCCCCCCCAAAGGCCACCTCGATTTTTCTCAGAGAGACCATCAGTCCATGCCGGCTTTTAAACACCCCGCTGGTCAGTGTCCAGCTCCTATGATAGGAACAAGCCCCCCCCCCCCACTCCACCGCCCTCTTTATACACGTACCCCCACCCCTACCATATTTGTGGAAACATCCCTCCTCCCCACGTTCAAAGCGTATCGAGACTCATCCATTAATACCCTAGTCAAACGTTTATTTGTGTAAAAGTGCAGCTACTAAAACTATAGCCCACTTTTTCATACACGGCAGAAGATATTTATGGAAAAATCCTTCTTCCCCACTTTCAATGCGGATCGGGGGTCGTCCGGTGACATCCTATAAAAAATTTATTTGTGTACAAATCCCCACCCTGCAGCCACTAAAAGGTAAAAGCCCACTCTTTCATACACGTACCTCCCCCGGAGGATATTTGCGGAAATATCCCTCTTCCTCACTGTCAATGAGAATCGACAGCCTGTCCCAAAAAAACCTTATTTGTGTATGAGTCCCCACCGTCGAGCTAATCAGCATCTAGTTCGTGTAATGGATAACGCTCTCTTTTATGTCCAAACCCCCCTCTACATCCTTCCACTTTCACACCCTCTTAAGAATTATATTTGCGTAGGAGTCCTCACCGTCAAGCGGAGGGCACGACCACACGCAGACAGTGACAGCGGGGCCGACCTCGAAAGCACCACTTGAACGGTTACCCGACATAAATACAGGTTTTAAATACCGATTTAAACCCCTTACCCATGATAATTAAAAACCCCCCCTAACAAAGTAAAAGTACCTTTTCTTCCATAAACTTTTCTCTATTAAACTAGCACGCTGGCGGCCGGCAGAGCTGGCAGCGATCACGGCGCCTTCGAGGGTACGTGGCGGGACTTGGGGCACGTGGAGTTGCCACGTGAGTTGCCGATGTGGAGGTAGGGCTGACGTGGAGTCGGCCTTCTCCCTTACGGGGTCGTCGTCTTCCCGGAGGTCCTGGGGAAGGGGATCACGTCTGAAGCATCCTCGACGCCGGTGACGAGCATGGCCATCCCCTCGAACGCAACGCCGAAGCCCGAGTGGCGGACGGTCCCGTGCTGGCGGAGCTCCAGGTACCACCCGTACTGCTCCCGAGCCAGCCCCATCGCCTCCATCCTGCATAGATCGCGAGAGAGAGAGAGAGGAGATCAGAAATCAATTGGCCGTGACGATCTCCGATCCTGAGGTTATGAGCCTTCTCCAGATCCAGATCTGATTTCCTGATATTCAGATTCAACCGATCTCTCTCTCTCTGCCTGTCTTCTTCCTGATGATATGATGATCCATGGAGGAATCGCCCCACTTACCTCTTGTTGAGGACGTCGAGGCGCTCTTCCTTCTGGCATCCTCTGACCAGCACCCCGACCTGAGGACGAAATCAGAGAGAAGAGAACACCAACTGAGGTCTGGTCATCGCCATTAATGGAGTTGTCGGAGTTCTTCCGAGCTCTCTCTCTCTCTCTCTCTCACTTACCTTGGGCATTATGATGTCGAAGGAGGAGACCGTCCTGCCGTCATCTCTCAGGCGGGCGTAAAATGGTCGCAGCTCCTTGGGATGATTGTAGAGTATGACCGGGCACTTGTACATCTCCTCAACCAGATAGCTGCCAGCATCCACGAGGAAACGCTCAGTCAACCCCCCATCATCATCATTCTGTGAGACTACAGCTGGAGGTCAACGCACCTTTCCTGCTCGCGGGACAAGTCAGCGCCCCACTGGATTTCGGTTTCGAACCGGGTCTCCTCCTGCTCGTTGTTTGACATTGAGAGCCAGGTCAACCCGCGGCGGCGTGGCGGTCGAAACAAGAAGTCAGCGCCATAGATATGATCAGGGAAAGGAGACTTTTTCTTTCCTACCTTCTTCAGCGCCTCCACGGCGTCTGTGTAGGTTATCCTCTGAAAAGGAGTGGAAGCTGCCAGCTGAAGTTGATCTGCGCATCCCTTGTCTATCTCTTTCGTGACGAAGTTCATCTCATCTAGACAGCTCTCCAAGACGGACTGGCACAGAAATTTCAAGTAGTCTTCGGCACAGTCCATCGCATTCTGCCAGATGAAAAAAATATGAAGAGTTTTTGATCATGGGCCCCCCCAAAAATAAATAAATAAATAAATATTATATATATATATATAATCTTGCAGAAAAGACCATATAGAATGCATCACTATAAAGTACATCAGCATGCTCCCACTTTGACTGACCAAGAATGGTTGACTTATGATATTTCTCAAAAGCTCATGAAGCAGGAGAATCACAAGGAGAGCCTGCCGATTCTTACTGATTCGTTGACTTCTGGTGATTCTTACCGATTGTGAGTGAGTGTCCTTTCCGCTATATTTTCAGGCGTGGACAAGTCTGACAATGGGCCGTTGACTAAATGATGCATGATGAGCAGATATTCATAGGCTCGAGACCGGAAAATAAAGTCAATCACATACCTCGAGCTCTGAAAAGGCCAGCTCGACCTCAACCATCCACATCTCGGCCAGAAAAGTCGTAGATTTCGGCGCTTTCGCTTGAAATACTGGCCCAAACGTGTAGACATTACAGAGGGCGCATGCATAGCTCTCGAGATGAAGGGCGGCGGACGTTGACAAGTATGCCGGCTGAGAAAAGAAATCCTTGGAGAAGTCAACCCTTCCACCAGAAGCTGACTTCTGCTGGGTTTCCAGCTGACGAGCAAGCTCATTCGCCCTCTCAAGATCTTGAAGAGCGGAATTCAGAACTTCCACGTTGCTGTTGCTCCTCTTAAGTTCTTCGATCCTCCTCGTCTTCTCATGGATCGCAGACCTCACCACATCGAGGTTGACCGCCGATTCCTCACCTGCTCGGCGCATATCTCTGCACATGTTTGAGCCGCCATCGAAAAGTGTTGTAGCCTGGAACCTCTCAAGACTGTTGGGGCAAGAAGAGGTGATGACGGGCATCTGCACGTTAAAAAAGCCATTTTTCTGGAAGAAGGTGCTGGTTGCAGAAGACAGACTATTGCGAATGCGGGTAATCAATGCAACCTACAAGAACAAAATAATAATAATTATTAAAATAATATATATATGTATATGAATAACAGGATAATGGGCTGGCAGCAGACTCTCCGTTGACCTCACACTGCGAAGAAAGCAAGAGGGTAGAACATGGTCTATGTTTATGGCTAGTACCGTCGTTGTTCTAGCACGAAAATGTGGGTATCGCCTAGAAGATTCCGGGGACAGCCTCTGCCTTCCGAAGGGATACTTATCGGGATCGGAGACCCCGAGATGAAGAACTTTCTCTGCTACGAGCTCTATGACACCTTTTCCCGGCGTCGACAGCCTCAGGACGCCTTCAACCAGAATGGAAGCCCCGACGGTGAGTTGACCAGCATCAGGCAATCCGGGGTCAACCAGAACCTGAAAAATGTCAACGTCCTTCAGAAGTTGAACAGAGAGAGAGAGAGAGAGAGCTCCATGGGACCTCTCATTCGAGGGTGTTGTGCCTTCGAATCCCTTCAGACAAGCAGAAGGAAAAGAAAAAATCCGAATACACAGGCTGTTCCATGGAACGAATCCATTGAATGTCCGAGGAAGAGGAGGGGGAGGAGGAAAATCGTGCTCTATCAGGCGAACCTGGAGATTTCGAATGCAGGAACCGTCGTTGATCTTCAGGCGAGTGACGGCATGGATCGATGCCCGGCGATCCCCTGAATGCCGCTTCCCATGGCCGGCGGCTCCCGGCACCAACAGCCTCGCCAATGGGCGGAGGAAGGGGAACCGATTCACGATCACTTCGGTGCACGTCACGTCCGTTTCGACCGCGTACGCGAGAGGGAATCCTAGAGGCGGCTGTGGATTCCTCGTGAAGCTATCCCTGGACATCCTGATCCATCCCCCCACCACAACCCTCTCTCCCTCCAAAGCTCGCCACCCATCGCTGTGTCGCAGGATTGTGCTGAGGGCCACCCGCTTCGAGTACTTGCACCAAACCACCTCCCGCTTCGCTTGCTCCCCCCTCCGAACCTGCTCGTCGCCGCCCGCACCCTCCCCTGCCTGCGCCATACTCCCCTCCTCTTCCGAACACGGATGCAGCAGATCTGACGACCAGGAGCCCTTTCCGATCTAACTCACAATTGAATCCAAAATTTTTCATCAGAGGAGAGGTTTTAAGATGCGGCGGAGGAGGGACCAGATGGGAGAGTGTGGTCGGAGACTTACACAGAGGAAGAACAACAGCTTGTGCCTTCCTTGCGGGGGTCTGTAGTGGAGCGAGCAAGCCATCAGCCATCCTCCCTTCGGATCTGCAGAGCTTACCTAGAAGGAAGGCAACGAGAGACGCCGGCCAAGGAGGTGGCGGAGAAGAGGAGTAGGTAGCGCCGTCGGCGAAGAATCTGTCGCCGGCAAGCAAGAGTCGCCCCCCTTAGAGAGGAGAAGAATGTATTATCGGTTTCGGCGGGAACGCAAGACAACCAGAGCTCTATAAATTATCAAAAAAACTGTATATAAGATATTTATTATGTATATACCCTCTTTACATCCAATCACATGCTTCGCTGGCTCGAAAATCTTCTCCTTTGTTATCGTTCTTCGCTGAATGAGACAAAATTATATAAAGAACCCTGTAAAGTATATATATATTATTTTAGTAACTTTTCTGTACGTCATATGGTTGTGCATCAGTCCTTCAAGTCACGCCCCTCACTTCATAAGATTTTGACCAAATTTATGTTTATGCCCTTTGGATATTTGACCAATTTGTAAGATTTGACTTCATCTCATTTATCTTTATTCGTTCAATTAATGGTCAACTGGTGAGACACGATTTAGAGAAAAAGGCCAGTTTTTTCAAATCGCCTTTGACCAACAGCAGATTCTTAAAATAGCAGGTTTATGTTCGCTTGGAAGTGGATCAGTCATCGGCATCATAGGCGTTGACAAGCATAAGTCAAACTAGAGACTTTTTTGACTTGGATTGAGCTCGCGAAGGTGGTGGCAGGCCCAAGTCAATCTTTAGAGCTTTAGTTCTTGAATATCTTGACTTGGATCGACCTTTTCTGTCAATGACTTAGATTGACCACGAAATCTGAAAAAAAATGGTTTTTAAGATTTACACACATGAACTTTGGTCAGCGAGTCTCGTGGGGGGATAAGGTTATGGCGGTCCATGTTGACTTGAAGCCTGCGTCAGTTGGGGCCCCAAGAAAGGTGGAATTTTTGCGGCTCAAGATGAGAAAAAACGGGGCAGATGGAGGCGAAAAACGCGTCAGCCCATTAAATCTGAAGCAAATTTTCGGCATACCCATGAATTTTTGTCGAGGTTATCGACCTCCGTGAATTAAATTTCCGAGGAGGCAAATGCTGGCCGGGCCTTCCACCGGTGTGAGCAATCATGGCTGAGGTCTCCCCTCCTCCCACCTCTCTGGATTGGATAAGAAGAGCTCCGCTGACCGCACGGGGAAGAGCTCCCCTCCCCCCTCTTTCCTTCCCAGAGCAGAGCAGGCACAGAGAGAGAGAGAGAGCCTTCTGTGGGTGTCGAGCTGACACTTGGACCTTCCAAGAACTCCGAAAATCCCCTCACCCAGCTTCATCCTTCCTTCCAGACCGGGGCTACAGACTGGGTGTGGTCCCTCCTCTTCATCTCCTCTTCCAACTTCTTCAGAAGCCGCCGGACTCTTCTTCTGCCCGGATAGCCTCCGATGCTCGCTGCGGCTAGCTCGATGAGCCGTTTCGTCCCCTCTTCCCAGATTTTCGGGGTCGATGGGGTCTCCAGGCCCTTCGTCTCTACGGCCGCCATGAACCCATCTCCTCGATGCTGGAGTCTCCGGAGGAGGCCACTCTCTTCTACCTTCAGAGCTCCCTCGTCTGCGACTCCCCCTGGAATTGTGTCATCGGCCAGCGGCGTCGAGGAAGATGAGGCTGTCAGGGAGGATCCCAAGTCCAGCGATGAAACCCGCCAGCTTCGGGTACAGTCTTTCCCAGCATTCTTGGGCCATCCGTAGAGATTCTTTCCAATTCCAGGCTCCGGGTTTTGTCGAGCGATGTCTTCCATCCCTCCTGCTCTGGGGGGCAGTGTTTTCCAGACAAATTTCATCAACAATGCTTTCAGTGCTCTCTGAGAAGAAGATGGCTGGAAGCTGTGCACAGAAGCCACTATATAATGCGTTCTAAATTACTAGCGGTTAATTGGTAGGGTCTGGGGACTTGTTCAGATTATAAAGAAGAGCGATTTCAGCCTAAGATTATACCCTTAGTGCATGAAACATCTGGGATAAATCCTTTTGATCATGAGTGCCGATGGTCCAGTAAACTTGTTCCTTCACAGTGTAGATGATTACTCAAGCATGCAATACACTTTTATTACGAATTTATAGACGTATAAATCGTGAAGAGGTGATCCACAGCTGTTTGCATTTCTTTTCCATTTGTCGAGCACTGCAGAGTTTAGAGACCTGTTCTCTTTGAGGATGGTATATTTTGCATATCTTTAAGCGTTCTTGCTAACTGTGATGCACATAAAATCTGGAAGACATAGAACAATGCATACTCAAAATGTGTTATTTATATATAGCTACGAAAGATGTCATGTCTTGAGAATTTTATATCTCACAATTTCGTCTTCTATGAGATTTCGGTGCATTATCTTGGGTTCTACTTCCACGCTGTGACTTTCTCTTGCTCAAATTTTTAAAAAAACTGATGTACATGTACATTTAACAAAGATGCAGTTACATCTTTGTGTCACGCAGTACATCTTGATGCCTGATCGTTCACATTATATTAGCTACATGATGGAGCTCTGATGCTTCTCCTTCTTTGGTTATCACTCTGATACTTGATTTTTGTGAAGAAGTAGAGATCTGCTGACTGGAAGGCTGCAAGGGCGTATAAAGAGAGTGGTGTCATTTATGATGGAAGGGTTGAAGGGTCCAACGCTGGGGGATTGCTTATTCGTTTCTATTCTCTCGTTGGTTTCCTTCCATACCCTCTGATGAGCCCTTCCCCCTCGTGCAAAGGTACCCATTATTTAATTCCCGTACCATTCATTATTGGGAATGCCATTCATCTTATTACCTGGCATCATGCGAAACAGTGCTACCTAATTCATGTACTTAATGAGATTCCCTGCTTCTACGGATGTGACAGTCTTTTTTTTTTTTAATAAATATCATTTGAAAGTTGTTGAGGCGTCCTGGATTTCCAACTATCGCTTTGAAGAGGTTTCCGTGTTATGATGGATATGCGAGTTATGGACTAACCACCAAGATTAATTTAAGAGGGAGATAAATTCTTTCAACCATATATGCTCATTGAAGGCATTTTGAATATGGGATGACTTGAAAACAATTAGAGGGCTTTCTATGGATTAATAGACCCTTTATACTTGCTTAAAAGAGATAATTCCATCTCAGTAGAACGCCTCATCCTCTCTATAAGATGAGTCCTTGCATGTCCAACTTCTAAAACTGGGTGCTGGATCAGGTTTGTTGCAGGGTATTCCTCTTTTTCTTCATCTCTATGAAACCCAGTGAGTTAATGGGGCGTGAAGAAGGGCATTCGAATCAGGGTTTTCTCAGAAGGCTACAATGATGCGTCACTTATTGCCCATATAACTTGAAAAGTAGTAGTTTACAATGCATAATTTGTGGACGTGATTCAGAACCAACTTGCTAAATATTGACAGCTTTCACTCTTAATAGCTTTCATCTCTGCTGTCGTTCAACTTTAAGTTATTTTTACATACCTCTTATTATCTATTATTAATTCTTTTGTCGAAACTCATTGTTCCTTTCATATATATCACCAACATATATACCGTCATAATTCTTTTATGAAAATGTCATTCATACTGCTATCCTACATCTAGATTATCCTTCTCTTTCTTTTGGTTGACATTGATGAGGAGATAGGGGCGAAACTAGTGCATTATTATAATTCAAAGTAAATTGGGCTAGCATATAGATACCTGGTATCTACTGCATCTTTACTCCCTTTTTTTATGGCATCTAATGTTCTATTTTCCTTAATTTCCTAGTTATGAAAATTTCTGATGAATTTGCAGTAACTTATTTTTTGATGTGTCCCGGTAGGAGTAATTTTGATTCTGAGTTGCTGTTGCGTCAATCATTTAATAATGTTATATTTGAATCATTATTTCTCGTGCAGAGCCTCAAAAGCCCATCCAGGACATTGCAAAAGGTTTAGTTGGTTCATACTTGTCAGTGAAGGTACTTTATCGATTCATTCATCCTTACCTTCAGCCAAAAAAAAATCTTTCCCCAGTAGTAAATTTAATTTCTAATATAGTTTATCTAACAAGTACTTTTTTTCTGCAAGTTCTGTGCTTAAGTCGATTACTCTACCCACATAGGTGCTCTGTGTTTTTAAGCTGGAAAGATTCTAGCTGCAGTAAAATATTTGAAGGATACTCTCCTGCTTTGAGAGCAAATTGGCTGAGCAACGAAATAGCCAAAGTTGGATTGTTACCAACAACCTGTAGGACAAGGTGAATAGAAGAAGTTTGGGGGGAAACTAAAACTAAATTACCCCAAATATTTTTCGAGAGGAATGGGTAGCCAAAAGTGAGGAGAGATTTTCTCATGTTCTGATTCAAGTGTGAAGTAACGCCTTAAATCATTGAATATTATCCCAAGCACGGTTTGATTAATCATTGCTTGATTTTGTCGTGCTGTCCTAAGTAAAGTTATTTTTTTAACAACCTTTCATGTTTCAATGGCTGAAATCATGATGTGGGCTTTTGTTGGTGTAGGTAATTCAAGCAAATGAGGAGGAAAAAAAGCTAATTTTCTCAGAAAAGGATGCTATGTGGTTGAAATATTCTGGTCAAGTTAATGTAGGGGATATTTTTGACGCGAGAGTGGGTTCTGTGGAGGACTATGGCGCATTTATTCACCTACGTTTTCCTGATGGTACTTTTAGTTTATAATATTGTCGTTTATATTTAATTTCTGGGTTCATTTATTCGGAAGGCATGGATAAGGAATTGGACTAATTTGTAGATATTCTGTAGGTTGTTACCATCTAACTGGACTTGTACATGTTTCGGAGGTCTCTTGGGACTTGGTTCAAGATGTTAGAGACTTTCTGACTGAGGGCGAGGAAATCAAGGTCAAAATTATTCAAATAGATCGGTTAGTCTGTTCACCTCGAGTTTTTTATTATTTTAATTTCATTTTATAAATATTTTTATTTTTATACATTTCTTGCGTATGTAAGAGTGACTAGGGACAATTGGTAGTTTCGATATTGTGGTGTTTCTTTAATGAAATAAATAAATCTCATGAGCAGACATCATGCTGATAAGCATTAATGCTTTCGGTTGTTGATACAACTGGTACTGATGGGTGCTCTGTGAATAACGACATGAGAAACTTACCCCCATGATTCATGGAGGTCGGGCTTTATATGGAAACTTATCAGGTCAATGGCCACCAGAACAGTAGACTATGAAAGTACTTAAGGAGTGCGGATGACAAGGAGAATAAGAGAAAACTGAGAAGAACTGGGATAGAGAGGATAGCAGATTGTTTTACGTGTGCAGATTCATTGATCTAGAGCTTACCCTCCGAGAAGAATATATTTTTTTATTATGCATGCATCAATTTCATTAAAATGGTGACTCATGGATTTTGTTTTTATTTGTTACATAAATAGAGAAAAGACGAGGATTACTCTGTCAATCAAGCAACTGGAGGATGATCCTCTTCTGGAGACTCTAGATAAAGTGATCTCTCAGGTGCGTGATGTGGAGCTTTTTTTTTTCTTTAATTGTTTTTTATTGCCTTGGTGTCATCCTCTATTCAGGCTTCTGTTATATAATAGAAGCCATCCTCTAAACTATCATATTACACAGGAAGACCAATTCAATGGCGATTCCCAAGTCATGCCCAACGGTGCAAGTGTTGAATCTCTCCCGGGGCTGGAGAGCATCTGTAAGGAGCTACTACAAGAAGAAGGGTATGATGCATCCTCTTTAGGTGTCTGGTTCTTTTCATTGTCTTCTGGGGAAAGCCAGGATCGAACAAGTCTCGTTGCTTGTTAAATTTTTAAGTATATTTCATAGGAAAGTTATTACCTACATAAAATAAGAACCAAAACGGGCTTTGCCATGGATATTGAGGTGTGCTATGTTTTTAATCATATCAGTTATTATGAAAAAAAAAATCATAACCACTAAGAATGATTGACCTTCTGCTTGAAGCTAGTTTATCACTTCTAGAGATTTTAAGAAACGGAAAAGCTACAGCCGACTTAAGTGGTCAATCGTTTTAGAAGTTGACCATTGCTATTCCTCATCAATGCTAGTAACCATGCTTTAAGTGGGGGCATCTGGTAAGTTTTGCTTCCTGTCCAGGATCTATTCCCCAGATGCTTTATAAGCAGTGCCTTTCACCATCATGAGACTCACATGCTGAGTTCTATAAAGGTCCAAAACATGTCTTTAAAGTTTCATCAGATATTTTCCTGATTTTTTTCATATTTAAAGCAATTAACTGTCTCTGACCAGCCACCCACGAAATGAGTCTTTCTACAATTTCCCTGAACGGCATGGATAGCTTGATATTTCATGATACATCTTACGTAATCAAAGAAATTGGTTATCTTGAATTCTTTTTTTCATTCTTTTACTCTGAGACAACCACATCACGAGGATAGTTAAATGGTTGAGTCAACGAGGGTGGGAAATGGTGTTGAAAAACCATTGAGTTCTGTTGACTACTCTGGTGCAGCTCACTTATCTTCTTCGTCTGAATCATACCCATTCTTCATTGAAGAAGCAGAGCCAATCATGCCTGGAGCTCTTATTTTCTCTAAACCCGTATTTTTGTGATTTTCTGTTGCAGCATATCTGACATAAGAATTGGACGTCAAGGCCTGGAGAAGCGTGTCGTCTCTCAAGACTTGCAGCTTTGGCTTTCAAACGTCAGATAAATATTTTTCTGCATGAATAATTCATCTTTTCTTCCATCTTGAAAAAAAGTTTTCTTCTTGACTCCTTCCGTCTTACTCCAGGTCCCCGCCAAGGATAACCAGTTCACTCTTCTTGCTCGATCTGGCAGACAGGTGAGCTTCTTCTTTGCTAAAGACGCACTGTAGTCAATACTTTTTCTTACGCTTTGCATCCTTTTTAGGGTTTGGGAGACTGAATACATGTGCTTGAATCGACACATCTCTGATGAACGCTACATATCTGCTGCCTTTATCCATGAACATATTGACGCCATTGACCAAAAAAAAAATCCGTCTTTGAGCGTGCCCAGTCTCGAAGTCGCTGATGAAACATCTCTGAAAGTAGCATATTTGTCACATTTCTGGAGTGAGGAGAAAATTAAGGAAACTTGTTGACCCGGCATTTGTGGCATTCCAGGTCCAAGAACTGCACCTGACGACGACCCTTGACCAGGAGGGCATCAAACGCGCTGTACAGAGAGTCTTGGGACGGGTTGAATGATGAAGCCAGATTAAAATGAGAGGCTCCCACTTTCCGTCATAGATTCTTATATCGTTCAAATCACCATCTCGTGACATTAATTAGTGTAAATTTGGGTGATCTGCTGGTGCGCCATTCCAACTCGACCACCGGACATAGAGACTGAAGAATATGCATCTGCCCACCTCTCTGTACATAAAGAGCCCGTGGGTTTCTTTTGTCACCTCCAGGCATTCCTGCGATCGTTGTTCTCAGCTGCTACCGCTGCTTATATTACAAACTCCGGCATGTTCTATGTTAATCACAGAGATTTGCTGTATCTGTGTGTGCCAATGATTTTTCGCAAAAATGTGACCTGTGGGGTGTGTGAGAGGATGCCCGTCTCCTTCAGGAGGTGGTTCATGGTCTTATTAAAGAGAAACCAATGTGTAGAAGCCAGGCGACAGAGAATTGAATTCATAAAACCGATTGTCAAGCAGTTTCTTCTTTTTCCAAGCACCAGATACATCCTGGTTTTCACTTACCCCGAGATCAGCCCTTATAAATACAAGGAATTCTTCGTGTTTGTTACAAAGTTCTTCCCAGATCAGCCCAGAAATCTGAACATTAGAACAGTTATGCACCTTTCTCGAGTAGGCTGAACAACTTCACCTGAATATAACGTGGTTTGTTGATTATGGTAATAGAAATTAGATGGTATACTGCCAACGAAGTGATATAAACTGAGTATGAATAGGGGCATCTGAATACATGAAAGTACTCGCTGATCTTTCTTCAATGTGATGTGTAAGAAAGCTTGAATTTTGGTTATCTAGTTTATCTGCACCCAATAAAAACTATGAAACTCTCTCTGTTATCACACCCGCCAATATGAGAACATTATAAGATGTATGAGGAAGGGCTTTGGTTTTCTGATCTTATGCTGACCACTGTCATTTCACAAATGTATTTTCTCATAGGATAACCCATCTAAGAGAACCCAATGACTGGATATTTCTACATTCTAGCCGCTTCTATTTATAGCTCATCTTTGTGAAAGTGTCTAGGACAACCTATTTACCATTATAGAGTCAACATCTCCTACGTGCCAAGTGCTTATAGTTATATTTTACTTACTAGATTTGGCAATGAATAAATAAATCGCTGTACGGATAAGATCTCTTTTGGATATAATTTATGTTGGCTGTCATAATTTTCAAAATTTGAACAATTCAACCTTATTTATTTTAATTATATAACTTTTTAATCATCCAATTTGTTGGGACGTAATGATTAGAGCTTGAGTGGTGCTTGAAACTTTATGCCTGGAGTTGGAAAAAAGCTGATGAATTAGATAATTTTCATCGTCTACTGCTATGAAATAATTTTGAGGGTAGTTCATCTTGACTAAGCTGGACTTCTTAGTTCTAGTTTAAATTGACTGGATCAAGGTTTGATCACAATCATTTTATTGTGATGTTGACGTTGAGTGAGAATAAGTGAGGCAAAATCGAAAGCTTATATGGAAGAGCTTATTGGTGAGTGTTCCAAATCACCTAGTGACATGGATGACATGGATAGCATTGTTGAAACTTAAACGTTCCCATAGGTTTGCATTTGCTGCATACAAGACTTAAATTAGAGATAGCCTGATTTCTTCTTTTTTTTAAAAAGATATTCTATTGGAGTCTGTAAAGAATTCTGTGTTCCACGATATTAGATTACTTAGGTCTTTATACTTTGGAGTAATATATAAACAAGAAATAAAGAAATAGAGATTAGAGATAGCCTATTTTCTTAAAAAAAAAATTGGATTCTACTGGAGTTTATAAAGAATTCTGTGTTCCACGATATTATATTACTTAGGTTTTTATACTTTGGAGTAATATAAAGGACATTTTCTTAGAGATAGCCTGTTTTCTTAGAAAAAATGACATTTTATTGAAGTCTACACAGAATTCTGTGTTCCATGATATTAGATTACTTAGGCTTTTATACTTTGGAGTAAAATATAAACAAGAAATAAAGAAAAAGAGATTAGATATAAGCTATTTTCTTAATTAAAAAAAAGACATTCCATTGGATTCGTAAAAATTCGGTGTTCCACGGTATTAGACTACTTAGGCTTTTATACTTTGGAATAATATATAAACAAGAAATAAAGAAATAGAGATTTGAGGCAAGGGGCAATACATTACGTAAATTAGCAAGGTATGCTTCAATGCATTCATTCAATTATGTACATGTTTAGAAATGTTTCATCCGGAGAAGGGCAATTACTCATTTTTAGAACCAGTATTCTTAAAACCAAAGGTCGAATTAGTCACTGAGCTGCCGAACTTCGGAAGCGACAATCTCTTGATGTGATTGCACCAGTCATTAGCTATGGGCTACGAAACTCCGTCAGCCTCTCGTCAGGTGTGGGTAAAGCTCTTTCGTTCTTGACCGAAAAGGTCAGTCTTTCACGAGACGGGTGAGCGTAGCGAGCAAGTTTCTCTCTTTTTATTGACAGAACTCGTGCTTTAAAATCTTAAGTTTAGCAGGAGCCGTCAGTAAGTCAATCGAAAAATGACGATAACTACTGCCCAGGAGCCACCCCATGTAGTTGGAATGGGAGTTGACCTACGAAACGCCGTGAAGGAAAGGGCAAAACGAGGTTGGAGAGAGCACTGGCTCCCCTTGGTTGGCACCTGGGCCGAGGGTGATGGGACTACTTTACGGAAAATAAATTGAAGGTTAGGAAGATGATAGTGTCCAGTGATGATTATTACTGAGATTTAGCTTGCTTCAGACTAATGAAATTCGTGTGAATATAAATCAACAATCAGGAATGTACCTATAGGAGGCCGAAATATTTTCAAATTGGAATTAGTGGAGGAAATATATGATTAGATATTAGATTCAAACTTTAGGTTGTTCAGTTGACTTCTGATCGTGGAGCTAGTTTTGTACCTAGCTTCAAAAGCGTGTTTGTTTTATTGGATTTCAAAAATGTAAAGAGACGTAAATTAAGTGTGGAAGTAAATTTGTGATTATTTAAAACTAATGATATAGTTGTGCGTCCTAAGTGAAGCATTGAAGAGGAATCCCTTGAAAGAAAACAACTGAAGAAAATGAAAATGCTAACATAAATAGAAAAATAGAAAGAAAGTCAAGATATGATGAACGACTATTCAATCCAATTATGAAGCTCCCATTTTCTTGTGTATGAGTTTCATGTGAATTTAATAGTCACCGCAACTGATCTACAATTTGTTTTCAGTACTTCAAGTCCTCAGTAGATAATAGAGGAACCCACTTGCTAGTTAAGGTTGTGAGCTATCCTAAACTCCAATCTTTACAGGAGTGAGAAGAAAAAGGGAGAAAAAGGGAGAAAAAGGAACTAAAATAGAATAGTTCTCGCTAAAGATGAAGTTTATAAATCTCTAAAAATATATTTTTTTATTATGTAATATATAACGTAATGAATTACCTAAGATTCTATCAAGAACTTTGCACAACTTTGTTGAATATGTAAAGGAAGATCACAATGGAAATATAAATATGTGTCTTCTAATATCTCAATGATGCTTTTAGTCAGGATAACAGTATACTCGTGCGGGCTCAATACATTTTATACCGTTTGGTCTTCCCTTTCAATGATAATTGTTAGTTTCTCAAAAACTGTAGAGAACAGCTGGGGTAATATTTAATATTAGTTCTTGATATTTCAATGAATTTCATTTATTCAAATACATAGACGTTGGACATTCTGTCAATGATCACAAATGGACTTACCGAAGTTGAAAGCAAGACCAGTTTCAAGATTTCATATGGGGAAATGATAGAAAAGTCTAGAAGCTTTAATAGTCAATAAAAAAAAATTACACCTTAGCATTCCAAAAAATACAATGCCCGGAATATCATACAACCAAAGTATCTTGTTACTTTGGTTGTAATCAGGCCAATACAATCCAAATAACTACCGGGGGTAACTGCAGATCCTCGCGAGAGATTCTTACGCGGAGTATGTCCTGAGACGCTACAGTTGCATGGCTTGTAGTGAAGACGTCTCTCTCTCTCTCTCTCTCTCCCCCCCCCCATCGGATGTGTCAATCGTCCAGGCTACACTTGGCGCGCAGAGCAGGGAAGGGCGGCGATACCGATGGAGCTTGCCGACAAGGGCGGACAAATGGGACGGAGGCTACGTCTCGGTATGGATTCAAAACGCGGCCGCCCCCCGTGTGGTCCGCACAGAAGAAAAATACTTCACACTTCGTCGGGGACCACACTCTTACCAACGCTGTCCACTGACGTTATTCTTCCGAAACCCTAATGGACAGCAGCAGGTTCCATGGTCTCTACGAGCGAGAATCGCCACGTACACACAAAGCAGCTTCTCACGACTCGAAAGGTTGCTTCAGGTTTTTTTACCCTGGAGCACCCCTGAGTGTCATGCTATTAACCTTGCCGGGGTTTGGGGAGGTGAAAATAGGTGTTCCTGTGTGTGTGTGTGTGTGTGTGTGTGTGAGAGAGAGAGAGAGAGAGAGAGAGGCGTGTTCATGAGATGGGGTTTCTCTACAACAAAGTACTTATTTCCGCAAGATTTCCATTTAACCTTACTACACGTCCCAATGTGAGGAATTCAGCTGGAAAGTGTTATTCCCAGAGAATGTTACTGCTAGGGTGAGTAGAAGCTGTCTATTTACCCTTGGATTTCTACCCCGAGCCTCGGCAGTTCTGATAAAAGACAACCTCTAATTCTCTCTCTCTCGCTCTGAAACTCGCTCATCGTTTTCCCCAGTTGCCGCGTCAGCGAGAGCGTGTCAAAGCAAATCACAGAAAGAGGGGAGAGAGAGAGAGAGAGAGACAGAGTACGTGCCCAGACAAGAACGACACAAAACTTCTTAGAAATCCTGCAGCTCATTACGTTATCCCACTCACACTGACTCCATTTCGCAGAGACTAGTTCGTACTCTACGATTGGTAACAGCGTTTAGAAGAAAAGAGTAGACGTTCGAGAGAACCATCTCGGAAAGGTTGACAAAATTATTCTCTCTTGTGGCAGACGCACCTGTAATGGTAAGCGCTGTTGATGGGATCATTTGCGTCAACGGGGACTTGCTCGGCGCTGCACCTGAATCTACAACCCCTGCACTCGTTGTAGCTACAAGTGGGAGCCGTCGACCCAATCATCAGCCTCCTGACGTTCTTTGACCTCCATGTCCAGACCTTCTCCCGGCTCAAACCCTAACGCGGACAATAGCAGGCGTCAAGGTCAGCTTCTGGTTTACGAACCACGAGGTTGATCGCCTGAACCATGGATTAGAGAGAGTGTTACCCCTGGTTGTGGTTCCTCCTGCTTGGGTTCGGGTAGGTTTGATTCCTTTTCCGTGAGAGGAAGACTTGAGGCTTCAACTCCATAAGCTGCAGGGTTTAAAGGTATAGAAGCATCAGAAACTAGTGGAAGAATGAGAAGATGAGAAGCTAAAACGATAACCTAAGCAGGAAAAAAAAACTAGCAAAAGTTTAAAAGAGAGGAAGAATGAAGACGTAAAACGATCAGTTAAAGATAAATGAAACAGAAGAAAGGAACAACAGAGAGATGACGAAGAGGAAAAAGAATTAGCCTAAAGTGGAGGAAACCAGAAGAAAACAGCATGAACGACAAGACGGGTAAGCAAGAAGATAACCTAGGCAGGAATGAACTAGAAGATTAAAATGAGAGAAAGATGATGAAGACTGTAGAGAGACAAACTTAATGAATGAGAACAGAACAAGAATCCATGCAAAGTGACCTGGTGTGAAGAAAGAAGACAAGATAATGCTGGAGAGAAGGAGCAAACGGAGGATGGTGGGCATGGCGACCATGGCAGCTCCCCTGCTAAGAAGCGACGGTAGAGAAGGCATAGAAGACGCCGTGACGGTAACATATACCTTCCTCCCTTTCTTCTCCCCTCGATCAAAATTTACCCTTTTCTTGTTACTGCCTCTTCTGGCTGCTTCCGCAGCGATGAGTGAAGTCTGAGGGCCTGCTAGAAAAGAACAAGATAAGAAATATGGAGAGAGGTAGCCTTGGGACTCTGAAATCTGAGTAAATGCTCCACCGGAGTTCTCCCGAGGTCCCCCGTCTACTCTTTTCTCATCGTCCCAACTAACCCAGCAGTGTATATAGGGCGAGACTGCCTACTGATGACTGAAGCGATACTCTCACGGGTTGGCCAGAGACATGGTACAAGGCAACAAGGCAACCAACATGTGACAAGAACCACACGTAATTCACGTCATCGCTATGCTAGTCAGGGCTTCAAGCGGGAGTTGCAGTAAATATTAGCCCTCAGAGAACTAACTCACTGTGGAGCCTCTCCCTTGAAGCCCATCTCAGATGCCCCAAGTTGGGGACATGGCTGATGTCCCCACACCTTCGGCCCTACTTGGTCGAAGCTGATACACGTTCTAGTTCGCCTTCGGATTTATTCAACGTCAACAGGAGTTTGGACTGCTCAGACACAGTGTTCTTCTTTGGCTACTTCATTGATTTGACTCAATAATTTACTACCAAGGAAATAGTCTCCCCATATAAAATTCCAACCTTTGGAGGGCCGACCATGTGAAAGAGATCTGGTTCTTCTATTACGTCCAGAGAGATTTTCATAGTTGCATGAAATATTACGTCCAACTAAAACACACTTGTGAGTGCTTCCCGACTTGCCTTTTATCAGTTCTTGGCATAAGAAGAAGTTCCCGGTTATGCCCAGTCAATGGCTGACTGTCAGATCTACTCTTATCCATTGATTTCCCTCTGGACATTTTAACGATCTATGGTATTTTGAAATGAATTGCCAGAACGAAACAGAGAATCAAAAACATTTGGGGTCATACTATATCTGCCCCTAGTATAATCTCTGTCTCTGTCTCTCTCTCTCTCTCTCTCTCTCTCTCTCGCTCACTGTGTTTCTACCTCTTCCCCAACAAAGAACTGGAGACCCACCAGGGACATCTCATAACCCGACTGCGCCGTCCCGTACACGTTTCAGGTTTCACAAAGGTGGCTCCGAATCTCCTCTGCAGCCCTCTGAATCGCCCCCCTCTCGCCAAAGTCCCAACCATCCTCGTCACGTCATAGTATTATCTCACCGCCGTAACTGTCTCTGCGCCGCTGCCTCCTCGCTACTCCATGTGGCACAAAGAGATCCTGCTCCTGCGGTCGATCGGCGGTCAGAACGGCGACAAGAACAGTGAAATCGGTGGCTCACTGTGGGGGCAGTATGACGGCGACTGTCTCCCTGCCATTAGCCACCGCTGACGCCATGCATAGACTGCATCCCCAAAAGTCTGTTTTTTTTTCTCGACCATCGGTGCGCTCTCTCTCTCTCTCTCTCTCTCTCTCTCTCTCTCTCTCTCTCTCTCTCTCTCTCTCTCTCTCTCTATCTATCTATCTATCTATTTTCTCCCTCTTTCTAGCCACAAACTGGTCAACGGACTCTCTCACTCTATCTATCTCTCTATTTTTCTCCCTGTTTCTCGCTACAAATTCTCACTCTATCTATTTTTCTCTCTCTATCTATATATCTAAAAATTCGTCAATGGACTCACTCTCAAGTCCTCATCATCGTCACAATTAAAACAATGGCTTGAAGCCTGCACAGGCCCGTCGCAAGTCCCTCCGCTCGAACGGACAGTTTGCGGTGCTCTCTCTCTCTCTCTCTCTCTCTCCCGCTCGCTTTCTCTATCTCTATCAATTTATCTATCATTCTCCCTTCTATGCTGCAGACAGACATGAACAAACTAGTCAACGAACTTGGTCTCCAATCCCTCCTCGTCGTCATAATAAAGGCAGTAGCTTGAAGCCTCCGCAGGCACATGGTAATGAACGCAGAGAAATCCCTCCTCTGCTCGAACGGACGAGATTCTCACAGATTAACCCACTAACTTTTTCTGTACAACCTTCTCAAGCAGGAGGAGATCATCTCCACGCTACATAACAATTTCTTCACAGATTTTCTATCCGCCACAGAACGGCAGGCAGTATTGCTTCATTCGGTGCCCACTCACATCTGCTTCAATTGATGTCCTACTGTTGATCTTCTAACCCTCTGGAAATCCTCACTCGAACTCGTTCCCCATTGAAGTGGAGGTACCCAAACTTCCTCCCATACTTCTGGAACAGCCGCCTCCGGTTGTCCTCCTGCCCGAGGCTCTGCAACGCCCTCCCCACCCTCGTCACAGTATCTTCGTCTGGTTTCACGCCCAGCTCCTCCATGTCCGCAAAAACCTGCCATTCAGTCGCCAAATTAGGCAAGTTCCAGACCCTTACTATTAATGGAAGAAGAGAGGTGAACTCCTTGAGGAGTGGCATCATCGTTGAGGTGAGTAGAGTACCTCTAAGATCTTGGCCGGCATGCGGTGGTGATCGTATACGGCGATCATTCGGGAAAACAGCCGCCTGGAGATGGAGCGAGTGTGGGTCTCCAACACTGCGTGCCAGATGGTCTCGGCCTCATCCACTCGCCCCTCCATGTCCAAGGCCAGTAGAAGGACATCGTACGTTCCCATTGTCATGGCCTGGCCTTTGCTCAGCAGCCACTTTGATACCTAGAAGGCCATTACCAGGTTTAGTATGGATACGAATCTAAAACTATTTTGAAATCATACTCAAACAGAGAATTGTAGTCGGCTACGAGAAAATTTACATCTTTTTACAGGAGAAATTATCTATAAATACGTATATGGATTAGAATCCCGCCAGTGTCAGATTTGGGTCGCTTCGACTGACGGCAGTGGGCTCAACTTTCTCTTCCGGTTTTAAGACAAACTTTCGGTCCATATTTTTAAGGTAGAGCTTGAAGGGATGCTCCATCATCTTCACTGCTGCTCAAAGGGACGATTGAACTGCTACCATCAATTTGTAAGGCAGATCCGAGGAATTGAAGGGAGAAAAATTCTGCAGTACTAAAAGCTGCAGAGATATTCTGCAGGGAAGACTCGCCAATCTGCACCCAACTAGCCTAAGTAGAACCCAAGCCAAGGAGGACACAGAAACATTGTTCACCGTGATGCCTTAGCAAATACCTTTGATAAGCTTTGGACATAGTTTTTTACCTTTCTAGATGAGACGTATTTTGTCTCATCACCTTCTTAAATGTTTTGTCTGATCCTGGGAAGAGTAGGGATCGATGGAAAAATAAAAATAAATTGGAAAGCATCGGTGAAACAAAACTATGAAATCAATGTGAAAAGAGTAGGAGTAAATTCAGGAAAAATTGACAATGAAGAGACCACAGAGATTATTGGATGAACATTATGACACCACAAGGCATAAAATTAAAATGAAACGAATACAGGGGAAGCGAATACTATATGTTGTTGATCTCACCCACGAAACAAAAAAAGCAATTCGGTTACTGATCCATAGGAATAGATGAGCAAGACGGTCCTGCTGGTCTAGTCATTGAAAGAATAAATACGACAAATCATTACACTGAAAAAACTAAAATGCTGACCTTTTTTGATGAAAAAAATATGAATAATGATAATGTCATGGCTTCCTAAGGTCTTTGAGCTCTCAATGTTGACCAATGTATGTTACAACATAAGGTATTTTTTGAAATGAATAATATTACAGACCTCAATACTTAAAGGACTTCTGTCTCAAGTATCACCAGCATTTTTATCTGATCGATCCTATTCAGAGCGCCACACTCCAAAAACCATTCATAGAGCAAAATTTGATGCAAAAACGTCCTCCAGAAGAAAATAAGAAAAGACACACCGCTTTCTAACTCATAAACAGCTTAAAATTTTCATTCATTTATATTTGATTCTCGTCTATCTGGCCATAGATTTCAGCAACAGCAGCCCTGATAACATTTGAATTTGATGCATCATTGAATATTTCATTCAACAAAACAACTAACAATCTTATTTTTGCATACAAGAAAACTCCTGCAACATTAAATGAGTTACAGATTCGTTTAACATTGTGGATACTAGACTCTAAACAACAATTCCTGTGCTATATAACCGTGTAAGTAACAACAAGTTGGCAATAGCATTTGATGTGCTTCATAAGTTGGAAAGTAGCCACACATATTCATACATTTGCTTACCTGTATGATACGCAGCCATTGATTCCTCCTTCGTAAAATCCCCAATGCTTTTGCCACCGCAATCAAAGGAAATTCAACCTCAAAAGCTGTCCATTTGTCTAAAGCTTTATCAATTGCTTCTTTCTCATTTGGAAGTTGCGACACCTGCTTGAAAATTCGAGGGAAATAAAGTCCCGAAATTATGTGAACTTTGTGTGAAAAGGTCAACGACTGGATAATCTACCGAATAGAAAGGCCTCAAACACGCTACATGGGGAATAAGAGAGGGACAAATTAACAAAATATATTCAGTTACCCGAGAACCCAGTCTCATTCAACCCAGCCCCAAGTCCTAATATTCCCACTGTACAGTCTTACTTCTCTGCTTAGATAGGCTTCCTGACACTTGGTTCACAGTGGAAGATAGCCAAAAAGTCATATCAGCATTCTTTCGATTTTTGCCAAACTTCCATTTCTTTTCCCTGCGAATGTCTGCATGAAGCTTTTTTTCTTCTTCATCTAATGAGATTGAGCAGTGCCATTCTTCCTTTCCCTTTTCTGGCGGCAGTGGAGCAGCACAACTCACTACTGTGAACTATATAACATTCAAACCTTGAGAAAATATATCACCAGAGATTTAGTGTGCTCCAACTAAAACTTTGGCCAACAAAAGTATGCCACCAATAAGATATGGAGCAGTCATCTTCATGCTTATTACCATTAATGAGAACAGGGACTGAAATCAATCAAAAAATTTAGATTACTCCCTCTACATTGAGCATGAGACTGAACTACATACGGGCATATTCTATATCAAGGAGCCTCGATTCTGGATACCGTACTGAATGTATAATGGCTCCACGTAATTAAAGAATTACCAATGATCAAAGATTCATCTGAGACATCAAGTATAGCGTCAATAACCTATCCCTTTCATCGCATAGGAGATTATATCTATAGAATGTTGTGAATAGGGGATAACTGACCTTACTTTGGATAACACGAGCAAGGTATGACTAAAGCATATACTAGTAGGAGATCAATATTCTGAACAACCCCAAATCCAATTACTCCACAGCTACTCGTATAGCCGTGGTGAGCTAATGGTAAAACCGTCGATTCTGACCCCTTTAAATCCTTAGTGTTGAGCTTACCCATTTCAAGTTGATTCTAATCGGATACCAGTGTCAGTCGCCATTACATATGTTAAAAGGCATCTCCACATGGTTGTTAAATCTATCAGTATTTTCTCTCTATACGGACATGGAATGGGTTTCATCTTCAAAAAGTTGTCAACTTTGTTGCTTGCCCAGCAGTTCTATCTGATGACTTTGCACTGCAATTTTTTTGGGTGATTCACAGGGTTAGGAACCATAAGTTGGGCAATGGAGACTTGGACCCAGTCCACAAATTCCATGGTTTTCATCAGTAACCATCATGCCCAGAAATATAATCCTTCGTTATTGGTCTTCATGGGGCACAAAATTCCCACACTTGTGGACGATTCTTAGAGGAGATCAGATGCTGGACGAACGTCGTACAGGATCATGGTATTGCCTGAGGGAATAGTGCCCTTACAGACCAGGGAAGGGGATGGAAGAACAGAAAACCAGTTCTTGTGGTTTGTTCGGCTCCCAGCTGTTAACAATAAAGTGATAGTAATTCTTTCTCCCCTAATGATCCGATTAATTTCGTGACGCTCCACTTCTTACCATTAGTAATATTCTCAAGATGTACGCCCAGTTACCGCAGCATGCATTGATCTCCTTCTAAGATTTTGACCAAGCGAATTCTCTCTCTCTCTCTCTCTCTCTCTCTCTCTCTCTCTTTCTAGCACTGTTCTTTTACTGCTATCATAGAAGAAAAAAAATTAGGCCGTGGGAATTGTAGTGTGAGAAAGTTGGTTATAAAATACCAGCGAAATTCACCATGATTCCTCCTTACCACATAGAAACATTTAGAAGATTACACTGCATACCGAATACAGGCCGTGAAATTATTTTTATAAGAGTGCACTAAAAACAAGATAAGCAATGACTCCAAGGATTACAACACAGATGATCAAGCTAAAACGTGCAAAATACAAAAAGTAAATTAGGATACGAACTTACGATTCGAACAAGATTAAGAGCTTTCTGCCCAGATCCAGTCGAGTCTCTTTTCATCCACAAATGATGTTCCTTCTTGCCTGGCTTAGCCTTTTCTTTCCTAAAAGGTGACGATGAAATATATGAGAAAAACAAAGATCGACTAGAAATGAAAACCATGTGAGTTTCTCCTCAAGAAAAAATAAGAAGAAGAACTGAAATTAAAAATATATATATATCGAAAAATTCATTCCAAGCGAGCAATGTAAAGAACGGAAGCGGAGGAAATGTTCGAACCCATTGCGCGCTGGTGGCGGGGAGTTCAATTTTGCGGTAACAGACCGTCCTAAGCAACCCGCTATGGTAGAACCCCTTCGTGCAGCATCCGAAGAGAGTTGACTAAGCCACACCGCAGCGGCCGCGGCGCCGCCGAGGAAACTGGGAGAGCCCTTCCTTGAGGAATTCCCGCTAGCAGCAATCAGCGACAAGCAGGCCGTCCCTCCCTGGTTCACAACTAACCCTGTAATGCTTCTGCTGGTGTTCGGCGAGCAGCCCACCGCAGTAGCGGCGGCGCCCACTGTGTGACCAGCTGCGGCAGGGGAGAACATGGAAGCGAGGCAGCAGCTGTACTCGCGATCGGGAGTGAAGGACAGGGTGTTCCCTTGCGCTTTGGTTTAATCGCTGGCAACTCGATTTCGAACCCGGTTCAGTAGTCAACCCATCAACCCAAAATGCCTTGCTTCTTGAGACTGATAGTCATGAGATGATGCAATGCTCTTCAGAATTGGCCAATCTCTTCAGCTAGTGTGCTTTTCTTACCCCTCTCTCTCTAAAATTAAAAGGATGCCAACATGAATTGGATGTCAAGAACTGCTTCCTTATCATTCTTTGTTAAGAGTTTCAATATTAGTAGTAGTAGTATTAGGAATAATAAATCTAGATTTAGTATTCAATTATTTTGAGTGATTGATGTTTGAATTTATAACTATGGACATTTTTGTAGTCTGATTATTATTTTATACACGATTTTTTTTTGCTTAGAAACCATCAATAAAAATAGAATGATGGACAAAGTATACTAAATGCAAAATCTTTTGATCATTATTAATGGCCATTTTTGTGAAGTATATAACGAGTGAAATCAATATAACCATGACAACTAAGAAAGAAATGGAAATCCTTCAAATAACTATATATTGTAACCTAATTGAATGAATTTATTTTGTATGGTTGCTATGTTTCACATCCTACTATAGAAAATCACATGAAATTCAATTGTCAATCATGCAAAAACTTGAGTCAAACAAGAATGGAATAGCACAATTGATAAAATAGGCACAAGTCCTAAAAGGTGATGTAAAAACTAATTTACCATTATGATTTTATTTAAAATACACTCTCTAAAAATGTAGTATGTTACACAATGTTGAAATCAAATAAGCAAAAAGTACCCATTCAAGAGTATGTACCAATCATTTTTTAATTTAAGACTTTCCACACAAAGTATGCTCAATATGATGTATATCACAAAATTCTACCAACAATTGTTGTTTTCTAAAATGACTATGTAATATTATATTTACATGATTACTTGATCATATTATGAGTTTTCATAAAACCATAAAAATTGGCTTGTATGGACACCTATAAGTTTTCTCAATAACTTGGTGGTTCCCTAATATGCTAAATTATAAATTAAAAGGGGGGTCAATTAGTTTTGTATTGGGTTTTACTATTTTTGAAGGATTTGACTAAGTTTCTATCAGTTTATTGTATAGGTAGTTAATATAATATATTATGACATTGATACAAAAGGCATTGGACCATCATAGACTGATTTTGATTGGCACAGTAAACCATTACATTAATTGACTAGATGGGTAAAGTCATTAGGTGGATACTCTAATTGATTTAATTAGGTCAACATACTAAAGCTCCTTTACATCTTAGATGTAAAAATTTATAATAGTTTCATATTTTATTGGTCTACATTCACTTTTGAAAGTGTCTTTGTCCTTAGTTGCATTAATCTCTTTTTTAAATAAATACAATTGAACTTCATGGGATTAGAAAACTTATGCACAATAGATTTTATGAATCTATAATCTCATACTTGACACTAAGTGACTAAAATGTCTTTTTAGGCTCATTATTAGTGCTCTCTTGATGTGACTTAGTCGTTGTATAATAAAATCACATAAATTTAAAATTTATAAAACTAAAAAATACTAATTTTTAGATTTTAAAATATTTTTTAAAAAATAAATTAATTATAATTTGATAAAAGGTTATAAAAATAGTAGAAAATTTCTTATTCGATCGTAGAGATGTAAAATAATATAAGATAATATTTAAAAAAAATAAAAGAATTTTTTTTATGATTTTTAGAGTAAATGATCAATATAAAAATATTTAAAAATTCACGAAAAAGGAAAATAAATGTGCGTATGTCAAGATGATGTCAGCATCTTGAGGAACGTAATTTAGGTAGGAATAGAATTTCACTCAGTGATTCTTACATAAGCGATGATAGATAATTTAATAGGTGAACTTAAGATATGTAAAAGTCAAAAAAATCATAATTGAATGAAAAAGATTTTTGAAATTTGAAGTCACATAAAGTGTCACTAAATGAAGCACAAATTATGTCAAAAATAAGAAAGACATAGTTCCAGTCTTGTGACAACAATTGCCAAATTTTATGTTCATAAAGATCATTGAATGATGTCCAAAAAATAATAGTAGAAATTAAACTAATTAAAAAATAATAACATATTATTCCGATGTCACGATGGTAATACGTTTGAATTCTAAGCATTCGAGAGGATTGTTGTACAATGTCCATAGTCTCAAAGTCTCTCTTTGAACAAGAATGACATGGATAATCTTTAGATCTTCTTGTGAAGTCTAAAAATTAATGAAGTGAGTCGTTGAATCATCTCTGGCAACTATCACCCAACATAGTAGAAAAATAGTGACTTTATAACTCTCTAGTGGTTATCACCCGATGGAGATGAGCTAGATGAAGGTAGGACACATCTTAGAGAGCTTCATCCTCAAGTCCGTGCAATAAGAAGAGGTTCTTCATCGCATCTGATATGCTCTTATAAACCCCAAAATCTCAATATTGGATATCAGATCTTTGACATATGATTGGTTAAAAATTTCTTTGATAAACATCTAGGTTGATTCACTATGGAACTACACACTTAGACTAATGTTAAGTTAACTTGTAGACATATCAGTCAAAGATTTCTTGACATATCTTCAATATTCTAACTTGGTAGGATTTTCCACCCTTATTAGAGACATTCTACCATATTTCAAATTTTATGTCATATCATACATGTCAAATTTTGTAATTTGAGTATTTGAATGGGTCAACACACACTCTCTCCAATCTATGGTGAGTCTACACACCTTTTTTGTATGTTGTCATTTTTTTTTTTCATCATGTGGGTCAACACATATTCTCTCTCCACACCATGATGAGTCGACACAACTTTTTTGTGAGTTGTCATGTTTTCTTCCCTCATGTGGGTCAGCACACATTTTATTTAGTTCATAATTTAGTTGATATACTTTCTCTCTCCTCTTGTTTTCTTCTAAATTAATTTATTTTGATCTAATATATTTTATTTTGATATATGTTTGTTTCCAAGCATATGTTTTCTTCACATGGAGCATGAAAAACATTAATATATATAAAAAACTAGATTTAAGGATTTACGTCTTAATTCTTAGGTTAGTGTATTCAAACATATTAAAAAGAAATTTTCATTTTATCTCTATGTGATTAATAATAAAAATAAAATCACTAAATTGAACACAACCTATGTTGAGAGTAGAATATATTGAGAATTATCCTTAAAATAAAAAGTGATTAAATCATTGTAAAATTTTCATTTAATAATTTTAGAATCTTATATTCAACCCTTATGAAAAAAAAAATTACATATGACATATTTATCAAGTGTCAAACTAGAGAAGCACCAAATATAACTTCATATTCATTTTAGAGTATAGAGCAATAAAAAAAACCTCTGTAACAAGATAATTGAGAACACCATTCATTGATGAGTTTTTTTTCATGTGAATAAAATTGCATTGAACTTATAAGAATAATATTGTGATAATTCAATAACTTTTGTTCCATCTTCAAGAAAGATGTTTAGTGAATAACATGTATTTATTGTACTAAAAACTTATTAACTTAAGTTGGGAAACCATTTTGATGTTCACAAATAGAATGCAATGATACTTCTAATTAAAAGTTTCATGAATCCAATTGTAATAAACTAATCTAAAAATCAAGATCCAAATATCTAGTTCTAAGATATCAACAACCTAGTCATATGCTAACATGTTGGCCCTTGTGAGAAAAACTATATCATGTTTTGGTTTCAATATTTTTATGTTGACCATTAATTATAAATGTTGGAACATTACATGAAAAAAAAATTATACTAAAAAATCACATATGAAGTCTATTAAGTAGATCAAATAATACATTTACGTAAATTTTGAAATATTATATGAGAGTAAATATAAAGAATGTCATATTCAGGTGGATATAGCTCTGATGAATGGTTGGATGAGGAATTATCAAACATAGATTTGAATAGTAATGGTGAATCTATGTAACCGATTATTTTCATTATACAAGCATTATCACATTATATAGTTTTGTGGAAAGTGTCAATATGTACAGAATGTTACTAAGAGAAAGTAATGTTTATCATACTCAAATCAGCAAGACTTCTTAAAGCAAAATATGGGTATTAAACTTTACCAAGTCTATTATGTGCTCATGTTATAGATCATTACTTTAGAAAGGTTTTAATATCAAAATGACAAATTGAATTGAAACCACATATTCTATCAAATATGATTTTCTAATATCAAGGTATATACTTTAGAAAATCATTTCATATATTTTGGATTATCAAAGAATATCATTACACATCAAAATATTGATTCAAGATACCAAGGTACATAAGAGTGAAATACATATTGAATGGATTAATACAAGCATGATTGTAAATTTATTATTTGTCATCAATCATGAATTTATTTTGTTGGATCTTTATTAAACTATTTTGAACCATCATGAAATGAATATGAACATTATGATATAACAACATAGAGTAATGGTTTCATGCACGGATATCCAAAAGAACTTAATGAACATATCATATCATATTTCTAGCCATCTGAATTTATGATTATTTCAAGAAAAATAGATGTTGAACGTCCTGAAGATATAGAAGATTTTTTCATATGATTCATTTATAATACCAAAGTTTTTTGAATGTAGGATAGTGTTAGCATAAACTTCTCTCTCCTAACCGCAATACCAAGCTATTGAGTGCAATATCCACATTGAAACTCCAGTGATATATCACTAGAACATGAAGAGGCTGTTGAACCTTGGAAAGTATTAAATCTACATTTACAGTCAAGCCTTCTAGGAGCCCTTAGAACATTCTATCTTCTGGAGAAACTTTAGTGACAAGCAGCTACCTCATGCTTAGAAATCAAGTGCATTCAAAGTTGCATTCATCTTCATTACTTTGGATGAACCTCAAAGTCAAACTCAACCTCTGGA